TTGCCCCCCCCCCCCCCCCCCCCCCCTCCCCCTTCCTTGACTATCCACACGAGTACACGTGTCCGACGACCAAGCCGGCCTTCTCCAGTTTGAGCAGGGCCCACTACTTGCATGTCCGATTTAAAGAAGCCCGCCCCCTTCTTAATGCCACCCGCCTGCCATGATTGTTGCTGCAAAAGTACAGATCCCTCTAGTTGCCGAGATAGTTGCGGATAGCGCCCTGCAGGCGCGTCGCGCCCTCGCCGAGCACCTGCGTCAGGTTGTCCAGGTCGTCGCCGGCGGTGATGCCAAACTTGCGGATGAAGTCCTTGGCGGCGCTCTCGAGGTCGCCGTAGTCCTCGGTCGCCTCGTCCTCCTCGGGCCGGCCAAAGTAGGCGTTGGAGGAGATGGCGGTCGCGCCCTCGAAGCCTTGCAGACGGGTCTTGGCCTCGGCCTGCGCGCTGGGGTCGTACGAGCCCTTGCCGAAGAACTCGTCCGAGGAGATGGCCTTTTGAGAGCCGAACTTGGTTCTCGCGTACTTCTCATCGTCATCTATGACAGACTCGTATTAGTTTTCAAGCTCAAGCCTCAATGACAGTCAGTCCCAAAAACAAAAAAGCTCACCCTCAGCGGCGGCCTTGATAGGACCCACGGAGCCGAAGCCACCCGCGCTCTTCTTCTGTGTGGCAGGCTTGCTGCTGCCGACCTGGCCGAACCCAAGTCTGCCGATACCCATACCGAGCCGCTCCATATCCGATGCGGACTTCTCGCGGCTGTGAGAAGCACTGCCGTAGCCTCCCCGCGCGGGGCTCACGGGAGTGGGCGAGACGATGCTGCTCGCCTCAGCCTTGCCAGCCGCCTTCGTCGCAGCCTCGTCCTCGGCATTGGGGTCATATCCCAGCTTCTCGATGCGTTCGGCCTCTTCTTTTGCCTTTCTCTCGGCCTCGTCAAAGTCAATAAAGTCGGCAGTGACCTTCTTGACGCCGAGCTTGGGGGCCTTCTTTGCGCCGAGGATGCTAGCCTTCTTGGGACCTGTGCCCGGGGTCTTCTTCAGGGCGGCAGAGTGGGTTATGCGACTGGCAGCAGGCTTGTTGTCGGTGGAATCGGTCTTGGAAAGTGGTGAGCTGGTGCGAGCGATATCCTTTCCACCGTTGGCGCCCAGGAAAGGAGAGGGGGTTCGGCCGACAACAGGCGGCGTGGCAGTTCGTGAGACAGGCGGGGTGGGCTTCTTGATAGCGGGCTTATCCCAGGAGGAAAAGAAGTCGTCGTCCGGCTCGCCTGCGGGAGTGTTGCTGCCCTCGTTGGCATCGCCATCCGTGATGACAACCTCGTTTGGAAACCTGGCCCTGGTTAGCCTCCTAATATCAGAAGATTGATAGCTGTTGAATTTGAAACATACTCCTTGGCATCCCTGGCTGCCCTCTTCTTAAGCTCCTCCTTGTATTTGGTCGCCGCGTTGGACTGGTACTTGGTCTTGGGGTCCTTGCTGTTGAGAGCAGCAGAACCGCCGTTCTGCTGGAAAAACTTGGTGGCGGACTCGTTGCCACCGACCTTCATGACACGGAGCTGGTCCCATTGCCACTCTGCAAACCGCGTTAGCGATTCGAAGCCTCTTCTTCATGTGCGTCGCGCATGGTCAAAACTCACGATCGAGGTTGGTAGACCGCACGAAGGAGATGTGGACACCGAGGTTACGGTGGTTGGACGAGCAGTCGAGGCACAGATAGATGCCGAAGGGGACAGATGTCCAAGTCGGGTTCTTCTGTCCGCAGTCGAAGCAGACCTACATTCCGGGAGGGGAGAGAGTTAGCCATTGTTGTTCGCTCGCTGTCAAGGGCAGGCCCAGGTTCGGTGCAGCCCATTGGGGAGGAGATGCACATGCCTTGTTGGCGGGCTTCGACTTGAGCTTCTCGAAGATCTTCTGCGACTGCTGCTTTGTCGCAAGGGCGGCCATCTTGGCTGAATCTGCACAAGAGATATACAGGCGTTGGCAGGAGGAGGGGTCCGTGGCGAACAGGCTGGTGTCTTTGTGAGTCTGCGATCGAGGCGTGAGTGTGCTTCAATAGCGTGTTCAAATCCGTGGGGAATGGGACGCGGCCGGCACTCGAGAAGATGGCGACCTTGGAAATCGCGGGCCTTCAGGAGACAAACTACGGCCACATTTTCGACTCGAAGTGGGCAGGGTGGCATGAAGCCTGCCGCTAGAACCGATACAGGCTAGCGTGTCCTCCCCCACATTCGCAGCTCCCGGCGAAAAGCTGTACCAGAACTTGCAGAAGCTTGAAGCCCAGTCTGGAAGAAGCCGATGCTTGAATGTGTCCCAGGTCAGGCTTCGAACAACCACAGCCAGCATACTTGCTCACCTCCAATCGCTCTGCCGGAAGAGCGATGGGCGCATCCAGACTTCCAAGATGAAGCCAGCCACCCTTTCCGTCGCCCGATATGCCAACGCGCTCAGCAGCCGGACGGGGTCTCCCGCGCTCCCGCTCCTGCTGCAGCGCTCGTATGCCACCCAGCAGGGCGTAGGCGGCTCTTCCTCGTCTTCTCCCAGCGCCAAGCGACGAGCTGTAACGCCTTTCAACGACGACGGACACGTGCCCTGGACCGACCTGTCTGCCGGAGAGAAAACAGGCCGGGCGGTGCAACAGACGTTCAACCTGGGCATGGTCGTTGTTGGTCTCGTGCTCACGGTACTTCTCCCCACCCGCCCTGTCGTAAGACAATGGGTTGCGATGCTAACATGGCCACCAGACCGGGGTTGGGTATCTCCTCTACACCGAAGTCTTCTCTCCCGATAGCAAAGTGTCGCATTTCAACCGGGCCGTCGACCGTATCAAGAAAGACCACCGCTGCCTCGAGCTCCTCGGCGACTCCAAAACCATCTCGGCCTTTGGTGAGGAGACATATAACAAGTGGAGAAGGGCCAGGCCTATTGCGTATGTACTCTCTGTCCTGCTCCAGGATCGGGAGCGTGCCGAGGATGCGAGCTAAGTGAGGAAACAGGTCATCGGTCCAGAAGGACCCTCAGGGAAATGAGCATCTCCTCATCCATTTCAACGTGGAGGGGTCTCGCGGCCGCGGCGTTGCCAACATACACATGATCAAGCGAGCCAACGGCAGTGACTACGAGTACAAATACTTTTATGTGGACGTCAAAGGTCACCAGAGGATTTACCTAGAGAACGCCGAGACATCGTCCAAATCTGTCGACGGCAAGACGAGACTATTCGGCATCAGATGGAACTAAATGCCCAAGTTGTCGGATAACGGCACACATCGGGAAGCCATCTCGTGTACTGTCGGTGTGTACATTATCTCAAGATACCCAACATGAAGAATTATCGTAGGAGTGTTGAAAGGCTCTTATTTATCTCGGCCTTTACCAGAGTGTGCCATGATCTATTCGCTTTTCCCCCACGAGATGTAACCTACAGTTTTTAATTTACAAAGAGACTGAATCGAGAAACATCTGTCCCGGACAGGACTATACACTTACTTGACCACAAACTCCGTGCCCAGTTCCCAAGTAAAATCTCCACAACACGCATCAGACAATCTTGCCATGAACTCCCCGCACAATCTGCCATGTAGAGTCCTCAGTTGCTTGGACCTTACTCACCTTGGCAGTCTCGCCATCCCGTACATACACTCAGGCCATCTCCTCCCCCTCCATCTTGGAGATCCACTTGTTCATCTGAGAGTACTTCTCCTCAAATGTCTTCTCGAGCTTCTCGCAAGCGGTCCACATTGGGTCTTTCTTTGTCCAGTAGGTGTAGCAGTTGGAGAAGATCTGCCGCATGTCGCCGACAAACTCCTGCTCGTCGCGGTATTCGTGCCGGTCCATTTTGGCCTTCATCGTGCCGAGGTCCATGGGTCGCGTGATCTTTTGCAAGTAGTCCGGGACGCCGTCCATGTGCGGATCAACGGGCTCCTTGAAAGGCCCTACCAATCTCGTCCAGAAGCCTGTTGAGGGCAAAAGTCAGTTGACGAGGCATGAAAAAAGATGTCACGGACGAGGAATGAGAAACATACCAGGACCAGATAGCATTCTAGTCAACAGGTCGGCGCAGAAGTTCATCTTCTGGTCCGTAGAGAAGGGCTGGTCGCTAACAAACGACACGGTGGATCGTTTCTTCGGCGGCTTGTGGGCAGGAAGCGATGTTCGAGGCTTCTTCCCAGTGGCCGCTGGCTTCGGCTGTGTTGATGCCGAGCCGTTAGGCAGTACATCAGAATGCCGGGCCTTCTTCTTGGTGCCTGTAGGCGCAGGAGTCTCTCCCTCCTCCAGGTCTATGCGGTGGACATTTTTGTGGTGGCCTTGGGGATTAGCCTCGGGGAGAGGCTTGCCGCCCTGAGGAAACGGACTCCCGTCGAGAGAGCTCATGGTGACGACGAGCTCGCTGAGGACCTCCTGAGGCAGGGACTTGGCGAATTCCTTGCGAGATATACTAGAGCGCATGTATTCCGCGGCCCAGGACAGGAGGAGTTTCCGAATCGAGGAATCTTCGGGTGTATCGTGCCACACTTGCACCAGCAATGGAGTCGATGGTATCGTCTCAGTGACTCGTCTACATTCCGTCATAGCCTCGAGAGTAGCGTCACAAAGTCCGTCAATGCCGAGTTGGTGGCCCAGTTTCCAAAGTTGGATCAGGACCTCATATGGTGGTAAGGTCTCGAGAGTGGGGAAGACCTTCCCTGTGTAGAGATAATTTTGTGCGTAGGCGAAGATCTCGGCAGGGGTATCTGGCAGCTTGACAACGTACTCGATGGAGTCTGACGAGCTATGAACCCGAAAGTACTCCCTGTAGTACTTGGAGCGAGCACATAGATAATCCATCTGCATGCCGTATGGGTGTTCTTCTGGGCCAACCAGGATGATTACGAAGATGGGATGCGGGTCCCTGCAGGAGGGCAATTAGCACGACACGCCCGAAGTCGGTCAGAAGACTGCTAGCGGACTTACAGCCATGAGAAAGGTCCCGGAGGCGCAGCCAGTTGAGCATCCTCGGCTGGTTGGGCATCCTCGGGAGGAGCTGCGACTGGAGGTGCGCCTGAGTTTGCGGCTGGGTCTGCGGCTGGGTCTGCGACTGCAGCAGCGACAGGGGCCGCCGCAGCGGATGGCGCCTCAGGAGGAGCAGGGTCAGCCATCTTAAGGTCCAGCCTGTCGCGTATGGATGTGGTTAGCTGATGCTGGATGAGATGTTCGGATGAAAGGGGGCGAATGAGGATGGAATAGATGGGTTGGGAGATGTGGTTTCTAGCTTGGGTTCTGGTCATTTATAGCTACATCGGACGCCACTTGCCATCGATGAGTGCAGACTGACCATTCACATGAGTGAAATGTCAAACAACTTGAGCGACTGAATGAAGGGGTTCAATGAGCGGCAAGGGCCCTCATGCGAACTCACTTTTAGCATTCACTGCTTTCCGGGCTGAAGGCTTGATGCATTCGTCTGCGGTGGTGAGTTGATGGATGGGCCTGGAGCTCGTCAGCTTTGTCAGTCGATGAGATTGAGGCCTATGCCAGCCGTCGCACAGCCAGTAGGTTTGAAGACAACTCACAGTGAATAAAACGCGTCAATCTCGTGCACCGACTGTCCAGGTCATGGACAATTCTTGGAGAGGATGGCTTTGGTGAATTCGATGCGGTTTGATGTCTCATCAAAATCTGAGACTTTGCCAGACCGACCTCCACTGGTTCATTCAGGAGATGCACATGAGCTGATGAAGCTAAAATTTGTTAGCGCTGGTTGGGGAGCTGGACTGGACTGTCGAGACTGTCCAGTGCACGGACGTTCCTGAGAGTGGCCCAGAAATAGGGCTGGGAAGAGCCGCTTCACCGCACCCTCAGCAGCTCCCTCAGCGGGGTTAGGCGGACATCTTCAGCTCCATCCATCTCAATGCACCTCCAGGGCTGAGTTGGCACAAGGCAAGGAGCCATGGGAATTGCTCATGCCTCAGAGGCTGGGTGTCAAGCCTGGATCATCCAGTGGCTGTCGAGTCAAACCTGACTTCATTCAATTACCTTTCTGCTCGACAGATCGTCCGGCGTCGAGATGATGAGACCAAGTCTCCCAAGAGGAAGGATCCTTTGACCTCAGAACACATGCCATTCACCGCTCCCTTTCACCTAGGTAAGGTGACAAAAGTCAAAATTGCAGACTTTCAGGACCGCTCTTTGTCTATGATGACCTGGCTGGCTATACGAAAAAAGGAGAGAGCTCCAAATGCGTCAACTTGCTGCTACAGGACCATCAGCCGTGGCTCCAAAACACTACTGAGCCCCTTCAAACTCGACAACAAATCAGTCTCATTTATCATTGGACTTTGCGACTCTTATCTCGCAGCTTTTGATACTGACGGCAAAGGATAACTGACATCTGGTATCAGCTCGGGATGTGGGATGATCCCTACCCGCGAGATCAGGGCTTTCAGCCGGGTGCTGAGAAAGTTTGCATCTCTGCCGCCCTCACTTCACTGACCGAGCTTGCAGCAGTCGTGTCACCACCGCACGCAGGAACTGATCGGCTGCTCACGGTGAAGGCGGGCCAAGATCCCGCTCGCTTAACCGGCCCGACAAGCCACCTCGAGCTATCAAACCAGTGCTCGTACAGACGGCGTTGAACCCCAAGAGAACTAACTCTCTTCTCCCGCGATGATCCCTCGACATCGGCTTTCTCGACAGCGGATGGGAGAGCACCGAGCGCAGGATCGAGTCGATTCTCCGGAAGGGAAAAAGGCACGAGCATGACGGAAAGCATGCTGCAAGCGCGCCTGGGTGAATGAGGCAGGTGGCTGGAGCTGAGCAGCTTCACCGGTCAGGCCCGCTCGGTGAGGCCAGCGCAATCTGGAATCGGTGCTTCCCCCCCGGCTCGCTTCTTCGGCAAGACGTCTTTGTCAACAGCCCCTGTTCAAGTTGAGGGGGAGCTGCTTCGAAAAAGGGAAATAGAACACATGCCATTCGCAGCCACCGACCGAACCTTGGTTGCGGCCGGACCATGCCCCGCGGCCGTGCTCGTCCGCGGTTCATACCGAGCAAGGCGCGGGAAGGGAGGAGAAGGGAGGGGTTTTGCGGTGTACCTTGCCAGGAACCGAGCTTACGGAGTAACCTGTCGTTTGGGGGTTACATTACAGCGCCCTCGAGGCGAGCTCTTCACATAGCCGTTGCGCTCGCTTCACAATTTTCCGGGGTTACCAGTGTGAAGTTACGGGGAGGAGGTCCCCAGACGGCACCGAGATGGAAGAGCATGTTTGCTGTAGCAGCTACACACACGCCGGTGTCAGGCAGAAAAAGGACGCCCGGGTGTGTGTGTGTGTGTGTGCGCGGTTTGAGATTCGCCAAGCAACAGCCCACGGCGAGCGGCCGGACGAGTGAGGTCCAGAACGTCGACGGGAAACCTGGGGATGGCGGATGCAATTTAGGCTGTGGGGTCACTCTGCCCCGGCACAGCCCAGACACAGATATCTTCGCTTCTTCTAACCGCATTCAACGAGAGAGGAGTCTCTTTCTGTAGCATCAGCAGTCCCTGCTGCCGAGGCCGCAGCGGTCTCGATTGCGGACCGATAAGATCAGACCACGGCTGCAGAGGCACTCCAAGGCCCGATAGGGACCTTTCACGGCGAGACTGGAGAGATACACACGCAACACATAGAACTTTGATCCAAGGAAGGCCATGGGAATGTTGTACCGAGTAGTGTCCATCAAGATGCCCATGTCCCGCGAGGCTTAACAGACAGGCACCGAAATAGTTGACGTCAGCTCCATTTAAGCATGTTGGTTGAATGCAGGGACAGATCCCGGATGGTCGTCGCAATCTAGATCGAGGCGACTTCATCCCATCCAAAGATAAGGAACCGTTGGAGTCAATTGGGGTTTGTTTTGGAGAAATAATCTACCTGTTAATATATATAACCGGTCTGCTGTGGGCATATATTAAACCGCTAAGCGAGGCTGCGCTTAGCCCTCGATAGGCAACTTGGCTTCCGGCGATGCACCATCTTCACAGAAGATTACGAGATAAGGAGAACAGAGAAAAGTCTTTGGTGGATTTGGATGTGTCTTCCTAGCTGCAGTGGCGTGCAGTGGCGTGCAGTTTGTCTGCTTGCTCAGCCTGTTTCAGTACGTGGACGTCAAGATATTGCCAATCTTTTGAGACACACAACACACAGAGGCAAAAGAAGACGCTGACGGGCTCTTTGTTAGAGTCGAAACTGTTGTTATTAACGTCAACTTGATGAGTCCCTGGTGTCTCTCTGGTTTGTCATGTCCAAAAGAGCTTCTTGGGACTCGGTTGCCGAGGCAAACTTCCCCAATTGTCAGAAATAGGCATCGAGTCTTTGAGTTGATCCGACTGGTGGAAGATTTTCTCTCGAGTTACCTGTTTGCTTCCCAACGAACTATCGTTCGAGCTTGGGCAAATAAGACACGGTGATTTGCGAGTCTAGGTAGATCATCCCGGAGATGCAACGATGTCACAATGGCGCCCATGTTCCAGGAAGGTCAGATCATGGTTCAGGCTGTTTCAACCCCCGCGTGGCAACTCTGGAGGAGCCAAGCGGTTCGTTCCCTGGGGCACCAACTATGTCTCGCGAAGAAGCGAGTGAGAGAACCTGCATGGCGGAACGGGGTAGCATCGCCCAGCTCCTGGATAGTCTGAGCACGGGGCAGTCGCCAGCGCTGTGACTCAACGACATCGTTGGCGACATTACCTGATTCAGTGACAGATTTGCTCAAAGTCCAGGCCTCGGTTCGGTGAGGGGACCCCTTGTCACCGACAGCGGGAGAGTATTGGAAACACAGGGACCTCGTTCTGCACGGTCAGAAGCGACTTTGGAAGGACGTGGCCTGGTGCAAGACTGTGATCGAACCCAGCACGACAGCGGCACAAAAGAACCGGATCGAATAAGGAGCAAAGGCTCCTGGATGTTGAGCCTATGCAGGTCTTTCAAGAAGAGGAAAGAGCACAGGGCGGGATTTCAAGTCGTGCTTCCCCGGCGAGTGACTTGCTAGGTCTGGATGCAGCTTTGTGGTCCTCGATTGCCTCCGGGAGCCCGCGAAAGCATCACCGCAATTTCAGCATTGCTTTTCTGGTTCATTTGAACTAAGGTAGCTCGTAACAGGGTTCTTTTCTTTTCTTTCTTTTCTTTTCTTGTTCCGCCGGAGGCATCAAGGTACTTTCCCCGAGATACCTGAGCGGCGCTGCTTGTCTCCGCCCTGATTTGGCAACTCCTGATGGCCCGCACCCCCCAAAGGAAGATCGAGATGGTGCTGGTTGTGCAAATGAGAGTTTCGTCACAACCCCACGGGGTCTGCCTTCGTGGGGGTCATATCTTGCTCTCCCGCGGCGCACGAGCGTTTGGTACCAATGATCTGAGGCTGCGACGCAAAGGCGCAGGTCAGGAGGGTCAATCACCCCCCTAAAATGGAGGTCATCTGCATCACCGGTACCGTCCGCTGACGGAAAGGGTGCCATCGAGTGGCCGAATATATCGCCAATAGACTGGACGGGCTTCTCCAAGAACGGTTTCTTGCCAGCAGGTGATGGGGTTGACCCCCCGAATGGCTTTTTGGCCACACGCCTTCAGGACGGGACCGAAGCCTGTGGCTCGTTTCACGCCTGGTCGCGCCATGCTCTGCCGGATCGCGCGATCATCGCACGTCAATACGTTGAACAACAACGTCAACAGCCATCTCACAAAGAGCATGGGTGGATGGGTGGATGGGTGGATAGATGGTTGCCCTACCTGAGATGACGGACATTCCCTTTGTCAGGTATCTTCGCAGAAGCCGACGTTCGTCAGCCTCAGTCGACATCTGGCCAAATTAAACTCATCAATAAAATAAGTATGAGAAGCAAGGTGTTGTTCAACTACCGATGTGCTTGCTTACTTCTTGGCTTTCTTCAGCCCCCAGGTTTGGTGTCAGAGATCTGAAATTGCTCACGGGTAAGATTAGACAATATCACAGCGGGTGCCAAGCCAATACCGCTGTTCATGTCAGCAGAGACTCCAGTCTTGCCACAGTCCTCCGGGGTATGTCTTCGGGTACTGGTGAGGCGATTCAGGAAGGGCAGCCCGCAAACCCCGGGGCGCTTCAGATCCCTGCGTGGGGGAAAACTTCCGGGGAAATTGGTTCAGCCCCGACTCCTCTTAATCCTGGCATCAGCAACACACACACAGAGAGAGAGAGCTGACTGGACGTGGATTCCCTGTCTACGTGGCAAAGTTGTCGAGTCAAGCAAACTCCAAGACCTGTCGTGCCACCGAGACCGAATCGCCTGGTTGGAACGGGGAGAAAAAGCAAGCAGGGCATATCTCGTCTTACCAACAGACTGGTTGGTGGGTTGTACACCTTGAGATGATTGTGCCCAACTGACAGCACATCGACTTGTGCCTTTTCACCAAGGACGAGCCAAGGGAAAGACAATTCTTGTGGACACACCCTGTCTGTGCCCCAGCTTGGTCAAGCCTGAGCTAGGTATATTGTTGCGGGCTGGCTGAGACTCGTCACAGAATAGCAAACGGTGTGCGCCGCCCTGCTCGCGCCCTGTCCTGGCTCGACCTGCTCCTTCGGGCAAGGTTTTTGGTGATGAGCAGCAATGTGCTGTCAAACAGGGCCTAGCGGTTCCGCGGAAGAAAAGGGGGGAGCCAGCGGGCCGCATCTTCCCTGGCCGGGGGTGGATCAAGCGAGCCTCTGAATCTCTGATGCTTCCCCGGGGGAAGCTTGCCGCCTCCCTTTCAACCCCACGCATTACAGGACGATCCTTGCATCCGCAGGCTGATCCAGAGCCAGCGAACCCAGGTGGGATGGCATCACACCTTTTCCACCCTTCCTTCTGGCTCTTCCAACCATACGGCTGAGTCCCCTTCCTGCGTGTCTCATTTGTCGCATACCACGTCTTGTTTCGTCGCCCTTCACCACCCACCCTCCAAAACACATGTTGCTCTGAAGTTGCGGTGAAGGGGTTCGCCGCCCTTTGCGCCCGACCAACCGTTTTGCCCCATGAGAGAAGGAGAAGGAGGGGGCGGGAGAGAGACTGAGTCATGGACAAGAAGGAATTCCGCGAGACAGTTGCGCCCAAGCTGTTCGCTGTCTCAATCTGCCTCATCACAGGACACCATGACCTGAACATCAAACGAAAGGAGACTTGACACCTACCTGCGCAAGATGTTTCTAGTCCTTGCCCGTCACATCTCGAAGTGGATCGGATTCGACAGTCGACTGGATCGGGAGCTTCCCCCCCGCGCACGTCTGGTCCTGGGGGTGGTGGTTTCTTTTTTTTTCTTCTTCCTTTGCTCATCTCATGGGTGTGTGAAACAAAGTGGGATGCTGTGCCTGGTTGGGAGCAGAAGCCCGGAGCCACGGTTCACGTCTTCCCATTCGCCTGGGTGCGCATATATGACATGGCGGCCTTGGCCGCTGCATATCGTCCCCTCGTAAATGGACGATGATACCTGCCCGGGGCTCGGACGGCTGGTCCGGACTGCCCGCGCGAGCACAAGCAATGCAGCACCAGCCCAGCCATATATGTACGTTGCGGGCGCATCGATACACGAAGCCACCTTGGGTACTTACAGCCCAACCTTGACTTGCACCCCCAGCAAGGTACACACACACAACACGCTCTCTGTCACTTACACACACCCCCATCATCATCGTGGTCACTTCTCGGTAAGGCAAGGTACACACGCCCGCCTCCGCACGCACTGCCTATCAGTACATGGCTGGAGGGGAGGTGTGCAGTCCGTACGTGCATGGTTGCGCAGCAATAGCGATGGGAGGGAAAATCAAATATTATTGCCCTACGAGAGGCACGAGCAACAACGAGATTGCGCCCGCCCGTCCGCACATCAGTGGTCCGAATTGAGCACGATAAGGCGCTGAGCTCAGCCCCCAGATAGTATGTTCACTATTTGCCCGGGCGATGGCTGCCGCGCTTGATCTCCCGCCCCTGAAGCTGCAATCTGGGAAAGAGATAAGCCTGCAGGTCGCGGGAGGACGCAAGCAGCCGAGACTCCAGATATTTGCTCCTCTCTGGGGGGGGTCTGGAACTGTTTTTCTTCTGGGGTGGAAGAATCGAGCCAAGATAGAGAGCCCTGGCCCCCTTTTCGCGGGAACGATGGCGGACATGTCTGATCGCATGGGTATCTTCAGGAGGCGGGGCCCCGAAACCGGGGGGCGGAGAGGGCCAGGGAGCCACAATAATTTTAGAAACGGGAATTATCATGAACAGAGAGAGAGATACGATCGATACCTTGGGGGAGGGCGTATTGATAGCAGGAGAGAGGAGAGGGATCCTGGCCCTCCGAGCAGACGTGTCTACACACTCGTTCGACTCTATTCCCGGCACAAAGATCCAAAAAGGAGCGGGCACATGCGGCGCCTTTCCCCAGAACCCCCCTCCCCGGACTTGACTGTGCCCCCCGTCCCGTCCTCCCTCCCTTTCTGTTTTTCGAGGGCGGGAAATGCGGGTAACTAAAGGACCACTGTCTGCAGATGTGGTGCAGATGTGGTGTGGTCTCCCGCCGCTCCTGGCACGATCACGGATCTGACGTGATGCTAAAAAAGGAGGGGCTCTATCTAACCTTGTACTCTTGTATGAGAGAGTTTTTCTAATGATACCTACTCTTCTCGACTCTTTTTCTGCTTGTTAGCTTCTCCCACCCGGACAGTTGCGGGTTGACCACCCCCCCCCCCCAGTCTCTTTCTCGCCGTGGCCTGTTTCCCCTTCCTTTCTTTCTCCAGGGTTTCCCTGGTTGTGTCTGGTCTCAACTGCCGATGCCAGGTGGGAACGAAAGCAGTGATGAAAGGCACACCAGACAGGGGACAGGCAGAGAAAGCATCCCTCCCTGGGCAGAGTACCTAGTGGTGGCGCAGGCGCAGGTGCTGTTGAGCCAGCCAGCTCATCCCCATCTTGTCATAACAACACGCCGCTCCTTGACCGAAAGTGCATTGCGAGAAGTTGCGGTATGACTACCTACTGCTTCAAGGTACGGCAGGATGCAGCCCCTCGGGTAGGTAGGTTTGTATGCCGTAATGTCATTATTATTACTACACAACTTGGGGTGGCTGTCATGTAGTTTCGTTATCTTTCTTTTTTTTTGCTTTTGCCCATTACTGACTTGTCTCTTTGCCTTGATGAAAACGCAAGGGACCCCCAGCAGAGAGTCAGTCACCCTGTCCCAATGTATTGCTTCTCCCAGGCCCCTCCCCCCCCAAAAAAAAAGAGAAAGTTGCGAAGCATATGGCAACGGGCACTCTTCCTCTGGTGGCATCACAATTTTTTGAAGATTTTTTTTTTTCGGTTGGATAGTTTTGCTTTTGTTATACCCACAAGGGTTGGTCATGTAATATCATGCAACCAACCCCTAGATGCATAGTGGGTAAGGCTGCGAGGCCGAACAAACCCACCACCGACTGTGCCCAAATATTCGCTTCATTTTCTTAATAAACGAGGCGGTCTGGCGCCGGTGGGTTCCCGCGAGGATAGAGAGAGAGACGACCAGGGGTTTCGTTGTTTTTCTTTTCGGTGCTGCCTCGAGTTTTCTGCCCGCCCGCGCGCGCCCTGTAGCAACAGCCAGCCCGTCTGCGCTGGGCAGGACCAAGTTGAAATTGAAATTACCAAAAGATGTACCACAGATTCCGCTCTGTGGGAACACGTGGGCACAGCAACACAGCCCGGAATCGCGTCATCTTGTGTGTGTGCTCGTACTCGACATCCCAAAATCATTTGTCAAGTATGTATGTACATTGTCAGACAACGGCCAAACCCGACCGAGTCACAATCAGGTCTCACGGTCTCGGTGCAAGGGGTCAACGACATGTAGCTGGACCTGTATCTTCAAAGTTCTCTTGACGAGATTCTATTTCTTTGTATTTGTTGGGAGTTTGTGACAGAACCTTCGCATGTGCACTGTTGTAAGGAAACTATGTGAAGAACAGAGTATGAAGTAGTGATTCAGTCAAGAGTTGAGAAATGGCAGAACGCTGCATCGCCGCCTAGGCTATGCCATGGTTTCCCGTAAAAAGAATATCCCAGCCCAGGTCCCGAGTCTATGTCCGTAATCGCAATATCCCCCAGTCCTTCGAAATCCCTGAACCGGTTGCGCAGCCAAAAAGGCGCGTATCCCTCAAAAAAATAAAACAAAAGATAAAAACACACTGAACAGTCCAAGCAATACAACGAGCCTTGTAGCCCGGGTTGATCGGCCCGGTAGATAGTGTTGTTGGTTGTACCTGTCCAGGCCGCAGTGCAGAATGATAGTCTATGTGTGCGCAAAAAAAAGAGAAAAGAAAAGGCCTTTCCGCCCAGCGGGCCACTTGTTCGAGGCGGTGTCGCGTTTCCTGACTGCTCATATGGGCAGACAGGGCAGCGAACAAATTAAGAAACGAAGTGATGCCCGCTGGGTGTGCTTGTCAGGTCGGTTGTGCCAGAAAACGCCGTGCCGTCTATGTCCATTGGTCTATAAGGGGTCTTATCATTAAGTCGTCGCATGCCGTCGTCCGATTCTCTCTCCGCATGGCGAGGCATCGCCTAGATCCTCTCCATGAGGTCGCCGCCGGCGATGCTGTTGGACGAGCTACTCCGGCCGCTCAGGTTGAATCCGTCGGCGCTGGGGCCGAGGAGATCATGCACAGCAACCTTGGGAACCTGGGGGACGGGGAGCTTCCTCTGCGTGCCGTCAGGCCTGCTCAGAATGTCCGCCAGGGACATACCGCCGCTACTCCTCACGGGGTTGGCAGCGACATTCTGAGCGAAGGGAGCCTCAGGCTGCGGCTCGAGAGGCGCCAGAGCAGGAGTAGTGTGCTGTCCCAGCGACAGGTTGCGGAAAGGAGGCAGCTCATAGGTGCTCGAGAAAGGTCTCAGGCGAGGAGAGTGAGCAGGCGTAGCCAGCGGGGTGTGGTCAGGAGTGGGCGAAAGCGAGTCGTGCGAGAATGTGGGAGAAGAAGGGGCGGTAGAGTTGGGGGAGTTGGGCCGCGACTTCTTGGCGTGCCTGTAGGAGTGAGAGTAGTGATCATCGTGGTGCTCGTCGTTGGAGTGGCTTCTCGACATGTGGTAGGCAGAGAGCGACGGCAGGTGGCTCCGCGAGGAGTGGTGCGAGTGGTACGGATGGTGCCGGGACTCCCTAGAGTGGTGGTGGTGGTGGTGGTTGCCCAGAGGGGGGAAGTTCAGCGTCTCGAGCTGGTGAGCAGCCTTGGCGAGCATGTTGATGTCCATGCCCTGGCCGTTGGGGCTGCCGGCATTGCTGCGATACGCGCCCAGGCCCGAAGGCGTGCTGTAGGCCGAGTAGGAGTGAGGCGGAGAGACGTTGGGCGAGCCAAGAGCAGAGGGCGGGGCGCTGCGGATGGACTTGGGCACAGGCGGGGGCGGAGCCATGAGGCTGTCGCTGTGGTAGGACTGAATGTGCGTAGGAGGCATCTGGCCCTTGTTGGATCTCCTGCCATTGGGGTTGTTGTGTATCCTCGAGTGGCGGGTCAGCTCGTCGGAGCGCGAGAACTTCTTGCTGCAGCCAGGGAACTGGCAAGCATGGGGCTTCTCTCCGGTGTGAGTCCGGATGTGCCTGGTCTGGTGCTCGAGGCGATGGAAGGCCTTGTCGCAGAGAGGGCACTTGTAGGGCCGGGGGAGCTCATTGGTCGTCTCCTGGGCAGGCTGGCCAGACGGCAGAGGGCCGTTGGGCCTGATGTTGGTAACGGCAGCGGTAGTCATCTCGACGTCTTGCTGCTCAGCCGAGGCTTCGGCTGGTTTCGCTGTAGTAGGCGTGGTGGTGGTCGTCGTGGTGTTGACGACTTCCTTGTTGGAAGCTGAATCTCCTTTTGGGTTGAGTAGATTCGTAAAATCCACTGCAGACTGTGCTTTCTGCATGTGATCTTCCTTCTGCTGCGAGGTCCAGGCCCGGCGGCAGTAAATCGCTCGTCTTTTCTCCTCGGCTGCGAGAGATGTAGGTAGCGTCGAGCAAAATCTGAACTCGTTGTCTTTTCTCCCTTGTTCACGACAAAGCTCTTTCTATTCAAGGTCCACCAAAAACTGTTCACAGGTTGTGAGTCGGTTGAATTGTGTTGTGTTGTGCTGTGGTGGGCGTGGGTTTGGTTCCTGCGTTGGTGAGCAGAAAAAAAAAGTAGTGGTGTAGATGGGTGGGCGGTATAGTTAGTTTTATAACGGACGTGGGGGAAGCAGTAGGTAGCGAAATTTCAAAAAAGGATAACCTTGGGGGGGAAGGGAGGAGGGGAATCCTTATAAATGGCCTGAGAGAGTCTGTGTGCCGGGCGTCGGCAGAGGGGATGGGTCAGTGAAAAAAAGCCACTGTGGGAGAGCGACATGTGGGGAGGAAGGGGAGGGGGGGGTGTGTCAGAGCTCTCCACAGCACAGGGCCTGGGAGATGGGCCAGCGGCTGTGAGGGCCCTGAAGAGGACTCGTACCCCAGGGGGGCGACCGACCGACCGACCGGCCTCCAGAAACCTAACCCCCCTAGCGCCCTCTGCTGTGTTTTTTATTTTTTATTTTATTTTTTTTTTCTCTTCTGTTTTCTGGCGGCCGAAGCTAAGAGCGGTAGTGCTTAGAGGGGGAAAAGGAGGGGTGTGCGATAAGAATTGGGAGGGCAGAAATGTACCTCGGGCCTGAAGCAAGTCAGGATGTAGGCGAGCCGACCGAAAGCAGCGAGGCCAACAGGCTCTAACTAACTAGGCGGCGCTTGGTGTGAAGCGGTTGTGCGCGGGTGGGCGGGAATACTGGGCTGCAGGGTGAGGGTGAGGATGAGGAGAGGCGGGCGTGGGATGAGGTGACAGTCTCCCCGACAAGATTGAGGTACCTAGGTACCTGGGGCTGCTGCTTTTCTCAGTCGAGACCCCCAAGGGAAAAAAGACTAGCACCACCCCCCCTGTGGGGCTGATTGCTGGGCGCAGTGGGGTGGCCGAAGAGATGTCCTTACTCGTTCACTGTCGCTCCGACTCTTTTAGCACGCCCGAGTACTCTGCTCTTTTTTTTTTTTTTTTTTTCAGTACCTAGGTAGTCTCTATACTCTGAGAGGTGTGCATTAGGTACAAAGTACAGTAGGATGTAGGTAGGTATTTCTCCCTCTCGTCTGCCTAACCGTCTCCCTCCCCGAGACAGACCAGGCTGGGAGTTTCTGGAGAGGTGACGAGAGTCAGTTGCGACATCAGATAATACGCAGCCCTGAAAAGTACCTTGGCGTTCATTCACCTCTCCCTCTTCCTCTCCCACTCCCACACCCATCCCACCCCCCTGCCCGGCCCCCCCCAGATCAATTGATGTCCTTCTTCCCACACTCCTCCTCCGCCCTCTCCGTCTCCTGTCGTGTCGCACTTTGGCCTCTCACAAGTCATGCCTTGGCTGTTGTGGAGACGCCGGGCGCCGAGGATGAAAATACCCATCCCGCCGGAACCGCCTGCCCTGACTTCCTATCTTACAAGTACAGGCTGCAGTGCCGTGCCCAGGCAGTTTTGGTACCTAACCTTCCCCTTAAACACCATCTAGCCCCCCTGGGCCCTATCAACGATGATCGCCTTACACCTCCCTCTCCAGATGGCCCCCCCAGATGCTTCAGCGTGGGCAATCCTGCGGGGGGGATGAGTCGTGCGTCAATGGGTGCTGAACTGGCTCGAGGGCGGTGTATCGCAGGGGGCCAACATTATCTCTGGCGGCTGTCCTTTCCTAAAGGGGGTCGCTGAAGAGCAGCATGTGAAAATGATGAAATGCTTCCTACGGAGTATGGAGATGGATGGAATGCAATGAAGCAGCATTCCTATTTCTTCATTAACAGACTGCATTGCCTACTTTACCTACCTACTGCGTACTTACCTTGGGTCTTTCCCTTTGCCTAGGCCGTTTCAATGTTATCCTGTTATCCTGTGTCGTCAGCCAGATCGGAGCTGGTGACCAGATCCGGGTATCTGGCGTCACCGTGGGGTATCGGGGTCATGATTTTTTTTCCCTGCCTTCTCCAGCAAAACTCACTACGTAAGAGACACACGGAGCGGCACCGACTCGCGACAGGCTGCCCAGGCGTCCAAGGACGAGAATAATGCGGCAGCCAGACGCTGTCCATTACATCAGCGCCCAGAATACGATACCCATAGCAAGACCACCACAACAGAGGAAGGCAAAGAAATGTAGAAAATGAATTTTACCACGGCGAAACCACCTTTCTTAGTCAGATTTCGTGATGCAAGTGATAGATTGAACCTATGTGTTCGTACCTGAAGGCAGCATCTCGGTGTGTCCCCGTTTCCCCCAAAAGTACCTGCGCGGCTCTTGTGTCTTTTTTTTTTTCTTAATTTATTTCTACTTTCTTTTTTAGAGTTCGCAGGAGCAATGCAACTGCAAGGGGCAGGATTGACCGAGGGAACAGGAAGATCGATGATATGATACGATACCTACAAGTACAGCCGCTTCGGTCAGGCGGCCGGCCTTACTGTGAGGCGCTCTGGGCGCTACGCTACCCCAGGTCCGCCCCGCGTCTGGCTGACTTGCAATCTGTCCCAAGAGAGAAGGTGGGTGAGGCTGGCCGCCGTCGTCAAGGGAAGGGGGAAGAGAGAAGAGAGAAGAGAGAAAAAAAAAGAAACAGCCAAGACAACAGCCGGCCAGGTTGCATCCTGTTTCCCCCTTTTTTATCCAACGTCAGTTCGTTTGACACGGCCCCCATGGGGTTGTTGCCCGTGTGATGACGACGATGCCTCTTGGGCTGTGCATTACCCCCGACGCGCGCGCTCTACAAGTACCTGAAGGATGCAGGGCCAGTCAGAGGCCTGCCACTCCCTCCCCCCTAACTACTCCGTACGTAGGTAGGTAGGTACCTATTCCGGTGGTGTTTCGGCTCGCCCATAGGATCAAACATCTCGTTCGGGCGGCTTCGGTCAAAGGTTTGGGCATAGTGGGGTGGCTTGTTCGGGACACTGGGGTGGGAAAGAAACGTTGCTCCCTGGTCGGATCGAGCAGGTGTCAGCGTCGGCGGCGGATGCCATGGCTTTGGAAAAGTGAAAAAGGTCACCAATCTCGGCTTCTCTCTCCATTCCCCAGACTTGCCAAGGTCGTCGCTATCGACACCCTTCTATCTGCCTCACTAGTGAGTAGTCACTCGTCCTCGATCATCTGGGTGTCTCTTTGAGATAGGTATCCAGCCGGATCTCGGGGATCGGGGAAATATAGGCATACCTACTTGTCGTGACTGTTGGTCTGGGGAAGCCGATGGAAGCTGAGACTGTGTGTTGAAGGGGTGGCCCTAAAAGATAAGGGAACTGGGCACGGCATGGGGCTGCGGGGATCAAGAGACCAGACAGACCTACCTAGGTACGTACAAGTAGGTAGACCCGATGGGATCTATGGCCTCGAACGATATCTTTTGATAGGCTAGACACTGCGTCAAGCCAACTCTGGCACGCGGTCAATATTGGTTGTTGATTGTTGACCCCATTGGAAAGGGACCATCAAGCTATCTTGGTCTCCTCATGGCGGCCTGACTCTCTGTTGTTTTGCACAGACGACTGCAATGGCTCGGGGAGATGATGCCGGCACTACACGACTCTCGTTGGCGGCTTGTTCGAGTCTCTAAAGACAATCGCCACTCCTTTGACAAGAAGCAACAACAGTCTCGGTCATGTAGTCTCTGTTCGATCCCATACGGGGCCATACCGCAACGAGCAGGTATGTCCGCCCAGCCGACGAGCAACACAACCAACTTGTAATCTGGGGTAAGGTTGGCCAGATTGCAGGCCCTTCTCGAGATAGCGTCGCGCCTACGGAGTAGTGTTGGGCTGGCATGGAGATAGTTCGCCTTGGTTTCGACTTCAAGATACAAGATACCTCTACGAGGACCAGAGCGGGCGGTGATCATCGCTCCAGGCGCTCCAGGTCTGTCACAGGGGGAACCCCAGATTCTTTGGTTCGGCGCACGCCCCCCCTGCCCGGGCGGCACACACCCTCGGGAAATCGAACGTGGGGGGCCAGCAAAGCCCACATCCCTCGAGATAACGCTCGCTCGTCCGTCTCATCGTACCATCCCAAAACAGCCTTCGTCTCCGGAACTCGCGCAGTGGGCTGCTGGGGGTTCTCACGAAAGGAATCTGGGGGTGTGTGGTGCAATTCTCACGACTCCAAGGTGCCATCTGGTGGTTTACGTCAGAATTGCTTTTTGGCCGTTCTCCCCAGAGAGTTTTGTTTCCTTACCTACTCCGTAAGCCCTTCATACAGCATCCGGGCGAGGTTGGCCAGGGCCCTGCCTTAGGTACTTAGTAGGTAGCCAGGTCTGCGCAATCAGCTAGGATGAGTAAGTGAGCAAGGAAGCGGGTTTCTCTCCGACTTGATCCGTCGGCCCAAGTCAGTCGTTCTGACACGACAAGGAATGTCCAGAGCCGACTGCGGCCTTGTTTCTCGAGAGGCCCCTTGGTTTGCCAACGAATCTCTATGAGCCGCTCATATTATTAGTCAAATCCCGAGTCATCTACCTTGGCTGTCCCCAGCCATTCCGCACCCAGGGCAATCTCTTCCTTGGCAAGTCTTTTGCTTGCAAGCGCCCGCCTTGAAGAGATGGCGCCATCCGCCAGGAAGAGAGATCCTCTCGCAGCGATCTGCGCCTCTCCGCATTCGAGGCCCGTTCCCCACACCCGTTGGTACCTACTTGTAGGTAATCTCTCCACGCCCGTAGCAGGTACGAAACACAATACCTACACCTGGAACACATGTTCGTCAACCTGCCAGGGGACTGGACTTGGTGGGAGAGAATCCGGCGGGAAAGGAAAGAAGCGACTCCGGACAGGCAACTGAAACTCCCAGCCCAAACCCCAGCGAGCGACCGAAGATGAGCCAGACAGGTGGCCAAGAGAATTGTGCTGTCCTGGGCTCGCCCCGTAAGATTGCCTAGGCTCGGCCTTCTTGGGGCTCAGCCTTGGCCACGGCGATTCTGCTGCGAACTTTTGCCAGCTTCGTCGGTTCATCCGAGCACCGGCATCGGAGCTCGTACCACCGACCCGAGCCGGCGAAGCCCTCTCAACTACAACCCGGTTTCCTTGCGATGGCGCAATTCCGCGTGATATCTTCGAGCTTTATTGCTCTTCTTAACGATCTCCAGCGCCAAGGCAATCCGTGAATAACAGAATCTCCTCTACGTATGGTCCATAACCCCTGCCACAGTGCCTTGGTGAGAGGTTGATGCGAAGACGCCCTCGTCACCGCCCTAACCAAATCAGGATCTGTTTTATGCGCATGGCATAAGGTTGAAGACATTTGTCGATCTTGGGCTATACGCCGCGATGCGCGCACACAACAAATTTATTGACACGTCGTTCTAGGTAATCATTTGAAATGACGACAGTGGTAGAGCGGCGCCAGCGCTTTGAGGGGGGGTCGTAGATCAATGCCTCCCAGCAGGGCTTCAAGATAGATCCCAACGATCGCAGGCGCCCGTGGCCATCGCCTGCTACTCCGTACACATTACCTACACCTCGGTGGCTTGCTCGAGATCCGGGGGCGGGTCTGCCGATACCTAACCATTACCCGCGGGGGACATGCGCGGCAAGCCGTTTCTGTAAAGAAAGGGTCTCCCGTCGTCCGATGGGTACCTAGGTACGCCTTGGAATTGAGTTCCTCTGTAACCTGGGAAATGCCGAAGTTGGAAGGGCTCGAGGAAATGCGTTGCGTGAAGGCGCCACGAGTCAGTAGGTCCCAACACCTGCGGATCTCGGAGCGCGCTGAATCGTGGAGAAAGCTTCCCCCCTTCCCCCCAGCCAGCAGGGATCCAGGCTTCTAGATCCTTTCCCGAAGCGGGCAAATGTTGGCGACGGGCTTGGCTTCCCCGAGGGCCTTCTGGGGGGGGAGCAAAGACAGAACTATTGTCGACGGAGCACCAGGAATATGCCGACGGACCTGGCTGGCATGTTGTTAAAATGAGGCCTTCATGTCAACATCTCGACCGACAATGAGTCCATTGCCCCCGCCGGTGAGGCGATAGACCCAGTTCGGCCAAGGACTTGTAAGAGCAATCCGCTCTCGTCGCAACAATGCTAAGCTCAGAGTCCCCCTTTAGCATGCACGCCCTGGCCACACTGATCCGCCTTGCATGGAGAAAGTCTCCGCAACCCCTGTCTCTTATTCCCAGATAAGACCGGCTATTGTCCTGGAATTCCCGGTTCAGGACGACGACGCAGACCACGCACCTTTAGCCGCGGCTCCACACCCTTGTACGGAGTACTTGTACAAGCATTGAGGAAGGACACTGAGAGCATGACGGCAGTGGATCCGGCACTCACTGCAGCACAGCATGTCGATGTACGCAGTATTGTAGGTACCTAGTTATCGAAAGGACGAGTCCCCAGTCTCCGTGAACCCGACATCGATCCGGCACCTTCTAAAAAAGGCGATGTGACGCATTCTCGCTAGGTACCTTAGGTACCTACCTAGGTAGTAGTAAACGCCCTGCAGGGCATCTCCCGAGTGTACCGCTTTGCTCTATCAGCATCAAACCTTCAATCCCACACATTCTCTGCGTGAGATCTTTCGTCGGCTGCAAATGTTCCACTAATGGGGAGGAGAATGCTACACCGCACTGAACCAAGCACTTTTCGCGCTCAGAGTCTGTGGGCCGGGGAGATACGGGGATTTGGCCGAAGGTACCCAAGCCCGGCAGGGGCGTGGAAGAGTCCGAGGAATTGATAGGACCGAAACTGGGGGATGGGTGGCGACACAGGGGGGGACCCGACAAAAGTGTACCTTGCAGGAGCAGCTGCACGGCGGGCGGCGCACACACAACCCTGCATATCTGCGCACAACCTTTTCCTCTCGGGAGGGTCGTGGGCACCACGCAAGCTGTTCTTTGGTCGAGTGCTCGAGAGATAACTAGCTCCGGAACGATAGTTGGAGTGTCTGTCTGTCTCTCTCCTCCAGGATTCTGGAAGCGGAACCGAGAAGCACCGGAGAAATTACGGGCCAAAACACACTTGCTCTCTGACACGACCCTGAAAGCGGGGAGAGTTGAGCGCTTTTTCCCTCCTGGCTGCTGCTGGAATGCTTTGCTGACGGCCATGCTGTCGGCCACGCCCCGAAGCTGCTTCGTCGGACTGGGTTCCCGGGTTTCCCTTGGCGCTCCTTGCGCCTGAGCAGCAGTCGTAGGTATCCGAACCTGGACGACCCCTCTGGCCATGTGGTCTGACATCTGGTCATTTTGTCGGATGGGGATTGCCTCCGTGCAAGAAGGGCTTCTCTTCTGTCTACGTGGCCACTGCTCTGGTCTGGACCAATCTCCAGACTCTTTTCCCCGGATCAAACTAATCTTGTCCGGCAGCTTGTTTCCGCTTGCTAATCTCTGTGCCCCCCCCGGAACCCGCAACCCGAGATAGAGAAGGGTTATCCGCAACACACACACACACAGCCTTCGCATCGGAAACGAGCAGCCTCCGTGAATTGCGCATTCCTTATCTGAGGAGCTCTCTTTGGGGCGGAATTGTGGTGCTGATAGCCAGGCGAAATAGGTACTCCGTACATGTAGACCCCGTCAATCGAGTCCCCAAAAGGCTCCATACGAGGGATCTGCCCCATCGATAGTTCCTCTCAGGTCTTGTCCAGGGTCTACAGAGCCGCCTCGTCTCGTCTCTGCCCCTGTGTGGAGTTACCTACGGGGGGCCACGGGGGGGGCCTTTCTGCAAGTATCAGGAGAAGTCAATGCCTGCCTTGTCGCGACGCAAAGATGACAGAGAATTGGACCCCGTAACTGCCTTGGCCTGTTCCAACGCTGCATGTGACTAATGACCGCAAAGGAAATGAGACAGAAACTCAGTTACGAGTAGACTGCTTCTTCTTGTTGTTAGTGCGAGACTGCCATTAGAGCGCTTCTCGAGACCATTCTCGAGACGAGGCGTGGTCGTCGTCGTCGTCAGCAAGTCGCTTCGGGATTTGGGGTTAATCTTCCGCCGGCATTTCCACCCACCGAACTCTCCGGAACTACTGTACTTCATGTTGTACTTGGGTAGACCAGGGTGACAGAGCAACCTGCTTCCGTGAGATAAGCCAGAGGCTATGGGCCCTAATGCATCCAGACTGGCCGCTACTGTTCAGGTGTGTTGAGGGTTGCCAATTAGAGCCATGTACAAGTACGGAATAACACACTTGTTGAGAATCTGGGGGAAAGTGCGGGGTTAGATGGTGTTGAGTGTTATCTCGCATCTCTGTCCAGCTGTGATTCGCAAGAGCTGACAAGCTGTCAAAAGGACATATCCCTGCCGTCGGCTCGGCTAGGCCATCGACTAAAATTATCATGATCAGCGGGAGTACGAATGACAAACGGTATTGCCTCATTGTCGAGCTGGTTGATGCGCCGCTGTTGATAAGCACGATCATCAAGGATTGCTTGAGGCGGATCACGGCCCGGTGGCACAGCTTACAAGCGATGTCTGAGCCAATGCTCCCACAGTGTTGGCAGGCGGAAATCGCACCTGCCACGATGTGAGTGTAGAGAGTGTCAGAAGGCGAGATTTCAACTGCCATCCCCTTCATTTTGACTGTCAATATGAACAAATATCGGACACGGGGGAGACATTCGTCCATTTTGCGCTCGCGCTCAAACACTGAAACGCTCACAAGGACTTGCTGTGGTTAGAGCTGTCACGTGCTCACGTGCTGTGACCACACCAAACCAGCGTGATGGATGCTCTTTACGCGTTTTTCCAGTCCAATCTCGGTGCTTGCTATGGCTTCTCACGCACCAATGTGAGCAACAACCATGGACCTCTATCACTCAGTGCATGGCCACGATGTCTCGAGCTTTGATCTGCCATCAACCCGTATGCCGCCTCAAACCACACCGTGAAAGGCCATGCTGACTGATACACATATCTGCCAGATCGCTTGCCTACTGTGTCCGCTGCGCAAGCCATAGAGGAACTGGACGGGAACCCCTCAAGATACATTTCGACGGGGCTCGAAGCCCTTGACAATGTTCTCGCTAATCAGTCGCCTGGATTCGGGGCCCCGGACATGTGCCCTGGCGGCATCCAGAAGGGCCAAGTGACCGAGATTTGGGGACCCCCCGGCGCGGGCAAGAGCATCCTCGGGTGAGCAATTCTGGGCTCTGCTGTGGCAGCGGACCTCACTCACCTGGAGCGTTTAGTGTTCAGATCGCTGCCAACGCGTTGAGACGGGGCGAAGGCGTTATCTGGGTAGGTCTGTCAGAGCACGTCCAAACCGCAATATTGGCCACAGAGCCCTAATGAGCCTAGCAGATGCCTTCCATCCCATGTCTCATGGCCGTCTTTCGGCCCTGAGTCAAGGGTTACCTGGCGATGATGCCGAGCAGCAAACCATGCAGCAGACCTCCTTTGCCCATTTCACCTGTGCGACTCTGCATCACTTCATCGCTTTGCTCTGCCGACCAGCACCAGCATGCGTGCCGCCGGATACGACGTTGATTGTCATAGATAGCCTTTCGGCACTGATCAACCATGCGTTTCCGAGGTTACAGGAGGCGAAAGGTAGTTTCAAGGCGGGTAGTAAAGGTTTGTCCTCGCTGCATATTCCACTTATTGTCTCTTTACTGACCAAGACACAGCTCCCTCGCCAGCCGCTCGGAGACTGCAACTGCTACAATACATCATTGGAGCTCTGCAGAAGCTTTCGGCGGCTCGAAATATAGCAATAGTCATCCTGACCCAGTGCGCCACCAGGATGCAAGCAGAGAGTGGTGCGACATTGATCCCGGCGATTAACGCAGGAGTATGGGAACAAGGCGTGTCGACGCGACTGGTGCTCTTCAGAGACTGGACCCATGATCATGCCACAATTGCAGCTGTACATTGTGTCGGTGTACAGAAACTGGACGGAAAGGCAAACAATGGTGCAATAGGAGCGGTGGTCGCATTCGATATCACCCCAGTAGGTTTCCTCTCTCCATCGCACAGTTGACAGTTCGGCTTACAAGGGCAATCACTAGACCGGACTGAGCGTCAAGCGATACGACGGTAACGAGCAACCTCTGAGGCTAGGTTCGGCTTCAACTTATAAGCGCAAGCTCGGAGACACATCGTTCGAGGTCCCGGATAGTGATGATGAAGACTACGGGTGGCAGCTCGAAGACGATAATTCGATGCCGAGGATGCCACCCCAGTGGCAGGGTAGTGAGGATATCCTGCTTGGCGAACAACCGAGTGACAGCAACGCCTCTGAGCTGAGTGGCGACGATGGTGAGGTGGACGATGCCGCCAATTCTGAGAACCGGTGAAGCACTATATACGACACGACCAAATGTCGCCGCATGGAATTTATTAGTGCCTGCACCTACAGACGGACTGTGACGGCTTAACGCGAGTAGCCCCGTTCATCCTGGCAGTGCTCAGTCACAGAAATCCATGGATTAAGAGACTACGCATCTGCGAGTCGTGGGCCCACTGTTTGGCATCCGGACCTTTTCAGAGGTGTCGGCCAAATGTCGGTTGGAGCTGGTGGCAGAGTCTCCACACCCGTCTTCGGCCAAATCCGGCGCCAGAAACACGCTCACCGAAAGAATCCGGGAAAGACTCGGGAAGCTCACCACGATTAAGATTTTTTCACGGTGAGGCTCTGCTTCCCAGTGGCCAGCCACCTACCCACCCACACGCCTGGGAGGCGGCATAATACCACGGCATTATAACATCGTCTGCCTTCACAAGATGATGTTATGGAGCATCATAGGCGGCCCCAGAGAGGATCTCCGGACGGCATTATTACCCCATAGGTTTTGATCCAATTGACCTAGCCTGCCACCCTCTACGCCCACGCCCTCCTCCAACCTCGGTGGGAACATGTACCTTCTTTGCATGATTGTAGTTCTCAAGCTGATGAAGTAAGCATTCTTCCAGCCCAAGCATGTGAAGCACGCCCCTTTGGCGCTGCCTAGCAAGCTCGACAGTGTCTAGACCTCGCCGTGAATATTGCGTATTGGGCCGAGCCTCGTCCATGGCTAGATGCATCGACCGCAAGTGAAGCCAGAGCAGCAGGCTATCCGGAACACTTTTGAGCTCATTCATTATGCGCGCGAGACATTGACGACTGAACTCTACACACAAGCCTCGGTATCTGTAACCATATCCGTGTTTAAACCATGCCGCGAAGCTCCGGGGCTCATACGGATTACTTGATTACAGCATCACCCTGGTACTTGGTCTAGGTCACACTTCGGTTCTATCTCTTGCTCCACGCTGCACGAAATTGCAGTCGCTTAACGTCCTGGAAAGGTCCACGGGGCTTGTCTGGCCGCACAGCTTAGCGATCAGTACGAGACCCAAGAACCTTGCCCGAAAATGCTTTGCTACCTAACTACATTGCACATGCGATAATTTGGTGTTTCCTGGCCATCTCGTCGTGCAGGTTGCACGGTACCAGTTCAGTCGCAGATGTCCTTCCGTTCGTGCATTGACGACGTCGCAGCCAGACCCTTCGCGACCGGGCGTCGTCATTCTTGACTTTGCCAGCGCACTCGGCTCCGCCCAAGTCGCTTTATCTCAAACACGGCGGGCAGATGAGATGATCTGATATGTGCTGGGGCTCTTTCTACTTAGCAGATGCTGCTGCTCCACGTTCTACCCAAGTAACTGAAGGGTCAGAGGTCAAAAGTACCAAACCAGGTTATCGCTAGCCAGCGAACGTGCTTGGGCGATGACGACACGAGGAAAGAAAAAAGTATGTGTGTTTGTAAGATAAGCCTGTCAGCCACCTTCACCCTTCATCCTTCACCCTTCATGTCTAATTAGTCTCCCATCATTTTCACATGCAGGGCTTTTATGCCATCCATCAAACCGATATCCCCCTGCGCTTGGCGGGTGATCTGTCAAGATAACAACAGCCTTGCCGCTCCAATGAAGTATCGCCGGTCATCTGCCCGCCCCCTACGAAGTGCTGACAAGTCAAACCTAATCAAGTGTCCTGGCAACCATCACGCCCGTGGGTACTGGGAATGAACTGATATGGCTCGGGCGAGTCCCGCACCAAGGTTGCGTTGTACGGCAATTGTTCGCCTGCATATGCAAGCTTCCGCTTCCCCGACCCCCAGACCGGATGCCCAATGCGACCAAAAGGATGGCCATCTCCACATTCGCAAGCCAGAACCTTTTTGGAGTCACCTTTCCGTGGCCGGGGGTGTATATCTAGAGAGGCAGGACAAGCTCCAGCTTTTCCAAGCTTTCGGCCAATTCAGCTCTCAACTTCGACATGTTCTATCTACTCCGTACGGTATCAGCCACCTGGCACGGAAGGAAGCGTAAGACGGTTGAGACGCGGTTTGAGACGGGCCAGCAAGGTGTCATCCCCGTGTCGGTGGCTTTTGCAATTTCAAGGTTGTTAGCCGTGCGCTGGCCCCGCGGCTCTATCGCTCTCTCTCTAGTTATCTGTCGCGCCTGTTTTCCATCTGCCCGCGATCTACGTCGGCTTGGAACGGGGACAAGTGCTCCCCAAGCTCTCCAGAGCTCTGTGAGGCTTCCGCGCGCGCACGTGTGGGGGCCCGCGTTATCTCAACGTCAAGCAGTGTCGCTATGACAAGGAAGGTTACATCATACGTTCTCGAACGCAGATCCTCGGCCTGCAGCCCATCGAACAACGGTCCCAACCCCGAGGTCCGGGCGTCTCCGTGCGGAGGTCCCTTGCATGGCCGATCTTACAACATCGCCTCGGTATCACTGCCGACTCGGCTGTTGTTCCTGAAACCGCTCTCGTCCAGCCTTGTGTTGTTCGGTTGAGACATCCGAGACTTTTGTTATGCGTTCCTTTTTTTTCTAGGGTTGAGATCGTGCATCTTGTTTGATTGTCATTGCATGGAGGATCATTGCGATGAACTTGACATGGTGAACAGTTCGCAGATCCTGGGGTGGTTTCAACCTGTCTGGTCTGAGACACAGGCGAGTGCTCTCTACCAGTCGTTGGAGCACCACCGTCGATAGATCTCCATCTGTTGCGTCAGCCAGGGTCGCAAAGGAGACTGGCACTGCTCTCCCTGAGGGTATCATCTCAATCACATTTGGTTTCAAAGGACACTGGCTCATTCAGGCCTTCCCGCCAATCGAGCATGGAGCACCTAGCTCTTTGCCGACCTCGATCAATGTCGATTGTCCCTAGAACTCTATCAACGACAACATGTTCCACTCAGGCTCAGCCTCAGAGCATGATATGCTGTCTTCAGATGATTCCTGTGAGGGATGGTGTCTGATCAAAGCCACTGCTTCGTGCATTGAGGTCAGTCGGCGCAAAGACGGATTACTTGCTGCGGAACGGAGTGTCAGCAGGTGTTGTAGGTATCCGGCATGTCTTCTTTCTCCCTTTCGTCAGTCAGGGCAGGCTGCAATTGAATCTGAGCGTTGGAGGCGAGTGTACCGACTACTCCTAAATGCCCTCGGTTCATATCGTCGTTCATTACGAAGCAGTGTCCTTGTTGAGTCTCTGTTAACACCGGTGAAGCCACTGATGAGAGCTTGGTTTATGCTATTGGAGGAAGTTTTCCTGACCAACTGGTCTGTCAGTCCTAGACGACGTTCCAAAGCGACAGAGACCTATATCCAGGCTCAAGTCAATATCATCCATTGACGCTGATCCAGTGCACTACGTATTCCTTCCTGGGAAAAGCCAGACTCATTGGCAAATATTTGCTTGCAATGCAGATTTGGGGCCATATTGTGTTCGATGGAAGCGCCGTCGATACGATGTCTCTCATGCCAAAACCAAGGATTCGCACAAGCTATCCTCAGCGAACTCCTGTCTTCTGTCTGATGCTTTCTGCGGAACTAAGACGAGTGACGACACAGAACCAAAGGACCCTGATACTTGCACAGAGACCCCAAACATTCAATGCTTCTGCAAGGGGTTCGAAGCAAACTCGATCAAAGTAGCGAGGCAAAGTGGGCTACTTTGAAGTGCTTGCTGCAGGCCCTTCATCACGATTTGCACAGCGTTTTCGATGTTGCCAACGCTGTCCAGAGTACGAAGCTGCAACTCCTTGACACAGGTTAGGTCAATACAACCGACATACGATCAAGCGAGTAGAAGACAGTAACACTCGTCTGCCAGCTGGGACTAGAACCCGCTCCCATCAGAAGGACTGCCACTGAGGAGTTGAACACATTTCTGACATGGTTTTCCATTGAGTAGCCGGAGCTTCTTCGCACCCCTCTAGGAGCCGTTATCATTGACATTTGCCATTACAAGATGATAACACAGTCGAATGAATAAAGCATAGGTCAATGCTCGCACTGAGCAAGACATAGACGAGCTGTCGTCCATTCTCCCCCACGCGAAGATAAGAGTTCAAAGCTATCAATTTTGCCACCTTTCAAAGCTGCTCGGAGACTCCGTCGTGCAAATTGAGGTTTAAGAGCTAGGGAGGTCCGCACAAGGTGATTGGTGCAGCCAAGGTCAGGCGCACGGCGCACACCGCGCGAGCGGACTCTCCGCACCAACAGACTATCATGCACACTACCTTAGGTGGTGGCACACCAAAGGCCTGTTGGAAGGGAGGTTCATACGCAGATTGTCCCACTACCTCAGATCGATGGACTCGATGGATGGGGGGCGTACTTCTGTGACCAGCGCGTCGACTAATGCGACCATCGTTTGGCGGGGTTGTCACAGGAGCTCGACAGGCAAGCTCAAGATCGATGACACCCACTGGCAGCGCTGGCTTCGATTACCGTTTCTGGGGTGCGCTGCAGCTACTGTGAAGGCAGAACAAACAAGCCTAAGGGCAAAGCGAACAACACTTGAGGTTGGGGTCATTCACTTGGCTTGGTATGAATCGGGCAGCTCCTTCAAGTCTGGCCATCTGAGCAGTCCAAGGCAGCAATAACGAGATCAACAAGGCATCTCATTCTTGTAAGATTGCTACTCTCTGGCTAAACAGCCTGCATTCATCGAATTCCACTCCATGCATCTAGAAGCCGCTACAGCCAATGGCCGGTGATATCACCGCTCAATTTGCCGGCGCTACGGTGCTTCTCCGGGATGGCCGCCAGATCTAAGAGCTGCATCTCGCCCCATTCCGAGCCAAAGATGTATGCACGCCACGAAGCTTCGATAGATGGAGAGCACCATCCCATCCCAAGTGCCGGGCAAGGCGAGAAGCTTAACGCAGCTGTGCGGCAGGCTAAGGCTAAGGCAGCTGAGGCTGCAACCCCAATCCACCGCCTCCTCCCTCCTCTACCCATTCGAGAAGCAAAATTCATGGTGCTTTTGCTCCGGCGTGCGCGCCTCAAGGGCTGCTGCGAGCGCCCACGAGACGCGAGCAAGCGTTGGAGTTCTGGACATCCCGCGTCCTTTGCCCCATCTCCGCACTACCCCAGGCGGGCCAGCCCTTCTTAGTCTGGCTGCTGGCTGACTGGCTGCACTAGGCATGGCATCTATGAAGGAGTACCGTAGTGCGTGATGAAGTCGATGCAGGCACGTTTGATGTCGGAGTTGAGTCTCTCAACGCGGGACTCTTGAATCGGCGCTACCAACACGGTTTGTGCTAATCCTTCGCAAGATGGCATACTCGGAGGAGAGGGGTGTGAAGCATCACCTGGATGTCGTATATAAGGAAGATGCCTCTCTCTTTCCTTGGTGGCTTGGGAGTCTGCATCCATTGGCAACGACCAGAAAGCCTCAACATTATTATCCATCTCTCTATCCAGTCTTGACATAGACTTGGATTAAATTGCCTCCTCTCTTTCCTCGAGCTGCTTCTTCGCTGCCCTCCAGGACATCACCCAATATGTTTGGCAGAGACGAGGAGCCGCTCCCGTCGGAGGTCGCCCGCCAAAGACGGCCTTCCAATACGGAGGCGATGCAGAACGTCCACCGGCAGTCGGTCTCTAACAAGGGTCTCACTGGGGCCTCCGCCCTGACGGTGAGGCAGAGTATTCTGCCCATCACCCTGGTCACCGTCTTGTTCTTCCTCTGGGGTTTCGCTGTAAGTAATCCGAGAGTGTTGGGCCTATGACGGGTCTGCACAGATAGACAAAGGCTAACAATCACTTCCGCTGTCCAGTATGGCCTCCTCGACGTACTGAACGCCAAGTTCCAAACGGCCCTGAACATCACCGCCGCCAAGGCTGGTGGCCTTCAAGGAGCTTACTTCGGCGCCTACTTCATCGGTCCTCTGACATACTCTGGCTGGATCGTGCGCAGGTTTGGATATCGCTGGACATTCATCACTGGCCTTTGCGTATGTCGTCTTGTTTCCCCTGAATACGGGTATGTTGAGGTAAAGCTGACGATCTTGGAACAGATCTATGGCGTGGGTGCCCTCATGTTCTGGCCCAGTGCGGTTTACCGAAGCTTCCCTGGATTCTGCTGCAGTCTGTTCATCGTGGGCTCCGGGCTGTCGACGCTCGAGACGAGTGCGAACCCGTTCATCGCGACCTGCGGTCCTCCGCGCCTGTCCGAGTTCCGTCTCGAGCTGTCTCAGAGCTTCCAGGCTATCGGCTCCGTCATGGCGCCCCTCCTGGCCAGCCGCGTGTTCTTCTCGGAGACGACGCCCAACGACCTCTCCAAGGTGCAGTGGACGTACCTGGGCATCGCCGCCTTCGTCTTCCTCCTCGCGGTCGTCTTCTACTTCTCGCCGATCCCCGAGGTCACCGACGCCGACATGGAGCTGCAGGCGGAGCAGAGCGCGGGGCTGACGGGCTACCAGGACCGGCCCATGCGCAAGCAGTACAAGCTGTTCTTTGGCGTCGCCGCGCAGTTCTGCTACGTCGGCGCCCAGGTCGGCGTCGCGGCCAACTTTATCAACTACGCCATCGAGTCCGCCGGGATCAGCGCGGCCGCGGCCAGCGATCGCTACGCTATCGGGTATGTTTTCCAAAAAGAAAAAAAATCATCAGTGTCACTCGTTGTGTGTGTCGTGTGAATACCCGAAAGCTAACATGCAACTTAATATAGACAAGGGCTGTTCGCGATCGGCCGTTTCGCGGCGGCGGGCCTGATGATGTACGTCAAGCCGCGGCTGATCCTCATGGCCTTCATGACGGCCATCATGGTCTTCATCGCGCTGGCGATCGCGATCCACGGGGAGGCGGGCGTGGCGATGCTGAGCCTGGTGCTCTTCTTCGAGTCGTGCATCTTCCCGACCATCTTCACGCTGTCGATCCGCGGGCTCGGGCGGCACACGAAGCGCGGCAGCTCGTGGATCGTGGCGGCCGTCAGCGGCGGCGCGCTGTTCCCGAGCCTGACGGGCCTGCTGGCCGACAGCAGGGGGTACCACGTCGGCATGGCGGTGCCGCTGTGCGGCTTCTTCGTCGCGTTCGCGTACCCGGTCTTCCTCAACACGTACTACCGCCGCGAGCTCGACGGGTTCCGCGAGACCAAGATCGGGTACCACGACGAGCACGGCGTCGTGGGCGACCCGGAGAGGGACGTCCGGCGGTCCAGCCTGGGGGTCAAGGGGGAGGCCGGGGGTCCTGTCAAGTTCAACACGGAGCATTTGGAGGTGTAAGTCATGTCAGTGGGGGAGGTGAGGTTGACGAGCGGGAGTTACTACCCGGGAGCGAGCTCTGGAGTTCTCTTAGGTATGTGCATTATATCATTGTATAGACTTCTGATAGATATTTATTCATAACGTATATGAAATCATATTGATCACTTCAGTTACATACACAATGAGATAAACAAGAGTTGTTTGATGATGTTGATGTTGATGATAGTAGGAAACCAACTTGCGGGGTGACAAGTGAAATTAACATTTGGATTGCTCAACTAGCGATAGAGCACGAGTCGAGGGCAGAACTGCATAATCTTGAAAGGACAAAACATGGATAGATTGTCCGTAAGTTAGCTTGAAGGGCCAATCTGTCTGAAACGACGAGACCACCCAGCATAATGAACTATTTAACTTTATCGTCCTCATCTCCCCTTCGCAAAGACCGGTGTAAGCTGACAAAGAGCCTCTCTGACATAAGGCTCTCCACACCCTTCCCGCTGGCTTTGACAGGCGGCCAAGCGTGGGTTTTGTCTCTGGTGGTGAGACAGACTCCGAGGCAAGATGGCATGGATGATCTCTGCCACGATTCGGGAGTGTGGCTCCCAAACTTGGGGCAGCCTCCACTGTACTGCTCATCCTAACCAGACTTGGCGCCGTGAACGAATCCTTTTGCAGCAAAGTGTATCCTTCTGATGGGGGTCGGACAGGCGATATCACTGGTCCGCAGGCAGTGGCGGCCCATAGTTTGGATGCAGGAACAGATTTCTCGACAAGGGTCCCATTCGACTAGGATCGCTGGCTTTCCTTCTTCGCTCAATCTCTTTTTCTTCAACTCTCCAGTCGAGCCAGTGCCTCCTCTCCTTTTCCCACACTCTCTCGATCCCTGTCTAGTCTGGCCCATGCCAGTCCAGTCTTGTTGCCAAGATGTTGCCAAGATGTGGAAATCGATCCTAGTCCGGAGGCGAGATCCCACGCATCGTGTGCCACTCGAGGCCGCCGCTTGGATTGCCGGCAACCAACACAGCAACACCACGACCTTCAAGCCTCCCAATCATCATCGCCCACGAGGCGGCACAGGTCAAGTTTGGATGCGGCGGTGATGCCTGAAAAAAGAACCAGCCTCAGTCAGATGGCCCAAGATGGGATATGAGTAAACACCTGCCAAGGACAAAGTGTGTCTGGTCGGGTGTGCTGTGCCCTTCACCCACCCCAATCTATATCCATCGATGGCTGGTCATCTGCCGTCTAGCCGCCATTCTGCCCCGTTTGGCCTGCCAATTTGCCTCATTTCGCTTTCCCAAATTGATTTCTTGTCGCTCTGCTGTGCCTGTTTCCCCTTATCTGACCTCCTCGGTGTCATGCTGCTGCCCTCTGTTTGCCTTGCACGGACGGACGGCTTGCTGCGCGTTGTTTTGGAGGATGCTAGATATTTCTGCGAGACACCTGGAAAAGAAGTGCGCAGCGGATATGTGCGTCATTCTCCATCCAACCACTTGCCGTTTCCGATCGATCGTCCTCAGCATCACGGCATGCCCCTGATGTTGCGTGCCGTCCTCGTGTACGCCGCGCGGGACGGGCAGCCACCTTGATTGCCTGTCGTCCACCACCAAGACTCAAGTGGTAGCACGGCTGGATGCCGATACGAAAGCAGCGATCTGATCCTCACGGACGTTGGACAGCTGGGTGCTCACTACGGAGTAGGTACTACTCGGTACGGCGTTGCTGGCACCGGATGGAGACACTGCTGCGACCAAGCAATCACAAATTTCACCTTGGACCGGGGACCCGGCCATGGCGATCAGCATTTGACTGGCTCGACTGGCTCGAGTGGCCACGGGGCATGGGAGCCCAGACCCTTTGGTGTTTGGCTGTTCTCTGTTCTCTGGTTTTCCCTGGCCCGTTGCTGGTGCAGAACCGGCCGGGGGTGGCTGTCCAACGGGCCCCAAAAGGCGCTCTTTTTTTGAGTGCTTGCGTTGCGCCGGCCCTGGTCGACCTCGCCGGGGACCCCTGTCGCCTTGTCACTCTCCCATGCGGTGGCAGCCCGGAGGTACTTGTACTTGTACTTGCAGGGGTCTTGGTAAATTCGCACTTGTTGGTGAAATTAAGGAGAGGTCGAGAGACGAAAAGGCCGTGGCACTGACCCTGTGCGGCGTACCTTGGCTGCCACTTGACTAGTCGAGGTACTTGGCGCTGCTCCTCCATCTCCCAACTCACTCCACTCCCGCTCCACCCTCTCTCTCTTCTGCCCTCCTCCTCCTCGTCCTGCGCTCTCTGCCGCCTCGCCATATTTATCTTGCAAAGCGCCCGCAGTGACTGCGAAGCAGCACCTCCGCCTGCGAATTCCCTCTCCTGCCACTCTTTCCCCGTCGCCGTGCAAATTCAATCGTTTGTTTTGTTTCGACGACATCACGCTCCTTAACCCAAGAGTCCCCAACACTCGATCACGTTCGTTTCGACAACTGTTTTCGCGATTTAGTCCTTTTACGCACCACAACAACACAACCCAACAACCCGACCCGCCTGACCGCTCGCGCTCTGTGACCGCCGCTCGTCCTTTCAGATCACCCTCAGATTTCGACCTGCGATACACAGACCCATCCAGCATCGACAAGATGATGTTCAAGTCCGTCGCCGCCGTGGCCTTCCTGGCCGTCGCCTCCCATGCGCTCGCCGACGAGGCCGCCACCTTCAAGATGTCGGCTCGCGAGCTGTTCGGCATGGGTCGTCGCCAGACCGACACTGGCTACACCCCGACCGACACCTTCTGCGGCATGGGCGCCACTTGCGCCGAGGCCTGCGGTGCCGGTTTCGAGATGTGCGCGTCCAACGACAACTCGATCCACTGCTTCAACGCCCAGGCGAAGCAGATTTGCTGCCCTGATGGCAGTGGCAGTGAGTTTTCCTCTTAGACCCTGATGGTCCTGTTCTTCCTCGCTGACGCTTCTGACCTTGCAAAGACTCGTGCGATGCCGGCTACTTCTGCGCCGGTACTGTCGCCAACGGCGCCACCATCTGCTGTCTCAATGGCCAGTCGCTGGATGAGTGTGCCAAGTCTCACAACGTCACCGGCGCCCTGACCTCCCAGGTCCCCAAGCCTACCACTACCACCACCATCTCGTCCAGCTCGTCGACTTCCTCGTCGAGCATCCTTTCCAACACCACCACGTCGTACAGCGTCGCCCACAACTCGACGTCTGCCTACTCCACCGGTGCCTACACCACCTGCACCTCGACCCTGGAGCCCGTCCAGACCTACCCTGCCGCCAACACCACCACCAAGGTTGCGCCGACCAGCACCCCGACCCCGACCGTGGTCCCCGTCAGCGCCGGTGCCCTGGCCGGCCCTGCCGGTGCTCTGGTTGCTTTCGCAGCTGTCGCCTTCGCAGCCCTGTTGTAAACCTCATAACGCACTTGAGGTGTTGGACGAGGAACATGCTCCTCGAACCAGCCAGCACCGCTTCCTGCAATGAGTTACGATCTACGAACGGCGATTCAATTTCATTCTGCGAAAATGCATTGCGCGACTACCCCTCCACCCACCCTCACCTCCTCTTTTTTTTTTGTGCTTTGTCGGATGTTATTACGGCTCATCATGTTTTCAGTGGAACTACCATGCAGCGCGCAGCATTTACGGACCTTGATGGCAAGGAGTTTGGTGGATTTTACGACTTTTGGCGTGTGTGTTTGGTACGGAAGGCTTTCATATCACAGGCTTTGCGTCGTTGATCGCGACGAGTTGAGCATTCTACCCCCCCTTTTTACTTTCTAATTCTTCTACAAAATTACCGGCGAGGCATGCCTCCAACCGGCTTTCTAGTTGCTAATCTTCGCCCTGGACAAATAATAACATCAAACATTGCACACCCTTGACCTGGCTCCTTTTGAAGATCCTGTCGTGCTGGACCCGTTCTCGAACGTTCGATATGGCTAGTCTTCGGAGATGAGATCGCCATGGACGAACAAAAGCTGTCCTGCTTGCTTGTTTGTGTGTGTGGGCTGGTGCTCCGGTTTTTTCATTGCTTAAACTGCGGTGCTTCCTGCAGGTACCCGAGTCGTTTCTCTGTCAGTTGGGGACCAAACTGTTCCCGCTCATTGGGCAGCGCCGGGCCGATCATCTACAAGGAGGTACCAATGACGCCGAAAATGGGACAGAGGGCGCTAGACGGCGGTTGTCTCGAAAGCTTCACCACATGGCGGACGGCGCGCGGCGCGGCGCCGGCTTAGCGTCCCCTTTTCCAGAGTTGGTCTCCGGCCCGGACATTCCAGACTATTTGTTCGCTTCCCAGGCGAGGAATGAACTCGGCGCGGTTTTTTTTTTTTTTTTTTTTTTTTTTTGGTGTCTTTTAATCACCGACTTTTGCTTCCTGTAGCGGTGATAGACGCCGGCTGCAGGTACTTGTATTGACATGCCCGGAATACGGTCTGGGTCTGGCAGATATATCATAGTGTGTGGTCCTGGTCTCACGGACAACAGGAAATTGTTTTTGTTAGGAACATGGCCTTCATCGAAGGAGTCCTCTTCTCCTTTTCGCTCTCTCTCGGTGTACCTAAGTGTGCTCCCCCTCCATGTCCATGCAAGGGGGATTTCCCGAGAGCATGCCCTCACCGCCGCCACCTTGAGGAATGTGCAGGCGAGTCGTCCAGAATGCCGTCAAAGTTCACCTCCCCACGTCGTTGCCTGGGCGGGAGATCTGCCCAGCCAGCGATCTCCCGCAGACTCCAAACGCCCAACGCTAATCGGGTCGGGTGATCCGTCGCGTGCGCGCACCGCAGACAGCTCGAAAAAATGAGCATGTGGTCTGTCTGATTGATGCCAGGGAGAACGGGGCGTGCGAGAGGGCTTTGTGAGTTTTTGGTGTCTGGAACACCGCGTTCTCTCGTTGTGCGCGTGTTGATCTGGGTTGCTTTCCTCCCCCTTGCTTCGCAAATCGAGTTTTCTCCGGGAGAGAGTTCTGTCTGGAATGGCGGGAATGCCCAATCCTCACAGCTACGAGCAAGGAAGCAGATGCTGCCTTTCCCTTGGAAGGCGGGTTATAGCCTGGCTCCAGGGACCCTGCCTACGTACCTAGCTAGGTAGCTGACGGTAATTTTGGGTTCTTGGAATCAATCGATAGGGTGAGGTGACCTGAGGTAGGGGCAATCTTTGTTTCGAGCTCTTCGTTCCGCGAGGCTGCCGAAGTTTCGGGATGTCGATCATCAACGACATGCGCTCACCACCGGAGACACCACCATGCACATCCGGGCAGTGAAAGCCAGATCGCCAGCAAATAGATTTTATTAAGCAGGAAATCCCGCCGTCATTCTTTCTCGAGGCATCTTTCTATCATTTGCGATGGATCGCAGCCTCTCACGCACCTTTACAATCAACAATGACGCTCACGGATGACCCATTATCACCATGCCTAACTTTTGGACTTTTTGGCTGTTTACATCATGTCCGCCTCTGATGATCCTCCTGGCCATCTACGCCGTAGTCCATCTGACCGGCACGGGCACGCCGGCTCCCTTATCATCAGTGGCGGCACCTTACCTGCAATCCGGAGCGAGAGCATCTGAGGGAGAGTTGGAAAGCCAGGGGAAGGCTGGGTCCTTCAGGGATGACTGTATGACCAATCCTTGTTGAGAAGGGACAAAATAGATCAGATATGCTGAGAAGATTTGACTTCAGTCACAGCCGCGATACAAGGCACGCATCCCGCGTGGGAGATCCGCCCCTCGGCCGGGAAGGGGCTGGGCGTCTTCGCCACGACGTTCATCCGCAAGGGGTCGCGCGTACTGGAAGAAGAGCCGCTGTTCAGCATCACCCCGCCAGACAGCAGCAGCAGGAGCAACAACAGCTCCTCCCTCTTCCGGGACGACCCGCAGCTCGTCTTCGAGGAGATGGTCCGGCTCGCGGACGCCGCGGTGGGGCGCCTGGCCGACGGGCAGCGGCGCGACTTCCACGCCTGCCACGAGCACCGGTTCCCCGGGGAGCCGGCCCGGGGCCGCAACCTGTACATCCTGCGCAGCAACGCGTACACGGTCCGCGGCGCGGACTGGGGCATGTTCCCCCGGATGGCGCGCATCAACCACTCGTGCCGGCCCAACGCCGTCAGCGTCTGGACGGTGACGACTACTGCCCCGGAGCGCGATGGCGGCGGCGGCGGCGGCGGCGGCGGGAGGGACGGGGACGGGGACGGAGATACGGGTAGGCAGAGGCGGAGGGGGAGGGGGAGGAACGTCGTGTGGGCGGCGCGGGACATCGAGGAGGGGGAGGAGGTGCTGGTGAGCTACGTGCCGCTCCTCCAGGGCAGGGCGGCGCGGCGGCGGCGGCTGGAGCAGTACGGGTTCCGCTGCGGCTGCGGGGCGTGCCGGGAGGAGGGCGATGCGGCGGACTACCGGCGGGAGCGGATGGGCCGGCTACTAGGCGATTTAGAAAGGGCAGCAAAGGAGGAGGGCGGAACCCTGGATCCGAGCACGCCAAGAGACAAGGCCGAGGGTTTGTTGGATGACGCTATGGAGCTGATACAGTTGCTGGAGGAGGCAGACATGGTGGGTTACTTTGCGCGGGCGTATAGCCTTGCCGCCCGGTTTGCGCTGAGGTTAGGGCAGACGGAGCGGGCACGGGAGTGGGCGATGAAAGAGCTTGCGATCCATCAGTGTGCGGACAGAGAGTCGGACAAGTCTATCTCAACGCAGCGGTTTTTGAAAGGCTTGGACGATCGGTATGCTTCGCCCGGCTTGGAGAGCGTGTAAGGAAGAAGAATTCAAGAAGAAAAGGGGTCTGTCGAGGCAGGGTGTATCTGAAGCACCGTATTGGATACAGTGATTGAATTCTCTTGCCCTACTACAAGCAGATACTTGAACGATTCCTCGGCTCAATCTTTTATGAATGCACCGACAGGCTTCTCGCTGCCCACACTTACAAGAACCTCTGGTCGATGAATGCAGATCGACGAGCGAGCTGAGCGGGGTTCAGCAAACTCTATGGATGCATACAGAAGGCACTAATGTACGTCACAGTGCCGGCCTGAGTCACCCGGCGGAAGCTGTAACTCTGTGCCGAGGATTTGCGTACAACACATAGGCAGTCAATTGGATTGGGACCCATGCAACCATCAATCACTTGCTGGAGCTGGACTGTCTGTTTCAACGGTGGCGAGAATCGAACTACGCGTTGCTCGTTGTCGTGGCAGAGATTTTGACTCCTTTAAGATGAGCTCTATGGCCTCGGTTGAGAGGCTGTCATACGCACGATATTCTCGTCACAAAGAAGCAGACTCTTGATTGCCCCGGCCCCGGTTCGGTGACAGAAGTCAAGCGCCCATCCTACTTGTACCTACATTCTATTCCCCGACTGGTGATGGCCGCCGACTCGGCAGCTACCATTGTGGTCTCCTGCAAACAAACGCGATTTCACATCGCCAATGCAGATGAGAGAGAAGTAATGCGGTGGTGCGTCTCCGGCGATTGCTTCACCTGTACTAATAAACAACCTTGCCTTAGCTGAACATCGATGGTCTCAACATCACCGTCGTTTCAGGTGATCAGCAGCAGGGGACAACTGCGAAGCCCAAAGGGAAGGCCAAGTCCAAGGCCAAGGCTGATGGCAACGAGATTCTTGTCGATGCAAATCTCCGACTCAAGGCAGGCCAGAGATATGCACTGGTTGGCAGGAATGGCACTGGGAAGTCGAGTAAGGAGCCGAATCCGGGCAATCCTGTTCGCTGAATACCATACTGATCATGTCTTTCCTTTGACGCAGCTCTCCTCAGGGCAATATCAGATAAGCTGATACCGGGCATACCCGAGGAAACACGCATTTCTATTCTCCAGCAAACGAGCACCGAAGACGTCACCGATGAAGTGGGCGCTTCAGAGATTGCTCAAGACTCTACCCAGGGGGTCACCGTCCTGGAGCAAGTTATCGGAAAAGCTACAGCCAAAGACGAACTCCAACGGGAAATAGACAGTATGTTTCTGGTTGTTGTAAAGCCAGGACCACGAGACTGACATTACGCTACGCAGTCCTTGCAAAGGGAATCGGCAACACCGCAGACTCCTTGGGAGCCCTGCGAGCATTGCGCCAAGTCCAGCATGACAGACTGGAAAAGCAGCACTTCATTCTCGACAAGAACTATCGCCTACGAAGCGGCGACAGGGGGCTGCAGGCTAAGAAAGCCCTGACAGCGTTTGAAAAGACGCTGGCTGTAGAGAACAATCGGTAAGTTTCTGGCTCCGTCGAGCATTGGGCCCTTAAACCCGCGTTATGGCGCTGACCACCCGTGCCAGTTTTGCTGAGAAGGATGAGGACATTTCTGCCGAGACTCTCGAGAAGGAGACCCAGGAGGCAGTGGACATGCTCGCAGAACTCCAGCTCCAGGTTGAGCCATCGCGCCTGGCCGAGACAGAGTCGCGAGCCAAGAAGATTCTCGCAGGTCTCGGTTTCAGCGAAGCCTACATGAACAAGACCGTCTCTAGTCTCTCGGGTGGCTGGCAGATGCGCACATCTCTGGCCACCGTCCTCCTCTCTGAGACTGACATCCTCATCCTGGACGAGCCTACCAATTTCCTAGACCTCATGGGCATCATATGGCTGGAGCGTTACCTCCGGTCTCTCGAAGACCTGCCTGATGCGCCTACGCTCATCCTCGTCTCCCACGACCGCGACTTCATCTCTCTGTGCACCGACCTGCTCATTCTCAAGGAGAAGTCCCTGACCTACTACCACGGCGACCTTCCATCCTACGAGGCCGCCGCGGCAGAGAAGAAGCAGCACCTGACCAAGGTCAAGGAGGCGCAGGACAAGCAGCGCGCCCACATCCAGGAGACAATCTCGCGCAACATGCGCGAGGGCAAGAAGAACAACGACGAGAACCGCATCCGGCAGGCCAAGTCGCGCCAGAAGAAGCTCGACGACCGCTGGGGCCTGCAGACCAACGAAAAGGGCCACCGCTTCAAGCTCAACCGCGACCTGGCGGGCTTCCACCTGACGGCGCGCGCCGAGCTCGAGGTCCCGCCCGAGGAGCGCGCCGTCGCCATCGCCCTGCCCGACCCGCCCGACCTGCGCTTCCCGGGCGCCCTCATCAGCGTCGAGGGCGCCGTCTTCCGCTACCCGCGCACGCAGGTCGACGTGCTGCGCGGTGTCGACCTGTCCGTCGCCATGGGCGACCGCGTCGGCATCCTCGGCCTCAACGGCGCCGGCAAGTCGACCCTCGTGCGCCTGCTCGTCGGCGAGACGCAGCCCACGCGCGGCCCCGGGGGCGGAGGGGCGGTGCAGCACCACCCGCGCCTGCGCCTGGGCTACTACTCGCAGCACGCCGTGCCGGCGCTGCTGGCCACGGGCCGGGCGGACCCGGGCCTCACGGCGCTGTCGCTGCTGATGCGCGAGGTCGACGCCGAGCTGCTCGGCGAGGGCGACGTGCGGGCGCTGCTGGCGTCGCTGGGCCTCGCGGGCCGGACCGCGTCGGACGTGCCGCTCGCGAGGCTGTCGGGCGGGCAGCTGGCGCGCTGCGAGCTGGCGCGCATCCTGTGGCGGCGGCCGCAGTGCCTCGTGCTCGACGAGGTCACGACGCATCTCGACTACGAGACCGTCGGCGCGCTGAGGTCGGCGCTCGCGAGCTGGGACGGCGCGGTCGTGCTGGTCAGCCACGACAGGTGGTTCGTCCGGGGGGTCGTCGAGGGCATCGTGGACGACGAGAATGTCCTCGAGGACGACGAGGACGCCGACGAGGACGATGCCGGCGCGGGCGGAGCTGGCGTCTCGAGGAGGAGGACGGTGTATAGCCTCAGGAACGGTAAACTGCATCTGCTCGGGGGCGGCGTGCAGGACTTTGAGACGTCGATGGAGAAGAAGGTGAAGAAGCTACTGAAGGATTAATCGGAAGAAAAAAAAAACACAAGCTAGACATCTAAATGTCGTCCGTACTATTGCTCTATATAGTCTATCCACCTAGCCTTCTTCCCATGTCCCCCCCTCACTTCAAGCCACCAGAACCCGGTAGCTCGGCCGTGCCACTTTGCTCAAGCTCATCCACCCGCCCTCGGGGACCTCGACGACGACCCCGTCCACGCACACCTTCCTCCACCGCGCGTCGCTCTCCCCGACCGTGATCTTGACCTCGTCCACCTCGTCGTACCCGACGGCCCGCTTCTCGCCGCCCCCGGACCAGGCCATGCCCACGTGCCGGCCCTCCTGGTACGCGGCCTTCATGATCTCCATGGTCTGCCGGCCGTCCGCGCCGCCAAAGTGCACGAGCCGCAGCCGGCCGTCCAGCGGCCTGCTCGCCGGCGAGATGGTGAACGTCTTTTCCAGGTTCGACACCATCGTCGCGAGCACGTACGTGAACCGGCCCCGGCCGTCGCCTCTGTCGCCATCATCGTGATGGTTAGCTGCCGCTTCATTGCTTGCTGTTGTCGTCGTCGTGCCGCCAGACCCGTCCAGCAACACGGCCGTCTTCTTGCCGCCGCCGCCGCCGCCACCGTCGCCTCCCGACGACGACGCTAGAACGACCTCGACCTCGGCGCGGTACTGGTGCGACGACTTGAGCAGCTCGCCGGCGACCATGGCGAAGCGCTTGTCGCCGTGGCGGCGGTAGTCGGGCGTGTCGCTCTCCCAGATGAGCTGCGCGTGGAAGCCGTACGAGGCGACGATGGCGCCGTACAGGTGGTCGACCGCGTCGGCGTGCTCCTCGAGCTTGTTGTCGGACGCATTGCTGTCCCCATTGGTGGTGGTCGTCGACGCCGTGCCGTTGCCGTCGGCCGTCGCCGCTCCCGGCGGGGCGTACGTGATGAGCCGGGCGCCGGGGGAGAAGGCGGCCTTGAAGGTGGGCAGGGGCCGGGCGGCGCCGCGGAGCAGCGTGCGCAGGGCCAGCGCGAAGTGCGACGGCGGCGGCGGCTTCGAACCGTCGCCGGATGAGTAGTGCGGCTTGTGCAGGGAGTGGAAGAGGGCGTTGCCCGTGCCGAGGGGCGCGATGGCGATGGTCGGGTGGTGGTGGTGGTGCTGCACGGTACCCGGCATGGGTGGCTCGCGGCTGCCGTTCAGGAGGTCCACGACGCCGCCGTCGCCGGAGAGCAGCAGGATCGTGTGCCGCTGCCCGGCCGGGACTTCCGGGATGCGCCTCCACAGGTCCCGCGCGAAGTCCTTGATCGTCCGGGAGCTCTGCGTGACGACGAGATTGTAGGTGCAGCCATCGGCCGCCGCCAGGCTGTCGTCCTGTGCTGATGTTGCCAAGAGGTCGTTGTCGCTGTGAGTCCGAGGTTTGAGTCCGAGGCTTGCGAGCAGTGGCTCGACCACACCATCGTAGAAGCTCTGGGCGAGCCCGACCCCCGACCGCGTCGAGATGATGACATGAAGTCTGTGGTTCGCAGATCCCTTCAGCCCCTCGGGCAGATCCCGCAGGAGGTGTGCATCCACGACGGGCTGGGGTAGCTCCGGGGAGCTTACTCCGGATAGCTCAAACGGCCTGTCCCGGTTCTCCGGGTCGTCATGCAGGGCGACGAGGATGTGTCCGTCCCCGGACTTGGTGATAAAAATGATTTGTTCCTCCCGCACTTTAACGATTGCATTGCCACCGCTCTTATCCTGGTCTCGGAACGACAGCTCGCTGTCGATGTGCTCTATGAAGTGCAGCTGGCGCACCTGCACATGCTCTTGAATAAGAGCGGGATTTATTGGTCCTGCTGACGCCATCGTACTGTTGCAGAATGCCAATAATGAAACTCACAGAACCGCCAGATGAGAGAGATATGAGCAGATGGAACAGGCCAAGCTCTTCCGAGGTGAGACGGAGAATATTAATAATAATAATTAGTAGAAAGAGGGCGGGGCGTTGGCATGTAGATGGACGGTAACGCAAGCTATGGTGAGAGACGAGGAGGACCCATGGGCCGGCGTACACCCAAGCATATGCAGCCTGTGCATTTGCGAATCCTTCTTGCTCTCGATGTCAGCAATGGCGGTGGAGGATATCTTAGTAATGTCGACTGAGAAGCAGAAGACGTTGTCTAGTTTAGGTGGTAGCCCTTTTTTGAGTCAGAGCCCCAGCCCCGGTGGCTCCCGGAGCTAAACCGCGCCCATCACCTCGAGCAAGCGGAGCCGAGCTTGACCGGGGCGGTCAACTCTTCTCCATGGGCAGTCTGCTTCATCCAGTCTCAAGCAGTGTCTGCCCTTGAGATAGCACCCCCGCAATATGAATGCCGCCATCCTTGCGGGGTATGGTTCCATCTCGCTACGTAGATGGAAGACTCACATGGGATGAGAGAAATTGTCACACATAGAGTGTAGTACAAAAAAGGCGGCACATCCTGGCGGGGCCGAACCCCTTGCTTGAGATCTCGTTTCAATTGTGTTTGCCTCGAAGGAAGGCCGGGTATCATACATCCTCCTACATCTCTCAGTATTGTCCCTTCTCTGCGGATGATCGTTATCACTTGCCCCTGGCCCTGGCCATCGGACCCCAGTTCTCGCGAGGGTTGGCTTGGTATCGGACCAATTTCTCCTTGTTCGGCTCGCGCCCGAGCTTCTCATCAAAGACGACTTCCAGCTTTGGCTTGTCCTCCGCCACACCATTCTTCTCCTCTGCCTGGTTCTGTGATGACTTGCCCAGACCAAGGAGGGTATAGGCCGCGGTGCCTGGTTTGATGTTCTCCTCCTTGACTGGCGCCTTCTGTCGAACCCACTCCCTCATGATTTCCCAGATTACAGACCATGGTGCGTTTGTCTTGATGCTGCCGCCCTTGCAGTGACTCCTCCTTGCTTCATAGCCCAGACGGCGCAGAGCACCCCGCATCATGTCATCGCCTGGCGTTTGGCAATGCATCACTCTTGCGAGCTGCGTGGGCAGGAAAAACAGCGGGCATGGGTCCAATGCCGCGAGCTCATCTTCCTTGGATTTCTCGACCTTGACTTCTGCCTTCACCTTGTCCGTACCCACCTCCGTCTCATCCTTTGACTCTTCAAGAGCACTTGGCAGTTCCATAATCTCTTCTAGAGCTGTCTGCAACATGCCCCGAATACGCTCCGTAGTACGGTAGGTATCTTTAGACACTTCGGGTAGCAGATCCAGGACGCTCCGAATGAACTCGGGGGAGTGAATGGGTCCCGCGTACATTGGCCCGGAGAGATGCGTCTTCATGCCACAGTGCTCGCATTTGGGCTCTGCTGTGGGAGCCATGGCGAAGCTGTGCTTGTAGAACACGCCATTGCCACTCTTGTTCTGCTGCGTTCTGTTCCTCAGGAGCATCTGTGTTGACCAAGCGCCGCAACCCGAGTCACAGTTGTAGACAAACATTGTCTTGCCTGCCTGGAACTTGACACCGGCTGGGGACCTCCTGACACGAACGAAGACGCGGCAGTAGAAGTCGATAGACAGCGACAAGAGTGGCTCGATGACGAGACCGTAGCGAGCAGCTGAGGACATGATGCCCTGAAGGATGATCCGGAGACCAGCCTCGTGAGAATGACTGCCTTTCATAGGTATGCCTCCATACAGGGCAAAGGTCTTTTCTGGATACCCTTGAGACGCCCACACGCCAGCGTCGGTGCAAGTAACGCAAAGGAGGCCGCCATCATCCCTCACTGACTGAAGGGCGGCGTCAAAGAATGCAGCGGCGGAACCGTAGGGATCGAGGTCAATGACGTCGTATTTTTCGCTCTTCCCGGATCCCTCGTGATTTCTGTTGAGCTCTTTGGCTATGAGGGTGTACATGTGCGCAAGAGCATCACCCTTGGACACCGTGATCTTGTCCTCGAGTCGATTGTGCTTGACGTTGAGCTTGATAGATTCGGTAGCCACCGTCAGCAGATCGTTTGCTGTGACCAAAGTGTTGAAAGGAAGTTCGTGTGCGTAGCGCAACGCTCTCAGTCCTGTCGCAGACAAGGCGTCCAGTATTCTCAGTTTCGGCCCTCTTGGTGCAGTGATACCGGTGTTTCCTTCTGAAGGGGCTGCTTCTGCACCGGCATCAGCCTCGGCGGCTGCTTGACCGACTGTGATAGCCTCATCTCCTTGCTTCAACTCCACTGTTGCGCCTCGAGCGGCTTGCGCCGGAGCATCCTGGCTAGCCTCGGGCACGGATAGCTTCTCCAACTTCCTGACACTCTCTTCCTCCGCTTCTTCTTTGATATCCTGGCGCTTCCTCTTCTTCCCACTGTGCCGAGGGAGCTTCTTGCCTCGCCTGGCCAACGCCTCGGCCGCATGCGCCCTGATGGCGAGGACGCTCAGGTCGCGGTTGAACTGTTGGATCGGATTGTAGAAGACCTGCTGGCCAGCATCATCCTCGCTTTTCGCCTTCTTTTGAGTATCGTCTTTGGCCTTGGGACCTTCGGGCACCAAGATGTGAGCAAGCCCCTCCTTGATGGTGGTGTAACGCTTCCCATCGTGAACGATGGCTTGGCCCGGGGCAGGTAGCGCCGAGATGTCCTGGGCGTCGGTCATGATGCTGCGGGAGGGCGGATGGAAATAGCAGCGACGAACAGACGACAGGCAGGCGTGCCTCAGAGGCGAGATGACGAGGGTCGGGCGGAGGAACAGGCGCATGTAGAATTGCGAGCCAAGAGCGTTCGCCGAAAGCTTCACATGGATTTTTTTTTTTTCTATGGCGAGAACAGGGCCGCTAAGAATTTGGAGTCATATGGATTTGGTGGTGATTGGCCAATCCCTGCAGCGGCGAGCACCCGCGGGCCTGGTGGGCTCCATCCCCCACTATGAGGGGAGAGCCCTGAGAGTTCCCTGCGACTTTGTAAGTAGGAGACGACTGGAGTCGAGACTACATCATAAGGTGCTTAAGGTATATGCCCAAATCACCTAGGTAGACCAGGGAGATGCGGTCGATGCCTTGGTGCCCTCTATCTTTGTATCTCCTCAGACGTCAGTCTCATGAGCAGATCTGCACTGTGTATGCTCTTCTTTAGGCCACTGATTTTCTGGTTGATCCGAGGTAATATCCAAGACATCACATTGCTCACGAATATACCAGCACAATCTCGTACAAACCACGCATATGACGTCTTTGCAAGACCAAGATACACCAACAAGTCGAGCCTCCCTCAGTAGCCGGGCAAATGGGTGAGGGCGCAGGTGACAATGGGATCTCGATTCTGAATGGTACCGTTTGCGGAAGGTGCAACCTCATCGTGTGCCTCGTGCTTGCCTCCTCACCGACCATGCCCAACGGCACGAGATCTAGAGAGTGCATCTGTGGCCGTGCCTTCGATATCTTGGGCAGGCACCCTCCTCCTCTTTCCCCAAGCAAGGCCATCTCGAGATGCTTGAGACAGCTGGAGTACGACATCGATTGCCCTTGACCACGGCGACGACAACCCCCGAGCCAGAATCGCATCCGTGCTGATGCTGCTCCTCCCATCAACCCCCTGAAAAAACCCCTGTCGAAGATGGCTACCGCCGACAGAGTGTCCAGATCCAGGACCTCTCCATTCCTGACCCTGCCGCAGCTTGACCTTGGTCTGCAAGGCGACAGCACACGCGAGCCACCGCAACCAAGTCCCTCGATCCCTGATGCTGCACCTTCGGTCCCATCTCCCTCGCCGCACAGAGACGCGCACAAGCGCTTCCTGAGTCCAGATGAATGGGCTCGAGTCGCACATGCCATCGGGGCAATCGAGGACCTGGAGCACCAGGCCCCTATCCATCCTACCTCGTGGTGTTTCCCTCCCAAGGGGCTTCCGTCTGGTCTGTACAGAGACGTCGTGAGTCAACGGACCAAGTATCGCGTCCTATTTCACTCCATCAGCATTTGCCGGGGGACTATGATGATTGTGCAAGTCATTCTAGGCGCGGTGTTGACGGCCTTGGGGACTGTCAAACTCGACGACGGCACCGCGATAACCATCATTGCTGTTGTCCAGACTGTCATCGCTGGCATCTTGGCTCTCATCCACAACAGCGGCCTGCCCGACAGGTATAGGTCCAACAGATTCGAGTTTGCGTATGTCGAGGGCCACATGAGGTAAGGCAGTCTTGCCAAGGGTTCTTGTTCACGACTGCTCGCCACTTTCATGCTGACACTTGCCAAGGGAGCTGCTCGATACCAGAATCGTCGAATATGACCAGGACTTGGATGAGATCATTGTCGACCTCTACGACAGGTTTGAGCGTGTCAACACAGCTGTCCAGGCCAACCAGCCCGCGAGCTATGTATCAAGCAATTCCATCGTCCGTGGTCAATCCACTCCCAACAGTATGCCGCACATAAGAAAGTGTGAGAGAGAAGGCTTTGCCTTCCGACAGGGTAGCCAGTCGAGGGATATCAACAAATTGTCGCAAGACTAAATGGGTCACGAACAGCTTGAAATCGATATTGGCACCGATCACGAGCTGGCCGAGCTTTCCTACTGGCAATTGCAACCATACATGTAGTGTCTATGAGCGACAGCGCCGGAATGTTCGGAATTTAGTGGTCGAGGGAGGCAAAAGGTGTGAAATTAATGGGCAGCTACAAGCAGTTAAAACAGTTTACAACGGTTCATTTGGTCCGCAACCCGGCCCCTCATCAATCAGGGATCCCTGATTTGACCCCTGTCTTTCCTGCATCTCATGCCGGGCGACCCCTGGTCTGCCAGCCGCATCGAGCTTGACATCTCTGAGTCTCAACAAATCATATCTCACCCCAGACATTCCCCAGAGCACACTCCTGAGATTGCTTCCGCGCCTCTGGCCTAATTCAGCCTGATTCTTGGAACAGGATGGCACCCCACGAATGGTCTCCATCCTATCATGACAAGTGCCACTCTTCGAGAATGGCCACTATCATAAACGGCCTAGTATGCACACATACGGAGTAGCTTGGCATTACGGCCGCGTGCGTTCAGAGGGAGATGAGGTTGGATGGGCCGGAGATACCTAGTGGTACTGGTTGCGGGCAAGGGATGCCATGAATCTGGGCATTATCCCCTCCGACTGAGCGACTCGACTCCATAATCCTCTTTCTTTTCTTCTTCGACAAAAGTCTACTCAGTAGATCTAATGCCGTTGCCATAGGCGCGAAGCAGTCTGATCCTGCTGTCTCAATGTACGCTTTGAGCATTGAAGGCTAAGCCAAGCGACCTTGAGCTCTTGGTCTTCTCGGCAACAAAGCCTGGAAATTATCGCGCTCTGAGCCATGCTTCGCCATCCTCCTTGAGATATCCATTCCTCAGTCACTCGTTTAATTGGCCTGTTTCTATAGCTTTGGACTACTCTACCCTACCTTTTCTTTCCCTTTCCTCAAGCGAGATGTACGCGACGCGGGTCCTGCCATTCGGGCAGGTGAAGACGATCCAGATCATTGTCTGTCTGTTCATAGCCTCTCTGCTTCTCTTCCAACTCAGACTCAATCACCGGCCACCGCAGAGGCCATCCATCTACCAGGATACCGAAGGGACGACAAACCCCTGGTACGACTGGAAGAACAAAAGTATCGGAAGGACTGAGGAAGTCACATATCTAAAGTACCTAAGTCGCACACATGGCCTGACAAGGGACGTCTCATGGTTTGCCCGGCGGATACAGACGACGTACGGGGCGTCAAAGAGGCTGTCCATGACGGAGGTGTCCTCCAGCTTCATGCCCCACGGCTTGAGGAGGGTGAACCTCGATGACTACGCTGTCACTCTCCAGGCGGACCAGGGGATGAAGCTTTCTGTCGGCAGGAGCGCTACTCCCGACCAGGTCGACGCATCCGGCCTGCTGTTTGGAGTGAGCACTACCTACACGCGATTGACCTACCAGAACAACACCCTCATCCACGACTGGGAGCGGTGGCTCACCGACGGCCACGGCAGATCCAACGGCGCCGGCCTCGTGCTCGCCCTCCACCAGGCAACCAACGCGCAGCTGGCGCGCATCACCGAGCTCCTGCAGGCCGGCGCCATCGATGCCACCGTCATCCCGGCCGAGGCCGGAGCCGACAACCCGGCGCGGTACGGGCAGCTGGTCGAGCAGCTCCTCCGGAGGCACGACGGCGCCGGCGCCGGCGGGCGGCAGGCCAAGTACCTCGCCATCGTCGACGACGACGTCTTCTTCCCCAGCATGGACCGCCTCCTGCGCAAGCTGTCCAAGTTCAGCCCGGCCGAGGAGTACTACATCGGCGCCCCTTCGGACCGGCAGTCGGACTGGGTCGTCGAGCGCAACACCACGCTGACCTACGGCGGCGGCGCCGTCTTCCTCACCCCGCCCATGGCCGAGCGCGTCGCGGGCCTGCGCTGCCTGGTCGGGGGCGGCAGCAGCAGCGGCAGCAGCAATGACGAGGACGATGATGATTACAGGAGTAGCACGCTCTCGCCGACGCCGCCTTCGTCCTCCTCGCACGGGACGAGAGGGGAGGCCGGCACAGAGCAGTGGGACGAGGAGCTCTACCGCTGCGTCTCGCGCCGCACCAGGACGGACTTGCACGTCCTGCCGAGCCTCTACGCGCCCTCGGACGACGAGCTCTACCACGCCGACGGCATCAGCAACGAGGGGTACGGCAGCGGCGTGCCCGCCCTCGCGCTGCACCACTACCGCAACTGGCACCGCTTCGAGGCCGGGCGCGGGCACCAGGTCGCCTCGGCCTGCGGCGAGGACTGCTTCCTGCAGCGCTTCCGCTTCGCCGACGGCTGGGTCCTCGTCAACGGCTTCACGCTGTCGCACTACCCGGACGGCGTCGAGGCCGTGCCCCTGCGCAAGAAGCAGAAGCAGCAGCAGCAGCAGCAGCAGCAGAAGCAGAAGGAGGCCGCGGATGCCGCCACCTCTGTGGCTGCCGCCAAGGGCAAGGGCAAGGACGCCAGCGCCAAGGACCACCACAAGATGGTCACGCAGACGTCGACGCAGCCGCGCGGCGCGCCGGCCGTGGACAAGAGGCTCGTCATCGTCGACGACGACGGCGACCGGCGCGCCGGCGAGATCAAGGTCGTGGCGTGGCGGGGGCCCAAGCGGACGTGGCGGCTGCTCGACTCGCGGATCGGCGCCGGGGGCGAGGTGTGGCAGGCCTACGTCAAGAGGCGCGGGGCCAGCAGCGCGTACGACCTCGACGACCGGTGGTACGGCGACACGTTCCATACCGACGAGCAGCCGGCTGGCGAGGACTCGGTCATTGTCCTGATCTGGGAGCCGTGAGGGATACCGGGAGGGGAGCAATGATCTTGCGAACCCGAAAGCGGTTCATGAAGAAACCTTGTAATATGAAAAAGTATACGTGTCATAAAAGAACTACGATTCGTCTGGCTGGATAGAAACAAACAGGGAGTCAGGATTAAACAATCATATAAGCCTGTGGGAAATGGGATATATGGCTACCAGCACCTATAACAGCTGTTATTGGATTCAGCGTGAGAAGGCAGGCCACGTAATAAAAGACAATCGAACTCGAAGAGATTTGAAGACAGCGCTTACTCTACTGAACCTATGATATCCTAAATGATGCAATGCAATAAGTGCCATCTATGCTCTCTCTCCAGCCATTCCTTCACCAAGTGCTAGGACCAAAGCGCCCGCCCTCAGGCACTGTCTTGAAAGAGCAGGCAGTCCAGTCGCACCCTTGCTTGTAGACCTCGGTCCCCCACCACTTGAAGCCGTCCATCCACCCGGGGTATATAAACGTAAAAAAGACGACTACGATGCCGCATGCCAGGGCCGAGTCGAGTGCCGCGCTCAGCGTCATGGTGTACTTTGCCCACCAGCCTGCCGCCCGGTTCTTGATCAGGTAGTTGAAGATATAACACACGACCGCCCAGACCGAGAAGTTGAGCCCCGTCGCCGGCGGGATCCAGCCGAGGGAGCCCAGCAGCACCGGCAGGTTGATCTTGCGGACGATACTGCTCCTCTTGTTCCGGCCGTAGAGCCAGAGCGGGATCGGGGCAACGGCTCCGATCAGGAAACACCAGACGAGGGGCCTATATGTGGCCCCGGGACCGAAGAACTCGGCCGGGCCGACGACACCCCAGAGGATCGAACCGTTGAAGTGCACCCTAGCTATGGGACAGGTGAAACCGTTAATCGCCTCGGGCGTGCACAGGCGGGGCACATTGTGGAACATCCAGTTGAGGACGCCAATCTGGGTGAGGGACGAGACAATGGTCGCTACCATCTGCACCGCGAACAGTATCCGCGGAGGGATCTTCATGTAGTGGCCCAACTTGAGATCCGCCGCGAACTTGATGCCCTGGGCCGAAGAGATATAGCCGTACGTGACGAAGACCATATTGGCAACCGGGCGACCGGGGAACACGGCGCCGCAGACCAACTGACAGATCAAGTATATGCTGCTGTGCTGGTTCGTCACGGCCATGATGATGCCGATGGGGATGAAGAGAATAGTGCAGATGCCGAGTGCAAGTAGAAGACCGTACCAGGGGAGGTGGATAGGATAGCTGTGCCGGTTAGTATCGTGTGCCTTTCCTGTGCCCGAACAGCCATGCTCAACAAGGCGGTAGGCGAACTTACTACTCGACCACAAAAATGCCGATGGCAGTCATTGATATGAAGGTGAGCAGGTACCAAACCATGGGCGCATCTTTGTATCTCCTCATCAGGCGATTGTGGACATCCTCCTTGCCCATCAGGTTATCAGTTCCCGAGGTAGACCTGTCCAGGCTCTCATGCGAGTTGCCGTTGCTAGACGTGGGGTATACGCCGCCCTGTCCTCCATCGAGGGGCTGATATGCAGCTTTTGAGTCATCCTTCGCCTCTTTGAGCGAAGCTCTCCACTGTGTCAGAATATCCTTGCCGTGCCAGCAGATGGTGTGCGTCAGCAAGGACGCCAATCCAGCGAACTGGACGCCATAGCTCAGGACGTAAGTGATAGGAAGGAAAACTCGGCTATAGCTCTGATATGCTTCGCGATCAAAGACAAAGTCCTCAGTCAAGATCTTGCTGACGTCGTAAACGTGGCCCGTGTTGTCAAACACGGCTGCCGACAGGATCGGCATGTATGAGGAGTACAGCCAATTGCTGTAGTATGCAATGGGCGCCATGATCCACATCACAAGCACGAGGCCGCCGACAACGTTCATGGCGGCCCAGAAAGGGGTCAGAAGCGGCGAGCCGATATAAGCGATCTGAGCCCAGTCGAACGTCATTGGGAACAGACCGAGACCTGACGTTACCCCGAACAGGTTGGAAATCACAACGTTCTTTGGCGCAAACCAAGTGATAACGTTGAAATAGCTGAGAGCCGGGAACAAGAGCCCAGGGAGGAAATAAAAGGCAAAGGCCGACACGAAGACGATATAGAAGAAGTTCCACCGGCTGATCCTCCACCCATTCGCCGGTTTGTTCTCCTCCTTGTGCAGAGTCGTAAACATGGCTGCGGACATGAGAGTCGAAGGCCAGATCATGCCACTCGGCCTTACCAGGAAGCGCCTGGTAAGGCCGGCAAATGTGTAGCCAAGGATCTGCGTCGACAAGATCAGCAAGAGCTGGTAGGTAATGGGCGCATCTTGCTTGTAGAACATGGTTTGTTCGACGATCACATCGGTGGCAAAGGCAAAGCCAAACGAGATGTTGCTGCTAACATAGACACACGTATGCTCCTTTTCGTTCCAGCGTCCTTGGGCAAGCCACAGTCTTATGCGATCCCATGTAGTCCTCTTGTGATAGTGCAAAATATCTGCATCGGATGTAGGCGACTCTAGAGCTCCGACTGACGCCCTAACTCCATCCACGAACTCTTCCTGCGGATCGTTGTCTCGCTTCAGGAAATAATCCCATGCCAGGCCCAACGGGTGAACGAGCAGCAGTGCTATGACGGGCGTGATAGCAACACTGGGGTATCGAAGAGAGAAGAAAAGATTGGTTGACGAGCCGAGCATGGAGAACAGGGTCGATAACACCCACATACGAGGAGTGTTGATTGACAATGTCGTGTTGTCTGAAGGGGCCACGGAGGCCCTGACCTGGGGATATGGCGAATTGTCGGGGGGGTTGTCTTCGTCGAAGATATTGCTGCCTCCATCGCTCTCGTCCTCGCCACTGTCCTTGTCATCGTCGACGTTGGCGCTCGGGAGCGCACCCTCCGTGATGCCGAATCGCCCTTCTAGTCCACCAAGCACAGTCGACGAGCCGAGGTCTTCGGACTGCCTGGCTGAGCGCCTCATAGAGCTCAAGCCTGATGCGGGCAAGTAGGCGTCTGACCGCCGTCTGTCCGAGGCATCCCGGTAAGGATGCTCGAAGGCGAAGCCGGCATCGCTGACGGCGGAGGAGGGCCCGGCCTCCTCGCTCTCGGCGATGGAGGCGGCGCTCGAAGAGACGTCGCTCAGAGATATGGCTCCATAGGAAGGTTTCCTGAAGCTGGCGGAGGAGCGCAGGAAGGGCGCCGACTGGTTCATGGGCAGATTCGTCGGGGAGCGGGGGCTCGGCGGACAAGAATCGTCAGCGTTGTCCTCCCCGAAGTCTGGCGAGCTGCCATGGGAGGAGGACCGGCCCTCCTGTGATTCTGCTTGCGGATGGAGCGGCGCAAGCGGTATATATGCATCGGGTGTCGTAACAGGTGTGGGCTCGGGAGGGGAGGTGGAGGCCGAGTTGGACGTGGGGCGCGTCCTGCGTGATGAGGCAGCTATCGGCGCTAGACTGTGCAGGGGGAAGGACTCTTGGTGTTGGTGTTGGTGTTGGTGTTGAGAAGGGCTGTCATTCGAAGTGCCGGCGCCGGAAGGAGAAGTCATAAGGGAGGTTGGAGGCCCTTGGTTCTCTTCAGGAGGGCGAGAGGTGTGTGGAAACAATCCTGCCGCACACTCTTGACCTTATATGCTGTCCATGGAGAGCGATAACCGCGGGGGACGGGAGGCGGTCACGGCGTCTGCCCTGTCGGGGCTTGGGCGAATATGGAGCTGCGAGGCAAGGGCTTGGGGACGCCACAGACTGGGCGCGATACGTCCACGGAGCTTGTGATGGGTCAGTTGAGTGATCTGACATGCAAAGAACCCGGGACGAGATACAATTGATGGATGCGCCCCGTGCTAGGCCGCTCAATCGATCCGCGTGATATATGACGAAGCTACCGGCACCGCACGGTGAACGAATGCACGACTTGCTTGCTGCAAACGGCTGTAGCCGGAAACGAGATCAGAGGTGCATGAGTGCCGGCCGGCCACAGGAGAGACTGGTCAGGTATCAGGACAGCTGTAGTAGGGCATTTGTTTTGGAGGAGAGGGGACAGTTGGTGGAGTGAGGAATGCCATGAAAAGCTGGACCATCTTGTCTCGGTGCACGTTCTCGCATGACGCTAGAGAGTCATGATCCGCAGGCGGGAAGGGCGGGCACCACGATGCTCCAATCCCTGCGCAGCGATGTGTCAGGCCGGGCCTACAGGAGGGCACCGCTACGAGGCCCTGGGTGCGGCGCTGGCTCGAGGGGGGATGGCCCGCCCACTAGAGCCGCCTTAGCGATGCCGCTAGGCGTGACCCCTCTCAAGCCTGGGCACTCTGTTGGTAAGACGCAGATTGAGAGGCTTCATCGAGAGTGAGATCTGCGAAATCGGCATCCATCCTTGATGCTTCGTTTTCGTGGTTTGGAACATCATATCCACCATTGTCAGTATCAAGCATCATCGGATGACCCTCGGCTGAGGAATAGTCGCATGTTTGTCTCAAGGCTACCTTCAGGCCTATAAACCAGGAACGAGCCTCTACCGATCTCACGGATCCATCGAGCTTCATGACTTCAGACGAGGCCGACGGCCCGCCAGACATCATGAGAAATACGCCGGCCTTGGCAGCAGCCAAGGCACAGCTTCGCTCTATGATGAAACAGAAACTCGCGGGCCTCTCTAGTGAGGAAATCTCGAGTCAAAGTATGGTTGAACCCTTGAAGAAAGAATAATCCCCGATTCGGCTCTAAGACCCCTCCTCGAGCACAGGCACTACAGTCTACAAGACATTACTGAGGTTCAAACCATACCTCGAGGCTCAGCGTGTGAGCGTCTTTCTGTCCATGCCGGCCGCAGAGATACAGACAGACGCAATAGTGCGCCACGCCCTGCAGTCGGGCAAACAGGTCTATGTACCATATCTCCACAAAGCCCCTCCGCACAGCCCTGACACGCCGTCGCGGGTCATGGACATGGTGCTCCTGAAGGACCTCGTGGATTATGAGTCTCTGAAAAGGGACCGCTGGGGCATCCCCAGCATCGACCCGGCGACCGTGGACCGCCGGCAACGCATCCTGGGAGGGCCAGACGCCCAGCATTCGGAAAAGTCCATCCTGGACCTCATCCTGATGCCCGGGGTAGCCTTTGACATCGAGCCAGGCACCGGGCTCATCAGGCGATGTGGCCATGGAAGAGGCTTTTACGACTATTTTATCGAGCGGTACATGTTCAAGATTGCAGCCTTGGAGCCCGAAGAGGCTCCTCCGGTCAAGCTATACGGCCTTGCTCTCGCTGAACAACTGCTCGACCCAGCCTCTGGCTATTCCATTCCTGTCAACGCTCTTGACCAGGCCCTGGACGGACTAGTCTTGGGAAATGGTGAGATCAAGGCGCCAATTCATCTAGATTGAGTAAATCCATCTCCTGGAGTATTAGAATATGGCATCAATGGCTCGTCGCGATACCGGCGAGATGGATATTTGAGTCGGCAAACATGGCATGTGATTGAGCAATACCATAGGTAGAAGCTGGCTTATAGATATACCCCATACTATGACGTGTAGTTGACTGGAATAAAACAATGACTATTGTTCAGGCAGCACACATGCTCTCTACCAATGGGTCACCAGCAGCAGTCTGGTAAGAAACCGAGCTGTTGGCCTGCAGTGTTACTATGTCTTTGATTCCACTCTTCACCCGACTACCTAGGTAGGTAGTTAGCTCTTTGTTCCTCATTGTTCGGCAGCCTGCGCCGTCACCTCAACGGCCGGCAGGCCTTGAAATAAAAAGCCGTGCCCGTATTAGTTTTCACCAGTGCCCCGGGGAGGTCTCTTGAAATAACCCCTCATCACTAACGTATTAGGTACCTAAGTTAGGTACCTAGCCTGATGCGTTACTTGGTGGCCCACCAAGTCTAGCAGTGATTTACAGGTACCCCGCCTGCCTGAGTGCTCTTCCTGTTCAGTGGTCGAGGCTTCGCCCCGACATCAAAATCTGTGCTCTGTGCTAGGCGGAAAGGGGAAAAGCCACCCGCGATTTACACCGCACCAGGACCTGAGGAAACCCTGTTCGTTGTTACCGCGTTACTCCCCCAGCTTCACTTCACCACTAGACGTTTTATTTTCTTTACTTGGCTGTGTCTGTCGATCCCGCCAAACCTCAAACTTCCTTCTCCACAGACTGTCAGTCTTGCCAACACCCGGCAGCCAACCTTCATCGCTCTTTCTACAGGCCCAGGACTCGCCACCTGACCCTGCCGCTTTCCTCTTGATAAAATACCGACGTCCCGATATTCATTGTCGCCGAGGGACAGACGAGGCGCCGGCCGATACCGCGGGTTTACCCCTCGTCATATGTCTTCATAGGTTGCGACCTCTACCCATCAGGCCTCGCGAGACCTCGCACCTCTCCCTCTCTGGACTCGAGCGACCTGCATACTCGTTTGGCCTACTCGCCATGGCTACAAACGGGTCCCAGGAGGGTTTCACGCCTCAGAACATCCTGACGGCCATGATCACGATGCGGGGAGGCGATGCCAGCAAGAAAAAGGCTGCCATGGACTTTTTGGGCAAGTTTCAGAAATCGGTCAGTAGACGAGCGCATTCCTTCTCCCCTTTCATCCCTTCCTGGAATGAGAACGAAACTAAACAAGATGTCTAGAATGATGCCTGGACTGTCACGATATCGATCCTGCAGTCTTCTGCGGAAGCCGATGTCGCGCTTTTCGCTGCGACGACCCTCAAGGGCAAGGTACTGTCCAATACCACCCGACGAGACCGCCTACAGAGCTTTTGAGCGTCATCTAATGCGAAGACAGATCACCTTTGACTTGACCACCCAGATCTCGGAGAACGACCTTCCCGCTCTCAGAAGCCAAATACTTGTCCTCCTCAAGAAGTACGCACCAGGTCCCAAGCCGGTCCGTGTCCAGCTATGCGTGTGCCTTGCGATACTTGCGATCCAGATGCGATCATGGAAGGATGTCCTGCCGACTGTGGTGTCCTCGCTCGGTAACGACGTCGAGAGCCATGCATGCATTCTCGACTTTCTACGAGTACTTCCCGAAGAAGTGACTGAGGGACGAAAAATCACCTTGACTGTACGTGGAACGCGAAACATCGATCTCGCCTCTAATCTTGACGACATTCCGTTGGGTCGCATCAAGGAAGGAATCATAGTCTAATCCGGTCATGACAGGAAGAAGAGCTAGCCCAACGAACAACAGAGCTCCTGGCCGACAACGCTGAGCAGGTCGTTCAGCTCCTTATCCAATACGCTCAATCTTCACGTAAGTAGGCAGTTGCTGTATTTCTCCCGGCGCGCATTGCTAATACCCATCTCAAACAGCTTCTGCGGCGCAAAACCCCCAACTGATGGAGTGCATCACGTCATGGCTGCGCGAAGTCCCCGTGAGCACCATTGTCGGCTCGCCTCTCCTCAACATAGTGATCAACGCCATCGGGAACGACTCTTCTTTGCAGGCAGCGGCGGAGTGCCTGGGCGCCATTTGCAGGGAGACCCGGGATGTCGACGATAACCTCGAAACGATTCAAGTGCTGCTGCCCCGGATCATCGAATTGAGACCTCATATTCAAAAGGCTGTCGAGGAGGAGGACACTGAGGCGTTCAAGGCTTTCACCAGGCTGTTTGCAGATGCTGGCGATTCTTGGGTTGTCATCATCGCGCGGGAGCCTCAACACTTCAGGCCCTTGGTAGACGCGCTGTTGGAGTGCGCAGCCAGGGATAGTGACCGGGACGTCATCGAGTACACGTTTGGGTTCTGGTACGAACTGAAGCAGTATCTGGTGTTGGACCGGTATATCCAGGCGCGATTGGAGCTCAATGATGTGTACTCGAAACTGGTCGACATCCTTCTTAGTCACCTCCAGTATCCCAAATCAGAGAGCGGCAACGAGCTTGATCTTTTCGACGGTGACCGCGAACAGGAGGAGAAATTCCGCGAGTTCCGTCATCACATGGGCGACACCTTGAAAGACTCGTGCGAAGTCATGGGCGTTACAGAATGCTTGACCAAGGTGCTCGAGGCTATCAAGGTCTGGATGCAGAAGTACGGCGGCCAGGCGACTGCAACATCTGTGCCTCACTGGCAAGAGCTCGAGGCCCCCTTGTTTGCTATGCGTGCAATGGGCCGCATGGTTGAGAAGGAAGAGAGCATCGTCCTGCCCCAGCTCATGCCCCTGCTCGTCCAGATCCCTTCTCACGAGAAGCTCAGGTTTGCCGCGATCATGGTCTTTGGTCGGTACACTGAGTGGACCTCGGCGCATCCAGAGTTCCTGCAGCCACAGTTCACTTATATCGTGTCCTCCTTTGAGACCGACTCCAAGGAAATTATTCGGGCCGCTGCTCAAGCCATCAAGTTTTTCTGCACAGACTGCAAGCAGCTCTTGAGCGAGCAGGTCCTTCAATTGCAGACGTTCTACGATCAGGTGCTGGACAAGCTTCCAGAGCTGAGCCAGGAGGAAATGACTGAAGGCGTCGCCAACGTCGTCGCCGCGCAGAAGACCGAGGACACCTACAAGCTGCTCAAGCTGTACTGCGACCCGCTCATCGCAAGGCTCATGGACAAGGCCAACAAGGCAAGCGACGATGAGGGTAAATTGGCCGTAGCCGGTATGTATTTTCCATGGTGGCTGGACACGAGGGCGAGATGCTAACCTTGTCTGATTCTGTTAGATCACATACAGCTTATCACCACCTTCGTCCAGATTGTGGTGCCCTATGTCTCGAAGAATGAGGACAATCCGGCCGTCAAGTACTGGCAGGAGGTGTTCCCCATTCTTTCCACTGTTCTCGAGAACTTCATCACCTTTACTCCGATCTGCGAGAGGGTTTGCAGGTGCTGGCGCTTCATGGTCATCTCTTATAGGACGGCCATGACTCCTTTCCTCGCCGACATGGCCAACAAATTAGCGCACGGATTCGCTGTGTCCAAGCAGGGCTGCTTCCTGTGGGTGACGGGTGCTATCCTCCGGGAATTTTCCGAGGATCGCGAACATGTCGATGATCACATCACCGATTCGATCTACGTCTTCTTCGAGTCGCAGGCAACCAATGTCCTGCGGGTGATGAGCGACCTCCCCCCCGCCGAGCTTCCCGATGTTATCGAGGACTTCTTCCGTCTGCTTGTGGATGCTCTCCTATACTTCCCCCAGAGATTGATCCCATCTGCGCTCTTGTCGCCCTTGCTGCAAGCAGCAATCTCGGCTCTAGCCTTGGAGCAGCGGGAGCCGCTCTCTGCAGTCTTGCACTACCTGCGCGACCTCCTGACCTATGGAGGACCCAACCCTGCGCAGTCTTGGTACTACTCGAGCGAGCTGGCTCCACAGATGCAGCAGATCGTCAAACAGCTCCTGCTCGCCCAGGGCGGAGCCCTTGTCAAGCAAGTGATGGCCGGGATGATGATTACATTCCCGCGGGACTGCTTCGCGGACGGTAGTGGTGTTCTGCTAGGCATGTTTGAGCTTCTGCCTACCCAGACTACGGAGTGGGTGGGCCAAACTATTCAGATGCTTCCTGCAGGAACTATCACTGCCGATGAAGCAAATCGGCTCATGACGAAGATTAAGGAGCGCTTGTCTGGCCAGGATATGAGCAACCTGAGGCAGGTTCGAGTGCTCCTACAGGATTTCACGAACACTTATCGGAGACGATACGTCGCTCCGAGAGATGGACTCGGCCAGCTCGAGGCCCGACGATTCCACTTTGAAGGCTAGTGGTCTTTCTCGAAGGGTACAAGTGTTTATTAATATGGAATGGGAAGAGTTGGGCGGAAAGAGTTACATCGAAATGATATCCAGGTGTGAAGGGCGCGGGAATCGGGAGAATTATATCTAAAATTTGCAATCGCAGGCATTGTCAGTGAGAGGTCCAGCGCGGCCAGGGGAAAATGCTGAATGCTAGGGACAGAGCTAGACGTGGACGCGGGCCATCTTTGGAAGTTGACGGAGGAGATAGCCTTGATCTTGTGAGATGGAGAAAAAGCGTTCGAGTAGATACTTAGAGGGTTCTTGGGCAAGCGGCATTTACATCACGGATGGTAGTCTGGCGAAGGAGGACTGACATGCTGATGAGCAAGACGAGACTTTTGAGAGAATCAGAAGATTTAAAACAAGCCGAAAATGATGATGATGAACCCTGGTCATATTCCGCGCACTCTCCGCCCATGTGCAGTATCGCCCTTTTCATAACCTTGCAACTCCAATTGGCAACAGATCTATCCCGGTGTCCGGCGCTTTGCTTGTCGTGGACTGAGCGAGATTGTTCATTTAAGCACCTTCTTTAAGTAGGCCACGTCTATGGGCTCCTTTTGGCCCGTGGCAGGGTTCAGCCACAAGTAGGCTCCCTGTTCATGGAAGAAAGTCTCGTAGCCCAGTCTCTCATACCAGTGCTGGTTGGACATCTGCATTCGAAGACGCAGTAAAGTCAGTCCAGGTTCGTCCTGAAAACGAGGGGGGGGGGATTGTAGATCTCACCCTGGGAGCAGGGTTCCCCTGCTGGATGTACAGCTTTTCTATCAGGTCGGGCCGCATCTGGTACTCGGCGGGCATGGTGTCGAGCGCGATGACGGGGGCCTCGAGCGGCGGCGCGCGGGCCTCGTCCTCGAGGCGGAGCATGCCGGCCTTGCCGAGCCCGAAGGACTGCAGCGCCCACGAGACGTACAGGTGGCAGACCCAGGCGGCGCGCTGGCCCGCGAGGCCGATGCGCGCCTCCTCCTCGGGCCGGCTGCGGACGAGCGCGAAGTGGCCCACGGGGACGAAGCTCCTCGGGCTCCGGTCCGGCGGCGGCGGCGGCGGCGGGGGTTGACGCGGTAGGCCCCACGCCGAGGCGGCGGTGTCGAGGATCGGGGCCGACTCGTGGGGGAAGCGGGCCGCGTGCTTGGCGAGGATGTCGCGCTGGGCCGGGAAGCTGTCCTTTACCACCTTTTTTTTTTTTTCCTATAGTCAGTTTTCTTTTTTTCCTTTCTTCTTGTGGATATGTGTTACAGCATGGTGGCAACAACAAAACGCCGATCCCTTCGTTTGGGGGGGGGGGGGAAAGAAATTGGTTCACGGAAATGAGACTGACGATCCAGTAGAAGGTCTTGCTCCCCTCGCGCGACAGACGCCCCCACTCGTCCATCTCGTCGGTGCGCCACCCGCAGGCCTTGCGCTGGGCCAGCAGGCGGGCGTGGTGCTCGGCCGAGTCGTGGTCCCAGGGGATGAGGTCGATGTCCGACGCTGCGACACGGGGGGTTGCCGGGGATGGGTCCGGTGGCGGCGCCGGGCCGGGGACAACCTCGCCGGTGGGGGTTTCTTGGTCCGGGACTGGGGTTAGGCTGCCCATAATTGGGATGGGCTTCAGTCTATGTATAAGTGATATAGGCCAGATCGAAAAAAGGCCAACGATCCGTACAGGTTGGTGGAGATTTCGACTCTATTCTTGTTGTTCTCCTTGACTGATCTGGGAGCGCGGGTGCTCTCTTATAAGTCAAAGTCGGAGGTCCACAATCGGGCCGTGTATATACACTCTCCCTCAAAGCACTGAGGCCAGCTCTTCATCATTATCAGTTTTCCTAGCGGTGTCTTAGTACCTGCTTGCTGACAGTCTCCTTCTCTCTAACTTTTGGGACTCCCAGTTCGGGGGCTCCGTCATGGCTACTAGCCCCGATGTGACGTGTACAAGGGCGCGGTTTTGACATGTTTTCGACATGCATTTGACATTTGACATGTACTACCGTTTCAAGCCCGGACACAAGACTAGAGAGCGGTAATTGAGTTTAGGAAAGAAAGTTTTGGTCCTTTCAGTTGCCAATCATCTGAAACAAGAGCTGTTACTGGATATTCATTAGGCTTTCTCGGATCGTAAGGTTGTCTGTCCATGGGTGCCGGTCAACTCGAGGCTTTCTCCACACCGCCACTCGGTATGTCGTTCGGGGAATGTCCATCAAAGCCAGACAACACTGTCAATACCTTGGCGCAAAACCACAGCAGCTATCAGAGCCTGGTTGTAATTAGTTGAATATTTGAACCGAGAATATATTCCAGATCTCGCTGAAATTTACAGTAGTTGCGGGAGACACAGAAGCTGGGGATCCAAGGACGACTCAACCGGTTGTATCTTGACGATAGATCAGCAGTAAAGCCTGAGGGTAATGCAATCAACACACCCAAGTCTGACTCAGACCTAGACAAATAAAGTACAATGGTGTAGTCGTAAAGAGTCATCTAGGGCTTCTTCACCTGAGGGCAAGTAAGCCAGATGTTGAGGTTCATGTTCTTCATCATTATATTAGACATGGGCGACTCTATGAAATAGTATCATTCGACAACCATGCTCTGAACTCCTGTGCTCATTTGCCTTTTACCATTCTGCCGAATTGTGCGTGCCAGTGTGCAAGTCCAGTAAAACAAACAGACCGGACACACCAAAAGTCGGGGGATCCAGGAAGAAGAGACGATAGGAAACCTCAGAAAACCGAGAGCCATCGTTAAGAACAGTCCAGCGAAGACCGGTCATCCCATGCCACACGAGTAAAGTAGCCTATAAGCCATGCTCGTGTTCTGACTAAACCTTTCAAAAAAGATGTTCGTGGTATCCATATATCACCCACGTTGCGCACACTGTGATCACCTTGTGATCAGGACCGTTTTTTTTTTGGTTTTGAAGGATTGGACGGCCGAACAATCGAACCCCCCCCCCGGGACATACACAATGCCCTCTCTCACAACACCAGATTTTTGTTTCCCTTGTTGCCTTGTCCTATCCGCCTCAAAACATAAGATAAAAAAAAACTCCTTCTTCAAAAATGCGGCGCGTAGTACGATATACCAGTCATCGCCTGCGGCTGCGGCTGGTCGTACGACCAGCCCGCCCGGGCCGCGACGGTCCACATGCCGGGACCCATGGCGTCGGCGTGCGAGAAGACCTCGAGGCCGCTCGTCATCTCCTCCCACCGCATCGCCTGGTGCATGTTGACGTAGCCCATGACGCCGCCCGGCGAGCAGAGCGACGCGTCCACCGAGTTGTAGGTCTGGTTGAACGGCAGCTGCCGCGGCTGGTCCATGCCGCCCCCGCCACCCACGGGGGACACTTGCGGCTGCGGCTGCGGCTGCGGCTGCTGTGGCTGCTGCGGCTGCTGCTGGGACTGTTGCTGCTGGGAGAGAAACGCCTGGCGCATCTCGCGCTCGCGGTCCAGCTGCGCCTGCCGCGCCCACCCGAGAGATCGGTCGGCATCTGCTTCCATGGCGTCCGGAGGTGAGTGGACCGTAGACCCGGTCGGGAACGTTGCGGAGTGGACGGCCGAGGCGGAGACGGAGGATCCTCCGTCGGACGTCAGTCCCGGCTCCGTTCGGGAGGGTCCTCCGCCTTCTGCCTGCATGGCATCGTCCAGCGTGACTCCGTTCGGCGTGCCGTTGGAAGCCTCCTCGTCCTCGTCCTCGCCCAGGATCGTGCCGTTGTTCACAACCTTGCCGTTTCTGCGTTTCCACTCCTCCAGACCTCCGGATGTGTCCCGCCTGGACAGCGGCCCGAGGTTTCCTGCGCCGCGACGCGTCTCGGATAAGTGCTGTTGGTAGTCGTGCTTGACTCTCGTGTAGTAGCTGTCCATGTCCTTGAAGTAGGCCACATACGTCGAGGCCATGTTCAGCGTCGTGGCGAGGGTCTTCATCGCGTCGAGGGCGACCGAGGTGGGACCGGACTGTGTGATATCGGCATCGGGAGTTATGACCCGGCTCAGCATGTGGTGCTCTGTGTCCATGTGTGGGAAATGCCAAGCGTAGATGCCGACGAAGGCGGCGGTCCAGATCGCGAAGAGGTTCAGCGAAGACATGGGGAGCCGGTCGCCCGGTTTGCACACGTCGATCAACTCCACAATCTGCCGGGCCGCCTTGAACACTTGCTCGGCGCTCTCTCTCCAGAAGCCGGGCTGTTCTTCGCGGAATTTCGGCTCGTCGAGAGGGCCGACCGGGCCCGGGCACTGCATGGGGATGAAAGGGATGTACTCTCGGTGGAGCATGATCTGACAGACGGCGCTGAGCATGTGCAAGGCGACGTAGGTGCCAGACGCATGCTGGCTCACATGCTTGTGGTAGTTGGTCCTTGAGAACGTGAACGGGCGCGCGAGAGTCTGGAGAAACTCCTGCAGCCGCAGGCGCAGCCTTCGAAACTGCGACTCCTCCCACGGCGGGTTCTGGTGGTCCTGCAGGCGACCGCCCGAGAAGCTGTACGTTGAGATCTCGCCCCAGAGATCGACCAGTCGTATGAACCTCGAGAGGAGGCTTTCTTGATAATCTCCGGCCCTCCAGTGGGCGGGACCGAATCTGAGGAACCCGGTGCGACTTTCCTCCGCCATGTCAAACGAGAGCTCGGAGCAAGGGAGTTTTATGTGCAGGTCTTCCGACCGTATCGTAGACACCCTCTCCTTGCCACACGCCAGCATACGGTCCAAAATAAGGCAGCTGAACATGGTTCGCCGCTTGACCTCTCGCCGCACTACCAGCTCTGATTGCGTCGCAGGGCTCTGGGCTGGCGGAAGCCTTCCCGCCCCCGAGTTTGCCCCCTGCGGTTCCATGCCCTCAAAACAGAGGCCTAGAGCCTGAGCCATCCTGATAGCCACCCCGACATACATCCAAGCTCCGAGACCGCCCTTATTCGGCCGAGCTCTACCCCATTCGTAGAGTCCGAGCATGAGAAAGGCTTGAACCCTCTCCACCGATGCTACCGCCATGCTCGTCCTCAGGGGACCAAGAGCTCTCATGAGGACATCCGCATAGAACTCAGAAGCCGCATCCGGATCCCGTTTCGGGTTGATGTCCTGCAGCCTTCCCTTCTGCTCCATGGAGCTGGCAAAATGTACCACATAGCTGACCATGTTCTTGTGGAACCGAGCAGTCAGGGTCAGGATCCCTAGAAGGACGAGATTCAGGTTCTCGGTCGACTTGCCCGGCTCTTCTTGATCGCTGCCCTTGTGAGCGATGCGTTCCCTCAGTGTCGGCATGTGTATGAAGGGAAGCTCGGTCGCGAAATGCAAACGATAAATCTCAAACACCTCATTCCAGATTTGCTCGCTGAGGAAGCCCGCGCTGAGAACTGTATTGGCAAACTTGGAGGCAGTCTCATAATTGTCAGACCGGGCCTCTTCACCGAGTTTCCTCTTCTGCCTCCTCCCCTCGAGGACGCCGCGGTGGATCAACTTGGCCCGCCGCTGTTCCTCCTCGACTCTTTCCGCAATGGCCGCCGGGCCATCCCGCTTGCTGATCTTGCTCTGGGCGTCCGGGTAGAGACAGCTGGCGCCCGACCTGATGCAGGTATGGCACGGCGCGCCCTGGCCTTCGTTCGTGCACTTGATCTTGGACCTGCGGCACCGCAGACACGCAACGCTGGAGCGCAGCGGCGGCTGGTTCTTGCCGGCTCGCTTGCCCATCACGGCAGACTCGGCAGACTGGCAGTCATAATCATCAGTAGACTCTGACCTTTCCGACCTTTCCGACCGTGAGACCTCCGGTGCCACGGCTGCAGCAGCTTCCTGGTCCGATCCTTCTTTGCTAGCCCGCGGTCGAATGTCGCCAGATGGCGGAGGTGCCTTGTCTGCGTTTGAGCTGGGCGGCGGGATCGAGCGTTGAGCCTCGTCTGGTAACGCAGGCTCAGCAGGCGGAGGAGGAGGAGGCTCTGGCCCCTTGGATGTCCTCTGGGGAGCCTGACCACATCCAGCTGGCTCAGGGCGGGCGGACCTCAAGGGCGTTCTGGGCTTGAGCCTCGGTATCGCCACGCGAGGGCGAGAGATGGAGTCCGGTAATGCTGGACGGACGGGCTCTGGCGGCTTGGGCTGGGCTGAGAGGGTGGCCGAGTATTTCCGCTTGTTGGTTGTGTAGACCTCTGATACTAGCTGATAAGTGTACTCATCGGTGCCCGAGTTCTCGGGCGGAGAGATGATTTCTTTGATACTGAGTGGGTTTGAAATCTTGACGGTTGTTGGGTCTATGACTGACCCCGCTCGAAGAGATCTCTCAGGGTTTGCCCTCTTGGGGGGGAGAGTGGTAGGAGGGGGGGGGACAGGACGACACGAGTTTGCCAGGTAACGAAGTCTTGCCCCTGCACGGAAACGAGAACACGCTGTAGGCGGCCGTGTGGACAATGCTGCAAGGAACACAGGCAACGGTTCTTTTTTTTTTAGGCTGTCCGCAGTGACAAATCTCGTACCAAGGATGGTACCAAGGATGGTGCAAGACGAGGGTCTTGCTTCTAGGATGATAGCCTCCCTTGATCGAGGCGAGCGGCCGAGGAAGTGCTTCCGAGGCGGACTCAGAGACGTTTGCACTGCACCACGTATCACAGCAGGGACACAGACATGCAAAGAGCCGTTAATAGTCCCGATGCAGATTATTTTGACTGGCTGTCAGTGTCGTTCTTTTGCCCCCCTCGGTGCTAGGACTGACTGGGAATCACCTCAACGGACGGGATAGGCAGCTTCACAGGCCGGCGGTCATGGGGCGACGGTACACAGTCTCGCCAAGATGGCCTTCGTATTGGGGCCGAGCGTGGATGCGGGCTTGTTTGCTTGCTTGGATCCTTGCAGGGCGGTTTGCCTTAGTCGAGCCCAGCCGGCAGTCCTACTGGCAATCCTACTGGCAATTCGAGGCCGGGGGTGGTCCAGGATGTCAAGAAAAAGGCACAAATGCGAGTACCCTCCAGTACACAATCAGCAAGTGCGTGGACGGATCGTTCGTTGGCGGGGTTTGTTGGTCTGCTGGCCTGTTTGTGGTGCAGGCTTTTGGGTGTGGTAGATCTGCAAACTTGGTGTCGTCGTGCCTTATCTGTTCTGCCGGCTTCTCGCAGTCAGTCCCTCGAGCTGAAAATCTGCCGAGCCTTGCTGTCCGATTGCTGGATGCGAGCGAGTAGGAGTGAACCGAGTCAGAGCGAGAGCGTTTCAGACAGGTCGTCACTGGAATTGAAGGTATACGTCGAAAATTGTGGTATTTTGCGAGAGGGCAGACTTGATACACAAGGCGCTGCTGTCACTAGGTTAATAAATGCCATCGGGGTCGCGGACCACACGTTGTGGCCACCCGACACCGAGTGCGCTGCGATGATTCGGCCATATTTATGCAGCTTTTTAGACGCATGCATGTACAGGTCTAGAGATGCGCCGACTCGCGGGAAGTCAAACATGGATAGGTCTTGGTGCAATGTGCAATGTGCCCTTCCATGCCAGTCGTGGGAGCGATCGCCGCCATGGGCTGGCGACATGCGAGATAGCATACGGAGTAGGTAGCCTGCGTTCACGATCGACTACAATTGAACAATCTTCAAGCGATGTGGAAGCCGAAGCAGACAACCCTGACGAGAAAGCAGCCACTGCTTACACCACAAGCTGAACTATCCCACCCCGGCTGTGAATGGTGTGAAAAAGGACGCGGCCAGATGCATAGACTCGAGTCTCAGAAAAAAAGCAAAACCACCAGGCGGCCGAACTAGTGTCCAGGGATGGCTGCGGAAAGGCGCTCAAGGCGCTCAAGGCGTCTGTCCAGGAACACCCAGATTGATACCCGTAATCTTACACTGTCGCTCACGTTCTTCCGTCTTTGTCCTATCAGCCCCTCGTCGTGACACTCGCCACTGCGTCCAAAGACGCTGTCCGTTTGGCTGCAGGACGGCCACTGACAATTGCAATTGCATTTCTGAATTCTCGTTGAGAATACCCTGGACCACTTACTTTCCACTTCCTTTCCACCATACCGAGTAGCCAATTGGTGACATTCCGGTCCACCCTGGTGGTGGGCGATATGCAAGCATGGAAAGCGCCTTTTCGAAAGCAAACAAGCCAGGGGAGCTTTGAGCAGACTTGACTGAGTCTTGCACTATTCGCGTGAGATGCCCATGCCCATGCCGGGGATGGAGATCGGAGTTGACGCGACATTCGATCTCCAGAACAGTCTCGAAACTTAGACTGGCGTGTCGTGGCTCGAGGCAAGATCTCTCGCACCATATCAACAACCACTTGGTTGTGCGGTCCTGGCTGCCTCGTCGAAATCCAGGCCTCATTGTGACCCCTTCATGGCTGCGAATTCGAACGTGGAACCAATCGGAAACTCCTGCTCGTAAATGGCGAAAGGACTTCACTCCTGGACACCCGCAAGGACCAGTCCAAGTCTGCCAGACATGGGCATTTGGTACCATCCCTCCTGGGTGTTTGCATGCATATGCATTATCTCACCGAAGCTGAGGCCAGCGTCAAAGAATAGACTGCCAGGGGGGCTCCTTGTCCTCATTTGGATACTTGCTTCTTTCGCCTGCCGCGAAATATTTTGCTCTGTTTTTTCGACCGCTGAGCTTTCCTCACCCTTGCTGGTGCAAAAAGCAAAGTTCTTCGCCACGTTTCCCATTCCATACTCCTGGTGCATGGCGTTTTGGATATGACGAGACCGCTTAAGGAGCGATGCGCGAGGTTGTCCAAGCATGCCGAGATCGTCGAAGCCTTGGTATCCTTTCTGAGAAAGCTGGAGCAAGCTTGATGGTAAGCTCTAGCCCACGAAAAGTATGAACCCATCGACAGATGTATGCCAGAAGTGCATGTGGCAAAGCTCATGGCCATGGAGGGCTGTCCACAGAGGAAGCAAGCCTTGGGAAACGAGCGAACAGTAGGCCGGTGAAGACCATGGCATTCATGACTGCAAGATCTGTGCCTCTGCTGAACAGATGATGTTGACATTAGGTTGGTAACAAGGTATCAACACTAATAAGATAGTCGGGGCGAGGATGTGGGAACGAACCTGGGACGGGCAGGTGGAGATGGCTTCTGTGCCGATTCGTCTGAGTACACTGCCTTGACTGCTTCCACTGCCTCTTACTAGGTACTGCCATCGTCGAGTTTCAGCTGTGCTGTCCTTGTGTGTTGTAGACCGCTAGACCGTAGCCGAGAGCGGGGACCGCACACCGGTTGGACCCGTCGAACTGGTCCGATCATGGAAGCTTCAAGGTTGCGCGCTAGGGACTTTTCTCCAGCATCCATCCATGCCATGCCATGCCATGGATCTTGCTGCTCCAAATTTGGCTGCTCCAAAATTGGCCACCCAATGACGTCGCCAGCAGCGAGAGGCCTCACACCCCCCATTGACCTCACTCGCAGCGCCCGGGAGATCGAGGTAGCGCGTGTGCCATTCTCCACCCTCCAAACATGTTGGTCGTATAAGCGCCAGAAGAGAGGGTCATGGAATGAAATGCGTCTTGGTTGAGTGACAAAGTGACAGGAAGGAGCTGGGAAAGCTTTGGTTTCATAATCCCAAGGAGGTAACCAACACCGCGGCGTTCTTCTTGTGTTCTTCTTGCCTGCCCCTCCTCCTCAGGACATTTCTTTTTTTCCCTCACAATTCCCCTCCTACATCATCCAACTTGGCCTGCTGAAAAGGGGACTCTCTTTCTTCCCTCTGACGAACAACGAACTACCCCTCCATCCCTCCGCTACCACTTGACGACCCCCCCGGCCTGTTGCGCTGCCCTCCAAGCCACCGACATGGCGGGCCAAAATGCAAGTCATAAGCACCTTGCCTGCTTCTGGACTCATTCGGCTGACCCTCCTTCCAGGATCCCAAATTGCTCTATGCAATCAGCGGCGTCTCAGCCTACCACATCGCAGATGGCAAAGAAGAGTCGCTTACCCCCGGAGGGCCCCAAACCCTCTCTCTCCTCATGGTCCCTACCTCGTCGCCCTTTGCCGATCTCGCCGTAGACCCCCAGTCTGGCGCCCCCGAAGAAGACTTCTATCTGCATCTCCATCTTCCTCCCGAACTTGACCTGCCGCTTCCCGCGACCACCCAGATATACCACCAACCGCCGCGGAGCTACCTCATCCCGCGCTGGGACCTTGGTCGCGATGCCGGCGCATTCACGCGAATCGAGTTCCCCTCGGTCGGCAGCCGCAAGGGTCTGCAAGAGGATGTCGACACCTTTGAGACTATCCTAGCGCAGTGCACTGCTTTTCTCGAGCGGGCGCCGCCTCCAAAGACCTCCAAAGTCGGCGGTACGGAGAAGTCAGCCTCCAGCAAGGGCGACTATGGCGCCGAATCGTCCAAATCCAAGGCGGGTCTTGGCGAGGAGCTTCCAGCATATAACCCTGCCGATTTCAAGCCTGGCGAGGGCTATGTGAAGGGTAGCCACAGCTCGCACCAGGGAGGCCAGATTGTGCTGGTGGACGAAGAAGACGGAAGCGTCATTGGCGAGCTAGGTGAAGGCTTCCAGGTGGTCGAGGACAGCGCTCTCAAACCCGGCTCGAAAGGTATGGGACTCTTCACTTGGTCCTACCATCCAATCGAACTATCTAACATATGCCTTAGATCCCGTCGAGATTAAGCTGCCGTCTGACACCAGCCAATTGATCGGAGTCTCGCCCGCCACAAAGGAAGATGTCGAATTGTTGATGCACCCCGCCTATCAAAAGTCTTTCCTGGTGTCTCACGCCGCCCTCGCCTCACGCCTGATCATCACAACGTCAGATATGGTGTCCAAGGCGCTCCAGGGTGGCGCTGATACTTTCACCAAGAAAACTCAGCCGGCGAGCAAGCCGATGACCTTCAAGCCTACGACTCACGAGCACATCCGGCGGATCAACACGTTCACCGGCAGTGTCGCCGGAACATCCTCCAAGACGGTGGGCCACATTGGCAAGGTAGCGCAGAACCTGGGTGCTACGCTGGCACGGCACGGCCAGAAGAACGGGCAGCCGAAGGGTTTTGGGCCCGACGGTCAACCACTGGACAGCTTCAAGCCGGGTCTGCTCAACAAGAGCTTGATGGCCTTCTCGACGGTCGCAGACGGCATTGAGCAAGCAGGCCGGAATCTTTTGACCTCATCCTCGGCAGCTGCCACGACTGTTGTCGGTCACCGGTGGGGCGAGGAAGCCGGCGAAGTGTCACGAAAGCTTGGTGGGGGTGTCAAGAACGTTGGCCTCGTCTACATTGATGTCACGGGTGTGTCCCGCCGCGCCATTATCAAGAGCGTCGCGAAAGGCATGGTCGTCGGCAAGGTTCCCGGTGGCGGCGAGGTCATCGTTGGCGGGGGCGATGGCGGCGCGGTAACGATCCAGGATGTGACCAAGGACAAGGAGGCCGCTGGCTCGGTTGCGGGGTCTAGTAAGGCGGGTTTTGGCGACAAGAACCCGTACAATGGGAAGCACTGATACGCGCGGATCGGGTGTGCATGAAAAAAAAAACGAGTTGTATGAGATATGGCTTCCAATGAGTTATCACAGTGTTTATAACATCCAGCTGTGGATGTCCGCGAGCATGAATGAAGGGTTAGCTTCACCGTTAATTAATGTAGGGATGCACTTGATTCTGTCCGAGTTTAGAGTAGAACATTAGTGTCGCGAATCTGACTGCAGTTCCGTTATTATTGTCGTTGAGCATTCTGTCCGATGATCTTGAGATGCGCTCACAGAGATAGGTGCGTACATAGTTGTGGTTCTGAGAGCACTCTGTGGTGTTGAGGGGCAGTCGCGTACTAAACGCGTCCACTTAATGGGCTGCAGGTAGGTAGTCTGGTCGTTCAAATGGCCGCCGCCCAACCTCGAATCATACGCAGGTGCAACCCAATTGCCAATGAGGAACTGCCCATCCATGGCAGCGGTAGTACCTCGTCGCCGGCATTCTCGACTCAATTGACGATGCCACTTGCTTGCAGGAAATCGAGTTGAGTGTAAGCCTCCCCCAGCTCACCATAACGAGGCCCGGCGCAACTCCAGCCGCTCTGCTGGACGGACGGACGGCATCCCCAACACGCCCCTCACTTGACCATTCACCGCCGCCAACCCTAGCAGTCAAATGTGTCGCTTTGAGCTTCTTGGTGCACTCATATTGTTATTGAGGGATGTCAGGGCGAAGCGGCAGCGCAGAGAGTCACGCCAGGAAGCAAATCTGTATTTTGAGACACATGCCCAACGACGCAGATATTCGCGAGGCGAGACTAATGTTGCTCCCATCAGGACGACCAGCCGACCACGATGCTCCACGAAATCCTCCTTTCCCTCTCGGGGCACCCGTCTCCGCTCCTCAGGGCGGACCGAACGGGCATAGACACATCCTCCGTGATCTCGCCGCCCGAGCGTGAGCTCCTCGCCTCGGTTGCACATCTCAGCGACCTCCACGTAAAGTTGATCAACTCTACGGCCCAGATCAGCTCCTCGCACCCGTCGGCCATCTGCCGCGCCGTGACCACCGCCGTCGACTCCATATACCTCGCTGCCTTCCAGCGCAAGATCCTCGAAGTGGAAGACTCCATACTGCGCAAAGACGCTGGGCTTGTCGGCGCCTACAATACTGTCCCCTTGACCGCGGTGGTGGGCGAGTTCTCCGGCTGGGTCAGGCGCATGGAATGGCTCTGGGCCCTTGTGCAGTTCATCAAGGAGAAGACCAGGCGCGGCAAGGATGATGAGGACCTCTACTGCACTGGCGCCCAACTGATAGATCGGTTACGCGGGGAGTTGCAGACCGGCTATGTCGACATCGAGGAGGCAGTGCGCAATCTCGTCCAAGCAGCAGAGATTGCATGGCTCAAACAAGTGTCGGCTTGGATCCTGTATGGTCGTCTACCAACGTTTGGAGGAGATGACTTCTTCATTCAGAGGATAGAGGATAGCGACGAGGTATGATCTGACCTAATATTTTGTTGTACGCCATCGACTAATCCAAGCAAGCAGGATTTTATATCAGTGCCAGAGCTGTTACCTTCGTTTGTGGCGCCCTCCACGGCCACATCAATGCTGTTCATTGGCAAATCACTGAATCGAATACGGGCCAAAAGCGCCCTCGATACGAACTTGCGCGGCATCGACCATTTGTCGTCACAGCTGAAAGAATTGTCCAGACTAACGTACCCATTGGACCCCGCAACCTTTTTCAGAACCATTACCGGCATCAGGTTGCATCTGTCCAAGACTATCCTGCAGAAGCTGCTGCCCGTCAGCAAAGCTGTGGAGATACTGCAACTCCTCCGGGACTTCTTCCTGCTTGGCCGCGGCGAGTTCGCCATGGCGCTCAGCCAACAGGCAGACGAAGCGATACGCAGTAGATGGCAGCGCGCCGATAATTTGGCATACGAGAAGCGCGATGCACTAGCCACCGTCACAGTCAAGGAAGGCGAAGTGGCCGCTGTTCTAAGCCGGACATGGGCAGTCCTTGGGTCTATGCAAGGGCAGCATGCTGAGGAAGACGAGGGCCTCGAGTTGGCACGGGATCTACTCCAGCTCACTCTTACCAGGTCCAAGTCGACTACGCCGCTCAAGCCCAGCGTAAGAGCGTTGGCGCCAACGCCGTTTCAGAACCTACTGTTCTCTGTCCCTGCGATCTTGACCCTAAATATACCCTCTCCTTTGGACCTCTTTCTCAACGCCACGGACCTTCAAACCTACACCGTCATAAACTCTTACCTTCTCTCTATAAGGAGGGCACACCTGCACCTGACCGATCTTTGGAAAATCACCTCGATCCGTCGGCACCATCCCCCTCCGCCCGGACCGCCCTATGGCAGTACGAAGAATGGACAGGCGAAAGTACGCTTGCTCCGTGAACGACACATTGGTCGTTCAAACGCCATGCGGTTGGCTTGGGTTACTTGTAGTGCCGCCATATTTTTCCTCGCCGAGACAGAGGGCTATCTGCAGACCGAGGTGGTCTCTGGTTTGTGGGAAGGCTTTCAAAAGTGGCTTCTCACTGGGAGTGATGACCCTCGACAGAACGAGCAGCAACACCCCGCAAAGCTGTCCGCTGCGTCAGAACATACGGTGGAAGAGGATGATGTCTGGCTTGCAGCTTCGTCATCAGATCTGGACGGACAGCCCTCCCTGCGACACCACAAGGAATCAGAAGGTTCGCAATCTGAACCTCATGACCCGGAAACACTCGCCGCTGCCCACAGGATCTACCTGAGGACTCTAACGCGGCGTCTTTTGCTGACGAACAAAGCTTTTACGGACCCTCTGTACGAAGTTCTCGTCGATGTTGACCATCTGGTTGCTCTGATCCGCCGTCTTCATGGCATCTGGACATCCATGGACCTCGAGGCCGACATGGGCGTCATTGATGCATTCGTCGACTTGGAACGGGAGGAGGTGGATGTACAGAGATCGATCAAGAAGGTGGCGGAGAAGGTCAGGCTGGGCATCGAGCAGGTAGTGGGAGTTTTGAGGGCCATGGAAGGCAGCCCCTTTACCAATGACGACTTTGCTTTCGACGAGGACGGGGGCGCTGCTGCGGAGGAAGACGATGACGATATCGGGGCGGGCCTGCGACAGAGCGGCCACTATGTGCCTCGTCGGGTGGGTGGCATAGACAGGTTGCTGGTCAAGCTGGACTTTGGTGCTTGGTTTGACAAGAGCGGATCGGGTAATGGCGTTGACGACGATGACCTATGAGGCTATGACCTACAATACCACTTGGTTCTTTACAAACTGCATTAGAGTGTCAATGGGGCCAAGGTTGGCATCAATAATTGTAATTCAATTGTCGCCCCTGTCCATGATTCCATCGTACATACTCTTTCCTTGTCTTGGGCAGGCCCTTTTGCCTATATGATATTATATTGAACCTTCTGGAAAACATCGCCATCATAAGAACTCCAGGACCGAACCAGGCCAAAACTCGGCATCTGGATATGATCGTATCTCCTCCATGCGATCGAGGTCAAGCTCGTAGTTCTCAAGTAGATTCCCTGGGTGCAGCTTCGTCGCCTCGTACTCGTCGACCCTCCAGACCTCGACACGGATCAAGCCAGGTTTCCAGAAACGAGGGTTGGAACTCTGAAGCTCTTTGATCTAGCAGTGACAGCATTTTTTTGGTTGTCAGAATACGAAAACAGAGGGCTCGCTCAAGAAAACCACACAGAGATGGTGGCATTGGGGATGTATGTATCTGGGCCGTTTCTCACCTTTTTCAAGAGGGACTTTTGCCCGAGCCACTCGGCCTGCCAGACGTTGGGCCGCCCGACGTTGTGCATCTTGAGCAGGACGCGCAGCTCGGCGAAGGAGTTGCGCTCGAGCAGCACGGCGACGAGCTCCTCGACCACGCCGCGCCAGGCCCACCAGCTGCCGAAGCGGCCCTGGGCCAGCGAGGGCCGGACGTCGATGCGCCGCAGGTGCTGCAGCGTCGAGGGGGTGATGAAGGCCGTCAGGGGCGAGGGCTGCGGGCGGCCCGGCGGCCAGGGCGGCGGTCGGTCGATGACGAGCCACCCCGAGCGCAGGATCGGGAGGCACTCTGCCGTGATGAGCCGGCAGAGGAGGAGGATCGTCGGGGTGCGGAGGCGGGGTCTGAATGGTTGATGCCGGAGAGAGGGGGGCTGGTCCGCTCCTCCGGAGGCCTTGTGCTTGTGAGCCGGGCCCGGGTCCGGGTCCGGGTCCGGGGCGTAGTAGCTCGAGTACAGGGTCCGCGAGTCTGGGAGCTGGAGGGACCAGGTGTAGATCATGTTGCGGATCTCGGGCGGGAACTGCAGCCACGAGCAGGGCGCTCGCCAGCGGCTGTGGGTGAACGTGCTGCTGTCTGTTGCTGCATTGATCCGGATTTGGGAATGGCGAGGTCCGCCTTGCGACTGAGGGAGAGGTTCAATTGCCGATTGATCGGAGGCATTGAACGCAGCAGCGGTGTCTGTCGCTTGTCCATCATGCAGGTCTGGACGGGGTTCGCATGGCGGGGCGACGGCGCCGCTGCCGGCGTCCTCGCTTAGGACCCGAGCCGCAGGGCGATCGAAATCGGCGGGGGTCCCAGCGCCGCCGCCGCCGCCGCCGCCAGTGGAGATGTCTAGCTTAGCACCGGCTGTTGTTGCTCTGGACGTTGTAGGCCGTCGAGCGTCGATGGCCTGGGGGCGATCCTGGAGGGAGCAGGTTGTCGAGCTGTCCTCAGGCCGGTGGAAGTCGTGTCCTGGACAAGACGAAGCGGCTGCGCCCAGCCGCCCAGGCGGTGTTGTTGTCCAACCGGGTCGGAGGGACCTGTCATCGCAGGCCGTGCCGTGTTTAGGCATGTCGACGCCCGCATTGACGGAGCGAGAATTGGCTGAATAGGCAGGGGGTTTGAGGGCTCGACTAGCTCTCATGCAAATGGAGGCGATCCTGATAAGGGCTTTGGGGGAACGAGAGGCTGTTGATCGCTTGGGTGCTAACCAGAATGGCTCTCGACCGTGTCTCTCCTTTGCTTTGTTTTCCCACCCTTTCCCTTGTTTTTTTTTTATTGTTTATGTTATTGGGTTTTGCTTTTTGGTTATCGAGAAACGGTTTTGGGGTGGCACCGGCACACAAGGACCAGTGTCTCTGAGAGAGGTCCGGTCCTTGTAAGTCGAATCAACGGTCCCCCCACATCCTACCAGATCGGCCTGGGGAGAATGAGAAGAGGCCTTGAGAGAAGGCAAACTGGCAATTTTCTGCAGCCTGGCCTGCTTATTATTAAGAGGACAACAATGGTGACTGGGAATGACTGCCTAACAGGGGGGGAAACAGGACAAGGCATGGCAGGCTGCCTGTCGGCCCCCTACCCGACGAGGTGGCTTATTACTTCCCTTCCGACGCGGCCATTTGCATTCAAAAAAGTGTCAACAGCCAACAGTCTTCTTGAAGCTGCACCGAGTTGTGACACAAGGCCACTCCAAACGAGGGCTGCCGGGGGGCTGGGTGTGACGCTTCCGGACCCGACTTCGTGCATACAAAAAATCCCACTACAGTACGGGAGCATGCAGAGTATCCACCCCTCCCTCCCTTGCTGAGCTCGCAAGGGATGAGTCTGGATTGGAATAGACTGCTTGTGACTTGTGTGGCTTGGTTGGCCGTTTAGTTTCTGCTTCCGATGTTATGCAATGCAGTGTTTTTGCTTGAATATCAAAAGTGAGATTGCATGTATTCTGTCATGACAAGTAGAACAAGGATGTTCGAGTTAAGACATGCTCCAGATAGTCAGCGAGGACCACAGAGTCTGTTACTGAAAGCATGAGCTCAGACAAACGTAAAAGTAAATACTTGGTCTTGTGTTCACCTGATCACAACATTCATCCATGTATGTGTCCAGGGCTAGCACAGTGACTGTGGAAGACAGGCTGAAAGTTCTCGGTGTGCAAATGCCCACAGCGCCATTTAGCATGCTAAGCGGTGCTGGGGAAAAGAGATCAGAAAACCAGAACTTGAGATATTTGTGATCAAAGGCTGGGCCTTGGAGAGAGATGGAACAGGCTGCCGTAACCCAGACTTGTCGAACAAAGCGTATCTGCATTTGCCGATTCGTTCATAGGTATCGTCGGGTTTAGGTAGTGGGATAACACCTCTTCGCGAGAAAAGATACCTTCACTCCCTACCTAGGTAGACATGTAGGTAATCTCTGTAGGTACCTACTTGACGACGGCACTTGAAATCATCGTCGGATTTCCCCATTCCTATTTCTTGGGTCGGTCTAGGTCTGGTGCAGTGCCATTGATATTGGTCTCAGCACAGGCTATGATCGGCTTTTCTGATAGTGTTTACAGTGTTTCTAAATTGGGACCTCGAAAAAGGATCAATCAATGATGCGACAAGCTGGGCGACGTGCTGACACAACGAGGGCTGGAGACATTGTTTTAGCGCGTGGGCTGGTGCCAGAGACACTGTAACCCAACTGTGTCTTTAGCAGGCTCGGCAGCCTGGCAGCACACAGTGCTCATTGGGTCCAGTGACGCAACTCGGGTGCTCAGCCAGTCGCAGCTCAACCCTGGCTGGAGGTTTGGTGAGAGCACAGAGGACATCTAGTGACGGCCACCTGGCCTGCTGCTGACCCCCCCCCCGGACCCTCGGTCTAGACCAAGTTTTTCCTCTCCATTTCCCTCCCTCCCTCTCCACCCATTCCATCCACCCACCTGAACCCAACTCCATCTTGATTTCAATCCACGTACGCCACCTTTTCCCTCTCGCACACACCTCTGATTCCACTCCATACACCTCCTCCTCCTCCACAATCCTTGTATCTACACGCCCGGGCACACTGACTCCAGAGGGCACCAGGGCCGAGACCCAGGCTTGCCAAAGTAGCTCTCTCGCCCTTGTCCTTGCTGGCTGTCGATGACTTTCTGATTATTGAGCATTATCGAGCTTGTTTTTTCTTTCCTTTTCCCTCTTCTTTCGCTTCGTCATGACGTCCAATCCTCACCCGGGCCTTCCCTTGGGTGTCCCTAATTTTCGACGTTTTGCTCAACCACCAACCCATCCGAACCCGCCCAACAAGTCGTCCCCGGGACTTTCGCAACACGCCTCTCCCTATCAACAACAAGCCTATCCCTCGCCTCAGACGCAGCCTGGAGGTTATCACCAGCACCTGTACTCGAGCCCTACCCCGACCCCCGTGCCCGGCATTGGCAACGTCCAAAATGGCTCGAGGCAGCCTCCCCAGCAGATTGCTCCCCCCGTCCCGGGTCCTCGACAACGACCCGGACCACCGCGACAGCAACCCATGGCATACCAGCTGCAATCGTTGAACCAGCAGTCGCTGAGCCACCCGGGTCCTCCCAGTGACAACCAGATCCTGGGTCATCAGCAGTCTCAGCAGCCTCAATCCCAGAGTGCCCTCCAACACCAGCACCAGCACCAACACGCACCACAGCATGCACATCAGCACCAGCAACCCCCTCAACCGCAGCTGCCGCAGGTTCAACAGGTCCCGCAGGTTCCGCAACCCCAACAAGTCCCACAAATCCAGCAGGTGCAACAAGTTCAGCAAGTCCAGCCTGTTCATCAGCAACAGCAACAGCAGCAGCAGCAGCAGCAGCAGCAGCAGCAGCAGCAGCAGCAGCAACAGCAGCAGCAACAGCAACAGCAGCAACAGCCGCAGCAGCCACCGCCCCAGCCCCAGCAACCAGAGCCTCCGGCGCCTGTGGCAGATATTCGGCATGATGGAGACATGGACATCGACAGCGCGGCTGACGATGCCGAGGGAGAGGATCACTCGATGGAACCCAAGATTCTCGATGGGACGCCATTCGTTCCACGCGAGCCTATGGGGCCGATGATGTCGGCGCCTCCCGAGGGTGGCAGTTTTCCTACCCTCGAAGCCGTACACAAGTTCGTCCTTGCCTACTGCACCTCTGTAGGTTATGCTGTTGTCATCGGCCGGTCCAAGAAGACGGTGCCGGGCCTGAAGAAAGTCCTGTTTGTGTGTGATCGAGGAGGCAAGCCGCCGAGGCGAGTGGACCCGGAGCAGCGCAAGCGGAAGACGTCGTCGCGTAAATGTGATTGCCAGTTCGGTTTCTTTGCCATTGAGCAGCGTACACAGTGGACGGTGCGGTATCGTCCTGATGCTCAGCACCTCAAGCACAACCACGGCCCAAGCGACAGCCCACTTCACCACCCCGCAGCGAGAAAGCTCGACAGCAAAATGGTTGCAGCTGTCAAGGCCCTCAAAGACTCAGGTTTGTGTCTCATGGCTCCGCACTGGATGGTCGCGTGCTAACACAAATCCACAGGCGTCGGGGTGACCCAGACTCTGGAAATTCTTCAAAACGAGCATCCTCACGTCCCTCTCCTTCCTCGCGATATCTACAATGCTCGAGCCGCCATCAATCGCAACCCTACCAAGGTTGAGTCTGGCATCGCGGAAGACAGGCCGGCCATCTACAGCAAACCTCATCCTACAGCTGAGGAGCGCATTCGGGCTGATCTGCGTCGCGAACTGGCGAAGACGCGCGAGGAGCTCGACAAGCTCAAAGACACGAGCAAGAAAGAGATTGAGGACCTCAAAGACAAGCTTAGGGAGAAGGATAAGCTGATCAAGAAGTTCGAGATGTTCATCGACATCTGCAACCAGAGGGTCATGGTGCAGAGAGAGAAGCTTGCCGAGGACGGGGATGCAGACGGAGGACCGGGCGCCGCAGCGAGTGCGGCAAGCTGATGCTCGTTACGGCAGAAGCGGCGATGACGGGCAGTGCATTTACACGGCTTGGTCGCCTGCTCTCTGACGTTCAAGTCAGGATGGACCAGTTTCTTCCCAATCGGTAACGTAATGGGTGCATAGGCGCGTGGCAGGGTTTCTCTAAAAGATCGGTTTATGGGACAGGGACACACTCGGGTTATGAGATGCTCGGGTCGAGCAGTCACGGACAGAGGGTTCTGTTGGCTGATTCGCAGGTTTTATAGCAACATCTCACGGCGGAACATGGGGACATTATTTCGAGCGTATTCTAAATGGGGAAAACAAAATAAAGGAGATGCGTAATGCTTTATGAACTCAACCAGGAACCAAATCATTCACGAGTCTGGGGAGGGCCGGTGACAACGGCAGGCTGTTTGATGGCCCGACCAACGTTTTGACTCCATCTTACACTGGCCTGCTGTGACTAACTAAGCCATATAATAGCACACGTATCCGCTCCACAGGAGAACAGATCCCGGATAACTCTATTCCCTTACCCATCGTGGCCATGTTGCGATGTTCTATGTTCTACTTACTACTTGTATTTCGACGACGAGATTGGTTTCTGCAGGACGTCGAAATGATCCAAAGCTTGGCATATCAATTTGGTGTTCTGGGTCGGCAGATCCCCGTCGCCGCCGCCTGCGGGCCAATGATGACTGGCCTCTAAAAAGGAGCTGGACCCTCCTCTGTGGAGACCCGTGGAACCTCGAGCTTCGGTAGCCTCCCGCCCGCGCGTTTGGCTGGTTTGGTGGCCACGAGCCCGCTGCAAAATAACGAAAGTGGAGAGGAAAGTGGAGGGGCGTCCCAGCGGACACATGCCCGTCGCGTCGCGACAGGGGTTTGGTTTGATCGCGTTCGACTGGGGGAGGACGCAATTTAGCTGTTCAGACCGTCAACTCTTTGTGACAGCTGAGGACTAACCTTCCAAGGTTGTTCTTTTTCTTTAAACAACAGCATTGTTCTATCAACCATGGTACAAGCGAGAACAAAAGAGTCAAATTGTAGTCTTTGGGCCTCCCAGTAATATACCTAGGTAAAAAAGCCAGAGGATACATCCCCGAACGTATCTCCTGCATTGTCTGGCCGAAAGTCAACACACACAGCAGCCGTGGACGCACGTACCACATGCGGGACCCCCATTCACTAAACAGCAACAGCGAAGCACTGACGCAGGCTTCCCTCCTGCACATTAGATGTACCATCACCAAAACCGAGTGCTCCTTCTTCTCTCCTTGAAGGACTGGTCGATAGTGCTCGTCTCGATACCCCGGAATCACGCACTCCTTTTCTCCATTTCTGATTCTCTATCATTCAAAAGCGACTTTTGTCTGTACTTTCCCACTCTCCGTGGTCGCCTAGATTATCTACTCCCCTTTTTAATCGCACTTGCAGATACCCCCCTATTAGAGATGCAAAGGGCACAGTAAACGACTCCCGTCCCGACCTATGCCAACCAACGAATAGATACCTAGGTAGATCGCCATGGACGTAGTGGCATCTGCCCAGACCCCAAGTCCGGCTCCCAACGGTGTCGCGGACTCGCCGTTCGTCACCATCGACCCGCAGCGCGTTGTCGACCACTTGGTAACCCTGCTCGGCGCTGCTCTGGGCGCGAAACACGACGAGCTCGAAGCACCGGGCAGCTTGCTTGCGAAGGACCGCATAGCCGACACGATACAGCGGTGTAACCGTTTTGCCAACGACAACCAACCCTTTTTGTACATCCGCAAGGACCTGGCCTCCTCGCCAGATCTCGAGAATGGCGATGCCGACTCTCGTTAGTGGACCTACAAGCCGGGGGACGACCTCGTGAAGGCTCCCGTGTTGTCCTCTCCCTGATACTGACTATGGTGTCCACACAGAACCCCAGGTGCACAGCTACACGCTCGCTCCCGATATGTCTTCAACTGCTACGACCGTGTCTTTCCTCGGTCTGCTGAAGCGCCCGCAGCCTCTCGATCCTAATGTTCCGATAAACCTCCAAGTCCAGTTCCTCAACCTGCCAGGCCCGGCATACCTGGCCTCCACCGTAGGAGAGCAGGGCTCTTCTGCCTCGCCGTGGGAGATTCTTCAACTCTATCTTCACAACGGTCTGGCGCCATACTTCGATGCGAGCACAAAGAGCCAACAGGTGGTGAACGGTACTCGAGGCAGGGCGGACATCGATGCCAAGACCGGCATCCCGGTCACCAAGAAGAGATGGACAGAACTGGAGCTGAGCCTGTCGCATTTGCAACAGAATGTCGAGATCCCCGAAGTCTCGCTGCCCTTCAACCCCGTCGTTCAGAACGCTCTTGACGAAGCCGCCGCTCGCAACATCCGGCCGTCGATCGAGATGATCCCCGCTGCGCTGGTACTCGACAGTAGTTTCTTGAACAACCTGCAGGCGACGGTCAATAACTGGATCAAGTCCATCCAAGTCATCACAAAGATGACGAGAGACCCGGCGACGGGCACCGCGACGCAGGAGATCAATTTCTGGCTGTCCATGGAGTCTGCCCTGGAAGGCATCGAGGCACAGTTGCGAGGCGACGGTGTGCTGTTGACGCTTGATATCCTGAGGCACGCGAAGCGATTCCAAGCCACCGTCAGCTTCTCGTCCGATACGGGACTCAAGGAAGCCATGGATAAGGTGCAGAAGTACAACCAGCTCATGCGAGATTTCCCCCTGGATGAGCTTCTCTCTGCAACGTCGCTTCCCAAGGCTCAGGACGCCGTTGCGCAGATCTTCAACCACTTGAACAAGAAGTTGAGGATCTGCCCGTACCCTATCAGGCGAGCTCTTCCCTTCGTGGAAGCCATCTCTGGAGATCTGGACGAGGTGATGCACCGCCTGCTTCCTGGCACCGAGCTGGTTGAGCTCGACTACGATGAGTTCCGCGCTATCATCTCGCAAGCCACCAAGGCTTTCACGGCCTGGGATGATTCTGTCAAGGATTTCACAAATGTCGCTCGTGAAGTGACGAGGCGGCGCAATGAAAAGTTCATCCCCATCAAGATTGCCCCCCGGCATGTAGACCTACAATCTCGTCTGAAGTACGTTTCTGCTTTTCGGAACAACCATGAGCAGCTGCAGCGCACAATCCTGAACGTCCTTGGCCCCAAAGCATCCGAGAATGGCACCGCAGAAGCAAACGCCCCTAATGGCGTCGCCGTTGTCGAGGAGATGGGCGATGTGGACGCGATTGAGGAGGTGAAGCAGGCCTGGGAGGCCCTGAGAAACGTCGACCTACTGGATGTTTCCCCAGAGGGCACAGCCAAATGGGTCAAGGCCGAGAACACTTACAACGAACGGACCTCGCGCGTTGAGAACTCCATCATTGCTCGCCTCAGAGATCGCCTGGCCACGGCCAAGAACGCCAACGAGATGTTCCGCGTCTTCTCCAAGTTCAATGCCCTCTTTGTGCGACCCAAGATCCGTGGTGCTATCGCCGAATACCAGACGCAGCTCATCGACAACGTCAAGCAGGCAATCAACGCATTGCACGAGCGGTTCAAACAGCAGTATGGCCATTCCGAGGCGCACGCGATGGCTCAGCTTCGTGATTTGCCCCCTGTCTCCGGAGCCATCATCTGGGCGCGAATGATCGAACGCCAACTCGATGGGTACATGAAGAAGGTGGAGGCTGTCCTCGGTGCAGACTGGGACCTCCATGCCGAAGGCCAGAAGCTCAAGAGCGAGGGCAACCTCTTCCGTAAGAAACTGGACACTCGACCCATTTTCGAGGCCTGGTTACACGATACGCAGCGGAAGAAGATCTCAATCTCCGGCCCCCTCTTCACCATCCTCAAAATCCGATCGGCCGGAAATGCCCTAGAGCTTGCTGTGAACTTCGACCCTCAGGTTATCGCCCTGTTCAAGGAGACTCGAAACCTCGTGACGTTGAACTACAATGTGCCACACAACATCAACACCGTCTCGAAGGAGGCAAAGCGTGTTTACCCCTTCGCCGTCAGCTTGATGGAGAGCGTTCGCACCTTCATCCAGACGAATCGACAAATTTCAGAGATGACTGATGTTTCCGTGTTGCTAAGCGGGCATCGCAACGAGGTCTACTCTCTCATTGCCAAGGGCATTCCGCTCAAGTGGGAATCCTTCGTCAATACCTACGAACTGCATTTCAAGACGCCTGGTATCTTTTCCAACGGTTCGACTGAGCGCCCTTTCCCCAAGGGAAGCGAGAGCAAACACGTACTCTTCGTCCGTGAGTTCGCTGCCTCGGTTTCGGTGCTGCAATCTAAGACGACCACCCTGGCTTCGATCCATTCAACGATCCAGAAGGCACTCATTGAACTCGGTACTTGCCCGTATGAGATGTCTGCGTTTGAGTCGCGACTAGAGACTATCCAGATGGCTGTTGACCAGCTTAATCTGGAGCAGTATGTCAACCTTGGTTTCTGGGTACAGGCTATGAATCAGCAGATTAAGGACACGCTGCTATCACGCCTGCAACGTGCCATACAGGCCTGGATCGAGGCATTCGAAGATGAGTCCCCTGAGCAGGCCTCCAACGATCGACGAAAGGTCTCCGGTGACGCCGCAGATGGCAAGTCAGACGTTCCAGTCATGAAGCGTCTTGTCCACGAAATCACCATGCGTAATCAGGTCATCTACCTCGACCCGCCAATGGAGTTTGCACGAGCTAGCTGGTTCTTGCAACTGCACGAGTGGCTAGGAGTCGTTTGCAACCTCAGGAAAATCAAGGCCTCTAGATACCAGATGAGCCTGAGCACGACAGTCCAGGATGAGCCGCGTTTCAACGATCTTCCCAGCGAATGCACGCAGATGCTCGCGCGTGTGCACACGTCCATCGAGAAGAAGCTGCAGGAAGTGAACGGCTATGTAGACAAGTGGCTGCAGTTCCAGTCTCTGTGGGACCTGCAGTCCGAGCAGGTGTACGAGATTCTTGGGGACCAGCTGGCTCGTTGGCTTCAGCTGTTGCAGGAAATTCGAAAGACTCGTCAGACCTTTGACACCACCGAAGTCAGCCGTTCATTTGGCCACATCACAATCGACTATGACCAAGTCCAGACCAAGGTCAATGCCAAGTATGACCAGTGGCAACACGATATCCTCATCAAGTTTGCCAGTCGACTGGGTAACCGCATGCGAGACGTCTATGCCGAGATCGAGAAGGCTCGCAAGGATCTGGAGATGTCCACGCTCGAGACTAGCTCCACCGCTCACGCGGTCCAGTTCATCACGATCGTGCAGAGCTGCCAGCGTCAAGTCAAGCTTTGGGCACCTGAAGTCGAGACCTTCAGACAGGGCGAATCTACCCTTGTCAGGCAACGGTACCAGTTCCCCAACGACTGGCTGCATGCCGAGCAAGTTGATGGAATGTGGGACTCGCTCAACGACATCCTCGGACGCAAGTCGAAGATTGTATCTGATCAGAGCGACGGCCTCCGGGCGAAGATCATCGCCGAGGACAAGGTGGTAGTTGACAAGATCACCGAGATCGCGAACCAATGGAACGAGGAGAAGCCGGTCTCCGGTACTATTCCTCCAGACGAGGCCTCTGCTACTCTGGCCTCTTTCGAGTCCCGCATCACTCAGCTTCAGGAAGAGTCTGCCATGGTCGCAAAGGCCAAGGAAGCTCTCGACCTGCCTGCCAGCGTCGACGGATCCCTGGCTGTCATTCTCGAAGAAGTCCATGACTTCAAATCCGTCTGGGCTTCCTTGTCGCTCATCTGGAAGAGTCTGAACGAGCTTCGCGACATCCTGTGGAACAGTGTCCAGCCGCGCAAGATCCGGTCTTCCATCGACAATCTCATCAAGATGACCAAAGAGATGCCCAGCCGAATGCGTCAGTACGCCGCGTTTGAGCACATTCAGAACATCCTGCGCTCTTACATGAAAGTGAACTCTCTACTGGGAGACCTCAAGTCTGAGGCCGTGCGAGACCGCCACTGGACCAAGATCTACAAACAGATCAAGCCTGGCAAGCGGTACTCGCCGATGTCCATGACCCTAGGAGATGTCTGGGACTTGAACTTGGTGGCAACGGAGCTCATCATCAAGGATATCATAGCACAAGCGCAGGGAGAGATGGCGCTTGAAGAGTTCTTGAAGCAAGTCAGGGAGACCTGGACCGGCTATAACCTTGAGCTGGTCAACTACCAGAACAAATGCCGTTTGATCCGCGGCTGGGACGACCTCTTCACCAAGTGCAGCGAAAACACCAACTCCTTGCAGGCCATGAAGCACTCTCCTTACTACAAAGAATTCGAGGAGGAGGCCACGTCCTGGGAGGACAAGCTCAACCGTGTGCATGTTCTCTTCGACGTCTGGATCGACGTGCAGCGGCAGTGGGTCTACCTTGAGGGCGTCTTCACGGGCAATGCCGACATCAAGCATCTACTCCCCATTGAGTCGTCCCGCTTCCAGAACATCAACAGCGAATTCATGGCTGTCATGAAGAAGGTCTACAAGCAGCCGTACGTTCTGGATGTGCTCAACATTCCCAATGTCCAGAAGTCTCTCGAGCGTCTCGATGATTTGCTCAACAAGATCCAGAAGGCTCTTGGTGAGTATCTCGAGAAGGAGCGTGTGTCATTCCCTCGCTTCTACTTCGTTGGTGACGAAGATCTCCTGGAGATGATTGGTAACAGCAACGATACCCTCCGTATCGCAAAGCACTTCAAGAAGATGTTTGCTGGCGTCTCTGGCCTTGTCATGGACGACGAAACCATCATTTCTGGCGTCACGTCAAAGGAAGGTGAAGTTGTGCCCCTGAAGAAGGAGATTTCTCTTGCCAAGACACCGCGGATTAACGACTGGCTTGCGCTCCTGGAAAATGGAATGAAGGCCACCCTCGCTGAGCTGCTTGCCGAGGCCGTGGAGAAGTATACTCCGATTTTCTCCAACGAGACTATCGATCAAGCAGCTTTGAACGACTTCATGACTACTTTCCCCAGTCAGATTGTCGTCCTTGCAACCCAGGTCGTGTGGACAACTGCAGTTGATCAGTCTTTGGCGGCTGGTGGTAGCACGCTAAAGTCTCTCTTCGATCGCGAAGTCCAAGTGCTTCGCCTGCTCGCCAATACTGTCCTTGGTGATCTCGAGGTATTGATGAGAAAGACCTGCGAACAGCTCATCACGGAGTGTGTCCATCAGAGAGACGTGATCGAGAAGCTCATCAAGGCCAACGCCACCTCGCAGACCCACTACCTGTGGCAGTTGCAAATGCGCTATGTCTACACGCCGGAGGGCGACTTCCTGCAGCGCCTGCACATCAAGATGGCCAACGCCAAGCTCAACTACGGCTTCGAGTATCTGGGTGTGCCTGACCGCCTCGTCAGAACGCCACTCACTGATCGCTGCTTCCTGACTCTCACCCAGGCTCTTTGCCAACGCCTCGGAGGATCTCCTTATGGTCCTGCTGGTACCGGCAAGACCGAGTCTGTGAAAGCGCTTGGTGTTCAGCTTGGAAGATTCACACTGGTCTTCTGCTGCGACGACACCTTTGATTTCCAAGCCATGGGCCGTATCTTCCTTGGTATCTGCCAAGTTGGTGCTTGGGGTTGTTTCGATGAGTTCAACCGTCTTGAGGAGCGCATTCTTTCTGCCGTATCACAGCAGATCCAGAACATCCAGCTTGGTCTCAAGCAGGGAGCCGAAGATGACAAGGCCCAGATTGAGCTTGTCAACCGACAGCTCAGGGTCAATGCCAACACTGGTATCTTCATTACCATGAACCCTGGCTATGCCGGCCGTTCCAACCTCCCTGACAACTTGAAGAAGTTGTTCCGCAGCGTGGCTATGTCGAAGCCCGACAAGGAGCTGATTGCCGAGGTCATGCTGTACTCGCAAGGTTTCAACCAGGCGAAGCAACTGTCCAAGCAGACTGTCCCGTTCTTCGACCAGTGCGCAGGCAAATTGTCGAAGCAAGCCCACTACGACTTCGGGCTTCGTGCTCTCAAGAGTGTGCTGGTCAGCTCTGGTGGTCTCAAGCGTGCCCGTATTACCGACAGCGATGGTAAAATCGGCGCAGAGGATATCGTTGAACCCGAGATTATCGTGCAGAGCATTCGGGAGACTCTTGCACCCAAGCTCATCAAGTCTGATGTTGAGATCATGTCCGGCATCGAGGAGGTCTGCTTCCCTGGCATCCACTACGTCCCCGCAAACCTACGTAAACTGGAGGATGCTATTCGAAATTTGGCCAGTGAGCGCCAGCTTGTGGTCACAGAGACTTGGTTGACCAAGATTCTGCAACTCTACCAGATCCAGAAAATCCACCATGGTGTTATGATGGTCGGTAATTCTGGAACGGGTAAATCTGCTGCTTGGAGGCTCCTCCTCGACGCGCTTCAGCAAGTCGAGGGTGTCGAAGGCGTGAACCACGTCATCGACTCCAAGGTCATGTCAAAGGAGGCCCTCTACGGTAACTTGGACTCTACCACGCGTGAGTGGACGGATGGTCTCTTTACCAGCATCCTGCGCAAGATTGTCGACAATCTCCGTGGCGAAGATGCCAAGCGTCACTGGATCGTTTTCGATGGTGACGTCGATCCCGAATGGGTCGAGAACTTGAACAGTGTTCTTGACGACAATAAGCTGCTGACCTTGCCTAATGGTGAGCGGCTGAACCTGCCCCCCAACGTCCGCGTCATGTTCGAAGTTGAGAACCTCAAATACGCCACCCTCGCAACAGTCTCTCGTTGCGGTATGGTCTGGTTCAGCGAAGACACTGTCAGCCCATCAATGATGGTCGACAACTACCTCGGCACGTTGCAGACCGTTGCATTCGAGGATCTCGATGAGGACGCCGTAGCTACCGGCCAGAGCTCTGCGAAGGCGCTTGCCGTTCAGACCCAGGTTGGCGACCTGCTTAGGACATTCCTCACGGCCGACAATCTCATCCTCGAAGCTCTCAAGCAGGCTGAAGGATACGAACACATCATGGAGTTTACCGTTGCTCGTGTTCTGAACACTTTGTTCTCGCTGCTCAACAAGGCTGTCCGAGACATCATTGAGTACAACGGGCAGCATATTGACTTCCCTCTGGATCCCGAGCAGGTGGAGGCATATGTATCCAAGAAATTGCTGCTTGCTTTGGTGTGGGCCTTGACCGGAGACTGCCCCCTGAGAGATCGCAAGCTGTTTGGCGATGTCGTCGTTGGGCTCGCATCCTTTGGATCGCCGCCGTTGGACGGCACAAGCTCGCTCATCGACTTTGACGTGTCGCTTCCCAAGGCTGAATGGGTGCCATGGCAGAACCAAGTCCCGACCATCGAGGTCAACACTCACTCCATCACCCAGACCGATGTGGTCATTCCCACGCTCGACACTGTCCGTCATGAGGATGTGTTGTACTCTTGGCTCGCAGAGCACAAGCCGCTCTTGCTCTGTGGTCCTCCTGGATCTGGTAAAACTATGACACTCTTCAGCGCGCTTCGGAAATTGCCCAACATGGAGGTTGTCGGCCTCAACTTTTCCAGCGCGACAACCCCCGATCTGCTCATCAAGACCTTTGAGCAATACTGCGAGTACAAAAAGACTCTCAACGGTGTCATGCTCTCGCCCACGCAGATTGGTCGATGGCTGGTCATCTTCTGCGACGAGATCAACCTGCCTGCACCTGACAAGTATGGAACACAGCGGGCGATCTCGTTCCTCCGCCAGCTTGTTGAGCATAACGGTTTCTGGAGAACCTCGGATAAGTCATGGGTCACGCTTGATCGGATTCAATTCGTTGGTGCTTGTAACCCTCCTACTGATGCTGGCCGCACGCCCATGGGCGCTCGTTTCCTGCGCCATGCGCCGCTCATCATGGTCGATTACCCTGGCGAGCAGTCCCTCACGCAGATCTACGGCACTTTCAACTCTGCCGTGCTCAAGATTATCCCTGCTCTCCGCGGCTATGCCGATGCACTTACTCAAGCTATGGTCAAGTTCTATCTTGAGTCGCAGCAACGCTTCACGCCCAAGATCCAGCCACACTACGTCTACAGTCCTCGTGAATTGACGAGATGGGCTCGTGGTGTATACGAGGCGATCCGACCGCTGGAGACTCTGTCCATCGAGGGTCTGGTCCGTATCTGGGCCCATGAGGCCCTACGTCTGTTCCAGGACAGGCTCGTCGCTGAAGATGAGCGCAAGTGGACCGATGACGCCGTGCGAAGAATTGCGCTCGAGTTCTTCCCGAATATTGAAGAGGACAAGGCACTCGGCGGACCCATTCTGTTCTCCAACTGGCTTTCCAAGAATTACGTGCCGGTCGACCGCGAGCAGCTCCGCGAGTTTGTCAAGGCTCGTCTCAAGACTTTCTGCGAAGAGGAAGTCGATGTGCCCCTAATCCTTTTTAACGAGGTGCTCGAGCATGTGTTGCGTATCGATCGTGTCTTCAGGCAGCCCCAGGGCCATCTCATTCTCATCGGTGTGAGCGGCAGTGGTAAGACAACGCTTTCCAGGTTCGTCGCCTGGATGAACGGCCTCAGCGTGTACCAGATCAAGGTACATGGCAAGTACTCTGGCGAGGACTTTGACGAAGACCTCCGAGAGGTCCTACGCCGCTGCGGCTGCAAGGGCGAGAAGATCTGCTTCATCATGGACGAAGCCAATGTGCTCGACTCTGGTTTCCTGGAGCGCATGAACACGCTGCTTGCCAATGCAGAGGTTCCTGGTCTATTTGAAGGGGATGACTTTGCCGCATTGATGACTGCTTGCAAGGAGGGAGCTCAGCAACAGGGACTACTCCTCGACTCCCAAGAGGAGCTCTACAAGTGGTTCACCGGCCAAATTGTGAAGAACCTCCACGTTGTCTTCACTATGAACCCCCCCGAGGACGGCCTGTCTTCCAAGGCTGCCACCAGTCCTGCTTTGTTCAACCGTTGTGTTCTTAACTGGTTCGGCGACTGGTCAGACCAAGCCCTTTTCCAGGTCGCTCACGAGCTCACACACTCTGTCGACCTGGACCGCCCCAACTTCCTGGCGCCGGACACAATCCCCGTTGCGTACCGCGCTCTCAGTCTGCCTCCTTCGCACCGAGAGACAGTGGTCAATTCGATGGTCTACATCCACTACTCTCTCCACCGCTTCAATACCAAGTTGCTCAAGCAGCAAGGCAAGGTCACGTTCCTTACGCCCAGACATTTCCTGGACTTTGTCGCGCAATATGTTAGACTGTACAACGAGAAACGCGAAGATCTGGAGGAGCAGCAGCGTCACTTGAACGTCGGTCTCGAGAAGCTCCGCGACACGGTAGACAAGGTCCGAGATCTCCGTGTCAGTCTGGCAGAGAAGAAGACGCAGCTCGAGAAGAAGGATGCCGAAGCCAATGAGAAGTTGCAGCGCATGATTGCGGACCAACAAGAGGCCGAGCAGCGCAAGGCTACATCGATCGAGATCCAGGCTGCACTGGAGAAGCAAGAGGCAGACGTGGCCTCGCGAAAGAAGATTGTCCTGGAGGATCTCGCCAAGGCAGAGCCAGCGGTCGAAGAGGCCAAGGCTAGTGTCAGCAATATCAAACGCCAGCATCTCACTGAGGTGCGATCCATGAACACGCCTCCGCAGGGTGTCAAGCTAGCCCTGGACTCTGTCTGTACCCTCATCGGACACAAGGTCGATAGCTGGAAGGCCATCCAGGCTGTTGTGCGTCGCGATGACTTCATCGCCAGCATTATCAACTTCAACAACGAGAAGCAGATGACCAAGTCTCTGCGCGTCAAGATGCGAAACGAATTTTTGGCCAACCCCGAGTTCACCTTTGAGAAGGTCAACCGTGCTTCCAAGGCCTGTGGCCCGCTCGTCCAGTGGGTCGAGGCTCAAGTCAACTATGCTGAGATTCTTGACCGTGTCGGTCCTCTCCGCGATGAGGTCGAGAAGCTCGAGGAGCAAGCACTACAAACCAAGGCTTCTGCAAAGGCTGTCGAGAACACGATCAGCACTCTGGAGAACAGCATCGCTACGTATAAGACGGAATACCGTGCTCTTATCAGCGAGACGCAGGCCATCAAGGCTGAGATGGAGCGTGTGCAGTTCAAGGTGGACCGCAGTGTCAAGCTACTCGACAGTCTTTCCTCCGAGAGAGTGCGCTGGGAGGAGGGCAGCAAGTCGTTCGAGACTCAGATCAGCACCCTCGTCGGTGACGTTCTTGTTGCCGCCGCATTCCTTGCCTACAGCGGTCTTTACGACCAGACTTTCCGCAAGTCGATGATGGACGACTGGCTGCACCAGCTCCAACTCTCTGGCATCAACATCAAGCAGCACAACCCTGTCACAGAGTACCTCTCGACGGCCGATGAGCGTCTTGGCTGGCAGAAGAACACACTGCCAGTCGATGACCTGTGCACTGAGAATGCCATCATTCTCAAGCGCTTCAACAGATATCCTCTCATCATCGATCCCTCCGGGCGTGTCACCGAGTTCTTGCAGAAGGAGAGCAAGGACCGTCGCTTGACTGTGACCAGCTTCCTGGACGACTCTTTCACCAAGCAACTTGAGAGCTCGCTTCGTTTCGGCAACCCCATCCTGATCCAGGATGCCGAGCATCTGGACCCCATTCTCAACCAGGTCCTCAACAAGGAGTACCAAAAGACTGGTGGCCGTGTCCTGATTCAGCTCGGCAAGCAGCAGATCGACTTTTCGCCAGCCTTCAAGCTGTACCTGTCAACTCGTGATCCTTCAGCACAGTTCGCTCCCGATATCTGCAGTCGAACGACATTTGTCAACTTTACCGTCACCCAGAGCAGTCTGCAGACTCAGTCGCTCAACGACGTTCTCAAATCTGAGCGTCCTGATGTCGATGAGCGCCGGTCCAACCTCATCAAGCTCCAAGGGGAGTTCAAGGTGCACCTGCGACAACTCGAGAAGCGCCTGTTGCAGGCTCTCAACGAGTCCCGTGGTAACATTCTGGATGATGACAATGTTATCGAGACTCTTGAGACGCTCAAGACGGAGGCTGCAGAGATCTCGGCCAAGATGAGCAACACAGAAGGCGTCATGGCAGAAGTGGAGGAAATCACTTTGCAGTACAACATCATTGCGCGCTCTTGCAGTGCCGTTTTCGCTGTTTTGGAGCAACTTCACTATCTCAACCACTTCTACCAGTTCTCGCTTCACTACTTCCTGGACATCTTCCACTCAGTCCTGCATGGCAACCCTAGTCTGACCAGCGAGACAAACCACAACGTGCGCCGAGACATCATTGTCAAGGACTTGTTCGTCACCACGTTCAAGAGGACCGCGCTGGGTCTCCTGCAGAAGGACCGCATCACTCTCGCCATGCTTCTAGCTCAGGCGTCTCCCTACAAGATGGACAAGTCACTGATCGATGTGATTTTGGACACTCGGGTCGAAGGCAAGGATGTTTCTATGGACATTGGTGCTCGAGACGAGGCATTTGCAAAGGCGCAGCGAGTTCCTGCCCTCAAGGAACGCCTGGGCAATGTCTCCTCGGATGCTTGGGACAAGTTCTTTACCGAGGAGTTTGCCGAAGACTGTGTGCCCCAGATTTGGGACGACGGTGCCGAGGCCAATGACAAGGCGCTGCTATCGCTGCTGCTTGTCAAGCTCTTCCGCCTTGACCGTTTTGTTCCGGCCGCGGAGCGTTTTGTTGGCAAGGTGTTTGGCGATGGCCTGCTCGACATTGTTGACGACCTGGCTGGTACTGTTGCTCAAGTTCCTGCCACACGGCCCATCTCGCTTGTCTCCAGCCCGGGTTTCGACGCTTCGTACAAGGTCGACAACCTGGTGGAGAGGATGCGCGTCCGGTGCACAAACATTGCCATGGGATCCGACGAAGGACTCGCCAGCGCCGACGAGGCCGTCAGCAGCGCGGCGCAGAACGGCAACTGGGTGCTGGTCAAGAACGTACATCTCGCACCCACGTGGCTGCAGTCGCTCGAGAAGCGCATGGAGAACCTCAGCCCGCATGCGGACTTCAGACTCTTCCTGTCGATGGAGTCGAGCCCCAAGATTCCGGTCAACCTGCTCAGGGCTTCCCGCGTGCTGATGTACGAGCAGCCGGCGGGCGTGCGTGCCAACATGAAGGACTCGATGTCTTCGCTCTCGACGAGGGCGACGAAGCCGCCGGTCGAGCGGACCAGACTGTACTTGCTCCTTGCGTTCCTGCATGCCGTGGTGCAAGAGCGCTTGCGCTATGCACCGAACCTGGGCTGGAAGGGCTTCTGGGAGTTCAATGACAGTGACGTAAGTGTTCTTCTCATTGCCGTTTTTGTGTGCAAGATTATTTATTCTAACATGGGTCGTCAATCAAAACAGTACGAATGCTCGGCGTTCATCATTGATACGTGGGTCGAGACGGTGGCGCAGAACCGCACCAACCTGGCTCCGCAGAGCATACCGTGGGACATGATCCGGTACCTGGTGACGGAGACGTATGGCGGCAAGATCGACGACGAAGGGGACTTTGGGCGGCTGTCGGAGCTGGTGGACAGCTTCCTGACGCCGTCGGCGTACGACATCGGGCACAAGCTGGTCGAGGGCCAGGGGGCGGACAAGAAGGACGACCTGGTGGTGCCGTCGGGCATCGCGCTGCCCGACTTTATGGGCTGGATCCAGAAGCTGCCGGAGCGCGAGCCGCCCACGTATCTCGGCCTGCCGGCTAACGCGGAGAAGCTGCTGCTGGTGGACCAGGGCCGCACGCTGGTGGGCAACCTGAAGAAGGTGACGGACCTGCTGGACGAGGGGGAGCAGTTGATGGCTGAGGCCTGATGAGAGGGAGGCGGGAAAGCTGATGAGGATGGGCTTTTTTGATGATGAAGGAAAGACTTGTTGTTTCGTCTATTTAAATGTTTTCTTGTTACCATGGCCTTTGATGGCTTTAGATTGGGACGGCTGATTTTGTTGTTGATGATGTTGCTACTGCATGCATCACTGATACCCTTTTACACCACCGCTACTAGTCTCGACAGCAGAAACTACTATAGTTGAGCTGATAGATAGATGGATAGATAGATATCTATCCATCACGGCTTTTTGCTTTGTTGTTTGTAATATCACTTGTTCCCTCCTCTACTCATCCGACTGTAGCCTTCCCTGCCCTTGTCTAGTCTATGCAGATCCATGCATGGAGTCTGATCCCGTGAGCGAAGACGCATGGTGGCGGTTATTACGGATGGGTCGCTTCTACGGTACTACCTAGACCTATGAAAGATGTAGACCCCTCTGACTGGATTGGGTAGGTGTGTCGGCGGGGGTTCAAAGCAAAGAAGAGGTGCCTTTCGCCAACGAACTGCAACCCACTCGGTGCATGCGTTGGGAGAAGGGGGAATTCTGCCGATAGGAGGGGTTTTAGAAGTGCTGGGGGGGCAGTTTGCCCTTTTGAGACAGACCTCCACGCTGGCGAGAGAAGGGAGAGGTGCATGGAAGGAGTGCAGCGACCCCGGTGCCAGGTCCCGGTTTCTGACAGATAGTCATCCAGTCTTGCACAGGTATAGGTATCTAATTTCAAGCTCGAAAGGAAGACAGAACACCCTCTAGCGTTTTCTCAGTTCCAGTTACGACAGGCACTGACCGTGAGAGAAGAGAGGAGGATCATGGACACTGCAGAATCAACGTCGTCATAACCCGGGCGGCACGAGCCAATGGCAGGCGGGACCTTGGGCACTTGGGAGGAAGTAGCCGCTAGAGTACAGTGCCCAGGTAACTAAAAGCAACACCCTCTCCCGTCCCCGCACTCTCGGGCGAAGCTGCAATCCAGGACCAGGTCTCGAAGCTGCATGAGGCCTGGGAGGGAACAATCCATGGATGCAGCCCACCTAAAGTCAACCCGCCGTGGCCACTTACAGGCCGCTCCACAGGCCCTTTACGAACGAGGTGCAACGCCACACACACAAGGACTGGGCTGCCCAGACCCAATCCTCACGGGTCCTCACATGGTACAGGGAAACGGGAAACAACTGCATTGAATCCGACGCGGTCTTGGCATTACGAATCCTCGGACAACCCTTTTGGAGGTGTGAAGGTGTACCTAGGAGGAGGTGCGTGGTGTGTGCATGAGAGGCACCACGGCGAAGATGGTTGAAGGGGCGAGAGGTACCTCCAGCTACCTAAGGTATCTTTTGCTGTCCTTGTCTTACTTTATTGCCAACTAAGTACAGTACCTAACTGGCCCTCGACGCGCACTTCGATGTTGCCCTTTTCGCGCTGAGCAGACCTCGGAAGCTAGAGCTTGTTTCAAAGCGATGCAGCAGCCGGCTACACAGTTGGAGGGGGGCAAGCGGTGTAATTCAGACGTCATCTACACCTGATCAACTGTCGTTCGTTCGATACGGCCACAGGAGGGAGGTCCCACTTCCAGATAAAACCATGTGAGTGAATGAGCGAGCGAGTGAGGACTCGAGTGAGTGAGCCACGAGCAAAGCCACATACCTAAAGAGGTATCTACTTGTAAGAGGAACCTGCTCGAGAGAAACGAGCTGGAGCTGGGAGAGCAAAGAAGCAGCGGGCCGGGGTCAGCAAAATGGTCCTAGGACCGAATCGGCGAGATCCTCCCTCTTCTGCATCGCTGGGTTGGGACTTGATCGTGATTGACGCCGGGTCACCTGGCCCCTCTTCGCAATTCCTGTTGGCATTGGCGCGCACGCTTCCGCATACCGTCCGTCGTTCTAGTCAGATCGCTTGGGGCGGCGGGGGAAAAGAGGCCTGCCCTGTCTGGCTGGATATACGGACGGAGTAGTGTGTGCTCTGACGGGAAATACCTTTGAGCAGCCGCTTGGATGCAGTGATGCAGCAATCAATGCAGTCTGTTCGGCTGGGACCAAGTACTTGTAAAGTAAAGTACCCTGTTGGTGGTTGGTTGGGCGGAGGGGCGAAGAGGCATCTTTTTGAGCAAGGAGACTTTCTTCCTCGCCTGACGTACTCTCTCTGTCTCTCTGCGCTATTTCTTCCTCTGAATGGACCTTGTTGCCTACCCTTCGGACACCGAGAAAGAAAAGAAAAGGGCACTCACGGCTCAGTGCTGTCAAGGATTAGACACACCACCCCCGGATTTTTCTACACACCATCACGAAATCCCATAACATACGTGCCTACCAGCCCGCCAGCCTACATAGTACCGTACCGACTTACCCTTGGCCTGCCATTTATTCGAGTCACTCACTCACTCGCTCACTCACTCCCCCTACTTGCTCCTCATCCATCCATTCCTCTCTCCGCGCTATCCCAAACATTCAAACGTCCCTCCACAAATCGCCCACACACCACACCACCTCACACTCACACACCCTGCAGCCGCCCGAGCTGCTACCACCTTGAATAAAACCACCTCTGCTGCCTATCGCAGTAGTGCCTCTCTCGCCCTCTCTCACTCTCTCCCTCTGCCTCGCGTAACATATTACCCACTACTGCTGATTCTGCTGCTATTTGGCACTCCGACCTTTTGTTCGTGTTCTTTGTCAAGAGAGAAACAAAAACATCATTGCCAGATCGTTGCGCCTTTCCTTCTGACAGACCACCATGGATCGCCTCCATAGCAGTATGCAGCTCCCCTTCCTCTCTTTCCACGCCTTCCGAGATCCCCCTCACCCCACGCAACATGCTAATGTCTGATGCAAACCAACAGTCAACCCCTTCTCCAAGAGGGAGTCCCACAGCGCCAATGCCATCATCACCTACAAGGTCCTCTCCATCCTGACCTGGCTGCTGTCTCTCGTCGTCTCCGTCTACTACGTCCTGCACGAGCCCCACGATGGCTTCACCATCCGCCACCGCATCTGGGACCAGAACTGGCTGTACCCCACCGGCTTCACCCTGAACCCGGTCATTATCGACGTCTACTGGTGAGTGCATCCTCCCCGCCTGCCGATGCCTCGTCTCTCCTCTTCCAGGCCATCTGTCCTAACACGGGTTGTTCTCTCTCTTCCCCTAGGGTCGTCCTGTTCGTCCTCCAGGCCGGCTACATTGGCCACCTCTTCTCGGGCAACACCGACTACGTCAACGCGGCCTGCGCCGTCGGCAGCCACTTCATCTTCAACAACCTCCTCCACTTCGCCTTCATCATGCTCTTTGTCCGCTCCCACTTTGCCTGGGCCGAGGTCATTCTCGTTGTCAACTTCTTCAACCTGTCCTCCCTCTACTTCCGCCACAATGCCTACCCGCGCTTCATCCACACCCCGGCCGTCTCGGGCCCCCTCGCCTGGACCTTTGTCGCCATCTACTGGAACGGAGCCATCATGGTGCCCCACCCGGCCTCGCTCGTCGCCCGCATCTTTGCCAACATCTTCATCTGGGCCATCCTCGTCTATGGAGTCTTCTTCATCGTTGTGTATAAGGTGAGTTCTTCTGCGGACTGTACGCAACCCGTGGGGAGGCCTTCCCTTGAGCTAATCATTTTTCTCTCAGGATTACACGATGGGCTTCTGGCTCAGCGTTCTGTCGGCGGCCCTTGGCGTTGCCCAGTTCCAGCGCCAGGTCATTGCTCTGCAGTGGATCTTTGCCTTTGTCATCATGGCCGTGCTCTTCGTCCTGACCGTCACCATTGCCGTGCCCACCTGGATGGGTCGCGAGGTCAACTTTGGCCGACGCCAGCAGCCTGCCGCCGACACGGAGCGCGCTCCCCTCCTCGGCGAGAACTAAACCGCTCACATCGGCCACTTTGATCGACAAGTGCCACAACCGACGGCAACGCGAGAAGAATGCCGCCAGGCCCCCGTGGCAATGGATATGTGAAGTACGATTTCTGGGGTTGTGAATTACAATACTCGTGAGATCCCGGAGGAGTCATACGACTTCTATTGTGGAGGATCGGGGGACAAAAAAGGAGAGAGAAGGAAAGAAGAGAACCGGAGAGTTTTTTGGGATGGGGGTAATAACTGTGATTTCCATTGTCAGAATCTCCCCTTGGCACACGCTGTTTTTGACAGGTTGCGAGCCTCTCGTTTGCATGAGTATGCGTGGCATCAGCACAGAATTTTTGTCTTGGAGCATTAGGTACTTAGTAATCCAACCTGGCCCCCCCTTTCTGCTTTTTGTACTTTGAGCAAGAAAACAGCGCCAATTGACCTGTGAAAGTCGTGTAATGCTCTTGATATCATGACCTTGGGAAGCTTTATCGCCTATGACGTAGGGTGTTGGCCTTATCGATAGCACGGAAAAGGGTTTATCGATTAGGTGTTGATAACGGTGGGCTTTTTTGCCAAGCTTGACTCCGTTTTTGCGGAGGATCATAGCTTCAGTCTTCTTTACTCGCTCGCTCCCCATCCTGAGAAGGTGTGTTCGAACACAGGCGCAAGAAAGACGTGCCAGATGGCGCCAAAGCGCGAGAGACAACTCGGTCGAATAACACACGCCTGCCTAGATTGAGCTGCACAGCACAGGTCCGGCCGGCCTCGAGAATCCCAAAAAAAAAAAAAAAAAAATGGCTGCTCTTCTGGGCCGCCGCAGCATCCTCCCGTTCCCGCAGCCGCTGCGAGTCGGCACCGACGTCTGCCGGGTCTCGCGCGTCTACCGCATCCTGACCTCTGGCGGGCCCGCGCGGCGCCGCGGCGCCCGGTTCGTCGAGCGCCTGCTCGCGCCGCGCGAGAGGGAGCCCGCGAGGCTGAGGGCCGAGGTCGCCTGGCTGCTCTCTTCTTCCTCCTCCTCCTCTCCGGGCCGGGAGGGACAGGGACAGGGACGACTGGCGGCGTCGACGGCGATACCGGGCCGGGAGAAGGAGCAGGAGCAGGGGCAGGGGCAGGGGGTGGTGATGGTGGCTGGGGGGAGGAGGGATGCGCGGGTGTGGAAGGCTGCTGAGTTTTTGGCTGGGCGGTATGTTTTTCTCTCTTCCCTATCTGTATTTGTCGTCGGTCTTGTAGCAGAGAACGGGCTCGAGGAGGGGGAGGGGGGGCCAGGGGGGATTTGCCCAGTACGAGGAGGGCTGAGGGCTGACACACAAGACGACGCATACATAGGTTCGCGGCCAAGGAAGCGGCCATCAAGGCGCACCCGCACCGGGCGCTGACTTTCCACGACGTCGAGATCACGCGGCGGGAGGACACGGGGGTCGAGCCGAGCGCCGGAGGGGCGCCGCCCGTCGCCATCATACGGGGGCTCGAGGACCGGGGCGTGCCGGACCAGGAGGCCTTGGTGAGCATCAGCCACGACGGGGACTATGCTACGGCCGTGTGCATCGGGTTTGATGCGAGGGGTTCTGGTTGAGAACTCGATGGAAATGATGTTTGTAGACCTAATTGTCCCCTTGTATTTAGCAACGACAACGATTCTGTGCAAAGAAACCTATGGCAGTCCGGGCTTATTACTGGTATCACTAGATTGTTTCCTACCCACCGAAAGGTTGTTTGTTCGCGTAGTATTTGCTGTCAGCAACAGGGCCTCCCCGGTGCCTCCTAGACAGTCAACATGACAGCTTCATTGCTGACAGAACCCTTTACAACCTTGCCATCCCCTTTGAAAGTGATATTTCAGTCTCATCACTCGCTCGACCAGCATAACAATGGAGCAGAACCGAGTCGAGTCTGTTATTGTGACTAATACGCACTACTGTAAGTGGGTCCCGCAACAAAAAGGTCTTGCTTCATAGATTCTAATAACCCCTAAATGGCACCAATGATAGGGCGCTTGGCGCAAAGGTAGCGCGCGGTCCTCCTATTCTTTCTCGAGAATAAGACTGAGGTTGCGGGTTCGAGTCCCGTGGTGCTCGTTTTTTTTTGTGTTTTCTTTTTATTGCTCTCCCCTCCCCCCCCCCCCCCCCCCCCCCGCCCGAGGTCACCACAAGTTGTCACTTGTGCCGCCTTGTTTTCCTTTTTGGCAGCTTCATACTTGCTGACTTGGATTTCGATAGAATTCCTGTTTCATATGGTCTAGGACTCTATTCTGTATGTAAAACTACCGCGTCTGTAGTCTGGAAATCACGGAATGGCTGAATGTGATGTTGGCGCCGCATGTTCACCTCCCGGACCTTTTGACCTCTCGACCATGGTTCTGCTGCACTTGGGCTCCTCCTACCCTGTGGCCGGTGAGTCAACTCGTCCGGACGTCCGTATGCGCAAGTTTGTGAGGCAGGATGGATATGCGAGATATCTACTCAACACCAGACGCAACCAAATTGTTGTAGTAAACAGTCCCTCGGCGAACTGCCGAGAGATCATTTCGAATGTATATAAAATGGCTTGTCCTCACACACTCTCTCAAGTCTGTCTCTCATACTTGTCTACATCAAGACTCTCAAGCCCATTCTTTATCAAGACTCCTAAACCCATTCTCCATTATAGAGCTCGACACACAACACCTGCATGCGCATATAAGACTACGCAAGACAATGCCGACCTTCACAATCCCTATTGTACCCAATCAGGAGAGTGGACGGCCCTTTAGCAAGCTCAAAGAATTCACCTTCTCTAAGCCCCGTCTGGTCAAGCTACACGAGGCTGCCAGGGGAATCGACAGAGCTAACAACCACAGCCTTCTAGACTTTGGGTATCAGCTGCTGCGAACCGTCAATGTAGCCGATACCCAGAGCCTAGAAGGCTGTGGTTGTTGGCTCTGTCGATCCCCCTGGTAACCTCGCGTATATATTGACACCGACGTGAATAGATATAGACTCGACTTCCTCTATTATATTACTTCGTATTTCGAAACTGGTACAATTCTGGAGATGATTTTCCAAACTATTATTAGTACTATTACTCGAGCGATCCTAACAACAAAACTCCCAAAAGTCCGCAGAGTCCCTTGAAGCAAACTTGAATATCCAATGCGTGTCCAGCATAATCTGTTTGTGGGGTATCTAAACGAGTGCCTCAATCGCCATTGACTGTTAACGCCCATCCCCTGGATCACAAACAACATTACACTCTAGTACAGAATCTTCTCCTCCCAGACAGGGGGGCGGGTGGTCTCGCGGTCCCACACGAGCTTGTTCTTCTCGTCCAGGGTGCAGCCCTCGTCCGTGATCGGGATGACCTTGCTCGTGTGCTCGATCTCCTGCTTGGAAACGCCGGCCTGGTCCTCGGGAATCCACAGCATCGGCGGGGAGCTGGCGACAGAAGGGGGCCTGTACGCAGCCTCCACCACGGCGGGCGTGTACATCTCCCGGATGTTGAACGAGCTATGCCTCGGCACCAGGTGACGCAGAGTGTTGTAATCTGCGTAGTTCCAAGGCATAAGGAACCGTGTGACAAAATTGCCCTTCTTGGGGACGACGGCGGTGTCTGCACCATTGGCAAAGCCGTTGGTGCGGCCGTCGATAGACACCTCCGCCTTGTCGTTGCTCCCCGTGGCCTCGAGATCACCCCTTCTCTCCTCTTCCTCCGCGAGCAAGCTCTGAGGCAGGTTGTAGAGAAGCGGGTTGAGCGCGTGGTTCATACTGAGGTGGAACAGGACGGTGAAGACGAGGAACACGATCATGAGAACCATAGGCCCGAACGCCTCGGATGAACCAAACAGGCCAATCATGCAAAGCTCGGCGAGATAGACACCGGTGAACAGCTGCTTGACAGCGCGCGGGTAGATCAGACCGCGCGTGTCGATGCTGGTGTCGGTGACAAACAGAACGTTGTAGCGCCAAGCGAAGTAGAAGAGGGACATGCCGACGCAGGCCCAACCCATCATCAGAGGAGCAATACCAGCGTAGGTAATTGCTATAACCAGTCAGTACATAGAGTTTACGTGTGATATTCGCTCATCAAGACTCACAAATAACAGCGATGTTTGTGTAGACTGGGAGAGTGCTGCCCCAGGAGATAGCACTGAGGTTGGCCCACTTCTGGTACAAGGCACGGGGCGTGCCTGCGAGGTATTTGTACATCAGATTGAAGATGATGAATCCGACAACTTGTGAAATGACACCGGAGGCAATGGTGAGACCCTGGACGATGAAGTAAGAAATGTAGAAGTTGGAAGACTTGGGCAAATTCTCCGCGAGAACTCTCGTAACTGCGCCGGCCGGATCGGGGGAATTCTTGATCTGCATCACGACGGCGGACGCAGAAGAGGTCATGGTGGTGATGAGGAAGACCTGGATGACCTGGAAGGCGAAGTAGGCGTTCTGGGTGAAGAGTTCGATGCGCGAGTACGACGGCTCTCCGGAGAACTTGGCCAGCACTGTCATGGGTTAGCATCTCTGCGATACAAAGATGGCGATCAAGATGAAAACTCACGTCTGATGACGATAGGAACCAATGACATAAGGATGGACAGAGCGACCGAGGGTAGAAGACCACTGATAAAGCCCATGATAACCTAGTATGGAAAATTAGTGACCCGACACGTAATGAACAGAGTTGAGGAGTTCTGAAGTACTTACCGAGGGTACATCATTGAGCCAAGTCAAGAACGAGATGCTCTTCAGATAGTCAACGTTGCTAATGACACCGACGACAGCAACAGGGATGGCCCAGAAGATAATCATGGCGGTAATGAAGGCGATCACTGCGTAGCGACGAATGACCTTCTGCCACCAAGGAATGCTGAGAGAGGACCAAACAACGTCGCTTGGGGTGATGCCGATGTAGCTGGGTGACATGTGCAGACCTTGGTGATGGGCGAGAACTTGGTAGGCCGACTCTGCCTCGGCCTGGGTGCGGAACTCAACAAAGACGGCGGGCATCTTCTTGCTGGCTCCAGCCCGGTACTTCTCTTGAGCAGCGGCGGTCTCGGGAATCAGGCGTTCCAGCTCGGTGCGGCACCAGTCAATGGAGTCAACCTTCTTGCCAATCAAGCCCAGAAGACCAGTGCGATGGGTCGGACGCTTCTTCTTGGGAACCCAGCGGCCAGCGACGGTGCCCGACTCAGCACCGGCGGCGGCGGACGACTTCTCTGCAGCAGCGCCGTCCTTCTTCAGGGATGCATTACGGGCCTTGTTAGCGAGCTTGATGAGTTTGACTTCGGACTTTTCAAGCCTGAAAGCCGCCTTGTCACGCTCCTCGACAAGCTCATCGCATTCCTTCGTGTCGCCAGCAATCCAGACGTTCTTGACAGATGGGCCAAACATCTTGCGGACCTTTCGCTCGTCGAGGTACGGGTCGGGGACCGAGGTGAAGAGAACGGTGCGGGAAGAGATTCTCTCGGAGTAGAGAGGGCTGAGAAGGAAGGCTTGGCGCATGTTGATGTAGAAGACGCACTCCCTGAAGATCAGGTACATGACAAATCCATAAAAGACCCAAGAGACCAGGGCATGAGCGTAGTACCTGCTCTTCTGAGTCTGCTGGTTGATGTTGGAGTAAGACAGGATATCGAGCTGCTGAGCGCTACCCCCGCCAGTGGCATTGACCGGGAAGAGAATGGGCCAGGTGATGCAGCAGCCAACGAAAGTGATTACGACGGTCATGCGCAGGAAGCGAAGATACAAGTAGGCGTCGAGGGACTGGTGCTGCAAGGCGTAGACATCAGGTATCTTCCAGAATTTGCCAAACCAGTTGAACAGGCCGTTGGGCAATTCGGGAGTGCGTTCGCTGAGGTGTGCATGTAAGCGGGTTGTTCCTCAGTGATTATCGCAAGCCGGGCCCGAGGCTTGACTTACTTCTCCCGTAGACTCCCAAGATAAGTTCTGGGGGCATACCATCTTCTTTGGTTCCGTCGTAGGACCAAGAAGATGGCGAAGTAGATGCCGGCTGTCAAGGCGACAGGGCCGAGCGTCAGGTACAGGCCTTGATACGGGATTTCGTGTCAGTAACCACCAAGTCCCATAACATCTCCGAAAGCCGCGCGGAGCCAACTCACCCTGAAGGGACGTCGAGTTCGTGCTGTCAGACATGGTGAAAGGCCCAACTCGATAAGGCTTTGACCGTTGACCAAATTAGGTACCCTCGTCGGGTTGGCTAGAAGCAGCACCAATGGAGTGCTCCTATAGAGTTGAAAAGATCCCCAGTCTCTTTCTCTCTCTCTCGCTCTGTGCTCCGTGTTAGTCGAGGCCGGAGGAAGAGTGTGTGAGAAGCCAAGGGCCGTAGGGGAAAAAGACAGGCAATGTCGCGGAGGGGCCAATCTCAAATAACAAGTCCCGTGGGAAAATTACAAGAACAGCATTGAGCAAAAGCAGGGTTCACTCACACGGATGGGGCAATGGCAAGGGTGGTTGGAGGCGGGCTGCGGGTTGGCTGCTCAAGCTAGCCTGCGATGCGCGAGTGGGTGGCTCCTGCCTTTGATTGCGAGGGAGCTTGATAGCTTGATATTGATCGTCCTAAGGAAAGCGCGATCCAAGACACAGGAATGCCGCAAATGAAGGAGGGAAAAAACAAAAGGACGGCGCAACGGTGGGAATTGTTCCTTTTTCCTCGACGATGCAAATGTCCGCTTGGGATGGTTTGACTACATATACAGCGCCCACCTTGTCTGCGGCCTCTTGTGACAAGTACTTGCTTCCTGTCTCTTCTTCTCTCCAAGATCCTCCGTAGACCAAGCGTCTGTGAGAGGTTTGCTTGGTCTGGCGCGATGGCACGAGCTCCCCACACGGTCGCCCCTAGGCCTACCAGGCGAGAGTAGGGCAGCGAGCGACTATGACGAAAGATGCTTGGACGATCCTTGTCAAGCTGAGCTGGACCCAGCTGGACTAGCAGGCCAGTCTCCCAGTCAAGAGGAGCTAGTGCACTCAAAATTTATTGCTTTGGAAACTGGGGCCACACAAGCACACGCTAATCGGCAATTGGACGGCAATCTTGCACCGGCGGGAACGAGCAGCAGGGTGGGTGGTGGTTGTGGTGTGGTGGAGCCCTGGTTTTGATTCGGATTTTGATTCACATGCAGCTGCAGCAGGGGTGCGCCGAGAGCAAGCCCAGCCCACAAGCAGGGCAGTTGGGCTCGTTTCCTTGTTGTTCGGATGAGGTTCCAGGTCTTGGTGTTACATTGTCGCCCTGGCCCGTTATGCGAAAAGGCAGCACCGCATAGCAGGTTGACCGGTTTTGATAAAAGAGGTGCCCTACGAGCAGCTTCTTTTTCTTTTGTCCCGCCTGCCTTTGCCACCGGAGCCGTGACAACGGATGTAAACGGCTGAAAAAGACAGGACCATAGCCGCTTGACACTTGGGTGTTTGAGCCGCTCCCACCGCCACCTGGCTGCGAGGAAGTCGAGGAAGTCGAACAGAATCCGACCTTCTGTGCTTCTTGGCTCCCTCACGATCGATCGCCTCGGCAGGCTGTCGTGCGTGGATCTCACTGATGATGAGCTCTGCTTGTACAAGGAGAAGGAGGGGAAGATGACCTCAACACGCGCTGTCAGACAGTACTTCTGGGCCCGATGGCTCTCAAAGTTCTGCCCATCCCACTAATTACGGGGATCGCAAACCACCAGGAAGCGGCGCCATGCGGAATACGTATACACTTCCTCCACAGTGTATGCCAACCGGCTTGTCAGCTTTATCGCACCTCCATATGTTTCGCATACTCCGTGCTTGTACCTAAGTGCAAGGTGAATATACAAACAAGGAGCCGAAAGTCTCTATCTCATATGTGGAGGCGCATGTCTCGGCCCAATGGCTGCCGTCCACGGTTGGTAGGTAGACTTGGTAGACTGTAGATTAGGTGGCCTCAATGTGCAAGTTGTTTTACGGAGTAGGTTTGTGGCTCCCACCCATCATACTCATGCCATTGTGTCCATGGTCGCCTATGTATGACGCATCCGAAGGCGTCACCGGCGGCGTCTACCGACTAGTCTGCACGCCGTTACTAGGATCTGGGTTACTCAACACCGTCAATTGATATCCGTGGATGACGGCAATGAGATTTTGGCCTGGCGATGGATTGCGATCTAGACCCAGCTTTTTTTTCTGGGGAGGTGATACCGTGATAGCTGAACCCTTCTTCCATGGGGCAATGATCTCCAGGTCTCATCTCGTTGGCTCCCTTGTGACAGGCGGGAGGAGGACAGTGGGGTTGCAATCCAGATTAGCGACGCAGAGTAATTGAGCAGCGCCAGGGATTTTGGTTGGGCACGCTTTCGAGGAAGTGATTGACATACAATGACCATAATGAAGTCCACAATACCAATGCGCCAGCCGTGATCTGTTGACCTCGGCGCTTCCTTGCTGCGACTGACAGAAGGCATTGCGTAGCAGTGACAGGCCTCGCTTCGTCCAAAATATGAAGGGAGAGAGCCTGGTAGACCGTGGGCGTTCTTCCTTACAACGGTCTCAGTCCGTGCCGCGGGTTTCTGAAAAGGGGTCCCGAGTTTCGCCCAAGATTACCGCATGCGGATATAGGTATCGTTCAACTCTCGGTGTCCGTCCAGCATTTCTCATATGTTACCAGACTTCTCGTGGCCAGTTGCTGTACAGAAGAAGCATGACACACAAAGATAATCGAAATCAAGCTCTGGTTCCTTTGTTCTTTCCATCACTAATTGTTTTCCGTTGGCTCGAAAATGACTGTTTGCGGATACTCTCACTGGCGCGAGTTATTTGCTCGAAGCAGAACCGGTTGCAGAGAACAAAGAGATGCCTCGTCTTTGTTGCCAGGAGCACATATTAACAAGGTCTCCTTGAGACTCTATCCAATTTGAAACCTTGATGTAGTCAACATTTATCTGCCCTTTCATTGAAGTAAATCCAGAGCTTGCTCGCTTTTGACAGAGATTGGAGCACGAGTCCTTCTCACGATAACCCCCCCTGGATCAAGCAACAGCAGGAGCAAGAACAAGGACAATATGTCTCTGCCACACGCCCAAGAACAGGAGATTGATCCTTACGCGGCCATGAAGGGCTACATCGCCGGGAACGACTATGCGCTACCGTACTACTCTGAGTTCTCCAAGCTTCATTTCGAACAAAAGGATATGCTTCGGCACATGAACTGCTCCTTTTGTTCGACGCCGGGCCGGCCGCCTACCCTGGCGAGTTTGAAGCTCCATCTCCAATCTCTTGCATACGCAGTGTCTCTGCTATGCCCGAGCAGTTCCAAGGCCGAGCTCCTGGTCGGTGGCACCAGCAAACGGACGCGAGACTCGCAAGCCGATGGCGATGTCAACCTCGACGATCAGTTCGACTGGCTCCTGGACATGTCCAGGCCCTACGAGACCAGGGACGCCACCCACTTCTCCTCGCTCAACAGCCTCGTCAACAACGTCGAGTCCCGCCACGACGCCTTCGGCACCAAGCTGCACTGCCCGCTGAGGGAGCACGTGGCGCGCGCCGAGGACGCCCAGCGCAAGCCCTACGCCACGCACCACAACCTGCTGATGCACGCCAACGCCTGCCTCGAGCGCCTCGACTACGAGTACGGCGCGACGGGCGGCCTGCTGTCGATCCTGCCGCTCGACGAGCAGCTCGACGAGCGCGACATGAAGGCGGCGCGCAACACGCTCGTGGGCCAGTGGCTGCTGCACACGCAGCGCCTGACCAACCGCATGCACGAGCTCGAGATCAGCTACGCCAACGCGCTCGACGCGCTGCACGGCGAGGCCGTCGTGCCGCTGCAGCACCTCAGCGCCGCCGGGCCCGAGGCCCGCGCCGCGGGCCGCACCGTCGCCTTCCCGCAGGACCGGTGGGTGCTGGCCAACGCCGGCGACGACGTCTTCGACATGCTGCACGCCCGGCTCGACCGCGCGGAGAAGCTCTCGGAGCACCGGGCGCGCCTCGCGCGCGACGCGGGCGCCGCCGGCGAGCGCCTGCAGGCCGAGCCGGCGGGGGAGGGCCAGGAGGAGCACGGCGACAGGGATGGGGCGTACGAGCGCGGCATCGTCTACGTCGACGTGTCGACGCGGTACTACCGCCTCAAGGGCCAGGGCAAGACCACCATGTTCGTCCTGCCCGCGCGGGGCGAGCACCCGGCCGTCGAGGCGACGCGGACCCTCGAGAGCAAGCCGACGGTGGTGACGGTCCATGCGCCCGAGTCGGTGGGCTGGGTGTCGGACATGGAGAAGCGATTCTCCAAGCACGTTGAGGAGGGCAAGGTCTGGCACGATAAGTTCAACAAATTGGATAGGATGATGGTCGACAAGGTCAGGGAAAATCGACGCCTGCTTGCTGACCTAGAGGAGTGCAAGGATCGCTGCAAGGAGATGGAGGTGGAGCTTCAGCGGTTGAAGGGAACGGCGAACCCGGCCTGATTTTACAAGTAGTAGTTTCGTGTCATCTTTCACATAAGGATGGGATAGTGTTGCGTCGGCTCTTTGGCTATTGACATGGAGTGTTACTGTCATTTCATCATCTTCAAGTCCTTGGTTAGTTTGAATTGAACGTGCCAAATGAATCATGGTCTTTTTTCTTTCTCATCTCGGCACCGGTCTCAACTTTCACACACATAGAGTTGTGCAACAGACCTAGAGTACTTTCTTGCCTGCCTCTTCGACAGGGCTGGGTACAGAAGAGACATTGCATCTCTTCTTGTACCTACCTTACGAAGTACCTGGTATTGCAACTGACGACCATGCCCAGAGATGCATGCTAAAGAGCAGTGGCGGGTCGAGATTGCGGATAATTATGGGGGGTGGCGCACAGACTCGCACTGCCTGGTTGCTCAGTCAACCGCCCGTCGTAGGGGACCAAAACACATCCCGCCATCTCACGAATCTCACCACATGCCAGCCGCAGCCTGCGATTGGTCCCCTCGTAGGTGAAACTGGGTCACAGGTTGCAATCCATGTTGCATCGAGAGAGTCCAGATCCATCTGGCTCTCCTGGCTCCCCTGGCGACTAGCGCTGGTCTCCATTGTGGCTTCCGACCCGCCGCCCGTCGTCGCCAATGTTGATCCTTTGTTGAAGAGCCGCTTGCCCGCTTGACTTTCGTATTCTTCCCTGCTTGCCTGCACCGTGCTCACCTTGCCAACTCACCATCGCGTGGAGCCTTCACGATCCGGAGGGCCATGAGACACATTGCTTCTTGACCAGGCTGAGGATATCCCGGACTACAGACTACGGTGCTCTGGTGGATATCTCGGACACGCTGCAGTCGATAACTCGCCCAGCGTGGCTTGAACCTTGCGCGGGGAACGAACAGCCATGGTCTGAGACGACATCACATTCCCGGCCGTCTCAACTATCCCGATGCTTCAAGGTGTGCGGCGCTCCCTCCCAGCGGGGGCGTCATCCAGACCCGTTGGACGTCTCTGGAAGGCCGTCTTCGCCGTCGCGGTGTTCGTATCAATGGCGATGGCGGCATCACCGGCGTCCTACCCATACACGCCAGCAACGTTCCTCCTGCCGCCGGCAGACGGCTTGTCGACACAGCAAGATGGCCACCTTGCCTATCTCATCACGCCCAACGGCAAAACTGTCGACATACGATCTCTGGACATCTCGTCGGCTCTAGATGCTGCATCCCTCAAATTCAACACCATTCAGTCTGGCCTGCCCTTCTTGGACTCTTCCAGTAGCACAAACACTGCCTTCTCCTCCTCGATACTCGAGAATGGCACCATTGCAGTCTTCGCTGGTGACTGCTCGTCTGGGTCCAGCACCAAAATCTGGACCTTTTCGCCCCCCAACTCGACCTCAAGCTCGTCCAACCCTTGGACCACTTACACTATCTCAACATCAAGCACGGTCAGCGCGGACAAGCTGGGGCCGTCATTTCTTGGCCAGAACATCGCATTCTCCTCCCAGATCGAGCCCTCTGTCTCACAGCCTGTCATCTACTCGTATGGCGGAATGTGTCCATCTTCAGATGGGAGGACTGCTTCTACCTGGCAGAGCTCCAGCCAGTACTCCAACCAGATGCTCAAGCTTACACCTGGCTCGGACACAGCATATTCTGCAAGCTTGATCACGAGCAAAGGGCCTCCTATTGCTGAGGCCGGCTTCACGTTTACCTCCCTTACGCCATCCATCTCCAATAGGTCAGGCATTGTGACCCAACAAGTCAACTATGTGCTGTTAGGAGGCCACACCAAGCAAGCCTTCATCAACATGAGCACGGCGGCGGTCTGGAGCTTGCCCGAGGAGAATTGGTCTTTCACGCCCATCAGCGCGCCCGATACTGCCAACACCGAGTTAGCCAAGAAGGAAGGTGCTGCCAAGAGATCATTGCCGACCAGTGTCGATAGCAGATCCGGACACACTGCTGTTCTCGCCGAGGATGGAAACGCCCTCATCATCTTCGGCGGTTGGGTTGGTGATGTCTCCCAGGCAGCTGAGCCTCAGCTTGCTGTCCTGGAGATGGGGGCCGGTTATGGCCAGTGGCAGTGGCGTATCCCGTCGTCCCAACCCTCTGGAAATGGTATTTACGGTCACGCGGCAGCCCTTCTTCCAGGAAATATGATGATGATATACGGGGGTTATAGCATCTCTGGGTCGACATCCAAGCGCGATGCGACACCAATGTTCTTGAACCTGACCAGTTTTACGTGGTCGAATACATACACGAACCCTTCTCACGACTCATCCACCACGAGCAAATCGTCGCCCGGTTCTGACTCCAAAACAACGAAACTTGGTCTGGGCTTGGGTTTGGGCCTTGGAATTCCTCTGCTTCTTTTACTCCTGTCACTCGGTTTCTGCATGCGACGCCGCCACCGGGTTCAAGCTCGACGGCGTGATGCCGCAGTGAAAGCCTTGGCACAGGATCACGCCCAATTTCTTCACGGAGAAGACGACGACATGGTAGAGGTAGATAGGGGGGCAGCTTTCCCCTTCGAATGGGGCTCGGCGACCAGGAGTTGGTACACCGGCGGAGATGACCCCTATGTCAGGGGTGGGCGCTCTCTCGGGTACGAGTCTTTACGCGGATCGCGACCTGAACAGACTTTCCAACCTTTGCCCCACCCGAAAGAAGTGTTGAGGAAGCCCTTGAGGAACACCGCCCGAGGGCTATACCAGCCAACAACCATAGCCGATTACGAATCCCGTGCTGGCCAAAGGGGAGCCGGCAACATTCATCCTATCTACGAAGCCGACGAGGACGGTGGCGAGGGGCCGGTGAAGGAGAGTCCCGAGAATGAAGATCCATTCATGACGCCGACAGGAGCAGTAGGTGCTAACAGCGCTCGCTCTCTGGCTACCCCTAGTCCCGATGGCTCTCATGCAAAGGGGCAAGATAGGGAGGTGCAGGACTGGGTCTCGGATGTTGACACCGGGGACGTCATGATGGCCGCTAGGTACGGTGGTCAGGGCGTGACGGCGCAACATTCACGACGGCTCTCACCCACGAGACGAGCCAGTACGAGGTCGAAGGCAAGCAGTCCGACAAACGCCAGCTTTAATGGAGATGACGAAGCCAGGACTGCCAGCAACCTGTCCGACAAGAGTGCCCTCAGCTTTATGCAGAATGTCTCCCGATCTGCCTCCATCCGTCTCGGCCTCGGAGCCGTACCGATCACCAAGGAGGATGGGCGACTGGGTAGCAGCTCCGGTAGCAGCAACAGCAGCCACACCTACAACACAGCTAAAACCACATTCCCAGCCTTGCAAGCCGAAGGGCCGGCCTTGTTGCAAGGGCGGTCTCGGGACGAAGGTGCGAGAGATGACGACGACTATATGGGGCTCCCCGGCAGCCCCAGCAAGAGCAAGCCGCCGCGACGGAATTGGCTCGGCAGTCTGCGGCGCGTGTTCAGCTCGTCCGGCACGGGCTCTTCTGGCACGAGTCGGGACGGCAGCCCCTCACGTAGTCTGGACAGCAGCAGCGGTGACTACGAGCCGCGAAACGTGGGGCTGGCCGAGATGCCTAATGCAACACTGTTGCGGCGCAAACAAGGGCGCGCGGATTGGGACCAGGCATCGATCCACGAGAAGACTGGGCCAAGCGACGAGTGGGATGTGGAACGGGCGGTGGAACAGCGCATGGTGCAGATCATGTTCACGGTGCCGCGTGACAAGCTTCGCGTCGTGAATGCCGAGGTCGAGAAGGAAGAGGAGGAGGCTGAGGTGTTCAACGCAAGGAGCGGCAGCGATGAAGAACAAGAGATGGACCTCGGGGAGCAAAGTCGGATGCTTGCACCAGAGCCAGACTCGTTGGACACGCCATCGCGCCAGCACCAGCACGAGGGTCTTATGGATGAATCAAACTATTTTGATCCTGTGATCAGCGAGAAGGTACCCTGGGACGATGACAACCACGAGGTCATGCGGGTGCCGACTCCGCCCATGGTCAGAGGGGAGGATCTGGAGAAGACGGATCCAGTACAGTACGCAGGGGACAAGCGCCATTCGGATTACTACGACGAGGACGAGTGGGAGGACATCAAGCCCTTCTCACCGCCGATGTCCTCGGCACCGGAGATGGAGCAGGCCACCAGGCACGAGGACCCGCCGACGCCCCTTATGACAGCTGAGGCGGTCCGGCTCAAGCGGCCGGGGTCCCGAGTGATGGAGATTGTCCAACAGATCGAGAGCCAGAGCCGGCATGGGAGCCCTCCTGTCTAACATGGACGTCTCTCGGGCTAGGGTCCAAACACTCCTCGATAGCTTTAGCTCTTCTCATCCCTTCCTCCGGCCTTGGTACATTGGAAGATGGGTTTCATTACTTTTAGGGACTTTTATTGACGCACTGGGGCGGAATGGATGCGATGCCACGAAGGGAATGACGTTTACGTGGAGGACCATTTGAGCTTTTTTACGCTTTTGCAAGGGGTTATTTTGTGTGGGATTTTGGAAATGGTATATACCAGGCGTACATTATCATCTTGTAAATAGAGCATGCGACACTTCGTAGCTCGGTCGGGTCCTTGGTTGGCACGACCCTTTGGGTGTTGGAATTGTAAAGCTACCCAGTTTTGGGTATCGTTCTGTCGTTAAGAGCTGCCCATCTCTATGTATGATTGTCTACATTACAAGAACGTGCTCATGTATACAGCGCAAATATGCCAAGCTGACGATGATGTCTCGTCCGGCTAATCCCCGTGCTTGTCCGGCCTCGCTTCTGAACATAGTCCCATCGATTAGTGATATGTATCCCGCAGTCTTCCTTGTCCAGATCCAATATCGTACATATTCTATATATCTCTATTTGCTTTCCATATAATCACATCCCTAACTCCTCCTATTACAATACCCCGAAGCCAGACAAGCGATGACACAACTCCACTATCACTTCTGCTTCTCAGAACTCAACTCGTCATCGGCGAAGACCCCCTGATCTGGTGCGCTCTCGTCAAGAGGAGAGATCACGATCGCGCATCCCGCGCCAAGGCCCTCGCGCAGAGCACGCAGGAGGTGCTCGCGAGCTCTATAACCTGGCACCCACGGGCACCGCCCTCGGGCGACGTGCGCGCCGCCGTGGCTGCGGCTGCGGCTGCGGCTGCGGCCGGTCCACGAGCCACTCGTTGTGCGACAGGATGGCCTCGACGAGGGCCCGGCCGGGGAAGTCGGCGATGACGATGCCCGCCGTGGCGTTGTGCCCGGGGGCCGCGAGCCACCGGCCCGTGCGGTCGTTCATGCCCGCGATGGACGGGTGGTCGAGCGGGCCGGCGGCGGCCTCGATGGGCAGGACGCCGACCGAGGCGCTCAGGTGCGACAGGTACAGCCGCCGCGGCGGCTCCTGCTGCGCGCCGTCTCCCGCGCGGCTGGGGGAGGCGGCGGCGGCCAGCTCGAGGTTCTCCCGGATGGCGTCCCACTTGTCGTCGAGGAAGCTGGCGTTGGCGACGACCCAGTAGTCCTCGAGCGCCAGCTGCCCCGAGAGCCAGGGGATGCCGTAGGGCGCGGCCGAGTCGAACTCCTGCAGGACCAGGGCCCTGCCGCGCAGCTCGCCCAGCGTCGGGATGGGCATCTCGGTCTCGCTGCCCTGCTCGGCGGCCGCCCGGTCGGACCGGGCGGCGGGCAGGAGGAGGTGCTTGGCGCAGCCGGGCGCCGTGCGCGGGTCCTCGAGGCGGTAGTAGTTAAACGCCTCCTCGAACGTGCGGGTCGAGTTCACCACGTCGCTGCCGGCCGCCGCCACCGTTCCCGGCTCGAGGGGGCCCGGCCTGGCGTCGCCGTCGCCGTGGTCGTCGACCGGCGGGCCCTCCTCCTTGACGCGCAGGACGAGCCCCTCGCGCGGGTGCGCGTCGAGGAAGGCAAAGGCCGCGAGCAGGACGTCGGCGTAGGCGTAGCCCGTGTAGGCGGCGGCGTGGTAGACGAGCAGGTCGCCCGCGGCGCCGAGGCGCAGGCGCAGGTCGAGGTAGCGCACGCCGGCGCGCAGCTGCGCGCCCAGGGCCAGGTTCTGGCACTGGTAGCCCTGGTCGGCGAGGCGGTGCGTCAGCGTGTCGTGGGTGCCCGGGATGGAGAGGCTGGCGAGCGAGGCCGAGTCGGGCAGGCGGGCCATCCAGTCCGGGAAGGCGGCGGCGTCGGCGTCGAAGGAGTGGGCCGAGGTGTAGTTCCGGAAGGACGGCGGTTTGTTGGGTCCTGGTTGCTTGTCTCCGCCGTGTTTGCCACCTCCTGCTGCTTCTTCATCTCCCCCCTGCTGCTGATGGGAGTCCGCGTCCGTGCCTGGGAATGGGCGCTGCAGGGTGCTGGGGAGGAGGGATGTGGCGGTTGGGAAGGAGATGACCTGGGAGATGAGGATGAGGCATGTGAGCACCATGAGGGAGAGGATGGCGTAGAAGCGGAAGCGAGAGTTTGTCGGTGCTGCCATCGTGAATGAGCGTGTGGGTCAATGTGCCAGGCGCGTTCCATTCAGGGGTTTGCCGGCGTTTCTGTTTTCTGGTGCCTTCGATACAGACAAGTCGTCCCGCGAGGCCGGTCTAATACGAGGCGCCGAGGCTATCCCAGCTGATGGCATAGGCGTGTGCGGGCGAACCTACACGCTGGGCTTTTGATGACAGAGCCGGACTTCTGCAGCCATCTGGCGACGGTGCTCTATGGGGGTTACGCGTCGTGGACTCGCGAAGGACTGGTCTCTCGTTCCTTGAGAGAAGAACAGCTCCGGGAGATGACCGTCAGCACTTTGCGACAGGGGTTTTCCATCTCGGTCGGTGGTTGGGATGGTCCGGGTGGTTCCCGCCAAGCCGTGTCGCGTCCAGCCCCTCTTTAGCCGCTGCCCGGGGCCTCAGCTCCTCCTCCCTTTGCCGATGGTGCCGGGACGGCGGCGCTACGAAACGGCGACTACGGACTAAGACCAACGGCCCAGTACCATCCAGTGCACCACTCCATTTACGAACTGTGCTGGAGAAGCAGTCAATCGTGATCAAAGTGCCAAAGCGGTCATTCGGAAGAGATAGCGCTGCGTAATGATTCATTCATTGTCTTTTATGTTCATGCCATCCTCAAAAACAAATGCTGTCTTCGACACGCTCAGTCAACAATATTCCACATTGGGATCAGCCTCCACGCCCGTAACATCTAAGCCAGGAGTAGTAGTATTTCTATTAGCCAGGCTGGTGAAATGATAAACCATTTGGGCCTTGGCCTTTAAGCAACGCAATGGGCCGGTGCCAGTCTTGCTCGCAGTCCATGGAAGCTCGGTGTCTATCTCTCCAACTCGGCACCCGGCACAGTGAGATGTGTCACTGTGGACCGGGGAACCTAGCGTTCTGGCCTTTTCCGAACAGATGCAGCATCACCTGCCATGAAGGACAGGGCATACTCTCTCTAACTATCGAGGGGCCCGATCCACGGAGCCTGGTTTAACCCGTGTGCCATGCCACCAACGAGTGCGGGGAAGTGAAGCACGGTGCAATTAGAAAGCACGTTAATAAATCCGGCAGCGGTGCGGGTCTAGTGATGATCAACAAGAAGTCGAGCAAGGCAAGAAACAGACAAGCCTTGGAGGATATCTGCATGGGACAAGCATGGGTCAAGTGCTCTGTCGATTGCCGATCCACCTGCCACAGCATCGGGCATACTGGCGCTGGTATCACCACCCAACGTCTGAAACGACACCAAGGCAAGCCACCGGTTCGACCATGTTTTGTCACTCAGAATCTCCAAAAGAGTTGATCCAAAATTCACGTCAAGACGAGAAGCATTCTACAGCGATAGACCGCCCATTTCTGCATGAGGCTAACTCATGCACGCAGACAGAACCCAGGCTCGGGTAATCCCTGAAAAAGGGTCCAGCGACCTCCCTCCCAATGCATACGACTCACACACGGGGGTGTGGGATGCGCGTCCCCACCAGAAGAGGCAGTCAGGGTGTCAAAAAGATGGTGGCCCCGATGCATGCAGATGCGGGCATTGGCTTCGGTGGTCTATCGGACGGGTGCAAGCACTTCCTGGATCTCCCCAGACCGGAGACGACCGCGCAAGACCACAGACCGCAGACCGCGGATGCATGTGCGAGGGAGGGGCTTGCGTGAATTGAACGATGCACGCCCGCCCGTGGATCATCTTGGACCGATTCGAGGGTTCGATTGATTCGCCAGCGCATCCTCTACGTCACACGGCGTGACTGGAAGAAGCGTTCCCTCCAAGGGGAGGCGATAACCTCAAAGGGGCACAATTGCAAGATTGCATCCGTGCTAGGTATCCCGGGGCCGAACTGGAGTATCGTTGGCTTTCTTTTCTTTTCTGTTCTTTTCTTTTCTTTTCTTCCTCCACAAAGAAAGAAGAGTTGAATTCTTGAGGAGGCCTGACGTATGTATGGGGACGGTGTTTACATTCCGCAGGTCTTACGAAGCGTCGTCGGATGAACACGAGCCTTGAGCAATCACACGGGCGGGCTGTCCTGGCGAACATAGGTACATCACCCAACGAAGAATGCGTGCAAGCCCACCAATACGAGAGGTATTGGAGGGTTGATGATCACATGGAAAGCCGAGCGGTGGGCAGGCTATGCGCTACCTTTTGACGCCTGCAGTATCGCCGCCGTCCAGTCCAGGGTTGGAATCTGCAATGCAGTTTGCAGATAGGTAGGCAAGTAGTTAGTTAGGGTAATGTAGGCAAGGTTGCTAGCAGGGTGGCTGGGTATCGACACAAGCAGGCGGGAAATGGAAAGGGAACGCGAACCCTTCTGCAGGTCTTCTGCATGCAAGAGACTGACCGCCGCCACCACTACTCAAACCTCCACTGGCCTGCCATTGAAGGAGGCTGTTGATGACACATCGCCAAATGGGAGGGTCGTCCCGGTCAATCGACAAGGTCAAGAGGCCCGTCGAGCCCGTTAATTGACGAGGGCCGGGTGGGGTTTTGAAGGTTGCACTTCCGATGGAGCGGACCTCGCATCAGGCCACCTCGAGCAAGTCTAGTGAAACTGTAAAGGAAGAAAAAGTGACACCTCGTCCTCGGGCTTGGAATTTAGACTTTGTGTGCGCCCGCTACCTACTCCGTAGAGAGAAGGCGACTGTCCTTGTGTAAATGCAGGCTGCTTGGCCCGGTGAGGATGGCGGGAGGTAGGTGAGTGAGGGGAGGCACCGGCAAGCCCGGTAGGGCCGAGAGTGCTCAGTGCCATTTTAGTTGACAGACACTACGGAGTACAGTGGGTCAGATCGGGGTAAAGACAAGGAAGTGCTACCTGCTTGTACATTATCTTCCAGACTCACAGCGACGCGGAGCAGTGGCTTGTGATCTCTGCCTCCCTCTCCAGCATCCTCGGTCAGTGGCCGGCTCTCGGTCTGCTCTCCTTCCTAATGCGTGTCAGGGTCTGGGACAGATGTCTTCGCTATGGAAACGGGCGAGACAAAAGGTTGAAGCCGGTGGTGAGTGGCGTGAGGGCACTGTAGATCAGCAACTCTTTGTCAGCTGGAGGGAAGGTTGTTGTTGTAGGCAAGTCTTTTAGTCTGTGAGCTAAAGGCATCTCGCCGAGGAATGTGAGCAATAGCTTAGGCCAAAGTTTAACAGTGTTGTGGGATAAGGGAAAAGGCAGGCTGTTGCGCCGTCGATGGAGGAAATCATCGGTGTCTCATCACGGCTGCCTACATGATACATCATACCTACCTAGGTAGGCTACATGCACTTTTCTCACGTGCCGAAGCCGTAGCCATGAAGCGACCGCTCACTAGTGGAAGAAGAGCCTAGGTAGGCACTACTCTTTTCGAGACTTTCTCGCTCTTTTGGCTGATTTTGGCTGAAACGAGAACAATTCCATGGCTTCGGGATTCTCCAAACAAACGACAGCCCCGACCGAGAGGTACTCCGTAGGTAGGTAGCCCAGATGGTGCCAGTGGGTGGGGGTACCCTGCCAAGGCGGCGGCACGCGCTATCGCATCCCTAAAGAATCTCGTCGATAAAACCCTTGCTTTTGCAAGTCGGAGGCTTGGTGATTTCCGGTCTGGCGGGCGTTCACTCTCCTCCTCAGTGGTTGGATGAACCAGCGCGGGGCAGGTCGAAGTGCCGACCCTCTCGATCGAAGGATCCATGGAGATGTGTCCTTCTGGCCTTGTGGTTTCGAGGGCACTTGTATCAGCAAGAAAAATGGCTAGAAGCACGGCAGTCCTTTGAAACCAGATCATGGGTGGGCCCCTGTGTAGCTCCGTAGGCATCTCTGTGGGGAAGGAATGGCGTTCTGGCATTCTTCGTAGTGATGCCGAGGGAAGCGCAGATGCCAGTCTCGACACCAGCTGTTTCGGATTGGCTGGTCTCGCAGGTAAGGCTCGCTTGTGGCCGTTGACAGTCCAGCTGCCAGTGCACCTTATCTGGGCGCAGAAGGTTGTCAAGATGCGGCCTGGCGAGCGACAGGTCCCTAGGTACTCGCCCTCTTGTCCGGCTTCTCGGGACATGGGGACATGGCAGGCCAGAGCGCCACTTGACATCTCGGGGCATTCCACAGAGCCAATGTTTGATCACAACACTGTTTAGGTATCAGACCGTATCACGCGTTGTAGAGCTGGTCCAAGATTTCACTTTGTACCTGGCAACATCGGCCTCGAGCCATCCAATGGGACGTTCCTGTCCGGTCTGTACTTGGTAGCTTTCGTGAGGTGTATCGGTGCCAGGGAAATTTATAGGATGTGGATATTGGCTACCTTATGAGCCGCCATCGTAAGGCCCGATTGGGACGGTCCATGCATCAGGAAAGGGTAAGGACTCACAGACGGACTGGCCTAGTGTCGATGCGCGCACAGTCTGTCTGTCTGTCTGAAGGTGTTCTTTTTGACGGCGGCTGCTTCAGAACCAGGCCCAACTGGCGCTTAAGCACGGTGGCCGGACTGCTCATGGATGGGTTGTCTGGCAGTCGTGGAGACTAAAAGCCGTTTGACAACGACAGCTGAACAAAAGTCCGTGAAAGCGCGCTTGGCCCAGTTGGTGAATTGACTTTGGGCCTTCTTGATATTGCGATGATCCACCCCTGCGGTGGAGGAATGGGGAAATGGGAAACAACAGGGGCCTCGCGAGAAGGGCTAGCCAACGGGGCCCATCCCTGCTCGCATCTCTGGTCCTTGCCTGCATCTGGCTTGGCCTGGGAGACAACGGGCTGGTGGTGACGACATACACTCTCCAGTCTGCGGGAAACATCATGAACAAGCTGCGTCGCTCCCTGGCGCTGGTAAAATGAAGCATCGTTCCAGCGCGTTTCAGGGATGCCGCCATCGTATTGTGCTCCTCGGGCTGTCCCAATTATTGGAAATAGGGGTTTTGAGGGTAGCTCCTTTTTTCGTCCGGGCCTTTCTTTTCGTTATTTCGCGGTGTGCGTGTGCGCGTGCATGTTGAATGCGTGTGTACAGTCTGTAGTCAGCATGCTTGCGTGTCGCAGACCTGGGTACTGTAGGTAGGTATCGCTAGGTTCTCTTAGCTGTACAGGTCTCATCATCGCCCAAACCATGTTTTTTTTTTCTTTCCAGACAACGACGGGTGTCGAATGAGCAATTGCCTCCCGGGTTAGCCGCATGCAGTTCTCGCCGAGCCCGTCGGCATCGGGACGGGCCCAGGGAAGAAAGCCCTGCCTGTGTGTCCTGTGAGGTGAGGCCACGGCAGTCGACTCGCCACCCCTTGCTGTGATTCGCTTACCCCGTGCTGCAGATTACAGGGCTCTATTGGTACCAGCATGCCTGTTGTTGATGATTTACGGGGGTTTTATTACGGCGTAACCTGTTCTTGTTGCTTGGTCAAGCGCCGACGAAGCCGCCCCGTTGTTTCTGGCCCCCTCCTCACCCTCCCCCAGCCCAGAGATCTTCGTGAACTTGTATTCCCGGCCAGCCAAGCGAGATTTCTCGCGACGCAGACACGGATAGCCACCACAGTACCGAGTACGTACATCCATCCTTCTTAGCGTTCGTCACCCAGAGATTGGCGGGCGAGTTACACCACCGCAACACATCCCAGGCCGCGGCTTGAGATGGGCATACGGTCGGGCATCAGTTAAAACAAGCCGGCGGCAGCACCAACAGACAAACAAGGCCCGGCACCATCCATCCATCCATCCATCATCCATGGCCAGTGAGGCGAGGGCAGAGAGAGAAATGCAATCAACAGATATATTTATCATAGCTACTTAATGTAGATATATATCCAGGTGATAGTGACAGATGGCTCTCCTCCTCTTCGAGTAAAGTGCATGGCTGGATACGATTCCATGCCACCCACCACGCATCAGCTCACCACCTCCACCGACCGGACCCTTGCCGGCCACACTGGCTCACTGGGGCAGGACTGGCTTTGCTTGGCCGCGAGTCCAGCAAAAGTATCCCTCGTGAGATCCCTGCCCGGTACGGAGTAAGTGCTCAGCTCTCTGATCGACGGCTCTCGTTCATCTCCACTTCCGTTGCTCCACGCTTCTCAGGCCACCGCACTAGCGTGTCCTCCCATTCTTGTATCGCTGCAGCACCGCTTGCGTTTTTCCATGTGCTCCAAGATCTCGTTCTTTCGAATTCGTTGTTGAGTCGCCTCTTCCTCCCACCTACAGGTACTTTAGCTCTTGTCTTTCCTCCTTCTTGTCTATGTCTCCCACCGAATCCACACACACACACGCACGCAACACACCATCATCACCAAGTCGCTTTTACCCACATCGCGCCGGTGTCGACGACTGGTAGATTTTTCTTTGTCCTCTTTTTTTATTTTTATTTTTTATTTTCGGGATTTTTCTTCTTAGCCGTTCCTTCTTGGCTCACTCTCCTTGCTCTCCTCCCGATCGAAAGAATAGTCTCTTTTTTGTTCTTTTGTACTTGCCTGTTCCCGATAGAAGGGTTTGACTGAGGGCCCTGCCTCCATTAGTCCTTCCGGGTGTCTCCTGCGGAGCTAAAGTCGAGTACAGACACGCGCCTAGCCTTGGAACGAATAGAAAGAGAAAAAAAACCGCTCCCAAGGGAGAGCCAGAGGAGCCATCCTTTCGTATCTGTCGACAGGCAATAAATACCACGACGGGGGAATACCTGCCCAAAGCTCCTAGGGTCGGTCGGCCGCTAAAATAAAGCAACACTAGAGTACTTCTTGCAGTACGAGGTTACGAGGTTGTGGTGTGGTCTACCAGCGGTGGTACCTGCTAACGGAGCCCATTGATCTCACCACAGCAGCACCCGCCCACTGGCACTGGCACTGGCCCTGTCCCTTGTGCCTGTGCCCGTGCGCCCACCCACCCTCTTCGCAGGTTTTAGCACCAGCCCAACCTTATTACCTCAGCTCCGCCCTGCCTATCTCCAAATTCCCTATCTCCTTCCCGTTTCTCTGGTCTGGCACCTCTCACCAAATTCTCTTCCTTCATTCCACCAAATCACCACCACAACACCACCGCCAAACAAGGTCCCACGTCTCTGACCTTGCGGCACGGCTCCTTTGTCAAGTCATCCTCTTCTCACACAAGATAGCATTGACTTGCCTCATCTTGTCGACAGTCCTCCGACCCGCTATCTATCTGCCGGCTTCGGTTGCTGTCCTTCACCTCCTCACCTTGCCGAGACCAACTCACACACTCTCCTCTACTGCGGGCTCTCCGACTGTCATGGCCACGGCCACCAGCGCCAGTCTCGTCGTATAAGGAAGCTTCTGTACTCTGCAGATTGGACTGCCGTTGCTCTGCAATCCCCGGCCCGTCGGCCGTCCCGAGTCGTCCAAGATCAATAAGTGGTATGCGATCCCCAGACTACGTCCTTACCCCCCTCCCCTCTCTCCAATTGCTCCTTCATAGCTCTCTGCTTGAACTTCTGACCTCGGGCATATACTGATTGTTCTGGTTTCAGTAACGGCACGAGACCTCATTCACAATGGCTTCTTGGCGAAGCACTTCCCGGCTCATGGGCAGCCTCGCCCTCAGTGTGTTGCTGGGGGGTCTCATGAGCCAAGCGAAACCCTCCATACCCATGGACTATTGCGCCAGCATCAACACCGGAGGATCAGCCAGTGAGTATGAGCCTACCCCGAGACATTTGGAATATAGCACTAACCCCTGGACAGATTTCAGCACCTGGCAGTCAGATGGCCTCTGCAATAAATTCTGCCTCGACGATAACTACGCTTTAGCCATCGTCCAGGGACAGTACTGCTGGTGTTCCAACTATGTCCCCGACAAGTCAAAGCAGGTCGGTGTCTCCAAGTGTGCCGCTCCGTGTCCTGGCTACACCGACGACGTCTGCGGCGGAGATGGCACCTTCGGATACATGACGCTGGCCAACGCGCCCTCTGGCACAACGGGAGGTTCTACTCCTGGGAAGACGTCTTCTCCTCCGGTAAGTGATCAGTCATAATTCGTGCCACTGCAGGCTCCAGAACCCCCTTCCTTCCCCGTCCCTGTCTTTCTTTCACAATCCCTTCATGGCGAAAGTTGCCCCTTTTGTACAAAATATCGGCCCAGGACCTCGCGTCAAGGTCTTGGATATTTTAACAAACACACTGTAATCCCAGAGGAAAGTAACCACTGAGACTGAGACGGGGGCAGCCGATGAGGACTTTTTCAAGTTCTTCAACTTCAACGTCGTCTTCTTCTAGCTCAAGCTCAAGCTCGAGCTCGACTTCTGTAGGGTTTCACCTCTTTCTTTCTCCCTTCTTAAATGTTTGCAATTGCAGCAGTTTCAGAAGGACTTTATTTTTCCGTTGTAGAATCTCTATTTCTATTTTCTTTCTTTTTCTCTGTTTGCTCAGCGTCTCGCAGAAAATATTATGCTGACACCTTTCCAGTCGGGCGATTCAAATACTACTCCCACGCCGTCCATCCGAACGGTGACTCAAGGCGGAACCGTCAGCACCGTCACGGTGTTGCCTTCTACCCCCGCCGATTCCGCGGGGGCCGGAGCCGGAGCACAGACGTCAACTGACAACAAGAAAGGGCTCAGCACCGGTGGGGCAGTAGGCATCGCTGTCGGTTTGGTGGGAGCCGCTGCCGCCGGAATTATCATTTTCGTCGTCTTCAGAAGGCGCAGGAGACAGCATGACGACGACGATGACCAGATGGATGGCCATTCGCCGCGCGGGAGCTCGGCGGGCATGACGCAGTCCTCGAAGGTTCCCGAGGTGGGCGTGACGCCTCCGTACCTGGGCAAGATGGAAGGACCTTGGGAAAGCGACCAATCTGGGCGGAGACGCAGCATGCTGATGCCGATTGACCCGCGAATCGATCCTGGCCATAGCGGTATTTACAACCGCGCAGACAACAAGAGCCGCGACAGCATCAACACACTGCGTGACGACCAGGATTACTCGAGACGGGTGCACCAGCCGACCAAGGTGCTGAGGGCTACGAATCCCGACCCGGATGACGACGATTGAACCTTCTTGACTATACAATTCCGCATTGGACAGTGACATATTTTCGCACGACGTACACGATTTTTCCATCCCGCCTGCCGTCATCGAGAGGGTTTTCAAATTGCATTTCCGAGATACCAGCATGGCGTTTTGTTTTTGTTCTTCGGGATAGGACCCGGACTACATCTACCGAGGAGCAAGGCGTCACAAGACCACGAGTTGTTTGGTCTTTGCAATATCAACCACCTTTAAGCCATGAGACGCCAAGCAGGCAGGAAGAGTGCCATGAGCATTGAAATGCGGGTCTGGCCTCTTTCCTGACCATGCTTGGCTGGGCTCTCCGAACCTGACTCGGCTCAGTTGTGTCAGAGTCGTGCGAGGAGGGTGGCACAAAAGTTGAGCGATGTGTACTATAGAGCTATTGAAATCGGGGGCTTCGCCGCGTGGCGGTGACTCGCTTCATAACGAAGGCGGTGCCGGTATCAAGACCTTTCGGGCCAAGAATGGTTTCGAAGAGAATGATGTGGTGGCCGGGGACATAATGAGGCAAAAGGCAGTATCTGTACATAGACGCGCATCATGGAGAGGAGCCAATCTCCATCTACTTGATGTACTGGGAGGCAGTGGTCTCCTCAGAGGAAGACCGTGAGGAAGACCGTGAGGAATACAAAGTTGGCCAAACATACAACCCATGCGGAAACAGTTCTTGCACGGGACTGTGATTTTCCCAAATCATAGCATATTTCGACATTCGATGAATTGATTCACCAGCCTCACGAGATCATTCAGTCTCGTCACGGTACCTTATCCAAGCTTCGAGGGACTCGTCTCGTCGGAGCTTACTAAGACATGGCGCCATGGTTCTGTAATCGAGAACGCCGCAAGTCGAAGATGTCATGATCGTGTAGGCTGTTGGCCCTTGCGTCGTCTCCACGGCAATTGAAACGAGATGCGGTGGAGAGCTGGGTCGATCCATGGGGCGGAAAGGCCGGAGCAGGAGCCAGCACGAGGGTGCCGGGTAGGTAGGTCTCGCTAGCTGAAATCGATTATCAACGGAACGCTGTTTGTTAATTACAAGGCATGGGTTGTGTGTGGTTTGGTCCGACTTTCAGAAGAGCAAGGGGGGAGGAAGTTTCCGGCTTGGCAGGGGTTCTGCTCTTCGCTGTGGTGTGTAATACCTACACACCGACACACCACCACCAAAAGGACCCATCTCATCACAATACTTACGGAGTAGATCATGTGAAAAAGATAGGGAAATTTAAAATTACCTTTTTGCGCCGCGAGCGCGTGTTTGCAAGTCAGGAACAGGAAGAAGAGCCTGGTGATTACGCACACCGGGCCCACAATCCCTCCCCTACTTTTTCTTCTCCCTCATCGTTGTACCCTTTTGTTTGCTTCGGCGGGCCTGGCGATCGTATTTTTCGCGTCACGGGCGGCGGGGTAGGGGTTGCCCATTTGCGGTTCAGGGGCGGCGCGGTCTTTTGGAAATGAGGATGCGCATCTGACTTGATGTCATGGCGGAAGAAGGCGCGTCGCCGGGACCGCTAGGTAGTTAGTGATGTGGATCGCGCCGCGCTGAGCTGGACCGGACACACACACCCCTACATGTCTGCATCCGAATGTCGTGTAATGGGAATGCCGGCTGGTCAGTGGATGGAGTAAATCTGATCTCGCTATCTTTTTGTTTCATGTGGTCTCGCCGTCCTGATCGACTAATGTAATGATCCTCCAGCCTCGGCACTCAGGCTTGCGTGTGTTGCACACAATTCATATAAGTGGGAGGGAGTGCCGATCCTCGCGTGCAGACAGACAGGTTTCTTGTGTTTTTTTTTTCTTAATTGCATATGATGCCGTGGCGTTGCTCATCGCTATACACTCCTGCATGGGGGGGATGTGATCCGGGGGTAGAGTTTGCTGCTCTGGTCCTTTATGTTGATGACTGAAGCCGATGTCCAGGAGAGACTGTCTGCTGTGGTTGGTTGACCGAACCTCGACTTGATGCTGCTGTTTGGACTGCTGTTTGGAAGCAACTACATTACCTACGGTTCTTCTTCTTGATGTGAGGCATGCCGGTGCTTACACGACGAGTCCCTGACCTTGAGTTCGCCCTCGCGGAGCTTGCAACTCCGTTGTTTGCCATAGAGTGTCTATGCAGCCGCCTAGCAAGCAAGCATGCTCATATATCAAAGTTCTTGCTTTGGCCACAAGCAAAAGGTGCTCTAACTACAGGAATCCTGTCTGTCAGACAGACCAATATGGACAGAATGAAGCGTCTCGGTTGACCGCCGAGTTGGCAAATGAGGGCCCCCCCTTCAAACGCGCCGGTTGTTCGGGCGCCAGAGAGGCCTCTTGCTCAGCCTCAATCCTCAGCTGTTGCAAGTGTGATGGTTGGACATGAATTGAAGGAGCTTGCCAAGCACCGCCTCACCGCGCCTGCGGCTAGGACCTGGGAGGGCAGTAGACATTGGCAGCTCTGCTAACCGCAGTTTGGTTAGGGCGGGTGTGCCAACGTTCTCTTCAGTGGCCGGTAGAGTGGTTAGGCGGTGGTTAGCGGCGGTGCTCGGGTGCCTTGATGATGGCCCCCTTCCAAGTTTCAGGACCCTTCTCCGTCCCTCCCGCCCGCCAATCCGCTGCCCCGCCAAGAAATAGTTAATACGTACAAGTAGAGAAGGGGGTCTTGGCTGGAGCCCCTGCCTTTTTCGCGATGGGCTTCTGTAGTTGCGTACTATGGGCCAAGTTCTCTCTCTTTCCGCATACCTACCGACAATACAAGTAGAAATCCCATTGTTAGTTTGCCTGTCGTCGATTGACCGGGGCGAGCAGGATCCAAGACTATTCAACAACCAAAACGCTCATTATTGAGCACGACACCGCCACCAGGACCAACACCTCCCGCTTGCGCCCGCTGCCACTAAATTGGCCCCCGCAAACGTCACTGGGCGTGCTCGAGTTTCAAATCCGGTGTCACAGGGCCTGCGAATAGCCAGGCAGATTCTTTCATCAGCGGCGACGACAAAGAGGACAAAATAAATCGCAAGGAAGCAGGAGCCACCGGACGGCATTTGGAGATACATCCATCACCCCTCGCATCGAGGTCGACGACAACAAGCCAATAAAGTCGAGTCAGCAGGAAAGCCAAGACCGCCTGCCCCAGAGCCAAGAAGCGGCTGCATCCGCACCCGCGACCCAGACGACTGGCGACGATCCCGCAGCCTGCAGCGCCTGCTCGAGGCTCGCCGGCGAGGCTCCCGCCAGGTGTGCGCGCGCACCCAGACACGCTCGGGCGGATTGATTGGAGGTGGAGGAAAGATCCGACTCGCGTGGGATAACAGGTCGCAACCATGAACTTGACGTGCAACTCCACGCTGGAGGACATGAGGAGTACGTCGTCCTGGTGCCCCTGAGCTGGCTCTGTCGGTTACGGATGCGAAGAAAGATACTGACTGCGCATTCATCTAGTCGTCCCCGGCACGGAGAAGGTCATAGTTGGTGCCTTGACATTCCACCAGCTTGCCCTCATCATTGCGGCAGGGTCCACGCTCGTCGCCATACTTATGAGCTTCTTCTTGATATGGATGCATGCCCTCAATTATACCAAGCCCCGTGAGCAGAGGCAGTATGTTGAGCCCTTCTTCACTTCCTGTATGGCCCACCTGCTGACAACATGTCGTACAACCAGCATCATCCGCATCCTCTTCATGATCCCGGTCTACGCTACGGCTTCCTATCTATCATTACGCTACCACTGGAAAGCGATTTACTTCCAGGTCTTGAGCGATTGCTACGAGGCCTTCGCCATCTCGTCCTTCTTCGCCCTCATGTGTTCCTACATGGCGCCCGACCTGCACGAGCAAAAGGAGTTCTTTCGAGACATGCGGCCCATCAAGCCATGGGTGTGGCCGCTCAACTGGTTCAGGGCCTGCTGCGGCGGCGAGAGAGGAATCTGGAGGACCCCTAAGAGCGGCCTGACCTGGTTCAACATCATCTGGATCGGCATCTATCACTACTGCTTTATCCGTGTCGCCATGACTATCACGGCGGTGGTGACGCAGTACTTTCACCGTTACTGCGAGAGCTCCAACAACCCTGTCTTTGCACATATCTGGGTATGTGCCGATAGCTTGCCCGACGCTTTTTGGGTCTCGTCTAACTAACTGGTTAACAGGTCATCGCCATCAACTGTATCGCAGTCACAATAGCCATGTATTGCGTCATCCAGTTCTACATCCAGCTCAAGGAGCCGCTCAAGGAACACAAGCCCTTCCTCAAAGTGCTGGCCATCAAGCTTGTCATCTTCCTCTCCTTCTGGCAAGCGACGGCCATCTCTGTCGGCACATCTACCTTGGATCTCGTGCACGCAAACGAGGTTATTGCCTATCCCGACCTCAAGGTCGGCATTCCCATGCTACTGCTGTGCTTTGAGATGGCTTGCTTCTCGATCCTGCATATCTGGGCTTTCCCCTACCGTCCTTACACTGCTGGCGCGCCGCAGACTTTCTACCCTGTTGCCGATCCGGATTCCGGCCTGTCACCTAGGCCCAACGAACACGCGAAACCTAGTGGCGGGTTCATGGGCCTACGAGCCATCTGGGACGCGCTGAATGTCTGGGATATTGTCAAGGCATTCGGCCGCGGTGTCCGTTGGCTCTTCGTCGGCGTGCGTCACCGTCATGAGGACATCAGCTACCGCACGGCCCCTAACAAGGCTGGCGTGGACATGGACGACCTCAGCCACAAGGACGGTGGGCTCCACGCCAACACGGCCTACGGCGGGGCGAACGGTGGCAAGAGCACCGACAATCTTCCCATCGCTACCGAGTTCCGCAGGAGCCGCTTTGACCAGTTGTACGGGCAGCAAGAGACCGGCGTGACGGGTGGTAGCGGGGGCAGGCCCGGCGCGCCGCATCCAGAGGACGAAGCCGACGGCCTGATCTCACACGCGCAACCCATGTCTGGGAGCAGAGATGCGAGATCTCAAGATCCCAGCCCGTACCGCAATCCGGCAGAATACGACGGCACGAGACCGTACGACCAAGGCGGCGACTTGTCGGCGCCTGTGCCATACAGAGGGGCAAGGGAGCAGCCGTACGACATGCCGGAGCATGATGACCGGTACGTGGCGTACGGCGGTTATTCCGCCCCGCAAGGCCATCCGCACCAGCAGAGGCCGAACCCGAGGAACTCGACGCAACTGAGAGTTGGTCAGGCGCTCTGGGGCACTCCTGGGAACGGCAGCAGTGGTGGTGGCGGCCGGGGTAACGAGATATAGCCTGGGCTAGTTAGGGCTTGGGTGGTCATGCCGTGCGTGCGCCCACTATGCGCGATGTGCTTTCTAGCCCAGATTCATCTACGCGGCGTTGTTTCCTTTTTTATTTTTTTTCTTTGTTTCTGGCAAAATCGGTGCATTAGAGCAGGATGAACTACGTATGGATACCACTCTAGTTTTTGTTGCAGGCATTCTTTCACTGGCATAGGCGTTATATGGAAATGAATATGAAAACTGATGATTAAGCATAATGAATGCACACATCTTTGAGTCGAAGAGGCTGCCAGATTTGATGCCGCGTGTGTAGAGAGAGGCACTGGGTGTTTTTTCTTGGCGATGGAGTCGGCGATGCTGTGCCGTACCGAATTGCATCACTCGCCCGCCTTGTTTGGAAACATCCAAACCCAAATTCCACGTGCTGTTTCCATAAAAAGGAGATCGACGTCTGTCCAGTCCACCGAGCCGTGGATGCGACGACAGCAACGAGCGGCACAGAGACCATCCGCAGCATCTGCTGTACTTGTAGAATAGAGGCTGGGATGATCGACAAGCATGTATGCATGATCATAGCCGCGCTCCCGCGGAACGACCTTGATTCAAAGAGGTATTACCGAAAGCATTCTCTCCAAGCCTGCTGTTTCTATTCACAGTGTCTACAAAGTAGTTTACTCACACCTCACCCCCACAAGATCAACTTCAACTACGCCGCAGCTGCAAGGGCACGATGATGTAGTCACTGGGCCACCATCGCGATCAAAGACATGTTATACATCAACGGAGGATTCTGCCGGGCTCAATACCGGGCTCAGGAGTACTTAAGCTCCCGGTGTCCGTCGCGGATAACATGGCCTGGCTTCGATATCATCCCTCCCAAGACTCGAGACCTCTCACGCCTTCCACAAGAATCAACCACACTCTCTCATCAGTCACAACAATACCATACCAAAAAGATGAAGCCCACAGCCATCCTCTTCACCCTGGTCACCCTCGCAGCCAGCACCCTCGCCGCCCCGCCCCCATCGTACTCGTCCCCGCAGCTCGTCTCGCGCGAGGACCTGCTCGGCGGGGCCGTGCCCCCCCTCGCCCTCGGCACGCAGAGGGACGACAAGTCCGGCGCGGCCTACCTCAAGGTCTACGAGGAGACGCGCGCCGAGGACAAGGGCTGCACCGAGTGGCTGACCATCGGCAAGGCGGGCGACGACCCCTGCGCCGCCGGGGCGTTCACCTTCGGCGGCGCCAAGCTGCGCTTCACGGGCTGCAACGCCGAGTACGGCAACCGGCCCGCCAAGCTCGAGCGCGTCGACGGCGGCGGCGGCGGCGCCACCAAGAAGAAGGGCGGCAAGAGCAGCAAGTGGGACAAGGTCGTGCGCGTCTGCTGGGACGCGGGCGCCGACGTCAAGTGCAAGGGCAAGAACACGCTCAAGCGGATGAGCCAATGCTACTAAGCGATTAAAAAGAGAGAGAGAGAGCCCGTTTCGTCCTGGTGGCACTCCATACAATCATGCATCATTATGTATACAAGTATCATGCGTTGGCGAAAAGGGGGAAGTGAGTAAGATGTAGTAGGCCCTGCTCATGTGCAAAGCGCAGGAAACAAGCCCCCCCTTCCCCTTCCCTTCCCTTCCCTCCGCCGATCTAGGCACGAAGTGGCATTTTACGCTTCTTATACAACATGTATAATAGTAGTACAGGGGTATCTTTTTTTCAGAATGCAAATGCAGTTTGCCCTTCGAGGGAAGCAGAGCACCGTTTCATAACGCCAAACGTTCAAAGAGGTCACGTAGAAGAATATAATCCTGTCCCAGCGAGAAGCCATTGGGAAAATTGCTGGCTCTCGTTGGGAAAGTCGAAAATCCTCTTCAAATCTTCCAGTGATGTCGTTTTGTCGTATCTTGGGAGGCCCAAATGGAGAACGGAGATGGTCTTTTTTGTGCGTATATTGTATAACAGTGTTCTTTGAATTGGAAGGCCTTTCGTAAATGGAAATTGTGGTGCTCGTCTGCAGCCGTGAAAACTCCAACTCCGGACAGCGTCCAAGACCTCCACGACACGCAAAGTAGAAAATTGATAATTTGTATAATGCGATGCCCTCAACGATGTGTCCGTATGTCGTGGCACTCTTCGTCCAAGGAAAGAAAACAAAGACGACAGTGCCCCCCCCTCTTGATAGTCGGCCAACACAAGACAACCCGACCGGCCCCCTGACGAGATTGACAAAATCCGCTATGCGATATCAAGATGCAACTTGTTGCTGTTCGAAGATGTTCGAGTTTGACGCCGCCATGGCAGCTCTTCCTCCGGTCCCACACACAAGACTCATCCGCAGCACAATTCGTACAATCCATTTTTCAGTATGAAAATCCTCGTCCTCGGCGCGGTCGCCACTAACGTCGTTGTCGCTTCTCGCGGTCGTTACCCATCAAGCCGGCACCGTCCTCGCTCCTACGCTTCCGACCTCGATCTTCACGGCCGTCCCGGCGTTGTTCGTCGCCTCCTCTCGGCCCGCCTCCGCCACGGGTTCCTCTTCCATTACCGCTCCACTCCTCCGCTGGTCTGCCCGGACCTCCATCTCCTCGGCCTTCACCTCTCTGCCTCGACTCTCGGCCTCCTCCCAAGGGCTCGCGGTTCGGATCTCTGTTGGCGATAGGAGGTGCGTCCCTATTCGCGCCACTTGATTCACGGCCCGGTCTCCTATCCGCTGTGCTGTTGCTCGTGGTGGTTGCGCCAGGCCCCGCTGGAGCAGCAGAGACATCCGACCGGCGATCTCGATGTTCCCTATGAGGCTTCGCCTCGCGATCTCGATCCGGGCTTCGCTCCCTGCTGCTTCGACGCGAGGGCCGTCCTGAGCGGTCGGACCGATGATCTCGGCGCCCACCCCGTTCATGATCTTCACCGTTAGGCCCCGCTGGAGGCCGGTCAGGTCCCGGGTCCCGACGCATGGGATCGCTTCGCTCAAAGACCGGAGTTGTCACAGGAGAACCGCCGGTAAGCACCTGTGCATCAGAGCCTGCGATCTGGCCACGGTGTCCGGCCCCTCTCCTGCCGCCTCCCCCGCTAATGGTGTCTTGAATGCCTCTAATCATCCTCTCGCCTCGGTTCCTAGTCCGCTCATTAGACGGAGATGGGCCGGTTGGTGTAGAGTGATTGCCACGATGATCTCCACCGGGAGTAGCGGGGAGGTTCCCGGGCTGGCCCCGAGGGCCTGGCGGCCCGCTTGTCATAGGCGAAGAGTGCTGAGGCAGGCTGTTCCGAGAAGGATGAGGTGGTGGCGGCGGTGGTGGCGGTGGCGGTGCGATCTGGTTGAGTCGATCGGGATGAACGCCGACGGAGCTGTTTGGAGGAGGAGGGGCAAAGTTTCCAGAGCCATGGGGTGGGGCCGGCACATTGTTCAGATGCCTTGCACGGTCTGGATGGAGACCAGCTGATGGCGATGCTGTGCCCGCTGCTGGAGACTGCGGATTGGGATTCGACTCATATTGACCGCCACGACCGCGTCGCCCCCTCGACGAGGAGGGTCCAGATGGAGGCTGGCGATCCGGCGACGGAGCCCTAGGTGTCTCCGGATTCGAGAATCGTGCATCCGGTCGGGGTGGGGCATTCATTGAGCTCATCCTGTTGGAGTCGCGGCCTCGACCCCTGGGCCCTGACGGGATATTGTCCGCAACAGACTGTATTGGATTCAGGCGACCGTAGTTGGGATCCTGGTGACTGAGTCTTCCATGATCGCTCTCTTGCTGACGAGGACCTTGACCTCGGAAACCTCGGTCTGTGTTGGCTCGATCATTGCTGTTCTCGGCCGACCTGTCTTTGGGGGTAGCATTGCCGCCCTCATTTTGGCCATCTCGATTGGCTCCTTGCGGGTCGTTCTGGGCGGGACGACTCTGACGCCCATCACGAACTCTATCCGAGATAGGGGTCTCTGTGCTGCGTCCGTCTGAGGCCTTTGGAGACTGTCCTCTTGACGAAGCACGATCCTTCGATTCCTCACGCGGCCCACGAGTTGGCGCCGAGCGAGAGTCATTGAACAGTGCAGCTCGTGCGGGATTTAGGAAGTCGGGCCGATCGTTCGTAGCAATCAGCCTTGCGCGCTCTGGGTTCACGGATGGGTCTTGAGGGGCCTGTTGAGATGCCGGACCAGTGGAAGGTGTGGCTGTGGGCACATCCCGGGCTGGGGTCCGGTCTTGCCCTCTGCCAGCTCCAGACTGTCTGTCGCGAGACGTGCGCGAGTCGCGCTCAGGAGGTTGTGGATCCTGGCGCCGTGGCGTAGAGTCGTTCCTTGATGATCGGTCCCGTTCCGAGTGACGAGGTGGATCCCTAGAAGCACTTTCCGTCGTGCGGCGATCAGGTCCAGAAGAATCTCTTGAACGGACAGCCTCGGGGGTCCGGAAATCTCGCCCATCTCGGAGATCTCGGGGATGATTAGGCTCCCTCGGATCCCGCGAGTCCCTGTGGTTTCGTTCTCTTGGCTCCGGGACGTCTCTTGGTGCAGTCTCGCGGCGATCCTGATTCCTTCCAGGACCGAAGCGGTCAGACCCAAACCCTCTACCGGGTGCCGGCACATCTGGACGATTTGGTAGGCTGCTCGGGTGGGGCAAAGATGTCAAGCCTGACGTCCTGGAGGTTTCTGGGCGTCCTGGAACATGATTCGTCGTGGCGGGAGAAGGCTTGGGGGTAGACGGTCTGCTGGACGTCGCAGGCGTCGCCGCGTCCAGTCTCTTCGGGTCCTTCTCGGCTGGTGCCGGTTTGTTAGGCACACCTGCCCGAGACGAGGCACCTGCCGTGCTGGCATCAGTTGGCCCAGCCTTTCCGTCCTTGACTTCTCCATCCTCGGCCTCGTTGGCTGACTGCCCTGCCGCCGCGCTTTTGGGCCGTTAGTCGAAGTAAACAGAATTGAGATTGCGGGTGACTACGACTTACGTGGCTGCTCCTTTCGGCTTGAATTCGGGTGCAGTTGGGCGTAGACTGGTTGATTCACCAGCCTTCGGCTCCTCTTGAGCCTTTCCAGACTGTATTCTAGTCAGATTACTGCACGGCATTGCTTCATTTGACAAGGGTGATGGTCTTACCGCGTTCGGTCTGAATGCCTGTACCATGACCCATTTCGATTTACGTCTCTGCAGTTCGGAGAATGCAGTCTGGGCTGCGACCGACAGATCGACACGGTGAGCAGCCTCCGATTCGTTGGCTGTTTTGGACGCGGCTTCACGCTCTGTGATCTTCTTGAGCTGCTCCGCGAACTGGCGTCCCATGAAATCAACAGCGGGGAAGAATTCAAGGACAAATTTGAGCACCGTGATTGCGTTTCTGATGTGCATCCACTCGGTATTTTCCAGGCAGTCTTTCAGTGCAATGTTGAGGTTCTTATGCCAGCCGTACAGCAAGTCCCGGAATTGAGGGTGCTGGACAAAAGTCAAAGGCTTTCCGTCATCATCGAAAGATTCCGCGAAGCCGAGATATGTCCTACGGCCATCCTTGGGGCTATGGCCGAGAGCTTCCTTTTCGTAGAGGGTCTTGTCCGAGTGCCACCTTGAGAGATCGCCAAGGATGCATCGGAAAAATCGACCGAGATGTTCGGCCTCGCGAACCGTACAGGAGAAGATGAGATCGCGGAGTCGATTTGACTGGAACAGGCGTTCGTAGAACGACATCAGCTTGAAGTTGGGCGTCTTGTTCTCATGAAGGAATTTGAGAAGCCGGAATGCATATTCCGTGTCACTTGCAGAGAGCAGCAATCTGGGGAAGACGCATTGCTCGACAAGACTGTCAGAAATGGCATCGGCATCGGAAGGAGTGCCTGGAAACCACGTGCTCGACTGACGCAGAAGTCGTATTTTCAGCTTCTGGTTTCGCTCAGCGTGGTGAACCGCCTCTTGCAGGATATTTTTCGCAAGCTCCATCAGCTCGTCCCGTTTTGCATATTTGAGATCCATTCCGTTCCTCGACATGTCGCTTCGGTCCTTCATGACGTCCTCGGCTTGTTTCTTGACCAAGGCGTGTGCGGCCTCATAGCTGGGACGAGGTACAGCCAGATCGCCGAGCTGCAAGGACCAAAAGATGACATAGAATTCGGCGCTCATGAACTTCCACACCTTTTCCGGAATGACAGCCTGAACAGAATCTATAGCAGGCCGGAGAACGTCGAAGAAAACGTCGCTCTTTTTCTTGTCAGCAGCATTTGTAGTCGGGGCAGGTGAATCGATAGCCATGGCCTCCGGTCCCTGCTCATCGACACCCGTTTTGTCCATAGACAGCTCAGGGTTCTCAACCCCATCGACGGCATCGCCGCCATTCATGGTGACATCCCCATCCTTATCCGCCGAGGGTTGGTTTGACTGAGACTTGTCCTGCTCCGAGACGGACGAAACTGATGCCGGCGACTCGAGCAGACGATGAGCAAGCCCGGCCCGGCGAATCATGAAGGCCAACGTGACGTCCAGGCCAAACTCTCCCATCAATCGGCCAATGTCTGGCACGAGGTCGTCAAATTGGTCGAATTCCAGATTGCTTCGTAAGAGGTCCAAATATTGTACGAAAACTTGATGCGAGTCGTCGACCACGGTGGACAAGTACTTGATGTGTGATTCTGATTCAGATGCCTTGTAGATAGCAGCTTGGCGATATTGAGCAATGTTGATAAGCAGTCGTCCGGCAAGCCTAGTGTCGACCAAAGCCTGCATCAATCGTTTTGCGCTCTTTGTCGACTCGAAGCGCTTGTCTTGGAGGCTGATCAAGGTCTGTCTTCGCAGAATCTTGCCACCAGACATAGCGCGAAGCTGGGCATCGGTAAAGTCCATGTCCGACACCAAACCGCCCATGGTGAGGATCAATTCCTTGAGGATGACCAGATCAGTGGAATTGCCCTTCAGTAACTGGTCATTGACGTATTGTATGACGGGTGTTGGGTCCATGATGGAGTAGCGCTTGAACACATTGCCCGAGAATTTAGACAGGGCCTGAAGCCACTTGCTAGTGAGGAGGACGGAGGTCTCCTGAGTTCTGCTTCTCTGCTTCCCGCCGAGTGCGCTCATTAGAGACCACACAAGAACATCATGGCCGAGGTGAGTGAAGTATTTGCCGCATTCGACGAACACCTGAATCAAGTTGCTGTACGCCTCGATCTGGTCGAGCGCCACCTTGAAGACTATGCCAGGCGAGGAATAGGTGGTCTTAGCGAGAGTCCTTGCCATTGTCTTGATGTTTGTGAGCGACAATCGCTTCATGGTGCTGAGCGTTTCCAACCGAGAGCGAGCGAAGGCGGCCGATACAGCGGGCAGCCGCGAGGTTGCGCCTTCGTACCATTCGGCGTAGATAGCATATCGAACCGCGGTCGGATAGAATTGTAGCAAGTTCCAGATTGCATCGTTGATGGAGGGGCTCGGAGGCGAGAGACTCAGAGCGGGCACAAGGAGACGTTTCAACAGATCATGCCAGCGGGAAAGATTGCCCTCTGACCGATCATCCTTGAGGCTCTTTAGACCAATGTCCGCAATCTTGGCCAAGAGTTCCGGATCTCGCCCAATGTTGACGCCCGATACATTGATGAAAGAGTTGCAAAGGGAGAAGACATCGTCGACGGTTTGGCAAACCGGAACCGTATCGACCCACTCGTCGAAATAAAAGCGATACGTCTGCCCATCGCCGACGTCGTGTCTATCGGGAAATGGCCAGCGCAAAGGCCGCTTCACCACTAGTTCCGACTGTCTCACGCTGCCCTTCGGCACACCACTCTGGTCCGCATCGGCCATCTTCTTAGGAGGGCAGCCAGGCGTGACTGTAGCGGCGGGTTGGCTCTCCTCAGCCACCTTGGTCAGGGAATGCTTGATGATTCTGTGAATAAGAGGAAGGACAGTATCGGGGAAGGTGTCGACGATCCAGGGAAATCGTCCAAGGATATACAGTGACTCGGGCAGAGCACCTATCGTGAGAAGGTGCTCGAGAAGCTGGACTTTCTGGTCAAGCGGTTCTGGCAGCTTCGGCTTCTGAGAGGCGGCCTCACCAGCTTCTTTGGCCGTGGTGTCCTGCTTTCCAGAGAGCGCATCGCGGCGAGTAGTGGTAGAACCCGGGGGAGGCATATCGTCTGGCAACGCATCTGCCATCATCAGAGCATTCATTGCCCCGCCTGGCCTATTCTTGCGTTCTTTCTCCTTCAATTCCTTTTCCTTTTTCTCACGCAGCGCGGCCATATCTTGGTCAAGGGGCCACAGGTGCGGATATAGGTCGCATAGAGATACAAAGCCGATCTTGACCAGGAGTGCCGCGAGGTAGAGAATATTGGCCGGGAGGACATCGGTCTCATTCCTGAATTCTGAGGTGTAGAAACGAAGCTTGAAGCCCAGGATCTGAGCCGCAATGCGGTTTCCTTGAGGAGGCAAGGTCTTGGTGATCCTGATCCAGCGCTGCTCGTCATCGTCGGCGTCGTCATCAGGGCTCGCACCTGCAATCTCCGCGACGCGTCGAGTGGCACCATCTGCAACTTCTCGGCCTCCAAGCTCAAAGAAGGCGTCGAGATGAGTCTCACGGACGCGGTCCCAGAACTGCACATCGCGCTTCCGACGTTCCTCGGCAATGCTTGCCTCACTCTCATCGTCGGTGGTCATCTTATCGGCAAGTTCAGGCTGTGCCCATCTCGGGAGCCCCTCCAAAAACGCCCTATCGGGAGTTTCCGAAGAGCCTCTAGGCCACCATGAACTTATGCGGAGAAACTTGACAAAGAACTTGGGGTGCTTGATGACGGTTGTCGCAAAGACGTCCAGCGTGACGTCGAGGGTCCTCCCGACGTCGAGGTCGAAGGTGCCGATCAATGCCTTCACCCTGTCGAACGCTGTGCGTGCTGATGTGAAGGAATAGTCGGGAGCTGCATTCGCGCAGCTCGCATACAGCTCAGTCATCAGTTTCGAGAAGCCTTCTGACTCTTCCCGTAGCAAGTTGTAGTTTGCTTGTCGGTAAAGTAGGTTGGTTGACTGTCGTATTGCCATTTTTGGGAAGGTATTGCGCAGGAGTCCCAGTTGGTTCAGAAGATCTGGGTCTAGGACTTGTCGAGCAAGTGTGGTAGAAACCTCGGTCGTAGCCATGAAATCGCGGAGCTGAGTGCGATAAACGCCGCCCTCGACTTCTAGTATGATTGAGACGCAGTCCAGGAAGAGGACGTGAGGATCGAAGGCAAAGCCGGCCTCCTCGGCGCCATCTGGACGGGGCCCGATGATCTCTTTGACCGCCGTTCCAGCGCTGACAGGGTCGATCCGCAAGTCGACAACCGAATGGATGAATTCCTGAACGATACCCGACAGTTCAGCGGCATTGTTGTTTTGTCTTGCTTGAACACCACGCGATTCAATCTCTTGCCGAGCACCAGACTGCCATCTTCCCAAACACTCATTGGTGAGAATCTCGTAGATGTAGCCAGAGTTGATAGGCCCGACGGGTTCTGATGGAGCAGGCTCGGCCGGGGCCACGACCGTCGCAGGAGGAGCCAGAGCCGGCTGGGAGGGGGCACTGGGCGGCCTGGGAAGGGTGGGAGATCTAGGGGCTGCGGGTGTTGAGTTGGCGGGTGTCGGTGTTGAAGGGTGAGCATTCTGCGAAAAGTCGCGACGGTCGTTTCTCCTCATGTTCCGGCCGCCGCGGCCACCACGGCCACCTCCATCGTAATGGCCTCTGTCGTGTTGACCAAGCATGGTCTGCTCGGGGCGGTGAGGAGAGGGGCGGCCGCCACCGCTATCGGATGTTCCTCGCTCAGGCCTCTTGCGCTTGGGAGGCATTTCCTCGGCTAGGTAGCAGTAATTCGGTGATTCATGTATGTTGAAGACTCTCTCTTGAGGCTCGTGATGCGCTAGACAGGGTAAAAGGCTGCTGCAAAAGCCGTGGTAGCTGTCTGTTGATTACTCTGTAACTGGTGATCTGTTAGGAGAGGTCTGCTTCGATATGCAATCATGGATCGTGGGAAGGTCGAGGTGGGTGAGACAGGAAAGGTGAAGAAGATGCGACAAACAAAAGAGGCACAAAGGAAAAGAGGAAGGATGGGGAGAATAGGTCGCCAGCCCAGTGAGGGAGTGACAAAGAGCGGAGGCTGACCAGAAAGTGAAGAGAATCTGAGCGGGCCGTGAATCTCCTGCGACTGCGACACCTGCTGCGACCCGGTGAAGTTGGTGGTGATTGTAGTGGTGGAGGAGGTAGCTCAAGGGCTTCTCTCTTCACTTTAGACTGATGTCTCGCGTGGAGCTACTTTTTGGCGTGTTGCGACCAGGCCACCACTTGCCGGGAGCGAGCAGCCTCGCAGTGAGGCTGCTGTCATCCCAATGCTCCAGCCACAAGTGTGGCGCTGGTGGGGGCCCAGCAGGTCTGTGCGTCTGTCTCTAAGGCTGAAGGGCATCAAGTGGGACCGGCGCTACATCCCTCTGCCAGCTGGAAAACCGTCGGTGCCGGTCAACAGTTCTCCGCTGCCGTCCCGACACACACACAGCTCTGGGCTCATTACCCAATCTGGCCAAGATTGAATGGCGCAATCGGTTTGCCGCTTTATCATTCACATATTGCCCTGTGATGAGTCAAACAGAAGCAAAGGCTTGCATCGGCATCTGATTCATAGCCCGTAAAACACCCTCAACCCCTTCGAGTCCCAAGCTCTCATTCTCGTCCATTATTTTCGTTGTCCATCATCCATCAATCGTGCGTGTGTGGTTCCGCAGAGACCTCGACAAACCACAGCCTTCTGAGAAAAGCGCTCTCAGTTATGGCGGCCGAAAATTCTGCCAATGGCGCGGTTACACCCAAATACGGTCAGTACTTATACCTACATACACCTCCCATGCCCCTCGTCCCGGCGCTCATGGTAGTTGTGGACGCCGGCCTCTTCTCATCTTCCGCTTCCTTTCTCAATCAATTTCCCTGAATCAAGACCGGTGGCTGAATACCTGTAAGAAAGAACCCAGTCTCAACCTGAGAACCCGTTCGCATCCTTGATCCCGGATCAAGAGATCGCTATCATTCCATCTTTCACCCTTGAATCGGGTGTTACGCTGCACAATGTCCCCGTGGCATACACCACACGAGGCACGCTGTCTCCCACCGGGGACAATGCCATGGTCATATGTCATGCCTTGACCGGCAGTGCAGATGTAGCCGATTGGTGGGGACCCCTACTTGGCGGTCCTGGCCGTGCCTTTGATGTCTCTCGCTTCTTCATCGTCTGCATGAATAGCTTGGGCAGTCCATATGGCACTGCAAGCCCTGTCACGGCCAAGGATGGCGATCCCAAGAACGAACGGTACGGGCCGGAATTCCCCCTGACCACGATTCGCGATGATGTGAAGTAAGTCCAAGATCATAACCAAAGCTCCTCGCGATAGTCCCATGATGCTGACTGTGCTCCATAGTCTGCACAAGCTTCTTCTGGACGATCTTGGGGTTCGTCAAGTTGCAGCTGTCGTTGGTGGCTCGCTCGGGGGCATGTTTGTGCTCGAGTGGGCATACTTTGGCAAAGACTATGTGCGCTGCATTGCGCCCATCGCTACCTCAAGCCGACACAGTGCTTGGGGGATCAGCTGGGGTGAGGCTCAGCGCCAGAGCATCTACGCAGATCCCAAGTACGAGGACGGGTACTACTCGTTCGAAGATCCGCCAGCCACAGGGCTTGCGGCTGCACGCATGTCTGCACTGTTGACCTATCGCAGCCGAAATTCGTTTGAGGCTCGGTTCGGCCGCAACATACCGGATCCTTCACGGCGGCAGCCCATCCGGGAGCGTCCTCAACCAAACACCGCTTCTGAGGCCTACTTCTATGCCCATAACGATGGTCACAACATCAGCAGGACTGGCCTGTCCCGGCACAATAGCGAAACGAAGCTCAAGCCTAGTCCCCCACCCAACGGGGTTTCTTCAACGGCTTCCAAGGCCGACACGGAAGCAGCCATCCTTGACCCTCAGTTCCATGGCCCTCCCAAGACGAGCCTGACTGGTGGAGACAAGATGCCCACTTCCACGTACTTTTCAGCACAGTCCTATCTCCGATACCAAGGGTCCAAGTTTGTCAAGCGATTCGACAGCAACTGCTATATTGCTATGACGCGGAAACTAGATACGCACGATGTTTCTCACGGCCGCGCTGACACCATCGCCGAAGCATTGGCGATGATCGAACAACCAACGCTGGTCATGGGAATTGAAAGCGATGGACTGTTCACCTTCGCGGAGCAGCAAGAGATAGCTGCCGGCATCAAAGACTCGCGCTTGGAGAAGATCGACAGCCCGGAAGGGCACGATGCTTTCCTGTTGCAATTCGAGCAGGTGAATCGGTATCTACTCAACTTCTTCAGGGAGGTGCTCCCAGATATCATGAATAAGGATGTGGGCGAATCTGTGGAGAGCTCTGTTGGGCAGATGACCAAGTCAAGTACGTTTGGCGAAGCAGAGGTGGAAGACATTACTGCTTGGTAGATAATACCTAGGAGTCAAATGAAAAGAAATGATTCATGAGCACCATCATTTTCCTGATCATCGATACGTGACTGGTGCATAAAACCACAAATAGGAGGCAGTCGTCATCTATGGCAATAAAAGCACAGGTGCTCGCTCCAACCATTGCGAAAATAACTTCCGAACCCCAATTGCCTGAGCACTAGGTACTCATCCTGCCTGCTTGGAATGGCGAGAGTAGAAAGCACAAGAGCGATAGGTAGTAAGCACACGTGGCCCACGTACTTCAAAGTTTCTGCAGGAGCTGAGCTCGCGGAGAGCCTTGGCTATATCGCAGCCTTTGCGCTATTCGCGACAAGCCTCACATGTCTTACGAGCAACGACGAAAGGTTGGAGGATAGCGGGCCTCTTGGGTGACAGAATGGGGTCACGGTGTTCCAGCCATTCATTGTCTTGGTGATCCTTGCTCCACGATCCGGTGTGCCGAACGGGAGCACATGTCTCTGCAGCCCGACCCCCTGGTTCCTGGGGTGAATGGTCCAAGCACCTCGATATCACGCCAGAAAAGCCACCTCTTTGGCAGGGCAGGGGGCGTTTGAGTGTAAAAGGGCAGGGCTCGGTAAGCCACAGTGGTCCCAGTCAATCTCCATTTCGAGTTCTAGAGTACCTACGTACAACCAGTGCCTCACGTCTGATCTAGGCCGATATGCCCAGGTATTAGAGGGCAAAAGGACTAGCTTCGCAAGTCTCAAGATTGGTCGGGACGTACTTGTACTCTGTAAGTTTGATCTGTTGCCTTGACCTCGTGTGCAGGGCACCCCAAGTGATGGTCAGATTAGTTGACGGACTGCTAACGGACTGCTAACAGAAGTACTTGGCTATCCATCAAGCCCGTCGGATTTAGGTAGTGGGATAGCCCTTCCGAGTTCCAGGGCAAGGGTGTGACAAGGAGATTGATTGTTAAAATTGAGGTAGCTCCTGATGAACTTCCGTCAACTATTCAGACGCCCACTTTGCACCCTTCTGACCCTTAGAGGAAGTCAAAGTCAACGTGACTGTCAAGGGCCAACAATAGTCTCCCTTGACCACACAGACCTCTGAAGAGAGAGCTAAGCTTCATCTTGATCAATCATCAAGGTTGTCGTGTCATTGCCTTGCATAGCCCTTTGAGGGCGTTCTCTCGCCATCGCCAAGACCATCCCACGAGGCGCCCCGTCGAGCCTGAGTTTCGAAATAGGTGATACCCTTCAAGGCTCCTAGTTTAGCTTTACCGAGAGCTTGTGGAGCCGCACTTTTTGAGACCATCGTCGTCGTTGGCTCAAGCTTGTGCTTGTACGGAGTAGTGCCCGCCGCCTATCGAGCCGGATTCATCTTGCACGTTGTGTCAACTGCGGCTCTCATTCGCTCGGAACACACACGCACAGGTCAACACGCCCGAGCCACCCCTGCCGGAAATCTTCCAAGGTTGTGCTTGGCCCGACATGACGGGGATCCAGGGGCTTCAGGGCCTGCAGGGCTCACACTTGCAGGGGTTTCCTTTGGTGGTGGATGTCCTACCCGCCCGCTGTGGGGGTCGCCGATGGTGCGATTCCTGGTCCATCTCTCCCTTGACGCAGAACCAATACCAGGAGTCGCGAGTCTTGGCTACACGAGAAGCTTTCAAGTACGCAGCACACAAAATGACTGCTCCATTATGCGCGGCTGTCACATCACCAGAGCTTTATTGGGGCCAAATGCTACCCATTCTCCAAAGTTACCTTAAGACTTCGTCGCGTTGGGGAATATTCCGTGTTGCGGGCGAGCCAGTTTGCCTCCAGCCATCTTGACTCGTGCGGAGAGCCCGGAAGTTTGATGACTTAAAACGGTGAAGATAGATCTGTACTGAGATATTGGGGTCAAGTATCTACATCGAATACCTATCTTGAAGACAATAATCGTGAAAAGAAATGAAGAAAAGGCTCAAGAAAAGGCAATCTCCTTGTTCTCATTCAACCACCTCGGTCTGGCTCGTGTGGCAGCCTTGAACTCGAGAGTCCACCCTTGCTGTCCACGTGTGAGCGAGATCCATGGATACGGGACCATTCAGAGAGAGCATACACACACTTCGTCAAGAAATAAGCTAGCCATCCTCATCCCGGTAACAAGAGGGGCGACGCCCTTCAGCACATCCCACTCTTTACGTACGTCTTCTGGCCGGGGTCTTCCGTTGGACCCCTTCCATGCTCAGCCCAAACGCATAAGCGCCTACCGATCCGCGTTATATCACTTTCTAGAACCCCCCTCCGATCCAAGACACTGACGCACTGATCCTCCACCTGCATCCTGACTGAAGTAACGGCCTCTAAACGTCCAACTTTCTCCAGGAAGGCTGTCTGATAAACATCAAGAGCACGCCAACTCCAAGTATCAGCGTGGACGACACTCCGGGAACATTCCTGCATTGATGGACGCCTAGTTGCGCGCTACGGCGCTGCCGCCCGCAGTCGTACGCCTTGCATATCTCGCTCGAGTTCAGATACCTCCGCCAAAATGTCATATATGCTTCCGGAGCCGGCCATCCCGGTCCAGTTCGCCCGGAGCATTGGAGGAAACAATGCCTTTCATAACTTTGGTGAGCCCTTGTTCCGTCTTATGGGCCTCATATGATGCTGATGAAAAGACAGTTGAGGACTTTTCACATATCCAAGATCCAAATCTGTACGTACGAACCTCGTCCAAATCCACTCACTCGGTGTACTGATGGTTGTTCGTCTATAGGAGGAGGAGGCTTGCGTTGTCTGAAATTGACAAGGTTCCCTTTGGCATGTACCGTAGGTTGCTCCCGGATGATCGATATGGCACATCTACAAGCCAGTCTAACTGAGAAATTAAAGACATTCGCGCCGTGGTTGTAGCTGGTATCGGTTTCTTCCTCGACAGCTACGATATTTTCAGTATCAACCTCATCACCACACTTCTCGGCGTCGTCTTCTGGAGTGGAACTAGTGAAGATGCCAAGTACGGGTTCGGCGGAAATCACGGACAACTGCCGACTCCGGTATCCCAGGCTTTGAAGGCGTCGACCAGCGCAGGCATCGTCATTGGGCAGGTCGTATTCGGCTGGCTTGCCGACGTCTTCGGCAGGCGGAAGATGTATGGTATCGAGTTGGGTATCATTGTGTTGTCCACGCTCAACTGCGCGCTGGCAAGTCCAAGTCAGTCGATGAGCTCGACGGGTCTCCTGACCTTCTGGAGAGTGATGATGGTTGGTTCCATCTTTCCGCTGCTGATAAATGGCAAGGCTAATCCGTCATCAACAGGGGATTGGAATTGGAGGCGACTACCCGCTATCATCAGTCATTACCTCAGAGTAAGATTTCCTTTCTCTGCTTAACTGGGCCTTTCGAAGCTGACACACGTCTCAAAGATTCGCTCCCACACGATGGCGTGGTGCCATGATGGCTGCTGTCTTCTCCATGCAAGGAATAGGACAGCTTACGGCCGCCATCACCGCCTTGGTCGTCACCGTCGCTTTCAGAGATGCCTTTATCAACATCCCAAACATCAATAGCTGCGACTACGACTGCCAGATTGCAGCGGACCGATCATGGCGGATCATTGTCGGCATCGGAGCTCTACCAGCCTGTATCGCTCTCTACTACCGCATTACCATCCCAGAAACACCGAGATACACCCTGGATATCGCCCATGATGTTGAGAAGGCCGACGCAGACATCAAGGCTTATATGGAAAGCAGATCAGAGGGCGAGGTCGACCCTATTCAGCAGGCTCGGATGAAGAAACTCGCCGCTCCCTCGTTGATGACACCTCTGGCATCGTGGCCCGATGTCATCTCCTACTTCAGGAAATGGAAGAACATGAAGATGCTCATCGGTACCACCATATCCTGGTTCTTCCTGGTACGAAAAGCCCCCTAGACCCTGACCCCCTGACTCCACCCCCCTTTTCTTGAAAACACACCACTGACAGCCGGATAGGACCTGGCCTTCTACGGCCTCGGCCTCAACAACTCGATCGTCCTCCAGGCCATCGGCTACGCCCACGGCACGACCCTCTACCACCTCCTCTACAACAACGCCGTGGGCATGATCATCCTCGCCTGCGCCGGCAGCCTTCCCGGCTACTGGACCGCCATCTTCACCATCGACACCTTCGGCCGCAAGGCCCTGCAGATCTTCGGCTTCATCGTCCTGACCGTGCTCTTCTGCATCCTGGGCTTCGCCTACCACCGCCTCAGCGAGGCCGCCATGCTCACGCTCTACGTCATCGCCCAGTTCTTCTTCAACTGGGGGCCCAACACGACCACCTTCATCATCCCGGGCGAGTGCTACCCGACGCGGTACCGCTCGACGGGCCACGGCCTGTCGGCCGCCATGGGCAAGGTCGGCGCCATCATCGCGCAGGTCATCAGCATCCCGCTGCTCAACAAGGACTCGCCGCCGGACTGCAAGGGGTCGCAGTGCAGCCCCTGGCTCGACCGCCTCATGCAGATCTTCGCCCTCTTCATGCTCTGCGGCACCTTCGTCTCCCTGCTGCTGCCCGAGACCAAGGGCGTCACGCTCGAGGAGCTCGCCGGCGAGGCCCCGACCTCGTACAACTCGGGCCGCAACGGCAGCATCAAGAAGGGCCCCACCAAGTGGTCGCGCTGGAACCCCTTCGGCGGCGGGCAGCCCGCGGGCTTCAACTACCCGCGCGTCGGCGCGTACAAGGGCGCCTGGATGGCCTACAGCCCGCGCGTGGGCATCATGACGAGCCCCGAGCTCGCGGCGCAGAACGCGGGCAAGAAGGCCAGGAAGGGCAGCAGCGGGCTGATGAGCAGCCACAGCAATAGCAATAACAATAACAAGAAGAAGCGCAATAGCAGCGGCGCCGGCAACCAGAATGGCAGCAGCAGCGGCGGGAGCAGGAGGGACAAGACGCTGAGCGGGGAGAGCAGCTGCTACGCCGACAGCACCTCGTCGACGGCGCCGGTCGACGACCACGACGCGGCCATTGCGACGCCGGCTTCGGTGCTGCCCGGTTGGGGAGCGGGTTGGGGGAGGATCGACCGCGGAGGGAACAATCCCAATATGAACAACATCCGGCTACAGGATGTCGGAAGCTTGTTGAAGTGAGCAATTGGATGATGGATCGACTCCACGTTTTGCAGCGGCGACTGCTTTCTGCTTTCAGATATACTCGATAAAAGCAAGCTCTGCAATAGACATTTATGTTGTATATCAACTAGATAGAATTTGATTTTTGGGAAGCGGGATACCATGGCCAGATCATTTTCACTTTGTACGGCTGGTTTGGATATAGGCTGGAATCTGTCAAGGAGTCATGAAAATTCAAGTATCAATTGATAGGACCTAACGTCAAGCATCTTGGGAAATTAGCCACTCAAACCAGCAAGTGATCCTCTTCCCCTGCATCCTATGCCCTCCCCGATGGCAAAAGTCAACTCCAACGCGATACCCTCCAGTCATTCCCTGCCTTCTCACGGCTTTGCGACAGATCCCAAACCCTCCGGGGGGGGAGGCATTTTCCACCACAGGTCCTCCCACTGCCCAAATCACTGAAGTGCGAGGGTGAAATAGACAAGTGCATGAACAGATACGGACTGCCTCGGATCAAAAATACCACTCCCGTAGCAAAACCCAATGGGCCTAGCCCCGCAAAACCTTCATGGCGGCCTCGAGTCTCTGGATTTCCTCTGTAACGAGGACGCGCTGGCGCTTCGTGCCAGCGTCCTCGCCTGCAATCTCGTCGAGCTGGTCCTCGCTCAGCTGGGCGACGCGGGTCGCACATAGGACACGCAGGGGGCTATCTTGTCCGTTCAACAGGTAGTGATCAATGACCTGCTGGCAGACGACGTCAACAAATCGCTTGCGGGCGACTTTGTAGTAGCTTCGTAGGATGTCGTGAACGTCTTCGCAGGTCTGCTTGGCATTGCCCTTGTCTACGGCGAGGTTTTGCAGGGAAGAGGTTGAAACCATCGTCTGACCGCCAGTAATATGGCGGCAATTGTTGCATCCAGGCATCATTCCCTTGTCCTTCACCTCAGCAAGGATGCGGCCACTACGGGCTTTCTGAAGGTTGGCGTTGAAGTAGTGATTGTAGGTCATTGGTTTGCCCTCTCGCTCCACTGTGAGCAGGAAACGGGTGTGTTGCATAGCTCGAGAGTAGCAGCCGCGGAGCTGATCCAGCAGCACAGTGTCCCAGAGCGCGTTTCGGACGCTGGGGTCAGGACAACAGTCTGTAAGGAGATCGAAGATGAACTGGTGAACCAGAACAATGGCGTTGGTGATATGGGAGAGAACCAACTTCTCCCATTTGGACGACTGTTCCTTGAAAGTGGTGCCGAGGAGCGTACCATTGAACTGTGAGCAAGTCAATAAGAGTTCTCTCGTCGTGGGACATAGTGACATGATTAGGGACTCACAGTTCCCAGCTCTGGACCGCGGCTGTCCTTGTACACCCCTTCAATATGTGCCATGATGCAGTCTGTAAGGGGCATCGGACAGTCATATGTCTCAGTGACAATGATATCGTGGAGCTCCTTGTACTTGGAGACTGGGATCGGAAAGTCGACTTTGTGCGCTTTGTTCTTCGCCATGTCATCATCATCGTCGTAGACGAGACCAGAGATGGTGTGGAAAGCGCGCAAGTGACCTCGGGTCGCAAACGTGTGGGAGAAGGCGTCATTCAGCTTGATGATACGAGTGACCAGTCTCATGTGTGGAGACTCGGTGAACATTTGTTCATCGGTGTAGTACGCGTTCAGGGCGTGGCTAGAGATTGTTTGGAATCTAGTTCCAAGACGTGTAAGGTAGAGTCGTTGCTCATTGGTCTCACCACGGGAGGGCCCCATGATCTCACTCAGCTTGCGCTTCTCTCCCAGCTTCCGGCCAACCTCAGCCTTCACGTTTGGCAGCTCCCTCTTGGATATATCCATCAGAAGCTCTCTGAGGCGCTGCTTCAGGGATTCGATACCTACCCGTCCATTATCTGAAATGGTGGACCACGGAGCCCCTTGAAAGAACTCCTTCTCTTTCAGGTTCCTCTGACGGAGTGAGGACTTGTTATCGTCGGCGCCGCGATTCTTCACAAGGCAGTAACCAAGTCGAAGATCATTGCGCTTGCCCTCTACGAGATCAATGACGGCTTGTTGTGTGACACGCTCGGTCGCCAGGTCGGGTTTGGTGAGGACTCCCATTGTCCGGACACCCTCGAGGTCGGCATCCTTGGCGAGTTTGAGAATCTCCTGGGTGGCAATGTCGACATTGCAGGGGATGACAGCTAGAATGATGGTGCGAGGATCCTTCATGTACCCCTTCACCATGTCCTGGACAAGAGATATATCACTCTCGGTGGTGAGTCCAGGTGTAGCGGCGCGGAAAATGCCCGGAACATCAATCACAGTGAGATGGTTCTGCTGCGGGCCGTTGATCTCGATCTTGAGGATGTCCTGGCTGAAGGCATTGAGATCGTCATTGTTGCCTTCCGACTCCGAGGCGCTATCCGAGGAAGAAGCTGGTCGGATTCCCATCACCTTGTTCGCATCTTCGAAGATCTTTGCAAAGTCTTCACCACGAGTATTGGTGACGTGCGACTTGAATTGATGCAACGCATCCCGGCGAGCCTGCGAGGAAGACGGGTGAGGGATGATCGAGATGTTGATGGTCTCCACAGCCTCGCGTCGGCAAGTGATCTGGGTTGCATAACGAGTACAGAGACCTGCAGCCCTCGGGAACGAAAAGCCAGTGAGACTCTCGAGAACAGAGCTCTTGCCAGAAGACTGGTCGCCGACCACAACAAGCTGGATTTGAAGATTTAGTCATCGGTCACAAGCTAGGGTAGGGGAGCGATGGGATATACCTGGGGGAGAGGGACAAGAGAACCAACATTGAGCTCTCTGAGCTTGTCGATCTTGGTGAGTAGGGCCTGGTTGCCCAGTCCAGAGTCAGTCTCATCCATCTCGAGTCTGCCGCGGTTGTTCTTTTTGGCCATATGCCAAGTAGCCGCTCCTGTGGTTGATGTGAAAGAAGAGCCGACAAATCCCACAGCGCGGCAAGTCCAATACTCTGAGGCAGACCTGATCCAAAAGTCAGGTGAGGATAAAGTTGAGGAGAGAAAGATCTCAAATCGGAATTCAGAAGTCAGCTCTGAAATACCCCTTGATTCAAGCAGTGACTAGGGAAGAAAGCGAGTGCTTGCCCACCAACTGCCAAATATTTGCCAGATTGCCCCAAGCCAATGGATAATTATAGCAAACGAGACCGCAAGCTTCTCTCCCAGGGCTTGCTCATTTGACATGAACAAAAACTCTCCAGAAGTCCTACAAGAAAAGGATGAAGTGGACTCACACCTCCGTACCAAAACCCCCTTTCCGCTATACTCCTGCAAAGGTAGTCAAGATGAGGAAAGACACCACCAATGAGATGTTATCCAGAATGTTGAAATAGTGGATAATGCATCTATTTCGTTTCAAGGGACCAAATTATGAGCCTCTCATCTTCGTATTCTAATATATGCTACCGTGGGCTGATAGATATTGACCCCCTATAATGACTGACATGTATCTGTTCTATGACAGATAACTTCCCTATAGAAGGAAATGGAAAAGGAACTAAGCCCTTCTTTACGTCTACTATTGGAAAAATAATTGATGACCGAGTGCTTAGAATCCAAGGGACGACCAGTCCTGGGCAGCGTTGGCGCTGTTCATCTTGCCAATCCACTCCTTGAAAGGCACGCCGCTTCCAATATGGATGCCATACGGATCAGACCCCTTCTGGTAGTCGCATACTTTCTGTTTCCAATGTGTCAGCCCTTGTCACTATCAGGTTGCTGCCTCGATGCCCCTTGCTAAGACTCACCTTGGGCAGGATCTGCCAGTAGAGCTGCGGCAGTCCGGCTTTGATCATGTCCTGCATGTTGGCAGGGTACTCCTTGGAGGCGTCGTAGCTGTCGGTGTTGACGCCCCATTCCTCGACGTAGACGAGCTTGCCGTTGGCCTGCTTGATCCAGTTCTTCTCGTTGTTGGCCCACTGGTTCGGGTTGTTGGCCTCTGCGCCAGCATAGCGGTGCACTATCATCGCCAGGTTAGTCAGTACACATCTGTACCCAGTGCCAAACAACCAAGCACTTTATTTTCTCCTGAGGAGGAGCTACCCACCAGAGATCAGATCGATAGCGTCGCACTTGGTCGCCGCCTCCATAAAGTTGCACCCGTGCACGATGTCGCCGCCGAAACCACCCGTGGCGACCTTGATGGGGTTGTCAGCCCCGAGGGCCTGGCGGATGTGCTTGGCCCGGCCGCAGGCCCAGCCGTGGGTGTCGCCGCTCGTGCACTCGGACGTCTTGGTGGTCATAGGCTCGTTCTGCAGGTCAAAGGCCATGATGCCCTCGTGCCAGTTCTTCCAGACCTTGCCCGAGTACTTGCCCTTGTAGTTGAGGATGTGCGTGAGGCGCTTGTCGTAGATGTCAAAGGCCTCCTGCTGCTCGTAGAAGTAGCCCGAGCCGAAGCGGGCGTTGTAAGCATCCCTTTGCAAATACGTCAGTCTTTTTTGACTCCTTATGATAATGATGGTATGTATGTCTACTCACGAGCGAGAAGACTGGAGGCTGTTGGCATCGTGGGGCGAGACGAGCGCCTTGATGCCGTTCTTGGCTAGCTTGTTGATCACCTTGTCTAAGGCATCAAGGGTCTCATCGTGATACTGGAGCAGCGTAGTCTCCAGGTCGGGCACAGATACAACGATCTTGCTGCCCTTCTCGCAGTGGCCGTCGCCATTCTGGCCATTGACCCACACGCGGACGACCTTGACGCCAAAGTCTTTGATGCTGGCAATGTAGCTGTCCTGGTCGGCATCAGAGAGGCCTTGGAGGAAGTACAGGTTGGTGCCAGCGAAACATTTGGAAGTGGCGCGCTGTTGGATATCCACAACTGGAGAGGCGAGGCCGGCGACGGCGAGGCCACCGAGGATGGCCAAAATGGTCTTCATAGTGGATAAGAATAGGTTCTCGAGCAGATAGTGTCAGCCTCTTGTAGAGTATCACTGTTGATGTTGGTTCTCCATTCCATCTCAAGCTCAGACGGGGGCGGCACGAGGGTCTTTATACAAAAGCGTCCGGAACCCTATGCACTTGTTCAGCCCATGTTCTTTCACCGGCAGCCTGATGGCAGCAGAAGTGTGGTAGATAGTCTTGACGCCACCAATTCCAAGGCAGATTCGCCTTCATTCTCAGAGCATCGTGTCGGCCGCTCCTACAGGTACCGGATGTCTTCCCCTGCATCAGAGGACATCAATAGAGCGCCCTATGTGAACGGTTTGAGGTCCATCCTGCAAGCCTTGCAGTTGTCCAGACGAGCTCAGACGAGATCACATCACGATCCCACCAGATATTCGCGCAAGTGGTGTTACTTGCTCATCGTTCGGGCGACAGGCTGGCCCAATCAGCCTATCTGTCAAGCCCTCTTCTAGCTAAAAGTCTTCGAACACAGTCAGCCCGCAGAGAAGAGCCCCCAAACGCGGGTTTCAAACACGGGGGCCAATCTCGCCCTGAACACCAGTCACATTGGGTTTTCAGGGTTCAGCCTCGTGCCCGGAACAGTTCCAAAAATAGAGTGATCTTCAAGACAACATTGTATATAAATCGTCTGATATTTGGGATGAGCTCAGAGAGTAAAGCTTGTTGCGGGTTTAAGTTACCCAATGAGTGGTATTATTCGTCCCTGAACCTGCGGTCAGCACTTTGTTGTTACATAGTCAGCTAGTATGTTGTCGGACCAGAGTCCTCATGGGGCATGTCAGCACTGGGCTGTCGTCTTGATGTCAGTTTGGACGGGAAGAGCCGGTAGCACAATATCATAAAGTCAGCAATGCGCCGAGTTGCAAAGCGCACCATTATACTCATTTCGTTCGTCATCGCCGTGAAGAAGAACTCCACATGCTTGGTCGTACCGAGTCCAGATATTCATGTTGTACATTGCTATTTGCTGTTCCTAATACAGATGAAAATTGCTTATGACGACGCTACGCTATGCTTGTGTTCATTGGCACTCCCACTCTCTTCTGCCGCCTGTGGGCCTCCCTTCTTATGGACGACCGACTTGAGCACCTTGAGCTTCTCCTCTGTGACTCGGATCGCCTCTTTGATCTCTCGATCGTCCATACGGTCTTCTCGAATCTTCTCCTCCACGGTCCTGGGCTCGACCGCCCGCTTACGCACGGGTGGTGCTCCGTCGCCAAGGCGGTCCATGCCAACTCGCTCTTCCAACCAGTCCCAGAGCTCGCTTTCTTCGCGCCTCCAGATCTCGTCGTAGGCTGCCAGACGATCCGGATAGGCGTAGTAGCCAATATCGTGGCCGAACCCGCCCGGCGATCTGCGATTCGTGAAGCCGAAGCCAAACCAGCTCGCAACAAGTAAGCCCACCAAGAGCCCATACACCACATTGCCAGTCATGAGGGGTCCGATTATATCCACAATGGGCCCCAGGATACCGCGAAGGGGTTCCAGAACCCCCCAGTCTGGCGTCTTTGGAGCTCTTGCTGTGCCCTCCGTGTCACTTGTCGGGCTTGACGCCAGGGTAGACTTGCCCTTGCGCTTCTTCTTGCCTTTACCTCCCGCACCATTAGTAAATGTGTTCACCCGTGGCCGCGCCGAGGTAGCTCCTCTCAAAGCTGCAAATATGTCCTTGCAGTACTGCACCTGGCCTTCGTTTGCCGCCTTTTCGATCGTTCCTGTAGCACGTGTTAGTGGGGCTCCGTTACGAATGACCTAGTCAGAAGGGATGCTGACCTTTGATCCAACTCTTGCCAGTCCACTCCACCGTGCAGTTGGCTTGTACTCTCGTGCCGTTATTCTCGGCCCACGAGAGACAGTACTTTGTCTTCACGCTGAAGACATTGCCGCTGGGAACTTCTGGAGTCTGCGTTGTGCAGTTGACATTGACCGCCTTTTCCAAGTCGATGTTCTCGATTGTCTCCGTGATGATGCACTTCGTCGACTTGGGACCAATGGCGCCGTAGAGCGGTTTGATGTAGGTATACGTGTGGGTTTTGTTGTCCTGGGACAGACCCTTTTGGTCCTCCATTTGAACATCAGTGCATTTTTGTTCGTTCGTCAGCCACTTCGACATGAAATTTGCAGAGGCAGGCCCAAACATCAGGCTGTAGACCTTGCCGAGAGGGGCAGGAATCACTTCATCGGCGAGGAATTTATCGTAATGCGTCCCAGAATCGCCACACTCAGTCGGCGCATGTGTAGCTGGTCCAGGAAAGTCGCCTCCGGCTGCCGCTGCCCCGGCCGGCGCATCTTTAGACTTGTCTGGAGACATGCCATTGGTGGCTACCGCGCCCGACGGCTTCCGCGAAACAGCCTTCTCCCCATCGTTATCCGCCAAGCCTGGGTCGGTCATTTGGGTAGTCTCGAAGTCCTCATCGTTCTCTTCGTCCTCATCATAGACGTCATCTTCCTCCTCGCTATCGTCGTCTGATGCCGAAGTGATGCTTCGACTGCCGATCGACCCATCAATGTCGACCTTTTCAGTCTTGTCGCCACCTGTTTCATCGATGCGAACGCCGTTGAGTGAGCTTTGGAGGCTTGGGTGCCCGAGCTTCCAAATCTTGACAATCAGATCATAGACCGAATCACGGCTCATGAAGCTGGCGAAAATGTGCTTGACATGAAGAGTAGATATCATGAGACCGTTCTTGAAGACGAGCGCCGTGCTCCTCTTCTCGACGGAGATGATTTCGTCGAAACTCAAGACTAGCGTCGTTTGCCAGCCCAAGATGTTACTGCTGAAGCAGAGATGACCCTCCGAGATGTAGAGCCTTCCATGCGCAAGAATATCTCGCTGCAGAGCGCAGCCATAGTCCTCGATGAGGTAATCGTCATCCGGCACGCTTTTGAAGAGAGCATGGAAGTCCCGATTGCGCTTCTTATTAGCTACCGCAAAGCCGGTAAGCTTGGGCGTGCTCGCCTGAGCAGAGGGGTGCGCGACGGATGCATTGGCCGCGAGGATGGCAGCAGCGATGGTTCCCCCAGTTGCTGTTGTCCCACCGGTTGTGATAGAGCTTCCACGTTTCCGATGTCGGCCAATTGCGCTCCTGATGCTTCCACTACGCTGCACCCCGGATTTACCTTCGTAGATGCTACTAGAAGGCGTGGTGCGGTCTCCTGGAGCCGCAGTGTCATATAGCGACCTCGGTCGCGAGTCTTCTGAGACGCTGTCTGGTGCCGAAACATATGAATAGTTGTTTTCGGCCGGGGCTGACTCGGACCTCCCTCTGGCTTCAGTTGAATCCTGGAACTTGGCGGTTGTTGGTGTTGCAGTGGAGCTGCTCGGTTCCGGGATCCCCAACTGGCTTAAGCTGAGGTCCCCCTTGCCGAGAGTATTCACGGCTAACTCCTTCGACTCCATGGGGTGCTCTGAGGATACTTCGGTCGCTGGTTCAACCTCGATGTTGTCGTCACTGGCTCCCTCCTGAAGCCGCGTGGTAGAAGCTGTCTTCTTAGTGCTGTTGTTCCACGACGTGATATTGGTGTTGGTGATGGTGTTGCTCAGTGTGTTGGTAGCGTTTTGAGCAGCAGATAACATAGACGAGAAGAAGCCAGCAGACGAGGGCGTGTTTGGGCCGTTTTCCGGGGTAGGAGTAAGCGGAGCCAAAGTGATATTTGAAAGCTTGCTTGGTCCTATGTTACCAGAGCCTGATCTAGCCCGTCTCTGTGATATCATGTTCCCTTGAGGGGAGCCAGACGCATTCGTTTGTGCACCACGGCGTGACGCCTCAGGTGAAGCGTCCCGCGAAGACACCGCCTTTCGTTCGGGATGGGAGGAATCCGTGGGCGTCGGTGGTGTATTGACAATGACCGGGGTGGCCTGGTCGCCAGTGGGCGGCGTGCGAGGGGGTGTGGTGGTGTCGATCTTTTGTCCTCTTGACAGCCTTCGGAAGCGCTCAGTTGATGCGACCTTGGCGTTATCAGGAGTAGAGTTCGACTTGGGAAGAGCTGATACGTCTGGCAGTCGGTGAGAAGAGTCGACCTCTCTTGCGGGTAGCTCGGAGTGAGACCTCTCCCTAGGTGCCCCTCTCTCCGGACTGGAGCTGGCCGTGCTCGTCGAACCTTTCCTGGGCTTGAATACTTCTTTAAAGCGGCCAACAGGCGACGGCGATCTTCTAGACTGTGGTCGCGGGGGAACAAGACCGGTCGAGCTGGATGCTGACAGTGGCCGCGCGGACTGGGAGGGGTCCTTTGGTAGGTCAGGAAAGGGAGCTGCGGATTCCTGCTGCTCCGATTTTTGGACCTCCTGCAGATGGTCTGCTTGGACGAGTGGTGAATTTGTCGTCAGATACCCGATCTGCGAGGGATGGGTGGAAATAATGGTGGTAGGTCTGGTCGCAGGTCTGGTCGCAGGTCTGGTCGTTCGGTCAGAAACGTGGTTCAAGAAACAGGCTATTGAAAGGCTAGCCAACCAAGCCGGGACAAGAATTGGTAGACCGGGATGGGCTACGGCTATGCAAACAAAAGGAAACAAGTCGGAAAATGAACGAATTGGCAAAGAACGAGGGTTGCTTGGGTATAAGGAAAGCGACAAAAAGTAAGGAGACGGCCGCGATACAAAGGGTAATGCGGTGATTGAAGCGAAAACCCCCTACGACGATCGCGGGTAGAAGTAAGCTTGCGGCGGACAAGGCAACAGAATTCAACACCTCAGGTGCAGCGCGGTGGGCTCGGAAGCTTGTGGGTTGTGTTCTGTTGCATCCAAGCTTTCCACCCCCAGCTGCACTCCACATTGGTGACGCTGAGCCCAGGCAAGAGGCCGGCCCCTCCGCCAAGCGAGAGCGAACACGACGAGCGGACACGGCGAGCCAGCTGACATTGCGTGGGCACATAGAACGAACAACTGAAGGCAGCAACCTGACATGACACGGGGAAATTACTTACGAGTCATGGTCGGATTCATAAGATATCAGGCTCGTCTCCTCCTCGTCGGGTGCGTCGAGTGATCCCGTTCCATCACTCTCGGTGGTCTCGCGACTGCCAATGCTTCTGCCGCGCAGAGACTCGTCGCCAGACCCGTCGCCCGAGGTTGATTGCTTCTTGCGACGCCGTTTCGCAGCGATCGACTTGGGGAGGAGCTTGCCGAGGCCGTTGCCATCCATGCTTGGGGATGCAGTCAAGGAATGCGACCAGCAAAGGAGCCCTTCGACTTCAAAGCTAGCAGATTATGCTTCACGCAGGTATTCGAATGGCGCGCGGGCGTGCAGGAAGGCCAGCTTTATTGCTTGGTGGTGAGCGCGCGCGCTAGAGCATCGTCATCGATTCTGGTGTGGGCCGCGATGCTGTAATTCCTGCTTGATACGGGAGAGAGGCTCGGCGCAAATGGGTGCCTAGAAAGCCTAGAAAATACACGAAGAATACGAATTGGCGGTGTTGCAGTAGAAGCTGAGAATAATGGCGAAAGCGGATCGTTCTGATTTCCAATTGAAAAACTACGAATGGAGACAGAAATTCGATGAAGACATGGAGGGGGTTGTCGTATTGGGAGGTCGGGGTGTTTTCGGCCATGCTTCGAAACAGGCTGCAACATTAAAACACGATTGCTTCTCTTTGATCAACTCCTTGCGACACTGACAGGCTGTGACAGGGAGTGGTTTGGGGGGCAATGGCCAGGTTTTCCACTGGCCGAATCCGGCCTGTTCCACTACAAGTACTACTTGTATTGCTATTGCGGGCAGCGCTAAGACTTTCCGGGCGGGTCAGGGCCACTCCTCCCGGTCCCCAGCGCCTGTCCAGCCACTTGCCTAACCGCTCTGGAACAAAAAGCGGGTACCTCTACAGGGCTGGTCTCTTTTTACAGGGCTCTTGCCAGCCACTGACAGTTCTTAGGTTTAGTGCACTTTACCACCCACCTTCTCAATTCATCCCCACCCCCATCTTTCGATCGTCGCCCATCAAAGCCGAGTCAGCAGGTTCATCGTTCACCAAACACCACGCTTCACACCTCGATACCTCTTTTTTCTCTTTCTCGAAAAGGCTCCATCCTAACGCTACAACATCATGCGCTTTTGAAGAAAACTCAACTTGCGAATTCCTGCGAAAGGCTTCACTCTCCTCTGGTGTCCCACGCACGCCCGGAGCAAGGTCGGCAAACATGGAGACCTCGCCGTTGATCAAGGTGAACCCCGCTTCAGCGTCGCCGAACACGCAGGCTCGCCCTGAACTTGCGACTGACAGAGAATTGCAGGCCCACGACCACGCAAGAGCCGCTTCCACGGCGACACAAACGTCAGATACTACGGTGGCTATCAATGAGCATGCCTTGGCCGCCGGCGAGTTCTCAAATGCTGCCAACTCGACCACTAGCATTGAGGCTCTGAGAACATTAAGACTCCTGGAACAGCACCACCAACGGCTGTCCGAACTACTAAAGTATCCTTCACAACATCCGGTCCAGCCGGGTACAGACAATGAGCCCGGTCAGTCTAGTGAAAAGGAGACATCTGGCCAGGATGCTCGAGATGAAGGCTCAACTGCTCCGAGCGAGAACACAACCGCTGCGCCTGTTAGAGCACCCGGCCAGCTCAGCCCTGTTCAGCAGCGGCGGTACCAAGCAAGAGACCTTTCCTCATCTATAGCTAGCAATCTAGCCTCGGCTCGGGGTATACGATCAAAATATCGAGGTCCGCAGCCTCTGGCCCCGAGTATCTCGAATGAGCAGGCACCCGGCAACCTTGAACGCCATATGCGAAGGGAAGGGTCGCGCTCGCAAATGCAGAGTATGCTTCATCAGAAGGGAAAGCCATCTTGGATTCCACCTTCCCACACATCACCGACTTTGACCGAACCGAAGGCTGCCGAGCTCGTTTCCCCAAAGGAGGAACCTGCTGCAGGCGAATCAAGCGAGGAGGGCTTCTCCAGGTTCTACAACACGTTTGGCAGTATTTTCAACCGGCTTTCAGCTCCTCTCGCCTTTGCAGGTTTGCCGCTGATTACGGAAGAGTCGGCTACCGAGGTGGCTGCAGCACCAGAGACCTCGCCCAAGAAGAGGACCCGACCGAAATCTGCGACCATCACGTTGAACCAAGAGCCAGACCTATCTCAGATCTACTCAAAAGCTGCTCTTCGGGCACTCTCACGCGACGGTCACGGGCCAAATGATTCTTTCTACGTGGTCCCGAAAACCGGCCACACAGCGTCGTATGCGAACATTCTTTCTTTTGATCAAAAGGAGAAGCGTAGGATGGCCGCATCTATCCATGCGGATGACGGCGACGCTCTTGAGGGCATTGACGAGGATGACTTTGTCGACGCGCGCGAGACCCAAGGTTCATTGTCGCCAGGGGTCAAGAAGCGCCTAGGCAGGACTCAGTTGGAGAATGTGGTCGAGGAACTCTACACTGAAAATGCCAGCCTGAAGGACATGCTCGACAAGTTGAGCAAGCGCTTGCATGCATTCGAAGCCAACGCCCAGAACTCCCACCTGGCTCTGCAGGAGAGCATGCGCCTCATTCGTCCTAACTCTCCGACTTCGGCTGGCGGAGGACCTAAAGCACAGGGTGCAGATGAGACGCTGCGCAGGAGGAATGCTGAATTAGAAGAACAGCTGGCCAAGCAGGCGAAGCAGATGGAGGTGCTGGAAAAGGAGTATGGCAGGATGGAGCGGACCTTGGTCAAGTATCGGGACAAATGGGACAAGCTCAAGGCGGGTGCCAAGGCCCGGAGGGAAGCTCAGGGCTCGGCAGACAATGCCGAATCCTCCAAACCCGCTACTTGAGTATCAGTCGTAAGCAAGTCCAAGAATTCAATTGACTCCTCATCTTGTCTTGAAAAGGCTACTTGCAGCCTATCTCCCATTCGTAGTACTCTCTGAAAGGGCGGGACTTCTTCTCCCCTCCTGAATACCTCTGCTCATTCGCACATGGCTTTGTAAATATTACCCTGATGGGGCCTCTTTACGAGTTCAAGTTCTTTCATTTCTTTGTGAGCCGGGGTATATCATGTAATTGATTCGCCTCCTTCCCTCGCCGCTATCCTCTCGTCCATCTTGCGCATCATCTCTGCCTCCTCATCCACCGCCCCGTCGGCCGCCCGGCCACCGTTGCTGACTTGTATCCCTTGTTTCCTGAGCTCCTCGTTCACCATTTTCAGCGTCAACATGCCCTCCCACAAGTCAGGCATCTCCTCCCGCTGTTTGCGCGCCCAGCCTTCCACGCTCCGCATGCCCACGACCAGAAACCCCAGCTCTTCTCGATCCACGTCAAAGACCTCCCACCACTCGCACTCGGGCATCTTGGCGCCCACGTCCCGCGCCGCGTTGTAGATGGCCGACACGGCCAGGGCGTTGGGCTGGTGGGTCAGGTACAGCATCTGCGGCGACAGCAGCGCCGCGTTGAGGTGCTCCACCACGCGGCGCGATATCGCTTCCTTGGGGTGGTGGCCCAGGAAGTCGAGCGCCTGGAGGTACGTGACGGCCAGCGGGTGGGGGAGGGAGACGTGCGTGTCGAAGGAGAGGGCGTAGAGGATGCGCGCCTCGAGGGCGAGGACGCGGCTGTGGAAGGCGTGGTACGCCGAGTCGCTGAGGTAGTATGCGGACGGGTCGCTGGGTATCGAGGGGGTTTTCGCGCCGCTGCTGAAGAAGGAGCTCTGCGAGGACAAGAGGTACGCGTAGACGTTGGCGACGTCGCGGGGGGAGCGCGGGGCCGGGCCGAGCTTGGCGACGAGGTAGATCGCCGCGGCGGACACATCCTGCGAGGGGGGGTTAGAGAGACTTGTGTGTCTGTTGGTCGAGTGGCGCGGGGAGCTCACGCTAGGCTCGTGCGCAGTTGATGACTCTACTAGCCAGTACCGCGCGAGGACGACGTTTGCTTGCGCCGTCACCGACTGGGGCAGCTGAAGGAGCAGGCCGGCCGCTTGTGTTAGACATTGCGTCGCGAAGAGGACCACGTCGCCTAGGTCCGTAGGGAGGGCACTGAGAGCATGACGCTGGTAGAGTTGCTCGGGAGTCGCTAGTGGGTTCGATATGTGTGCCATGCTTGCCTCCAAGGTCCGTCCGTCAAGGCGCATGCGCTGGAGTGTGGTTGATCTTGCACCGTGGTCTTGATATGAGGTCAAAAAACAACATTGAAGATCGGCACCTGGGGAATGTCACACGATAAGATAAGATAAAGCTTGTCGTCAACGCCTGGCGCATCAATTAATTGACTGGAATGCTCGGCGGACCGTACCCATCACATCACGACACTACCAGTGAGCCAGGAACAGAGCTGGGCCAATCTGGGAATAGGAAAACTAATGAATATGGGCATAGGGTCTAATCTGGGTAGTGGTATACTATTCTCGAGTAAATTAAATACAAACCTAACAAAGGGACCGAGATTTACGATTGGAACGTCTCTGTAAGAGCACTCAAAGAATTGTCCCTATGTTTCATGGTGCCCCGATGGGGTCTTAGATAAAGCTATGACAGGGATCATTGGAATCTCCAAGCGTGGGGAAACAGCGACATCGACTGGTCCCCTTGTCCATGAATATCTTGTCGTCTCATCGAGGATACCATGAACGTTGGCAAGCGAGCATCAGAATATTTGACGGAGGTTCATCAGGAGCTACCTCAATGGCAACAATCAATATCCTTGCCCTGGAACTCGGAAGGGCGATCCCACGACCTAAAACCGGTGATGGGCTTGATGGATGCTTCTGCTCGCAATCCGTCAACTGATCTGACCATCACTTGGCTGAGCATCGAAGCCTGAGATATGTGCTGCTTCTAGGCTCAATAATAAAAGAACTTGCACTCATTTCTTGACTCTAAAACGGACTCTCCTAGGAAGTCGACTTGACCTTGAGGTTCATCTCTCTCACAATATTTTCACGCCTCTTTGAGAATTCCCTCCATCAGGTCGCAGCTTCTCGAGGCCCGGTGAGACCTTCACTCCTTGATTTCTTGCCTGCTCATCTTTTGATGGGCTACACTTCCTATCCTTCCAGTTTGTCAGTATCATTCGTCATCAATATTTCCACTGACATCCTTTTCACTCTGGCCGACTGCTACGCTTCACTCTGCTCGTCACCCTCACCATCTGTTCGAGACCTGTTCCTTCACATCGCATCTCATATCTTTTTATCTTCTCCTTCAACTTGATATCTCGTACAACATCAGCACAGATCCATGTGTGATCCATGTGCTCAAATATTCCCAAGTACTTCATTCAGATTTGGCTCACATCCTCCTTCTTCATTTTGAATGCTCTGTGAGCAATTATCTCATTTTCATCCCAAATCATTTCTTCCTTGTTACGTATGCATTCTTTCGAAGGAGACGACTAGCACTGTGGCAGCATGGCAGGCATCTCAGTTGATAGCAGTCTAGCACTGCTCTCTGAGCCAGATGCCTCATCATCTACTGGTGTGTTTGATCATTTCGAGAAATCCCTGCACTCATCCTCTGTCGAGCACTTGGAGAATGCCGCCGAGATTGGCGTCGAATTCCTTCAAACACTCAAATCGGCACTTGCTGCCTCGACCTCGATGAATATTGAGGCTCGACGTTGGTCTCAGCGTGTCGAGGATGCGCTGGCGGAAAAGCGCTCTTACAAAGCCGTCTTTGCCGTTCTTGGTGGCACCGGCGCCGGGAAAAGCTCAATCATCAATGCTATCCTTGATGAGGATCGGTAAGCTCATTTCTCTCACGCTTTGATTTGATGCATAGATGTTCACACGTCGCCAGGCTCATCCCTACCAACTGTGTTCGGGCATGCACGGCCTCTGCCACAGAGATTGCGTACAACACCTCTGATGATCCAGATGAATCCTACCGTGCCGAAGTCGAGTTCATATCTGCCGACGAGTGGGTTACTGAATTGCGTGCACTGTTGGGTGATATCGACGACAGTTCGGACGACGATGCTCAAGCATCAATCAGAAACCCCGAGGCGGACGCTGCTTGGGCTAAAATCACCGCGGTATACCCACAGATTTCGAAGGAGGATATCCTTAAGTCTGATATTAGGGACCTTTTAGAGGGGCTCTATATGCATAACGTTTTGGGAACCACCACCAACCTGAAGGCAACATCCGCGGCTTCACTCTACAGCCAATTGCGCGAGTTCGTCGACAGCAGGGACAAGACTGGTGTGAAGAAGATGGAACTCTGGCCTCTTGTCAAGATCGTGAGAGTGTTCATCAAAGCTGAGGCCCTTTCTACTGGAGCAATCATCGTTGATTTGGTAAGTGCCTGCCCCAGACTTTGAAATTCCGGGATGTTCTTCAGTCGGGAAGGTTTGGACTCCAACACTTGAAGGTACAAAGGGCTGACTTGAACAGCCTGGAACCCAGGACGCCAATGCTGCGCGAGCAGCTGTTGCAGCCCAATATCTCCAAAAAGCCACTGGTTTCTGGATTGTGGCCCCGATCATTCGCGCCGTGGACGACAAGACCGCCAAATCTCTGCTTGGGGATGCCTTCAAGAGGCAAATCAAACTGGACGGCAATTTTTCGGCGATCACTTTTATTTGCTCCAAGACGGATGGCATCGTAGTTTCCGAGGCACGTGAAAGCCTCGAGATCAACCCACCAGAAGATTTCGAATGGGACGACGATGTCCGCTTGCTGAACGAGATCGAGGCTCTACAGGAAGAGGCGAACACCTTGCGAGTACAGGCGAAGGAAGAGAAACAACTCATGGAAGATGCCGACGACAAAGCCGAGCACTGTGAGGGCCTCTTGAAAGAGATTGAGAAGGGCAATACAGTACTCGAGCCGTCACCTTCCGACTTTCAGAAGAGCAAGTGTCGCGCAAGGAAGGTCGGGACCCGTAGCCGTCCACGCCGTGCTCCTTCAACGATCGCTGCCTGGGCTACAAGCGGTGGATCTTTGAACGCACCAATTGACCTGGACGAAGAGTCTCCGGCTGCTGAGAACAGCGAGACTGAGCTGACCATGAAGCTATTAACTCCTGAGGAGGCCGCAAGGCTGATTGATTCTTTCAAGAGCGCCAAGAAGCATCACCGTGAGAACAAGGAGGAAATTGAGGACAGCCTTGAAGAAATCGAGTGCGACATTGAAGAATGTCAGGAGCGTCTAAGAGCGTTTGAGATTGCGGCGCAGACTCTTTGTATTCGAGCAAGGAATGAATATGCCATCCAGGATATCAAACGTGACTTTGCGGAAGGAATCAAGGAGTAAGTGGCCCTCAGTAATCCATATAGTATCAAGGCACGAGGACTAACCATAAAATATAGGCTGGATGATGAAGCGGCGTTGGAGAGGGATCAAGAAGGCTTTGATCCAAGTCAGGACCAGCAAGACTACAGCAAGATATCTGCATCGCTACCTGTATTCTGCTGCAGTTCCCATGCCTACCAGAAGTCACGAAAGAAGAGCCGTCGTGATCATCCTCTTCTCGATGGATTTCCGGCTGTCGAGGACACCGGCATCCCGCAGCTCCGCTCTCATTTGATGCAGTCGACAGAGCCCGCCCGAAAAAAGGCTGCGATGCAATTTCTGACCAAGCTAGCCAGGCTGATCATGTCTCTGAAAATGTGGTGTCTCAATGGTGGCACTTCCCTCACCGAGGACGAACAGAAGGAACGCCAGAAACTTCTTATGGATGACATGGAAGATCTCCAAAAGGTAGGCGTTTCCCTTGCTGCTTATATTTTCCTACAATAACCACACTGGTATACTGACATCCGGAGAAGAAACTCTTGACAGCCGCGGGAGATCACCGAAACGAACTGTCTATGGTACTTCGGGTCTTCATCTATGACAATCTCGACCGCATCGCCCCAAGAGCCTCCGAGGCAGCAGTAGAGAAGGCAAAATCATGGGGTTACAAGCGGGACCAGGGCGGTATGCTTTACCATACCTACCAAGCGACGTGTCGTCGTAATGGTGTCTTTAAGGGTCGAAGTGGGCCACGGGACCTCAACCAGGAGCTACTCGAACCCGTGCTGAAGGGCATCGCAGCACCTTGGGAGAGGGTCTTCTCAGTACTCGTACCGGCCGGTCTCCGGACTTTCTTGCAAACATGCATTGCCTATCTTGAGAAGTTCCGCCAAGTGATGATTAGCCGGAAGGGCTTCTTGGAGGACTCACAGAGCAGTGCAGGACTGGCCGACCAGCTCTTGGCCCATCAAGCTGCCTTCAAGCACCTCCAGAACCGCGTCAGTCGGAAAATCAGGAGGTTGCAACGCGAAGCCAACAGGTCCTTTGGACCTGCTATCGAACAGCATCTACAGCCAGCGTACAATGAATGCCTGCGGGAGCGTGGTAAGTTGCTCAATGAACTGTCTTCCAAGATGGCCTGTACTTGGAATGCTGACTCTTGAGCGTGCAGGTCCAGGAGCGCAGAAACGCATGGTAGATTATATGGTGAGATATATCAGCGACATTCGTATCGAAATATTTGAAGATTCCACAGGCGCCGTCCGCGGCGTGCTCGAGGAATTATGCGAAGAAGTGGACGAGTATTTGCAGAGGAAGATTCTTGGCATCCTCGAGGAGATCTCTGACGACTGCCGGTCTGCTCTGGGAGGTTGTGATGAGAAGAACACGAAAGCTCTCAGAGCTGAGCTCTCAACACACCTGGCTGAGATAGACACTACCTTCAAAGGTGTGCTGGCCATGCCATGAGGTGAGCCGTTGTCATCGACTTTTGAGTGCTGTATCTCTCGAGAGACGAATCTGTGCGATGCCGTCATACCTTGACTCTATGCCGGATCTCTGGCCCTCAGCGCCGAATGCGTCTCTTTGATATTGATTTTGGGAAAGATTGGTTGGGATCATATCTCCCAAAATGGGAAGAACGATTTCGTCCTTGTTCTCCCCACGAACGTGCATTTTTTTGCTCTCGCTATACTTTTCACAACTTTGACCTTCATATTTTACATTACTCGAGGAATTGCGGCGAACTGTATATCGGCATCTAGTTCTCAATTGAAGATTTTACTCTGACTTGTCTCATTGACACGCTGAGGAGTAGATGCGCCTGACAGACTTGGTGGATGTTGTTCAGGAAGAAAATCTTGACAAATTCTCCGTCCGTATATGAGTGTAGGTACAGAGACATCAAGAAGGCAGGCCGAAGCTGTGCTCTTTCTGTGATAACACAGTAAGACTTGGACGGAATTATATCACTGTCTGCAAGATCTTGCATTGGCGGTCGTAAATGCTCTTTGCTAAATACATAATGTAGGTTTGACGAGCAGTCTCCTTGTGAGAAAACAGCCGTTGGTGAAGAGCACAGGCGAGAGAGTATCTCGAAGGAGGCAGCGTTGAGGTACCTGGTTGAGTGGGGTCACAGCTAAAGGTACATGGGTTAGGAGCTATCATAATGGTGGGGTAAGCGCCCAGGCAGTTACCTCACCTCCAACAACACCCAGCTCCTCCATCTACAGCTACCACCCGCGACCTCTTGATTCCCACTCATCAGCACGTCACCCGGGCCGACCCAAGATCTCCAAATTGCCAGTATCTCACAACCACGTATCTCCTTTCCCGGGTGCCATCCAGGCTTCTGAACTGAGCAGGAGAGTTTCCAGCGCGCCACAATCCCAGCTTCCCCTCGACCCATCGACCATGGCTGACGAGGAGGCCAACCCGCTCATCTCGACGCAGAAGTCGTCAGACTCTCTCCAAGCAGCTCTACACCCACTAGTTCTCCTCACAATCTCGGATTATATCACCCGGCACACTCTGCGCCAGCAGAGTGGTTCTGTCGTCGGCGCACTACTCGGCCAACAGAACGGTCGCGAGATCACCCTCGAGCACGCCTTTGACTGTCGGACGACAACATCGGAGGGGGGAGATGTCATCCTGGATAAGGAGTGGTTTGATGGCCGTCTAGATCAGAGTACATATATGAATATGCCTGGTACGCTCAAACTCGGGCTGACTTGACTTTCTCTAGTGCGCCAAGTCCACAAGGACCGCCAGCTTGACCTCGTCGGCTGGTACACTCTCCTGCCCACGACTGGCCCTACACCCGATATCCTTCCTCTACACAACCAGATACTTTCTGGATACAATGAATCCGCAGTACTACTCGCCTTCCACCCTGAGAGCGTCCCGACAGACTCCGTCGGTGGCAAGCTACCCATCAGCATATACGAGAGCAACTACGAGGTTGACGACGCAAGTAAAGCCAAGGGAGAGGATGCTTCGTCAAAGGGCGGCGATGGTGACCAAGAGATGAAAGACGGCAACACCCAGGAGCAGACGCTGAAGCTTAAGTTCCGGCATCTGCCATACTCGGTCGAGACTGGCGAAGCCGAGATGATCAGCATTGACTTTGTCGCCAAAGGAGCGACTAATGCGGCAGCTACAGACAGCGCGGAGAAGAAGAAGAAGAAGAAGCCATCGCAAGGGGCAACCGAGACAAAGGGAAAACAACTAGCGTCCGGTCAAGACACGGATGCCTCGGATGTCAACGATCTGGCGGCACTTTCAAGAGAGGAGGAGGAGCTCATCGCCTCAATAACGACCAGAGCCAATGCTGTCAAGATGCTGCACTCGCGCATACAGCTCGTCACCAAGTACCTGGAGCAACTGCCACCGTCCTATCTTGCCACAGAGGGCCAAGCTCCGCCCGAAGCAGCTCCGGGCCAACCGCATACTACGCCTTCTCACACCATCCTCCGCTCCATCCAGGCACTGGTCAACCGGCTGCCTATCCTCCAGCCGGCCTCCACCGAGGCCTTTGAGAGGGAGATGCAGAGCGAGGCCAACGACGTGCACCTCATCGCGCTGACCGACCAGGTGATGCAGAGCATCAAGGAGATCCGCGAGATCGGCAGGAAGTTCAGCATTGTCGAGCAGGGTCGTAACCAGTCCAAACGGCTGCCCGATGTCAACACGCCGGGCGGCACGCATGGCTTCAGCCTGCCTGGTGCGGGAGACATCATAATGTGAAGGCGATCCTGCGACTTCTGGCCCCAAGGACTTGAGGGGATGGATAGACACTTCTGATTACCGGAACGAGGAGGAGCTCATTGAAGGGATCCGGGACTGCGCTTAAGAACCGGCGTAGCCTCTGATGGGCGGAGGCCAGAGGTGTCACATTTGCATCGGGCGTTGATCTTGGCCAGTCGGTCATGCGGCGCGAGCTGATCCCCCAGGAAGCCGGAATAAACCCTGGACAGAGGGGGAACCAATTGAAGTGTTAGACATAGAGCGTGCATTGTGTCTCGGTATTACCGCAGAGTCTGGCGGATCCATACATACCCTTGACTCGCCAGGCAGTAGCTAGAAGAGCTAGCAAAAACATGCATTACGATCGAAAATAGAAGAATTTCTAATAAAGACGCTTCCGTCTCTTGACATTGGTCGCCGTCGGGTCTGGGTTTACTGCTGTACACGTTCATACTGGTAGTGTATTGATATCGTTTAGAATGGTGGACGGTTTATGTCAAGCAAATTCGAGAAGATTGTATTTGGGGCCTATCTCAGGAATGATACAGCCTCGTCTACCTTGAGTGTCATGACATCGTGATCTGTGTTAGGAGAAAGCATCTTCAATCCCCGTTAACCGTCGCCGCATCCGCCAAGAACTAGCACTCTTGGCCCATTCTAACATGTACCAGTCTAATCATGGTCAACACACCGTGTGCTTCGAGCCGTACCAGAATACAATTGAGAACCCAACAAAGGAAAGAAGAAAATGAGATGAAGAAGAGAAGAAGAGAAATGCCAGGGAGGCAACGACGTAAGGTATCATCAATGGAGAAACCCTGACAGGTCGCTCAGATTGCATCGCCACTTGTGGAAAGGGGAAAATCAATCAATTCAAGAGTCTCCCATACCGGAAAGCAAGCAAGGAGAAGAATCCTGAGAAGCCGAGAAAAAATAGATCTTAGGCCTCAATCACGACTTTGAGAACAAGCTTGCCGTCGTCATCACAAGTCCGACTGGCGAGCTCAAAGGCGCCCTTGGCACTGCCCAGGCCTTTGAAGCGGTGCGTCACCATGTCGTCCAGGCTCGGCAGCTGGCCGGAGCACAGCATGCGGATGCCGGTAGGGTACGTGTTGGCGTAGCGGAAGATGCCGAGGATGTCGACCTCTCTGAGGTGAGCGACCGACATGGGCAGCGTCTGGATCGGCGTGCCCATGCCGACCATGATGACCTTGCCGCCAGGTCTTGTCGCGTAGAGGCTGGTGTGCATGCAGACTTCTTTGCCCGTGCACTCGAACGCCAGGTCCACGCCCTCGTCCTCGTCGTCCACGGCCAGGTATGCCGGGGACTTGGTCAGGGAGAGTATCTCTGCCGCGAGGGCCTTTGCACTCTCCAGCTGGCCAGAGAAGGAGAAGAGGCTGGCCGGGGTCATCACTCCGGACTCTGCTGGGGTCGAAGTGCCAGATCCGGTATAGACTGACGAATTGCTTGAGCCCGTGTGGAAGGATCGCGGGACGACATAGCCGTGGGTGGCAAAGCCCTTCTTGATAGCGTAGTTGACTCGACCGGCATCGACATCAGTAATAGTGACTTGTGTGCAACCTGAATGCCTTGCCATGGCCGCGGTGAGGAGGCCGACAGTGCCGGCACCAATCACCAGAGCAGTCGAGCCAGGGGCCGGGGATGCTCGGTTGACAGCATGAATGGCAACAGAAAGCGGTTCAAGAAGAGCGGCAGCATCAAATGATACATGTTCGGGAAGCCTGCCCAAAACCTCTTAGTGAAAGATGTTCCAGGCTGAGGAGGAGAAGATGTATACTCACTTGTGGCACCAAGCTGCCGGGTGATTTATCCTGTCCTGGAGTGTACCTTGAAAATGCGGAACACTCTTTGCACTACTCCTGAATCGCATCTTTTTGCAAAGGTTGTAGCGGCCTTTCCTGCAGATACCGCATTCGCCACAAGGTATGCCGACCTCAAGGGCGACTCTGTCACCGATGGCAAAACCTTTGACACCAGGGCCGAGAGCGACAACCTCGCCCGACGACTCATGGCCAAGGGAGAGCGGCATACACGCACAAAGATCACCGTTGGCGAACTTTTTGTAGTATGAGACATCTGAGCCACAGATTCCGGTGGACTTGATGGCGATCTGTAGCTCACCGGTCGAAGGCTCCGAAATACTCCTTTGCTCCTATACGCAGCGTCAGTAATCCAGAGCTTGACGTTGTTGGGACCGACGTATGAATCAATCTGGGGTAGGGCGGGGACGAAGTGAGATGTAGATGTGACCAGAACGTCGGGTCTGTGTAACAGTCAGATCTTAGAGTGAGCCTCACCAATCGTAGATCCCGTGGGCCATGCAGGACGGATGCACTGATCCTGGAAGGTTTGGAGTAGACGGGTAGCTGCATTGGCGCCTCTTCGACCATTGCGGCGGGCGACATGGCTGGGGTAGTGACGAGGGCGTGGGATGTACGTGGGATGACCTGCTTGATCGAGAGACTGGAGTGAGACCGGTTGACTCGAGGTCCCTGGCCCTGGTCCGGGGTAGACAGTTGTGTAGATGGCTGCACCCTTGAAGTGGGGAGGAGGAGCTAAGTCTGAGGCGAGCCCGTGGATCCGGGATGGCGTCCAACTTGAGCTTATTACGACGAGTCCTCGAGAGAGTCTTGCAAGAAGAGGGCCAGAATGTCGTACACCAAGTATGTACTATGGGGTTCGGCGTGGGATGGTCGCATATAGTGGTGAGGGGGAGTTGGGGGATGCTGGACAGGCTAGCACAAAGGTGCGTGGGAGGAAGGAGGAAGGGTTCTTTATCTTTGACACGAAGAAACGTGGGTATGCCTCGTTCTGGGAGGAGAGTGGCGGCATCAATGTTCAAGATGAGCAGACAATAAGTCGAAGCCGGGCACGACCCCCACCCTTAAGTACAACAGACCCTCGAACCGTCCTGACCGCCATCGAGACTGGCAATGAGTGACAAGGGACACAAGAAGGGGAAATAGGCCAAGGTAGATCTACGGTGCGGAGCGGAGAGGACTGGAGAATGAGCAGATATGAGAGGTGGAGGACCCCTGAGGGAGCTTAGAGAGGAGCCGTCGACGACGACATGAGACCAGTAGAGCCAGTCAGAGGACGGCAGGTTATCTGTGGTGTCGATGAGCTAGCGACATGTTGTAATGGAAGCCGCCAGAGCAGATTGACCCGGTCTCGGGAGAGCATGGCATATGCACAGTCCATGGATGGGCATGGCTTGTACCCGCACGGAAGCTCAGCCAAGTGCGATCACGACATTCACGCGTCCACCAATCTTCAGAGACGCCAGCACGAGGGCCGGAACAGGACGGTATTGGCGTCAATCCTCAGGGTGACTACGGTACGGCTCTGGAGTCCGCCCGGCGGCTGTGGATCGGAGCCATGCCTGAGAAGAGAGACCAAAGATTGCCATTACGTGGGAAATTCCGGGGAGACTGAGCGATGCCCTTGCCCGACTGGGGCAGATCAGGGATATCGGATGGCTATGGCTGTGAGCTCCGACCAGAGCAACCGACAGGGGTCCGTACAGATGGATGCTGAGCTGCTGCAGATGCCGGGATCGTGATGTACGCCAATCTAGAGCGTGCAGGAAACAATGCAGACGTTGAGCAACAGACTGTCTAGGAGGGAGGGTGCATCAGAGGTGGGGAAGGGAGTTGGTGTAGAGAACGGTAGATATGGAGCAGACAAGGGGACAGAGCAAAAGACGGACGAACAGGTCAATCAGAGTTGTTCCTGAAGAGTAAAAGGCACGAGCGAGCCGGGATAAGAGACTAAGAACGGGAACGCGGGACGAGCAGCGAGATTGGAAACGATCTTTGAGACTGCTGGTTCTGCTCTCGGAGGATTCTGGAACGGGTATGGCGAGAAGCCTGGCCACGGTACAGTCGCTTTGCCTTTTGGAACGGACCCAGCAGAGTCACAGGGGAATTGACTGGTGAGAATGGGCGAGAGCTTGATTCCAGGCCGATCAAGACCTGTCACATTAAACTGGCGAGATCTGTGTTTGTGTGCACATCTGACCGAGATTGACTTGCAGCCGGTGAGAACGACACACGGCAACCACAGGCCTGGTATGTGTCATTGCAAAGCCATGATGATGTCGGCTGCAGGCAAAGCCCTGTCCAAGGCTCCAGGAAGCAAAAGGATCCGGCCAGAGAGGTTCCCAAAGAATCGGATGCAGTCGGATCAGTGATGCGATGTCGAGCGCCAAACGGGAATCCACATGTACGTACGGTGGATGCGAGGACAGTTCGATGATACCCTGGCTCGGCGGGGTCTTTGTCTCAACGGTACAAGAGAAGCGGAAGCCAAGGGTAGGGGAAAGCTGTGAGACATCGCAGGGATGCAAAAGAACCTTGAGCTACCTACCCAGCTTAGCTCTCCCGAGGAGACGCAGTCCTAGGTCGAGTGCTTCACCGCAAGACTGATGCCACGAAGGATATGCAAGGGAACGCGGCCCCGAGAGCTGTTTCGTCAGTCAGGATGTAAGTCGGAAGATAGCGCCTGATGCCAGCCGCTTCTTTTACCTAAGAATAAAGCAAGGCATGATGCAAGGCAGTCGTCAAGTCGTCACTAAGCAGGAGTAGAGAATTTCGACATCAACGAGGTCAGTCCAGGAGGAGGTCGAGTAAAATGACAGCTCCGCACTTGGGGAGAGACTGGAGTCCCCTCATTTTCCCCAGAGGTACATGCAACCAAGTGAAAGTCACTGAGAAAATCCGGAGGGTCGGAGGATTCGGCGTGGAGGCGAGAACATGAAGTAAGGGTAAAGTAGGGTACATCAGATACATTGCCTGATAGCAATTGGGCCAGGGTGAGTGAGGGAGTATTTTCTCTTTTGCTCTCGCAGCCTGGAAGCTCATCTGGTGAAAGCTCAAAAAAGCTCACGTTCAAAGCTTTAATGTTATTTGTCTCCGTCGTTGGCGGCGTAGCTTTGCTTCTTCGACTTGGCCTTCTCCCACCAGTTTGGATAACCATATTTGATTGTGTCACAGGCAGGAACGATATGAGATGGACGGTCGGACGGAACAAAAATGGAAGCAACGGTTGAGATTTGGAGAAGTGGGTAACCATGCCGCCTCCCAGCCCAGAAGGCACGGAGCCATCTACAGTACTTGCCTGTACAAGTCCGTACCAGCTTTCTTTCCTTCACCTGTCTGCCTCGCCTCAGCTTGCCAAATCTCAGAGGAAGGGCTCGTCAGGTCAATCATCCATCCCTATTTTTATCACTTGAGTTTCGTTGTATCCTCATCAAAGCCAGCCCTTGGCCGAGAGTATGGACGCGCATGTTGCGACCAGGCGGGATCCCTCCCTCGATGATCTAAGATACCTCGGCCTTCTGAAGCGTCAATCATACTGCTTGGGGATGGGCCGCGGGCCAAAAGGCCGGACACATTGGCGGCGAGTCTTCGGCTGTTCCTGAGCTCGTCTCGAAGAGGTCCTGTTTCCATGTACCAGTTCGGGAGAGACAAGGGCGACAACGGACGAGACACCCCTGTCAGGAACAAGGGTCGTTCCAGAATCACAGACGCAGCCACCGCCGCTGTGTGTGATATTTTTCCGGCTCTAACAGGAACTGGTGAAACCTACTCACATCAAGAGCCAGGGTGTTGCACATGGCAAGCAGGGGTATCTCCTTTTGCCCTCACAACACGACCTTATCGGTCGCCCGCGGTTGAAAGTGGCTCGACCGCAGACCGAGTCTCTCACACACCTAACGGGAATTACGAAAGAAGCATCCAAAGTTCAAGTGTTATGTCCCAGTCCAAAATCATGCTTAATCAACTACCGTGAACTTGCATGTTCTGGAAGACGGTCATAGCCACTGCACTGCGCCTGCAGATGCTCAACCTTCAAGATACATGTCGGATTGGGGATGCCTTGGTCAGACGATCCACGATTGATGATTCATAGCATCTTATCACAATTACTTGTCTATCCACTGTCAGCTGCGCTTGGGATATGTCACTCTTTATTCCCTGGGGTCCTATGCTGGTCGAGAACAGATACCCATTCTCCGTATTCCGTAAGTCTGTAGCCGTTCCCTCATCAATATGCGACCTGAAGGTCCATTGATATCCGATTCCCTAACTTTATCAAGAAAGGATTGACCCGAGTTGGTGCAGTCGAATTTCGAAAACTCTACTGGGGAGACTCACGGAGGGGCTCCTCCTGCAGCTTTTCGAGTTGTCACAATGCACATCTCGTGCTACACTACTGTTCCTTATGTGCCAATATCGAGAGCTGATGACGAGATTCAAATAGTCACTATTGTTGTTTCATCTATCGGACCACGTTCCATTGGAGCCGTATCTCGGAACTACGTACAGTACAGCCTATTAGGGATCCCGATGACACCAAGAAACACAAGCGGCTACAAAAACAATGTTCTCTTCTGGAAGGACCTGCACGTCGATACTGATATGCAATAACAGCAACCTTCTTCTCCGGTTTAACTCCACAGGACCCCACGGAGTCGCTACTACCAAAGGGTTTTGAATTGCCTGGCCTACAGCCTTGACAGGACGGTTCTTTCGTCTCCAGTATCCTTTTGCACCCAATTGTAAAGGTCCTCGCGGCTAAAGGGAACCCCCAGACTCCATGAAGCAACACCCCTTTCCATACAAAGATACTGAAATGACGGACTGGGCGCGGTGTCGGAAGCTGCAATGTGTGGTTCGCTATCCCAAGAGCACAGAAGAGTACCAAGTCTCCAAACTGGAAAGTGTGGAGGGAGATAAGGCAGAGTCCAGCCGCTAAAGCATGCACAAGCGCCGGCTTTGCTTCCGGATGTTGACTGACCAAGGTGGCATGGAGGGAGGCAAAGCTGCCCGAGCGCTCGCAGATGTGCCGTCTTGAATGACACTGACAAGTGTCAGGACGAGCGACATTGCTGCTGCGGTTGCTGCTGCAAGATACGGAGCAAGCATTACGGGCTCTTTGCACATGCCCACCAGCTGCGCACAGTCGCCCATGTGGACCACCCCAGAGGCTCGACGAGGCCGAGGCATACAACCGCTCGAGTGAAAGCTTACGGGCGGCGTCCTTGCATCCCGCCCGCATCCAGCCGCACAAACCGCCGTCTTTGCTCCAGCGGCGGAACGACAGGCGGTGAGGACATGTCGCACGGATGTGGTTTGCGCACGCACTGATTGACCGCAAGTCGACAGGCGATGGTTTCGGAGAGGAGGTAGAATTCGCATCCTGTGTGGCCCGCATTAGAGGTAATGGTGTCCTGGCGAGGGCCAAAGACGCGAGTGCGCGAGGACTGCGCGAGAGGTTGAGTGAAGGTCCGTGGTGCCCGACGATGCTCAGCTTACGTCTCGACACATTCGCGTGGTGGTTGCCTGTCCTGCCCTCATCCGAAGGAGTGTCGGGTAAGGGCATATATCGTAGACCATTATCACAAGTTTTGATTCATCCAAAGATAGAACACATGTGAGGATCTGCAACGCGAAACAAGAGATAAAGAGGTTGATTTTATCTACCCACAGCTTACCGAGCAGTAGGGTATGCGTTGTCCACTTGCAGCAGCAGCAGTAGCAGTAGCAGCAGCAGCAGCAGCAGCAGCAACCTCGCAGCTACCGCCGTCGCCGCCGCCGCCGCTGCTGTCCATACCTGGCTTTCCGGCACACACACACACACACAGACACACACACACATACCCTCCGTGCCGCGTCTCTGTCCCATATGCAAAGCTTAAAACGTACTGGTCGCCAATCGGCTAGCCGCATTCCGGGCATCTACCCTATCTTCGTCGTCCTCCTCGCTGACGCCAGACAGGCCGCGGGCCCTACCCTGCGGCGCAGCGCCGCCCTGGCCCTCCTCGCCCTCCTGCTCCTCTGCCACGTTGCCCGCCAGGCTGCCCGACATGCTGCGGGCCATGGCGTCCGAGCGGCGGGGGACGCCGCTCCAGGCGTCGCCCTTGGGGCCCTGGCTGGCGGCCAGGCTGGTCCGCCTGGCCGGCGGGTGGGCCTCGCGGCCGAGCCGGCTCAGGCCGCCCGACGCGTCGATGGCCCTGACGTCCGGGCGCACGCTCTCGAGCAGCGAGAGGATGCGGCGCTCGGCCTCGATCTCGCGGCAGACGTACTCGCGGATGCTGAGGCGCAGGTCGGCGGCCGTGCGGACGAACCACCTGCGGCGCTCGTGCACGAGATTCTTGGTCACGCGCGACGTCTTCTGCTCGAGGTAGGCCTCGTTGTGGCGCGCCTCGTCGAGCGCGGCGATGGCCTCGTCCACCTTTTCGCGGCTGACGCGCGACGAGGCCTTGAGGCGGTCCGTGGCGCCGAGCTTGCTGCGCGTGTTCTCCTGGGCCTGGAGGAACTCGCGGATCAGGATCTGGCGGTTGGTGAGTGTCTCCTTGACGATGAAGGCGTCGGACGAGTGGTACTGGAAGGGGTCGCCGATGGTCGTGGCCTCGGCGGTCGCCTGGGCTGCGTGGAAGTCGCCGGCGGTCTGTACGGCCTTTCCGAGCTTGCGGTAGGCGTTGGCGAGGCCCTGGTGCGGCTCCTGAACATTCATGGCGGTCAATTTGGCGCCGAAGTCTGCCTCGGCAAGTCCGAGTCCTGGGTTCGAAATTTTAGTAAATCGAAATATGGCTGGGGAAAACTACGTTGCATTCAACCTACCTCTCCGTGCCTTGACAAGCTTGTCGACCTTGTGTCCGGCATCCATGGTGCCCAAGTAGAAAAGCTTAACGATCGGTCGTGCGTCTTGGAGCTCGGGAGTGTCATCCGGTGGTGGCGCAAACTGCTTGAGGATTTTCCGCTTCACTCCCGTGGCAGGCTGCTTCCGCTTGACCAACGGGCTGTAGCCGAAATCACTCTCTACAAACAAAACCATCTCGTCGTCCCTCATAAGGACCTCGTTGCTGCAGACGTAGTTGAACCAGCGCTGAAGAAGCGCCTTCACCCGGAGCTCGTCCTCATCCGTGCCGGCGCCGGCAGATGTCAATGCGGGAGGCACGGCAGGCACGATGGCCTCGGGATTCGCAGAAATGAGATGCTCCCCCAGCTTGACGAACTCGGAGTGAAGGCGGCGGACATCGCGGTATTGCGTCGTTCGGAAGCTAGGAAGGTTGGTCTATTACGGGCAAGTTAGTCATTTGAGACATATCGCATGGTCGTATCGAGGCAAACAAGGCTGCTTACATGCACATCGAACCTTAGGATGGGATCCTTGCGCCCGGTCCGTTCAAGCCCGGTAATCTTAGCCTGCAGCTTGAACTGCGGTTGCGCCGGCTTGCGCTGCTGTGGCTGCTGGCCGGGCTGTGCGGCATCGCCCGCGGGTTGAGGGGCCTGCTCCTGGGACGATTGCGACTGGGTAGGCGCAGCTTCCTCCGCCCTCGACTCGTCTGCGGCAATATCGCCCGCCGACGCCGTGCTCGCAGTGTCCGGTCGCCTGTACTCGTGATCGCCGGAACCGAAACCGCCGTCGTCGGGACCTCCGGTGGCGATGCCGTTGCCCGACTGTTGCGAATCCAGTCCACGGTATGGGGAAGGTGGGGCATCGGAGGAGGCGGAACTGAAGGTGGTTCGGTGATGTTGGGGAGAGGCGCCCGGGGAACCCCAAGGGTGGGCTTCCGTGGGATTATCTCCGTCGCCCGTGGGGGGTCTGTAGTCCATTGTGGCCGGATGTCGATCGGGCTATCGTTGGAGGTGTCGTGAGATGAAGGGGCTGGATGACGTTTGCTCCTAGCAGCGAGTGGATAACGGTAATGAGGAAGCTCCAAGATCAGGCAATGGCCATGACACGGGAGAAACCGCTCTGTGAACTGCCGGCCGAGATGACGGAACGCCGAAGGATTGAGAGAGTGTTGGATCGAATGTTGTTCACGGCGATGCTCTGGCTGCGAAGCAATGGTAGCTTCGGCACATGCACTGGCGAGGAAGTGGTGCTGTGCTCCGCAAGTCGGTGCGGTTGCGTGGATACAACGAGTACAAGTCGAATGGTCGGTGCCTGCGTCCCAGATCCAGAAGCACTGACCAGCCGCCTGACGAGCGGAGCATCAAGCAGCCCGAACCACGAATTAGCGCAGAGATCCACTGCTTAGCTCAGCACCCGTTTTGAGACTTTAGCGCAGTTTTCAGATGTCGCACCGCTAGTTACTGCCAGCACCAATACGGAGTGAGAGCTTCATCGCCAATCAGCTCAGTATCATGATATCTCATGAAAAGCCTTCTGTGCTTGTTTAACACCCTTATCATCTGTATCTTGTAATGACTTTTTTGAGTCTCGCCGGCATTGGTCTTATGAGTTTGCATCTTGATATGAATATCAGGCAAGGCCAGGCATGTTGAAAGTCGTTGCTGTCGCCAGGTGCCGGGGGGGAGGACGCCTTGGCTATCACCGAGCACCAGCACTGCTCTGGTGTGCAGTGACAGCTTCCTCACGCCACAGACTGTTTTCCACGAGTCGATCCAGACGCAATCCCGATGCCTCACTAGCTGATATCAGGAACATTGGTATCATAGCCCATGTTGATGCGGTATGCATTTGATCCCTCCCACTATGCCGGTATCATGAGACTAATAGGGGTCTGCAGGGCAAAACTACCACGACAGAGCGTATGCTCTACTATAGTGGCCTAACGCGGCATCTTGGAAGTAGGTCCCTAGTTCTTTTTTCTACTCTAGAGCTTTCTCATTCTTTTGAGACTGTTCACTTCTTTATCCGGTGCTGATCCTGTCCACTTCTTAGATGTTGATCACGGAGATACTGTGACCGATTTCCTTCCCCTCGAGAGGGAACGAGGCATCACCATCCAGTCTGCGGCAATCACATTCAATTGGCCACTGGCAGAGGATTGCCCTGAAGGCACGCATCCCAAGACCATCAACTTGATTGACACTCCTGGCCATCAGGATTTCCGCTTCGAGGTTGATCGTTGCCTCCCGGTCCTGGATGGCGCAGTGTGTATTATCGACTCAGTCAAAGGCGTTGAGGCACACACCGAAAGGGTCTGGTCATCAGCACAGCAGTTCAAGATCCCTCGGATTGTCTATGTTAATAAGCTCGACCGAGATGGAGCTTCCTTCAAGCGGTCCGTTTTGGATATCGCTTCCAAGCTTAACTGCTTCCCTTTGGTGTGCCAGCTTCCATGGTGGGATAACGACAGCCTCATTGGCGTCATTGATGTCATCGAGAAGAAAGCTATCCGATACAATTCAGCGGACAACTACCAAGTCTACCAAGGCGAAACACTAAGCTCTGTTCTTCAGAGTAATGCTGCCCTGCTACAAGAAATAAGCATTGCCCGAGACCGGCTCATCGAACGTCTGTGCGAGTATGATGACGAACTGGTCGAGGAGTTTGCCGACAAGGGCAATGATCTTCCTGCTGAGTCGATCAAGAAAAGCATTCGCCGGTTGATCCTGACAGGAGAAGGGGAAGTCGCCCCCGTGTTCGCCGGTTCCAGTCTCCGAAACATGGGCGTCCAACCCCTCCTCGATGCGGTCGTTGACTATCTGCCCAGCCCTCAGGACACCGCGGATGTTGAGGTTCTTCTGAGTGGCGAGAAGCACCAGCTACAAGATGTCCTTCAACGCAAGATTCCCGGGCTGAAACCGAAGCCGTCAACAGCACACAAACCACCCATTGAGGCTGTTGCCTCCGTGTTCAAGGTTGTCAACGATCCGAGTCTACGCGATGCTACACGTGGTATGATGAGCTTTGTCAGAGTCTACCACGGCACTCTGAATCGAAATTCTCAGGTCTGGAATGCCAATCTAGGATGCTTTGAGAAGTCTCTAAGGATGGTGCAAATCTCGGCATCCAAGACCGCCGACGTACCCCATCTCTCGAGAGGTCAGATCGGTGCCCTTATCGGCCTTAAAGATGCGCGAACAGGCGACACTCTCCAGATTCTCCCAAGTCATAGCCACCGATCCCCAGACCAGGCGCTTCGCAGCATGCAGATCCGGCCGCCAGATATCCCTGCAGCCGTGGCTTTCCTCGCAATACATCCGTTCAGCGACACTGGGAGAGATCATCTCCAACAGTGTCTCGAGAAAGCGTCTCGTGAAGATCCAAGCCTGAGATGGAATCGGGACGAGAAGCACGACCGCTTCGTCCTCTCCGGCATGGGGAAGCTCCATCTAGAGATCGCCATCCATAGGCTGAAGACACAGTACAAGGTCGATGCCGCCTTTGGCGATATTGAAGTAGATTACAAGGAATGCCTCACCGCACCGACCGGTGAGCACCGCTATGAGTACGACAGGGTTGTGGCAAGCAAGGCCGGCAAGGCGGCGTGTGTCGCTTCTCTCGAGCCGAGGGATCAGCACGACGAGGCAAGCATTCTGGAGTCCAGTACGGAGCGAGACGGCAATCTGTTCCACATCAAGATTATCCTGCCCGACGATGGCGAGCTGCCATTCGATCCCGAGCTTGTGCGGAAACAGCTCTTCAACGGCGCGTACGCTGCCATGGCGAGGGGTCCTCGAAGGGGATCGCCCATGCACAGCTGTTGCGTGTCGATCACCTTTGATCCCGAGACCGACTTCTTCGGCCCTGGGACGGACGGACACATCGTCAACGCTGCATACAATGCCGTGCGCACGGCACTCAGCAGCGCGCACAGTCAAAGCGCCGTCGGTGTCCTGGAGCCGGTCATGAAGGCGAACATCTCCTGCCCAGAGGAGGCCGCGGGCACCATCCAGCATGACATTGCGTCCGCGCGCGGCGGCCAGGTCTTGGAAGTCAACGACGCCAACGTCGCTAGCGCTGACAGCATCATCGATCTGAACGAGGTCTATGCGCCGCCCGACCCGTACGAGTCGCTGCAGTCGCTGCGCGATGCAAAGAAGGGCGTGACAAGGATGCTGGACATCGTGGCGAAGGTGCCGCTCAAGGAAATGCTCGACTACGACGGCCTGCTGAGGAGTAAGACTGGCGGTCGCCACTCGCTGACCATGAGTCTGGATACCTTCGACAGGGTGACTGGTCCGCGCGAAAAGGGTCTGTAACCTTGCCGCGGCCCTCGATAGCAGGCTGTGGAGATCGGCCTGCACCGGTGTAAACTGTTTGTACAACAATGTATCTTCTAAGATATACATGCATAGAAACCTATAGAGTACCCTAGGGGGTGCCCTTAGTGAAAGAATCAAATAATAATACAGCTCTCCTATGGTCTGGGCCCCGTTCGGAAACCACCTCGTCCTCCCCCCCGGAGCAATCATCGGCAGGATCAGCCGATCAGGCCTACGACTGGTGACCTTGATGAGTTCGGATGGTTCTCTTCCATGGATCCGTGCAGTGTCGTTCCCTGTCGAACCGTACGACATTGATACCGTGCACGTCCTGTGACCAAACCAGGCGGGAAAAGAAGGCATATTTCTGTTTACCATGGATGGAGCAAGAGGGCAACATGGTGGCAGATCAGAAAGGGGGTTCTGAGCTGTCATATGCATGCCTTACGTCAATATCTCAAATCCATGCTCTCTCCGTAGAGATCTCTCAATTGGGGACCGCAATTGCAAATTCGTCAACGTCACAGCTCGAGGTCGAAGCCCGTATAGCCTTACGAAGTGTGGTTGGTGGGGGTCCCGAACAGGAGATCAGGCAGCTCGCTTACCCCCACTGAACGGGGTGCGGGTGGTGTTTCGCATGGAGATGTGACGTTTGAACGAGACTCTCTGCCGTGTGGGGGGGCATGTTGGCTGTGTCGTGATGCTGGGGAAAGGCTTGTGGGATGTGTGAGGGGATGACATCAAATCCGAGAAGGACTGGGCTCGGACCCGAGAGGCCTGACGCATTGCTCGACATCATAGGTTTAGTCATTTGGCATATCTTATCAGAACACATACACTGGAGGCTGGAGAGGAGCTTGATTAACCCTGTGATATTCTGTCAAGGTGGGATAAGTCTGATTGGTGTAGCACTTGAAGTTGCTTTCGACTTCATGCTGAAGACAGTGAAGGACTCCAGGGAAAGGTAAGGCTGAGGCAAAGTAAACCAATAGAGGTACAACTAGCACCCTCACAATTCTTAGAGAAGGACAATAGGGATGTGTTTCACTGTCTCCCCCAGCAGCCTTCTGCAGATATTCGTGACGGCCAGAGATTGATGCGATTATAGGGACAATCAGACTGATGAGTGACCTTCAGATATCAGTAGTTGATTATTACCGTGGGACTTGAAGACAAAACAATACTACAAGCTTCAAAGACTCTTTATCCAGAAAGATTGCACCTTATTTCCAGTACATCTCTGTATTTGCCTGCTTAAAGAAGGCATGGGTATCATGTGCTGCAACTCGCTGTTGGAGGGTGAGGCGTGCAAAGACCTGGCCAGTATTAGCACATAAATACGTTAAGATTCTCTATATTCAAATAGACCAGAGTGAACATTCAGATCACAAGAAGCATAAATCAATCAGGTCAATCTCCATCAACCTTTGTGTTGTGGTGGCTAATACTGACCCGCACGAGGCTTTGAGATCCCAAGCTTCACCAACTTTTCAGATCTGTGTGAAGAATGATATCAAGCCTTTTTGTGGAAATCACTTCAAAAACTCGGGCAAGAAAGAAAATGCTTTGAATGAATGTGAACCTAGAATTATTATCACCTTGCATATATGCATGCTGGCAACCTGCATGTTGCTTCATTGTCGGTGTTTGAAGTACGAGTAGAGTGAGAGGAGGACACCAGCTGTAAAAGCACTTCAGTCTCATGAAATTTAGACCACTTCTTTCTGAATTCAGATATCAGCTATTGTTGGATTTTCTATTGTTGTTCAATTCAGAAAAGTCTGGATTCTTCTCTATTCAAGAGAGACTCATCGCCCGTCCCCCCTGGAGGAGCAAGCCCTAAACTCCAAACACAATTTCTTCTCAACTTAATTTCCAGACATGCCCTCTTCATTTCACTTCAAATTATCTCGCTGATTCATTGAAATCAAATACAAAAGGACTACGTACTGACTGCTCTGGATATCCATCATGGCAACCGATCCGGCGACCGCGATGAAGTCTGCCAAGTCGTCAACTCTTCCTCACCAGCTGTCCCTGAAGAGGGACCCCGATGACGAGGTTCAATTCCTGTCGGAGAAGCCCGTCAAGAAGCGCCGAGTTTCTGGAAGAAGGAAGTCCGAATTCCAGAATGTACAGCTTCCCTCTCCGGCCAGTCTCCTGGCAGGCAAACCCGCTCATGGAGCGAGCTCGAGCGTCATGGAGGCGCAAACGCGACGACTCCCTTCCCCTGCCTCACTTCTGGCCAGACCCTCGACTCTTGTGAGGGTTCTGGAGCCACTGGTCATTAACGGATCGCAGGAGACAGTTTCGACAGCTACTCCCTTCAGTTCAAACTTCCCGCACGAATTCGTCTACGAGAGACCAGGAATCCGAATTGATGGGCTCCCTGATAGCATGGACGATTTCACCTTTGCACGAGCCTACCACCATACCCCCGAGACTCGATGCTTCTCACCTCCGATATCCCCTAGAACCGTGCCTCGGGCGGGATATCCTGCATCGCGGCATTCTGAGCCCAGCTACCATCACCATCCCCAGGCCAGCCGCTCATACCCCGATATTCGGAACAACGAGCCAAGACACCAGATGCCTGACCTTCCCCAGAATCCAGGTCCTGGCCTCGGCATTTTCATGCCTCAGCATTCACCTACGCCCAGGCACTCGATTCGGGGTTCCGCGGACGGAGCTTATGACGTCCCCATGCTATTCCCCCTGAGCCCAAACTTGAACTATTCGATGTGCAACGGCTTCGTACCTGCTCCTCCTCCGGCTCCTGACGGACTCAAAACCACTCTCGCTCCCGATGGGGATAACTGGCCCAGCATGGCCAATACAGGCAATAACGACACCCCTACAAACCACCCCCATCAGATGGCGAACCCTCCGAGCGTCGACCCAAGCCTGCTTGTGCTCCCCAACTCTGACCAGCCCGAGAGCCGCCAGTCCCAGAGTCACCAGCCGCAGAGCGCCGCAGAGCCAACAGTGGCAACTGGCAGCGAGAACGAACCCACGAAGGCTTCTGAACCTGGTGACACAGCTCACCAGCCGCAGGCTCACCAAAGTGGCCCGCTGCCACCGGTTCGAGACATTCATGCTGGAGGCCAGCACTGCGAGCTATGCGCCATGGGCCAGCAGCAGCAGCAGCAGCCCCTCCTTCCACCAATGTACATGGCGCCGCCATTCATGCAGGGACAGAGCCCGTTCAACCAGCAGAGATCTACTGGCACGATGCCCATGGGCATGTTGCCCCCGATGCCCCCGCATATTCGCCCCATGGCCCTGCACGCCCCCTACAACCCCCCCTGGGCCTTCGTCCCGGGAGCCGGCCCCTTGCCGGTCCCAGGTGGCCCGCATCTTCCCGCCGGATACCCTGCTTTCCCGGGATATATGCCCGTACCGACGGCAGACATGATGAGGATGTCCACCGCCTTCCCGGCGGCACCGAGCTCCATCTCAGGTAATGCTCCCTCGACCAACAGCACCAGCGGCGAAACAGCAGCCACGTCTTCGCAGACACCCGCCTCCCCGAAGACGGGAGGCAACGCAGACACCACCACCAGCACCAAGCCCCCGGCGGCAGCAGCACCCGCCCAGAGCAGCAGCAGCGGCAGCAGCAAGAAGCACGCGCAGAACCTCTACGTCGATATCGCTGAGACGTGCGAGGAGCTGCTGCCCCTGGCCGACATCGCCCGGCGCCACGGCGTCTCGCGCCAGCGCGTGTCCGACGTCTTCGCCGCCGTCGTGCAGCTGCCGCTGCTGCGCTGCCCGACCGACAAGCGGCGCGTCGGCAAGCTCGGCGTCGCGCGCATGAAGGAGCTCAACCGCGGCCGGAAGGAGCTGCTGGCCGAGATATCGGCCGCGCAGAAGGCGGCTTCCGCGGCTGCGTGCGCCAGCGGGGGTGCAAAGGCCCAGATGGCGGCGGCGGCGGCCGGCTCGGCTTCGTCGCAACGACTGCAGAAGCAGGCGACGCCGCCGGGCTTGCACGAGGTCGCGCAGTTCATGGGCCCGCTTGAGGGTGTGGATGCGGCTGGTGGCGAGCAGGGCGGTAAGGGACGGTGGTGAAGGGGCGTCGGTATGGGAAGAGAGAGTTGGTCACTGAAGTGGTTGATAATATTTTGTTATTCTTATTTGAGTCTTCTTCATATCTGAAAGTCTGTTATGACGATATGAATGCGAAGAGAGAGGTTATGGGGGTGGCTACACGAGATGAAGCTGTTTTCCTCTCATCGGAGGAAACGAAAGACATGAACTAGAATCCAAAAAGGAAATAGAAGCTAGAGAGATACGAATACCTACTCTTGAACATCTCCAGGCCACACCACCACCGCTGTCCCCCTCGTGAGCTTGTTGGACTCAAAGGCGTCGAGGAGCCTCTGCCTGGACAGTCTTTCGACTGCGGAGCTAAGGCGGCGGACAAGCTGCTCGTCTCCGGCCGCTCTGGCAGCCCGAATCCTTGCCATGATCATGTGCAGGACTTGATCATACCGGCTCTGGATCAGGCGGGCACGCACATTGGGATGGCAATAGGCGCAGGTATCATTAAGATGCTGTCGAGGACCGTCGGGCAGCGCGCAGCCGTCCTCGCACCGGGCCGAGAACGAGATCAGGAGGTGCCCGCAGAGAAGTTCCGTTACTGAGCCGTCACACATTTCGAGGTATTGCAAACTAGCCTTATTTGGGGGATCTGAGGAACGATCAGGAAGTCCTTGATGCCGGCCGGCCGTAGAGGCGCTTTTATATCAGAGCAATGAAATTATCAGCGTAGCGCGGTCAACTGGACAAAGAGGAATTTAATGCCCAAGAAACATTATGTATGTCAAGACGATGAACTAGTAAAGTGGTATGAAGCTGTTCGCGGACAGCTTGTTGTCATTGAGTCTTTGTCTCCTGGGCCCCAGAACCCTGCTGTTTGAGGGGCCTAGCCTAGTGACACTATCTCAAAGTAAATTAGGTTAAGAGTGGTTCAAGTTGGAGGAGATAGATGCACAATGGCTTTGTTCCATCCCTCATCGTCCTTGCCAGAGCCACAATAGAGTCTGATCCTGATCAGATATGCAGAGAGCCTCTGCCTGTAATGGCAACGCACTAATATGCTCAGGAGGTATCATATACACGCTGTCAGAGAGACAGCGTTGTCCCGACAGCACCCGTAGTATGTAAGGGTGTGGCTGGGATATTAAGTTGGTCGTAAAGTCGTAAAATATTGTGTCTTTGGAGCTCTTCATTTTTTCGAGCTGCTGGATTCTGCCCTTGCAGTCGTCGCCGACTCCTGGTCCCAGTCTGTCTCTTGAGATTTAGGCCGCACGACTTCGGTGACTTGAATTTTGGAAGAGAGTGAGAACTCGTCGTCGCATTCTTTCAGCCTGCCAAGGCCGCTTTCCAAATCCAAATTCTGCAAAGCCATCACGTGCTCATTCTGGGCGGCCATTGCTCGTCCATAACTTGAGCCGCGTCCAGAATTCGAACCGAGAGCAACATTAGCGAGACTCGGGCGCCGGGGAGTTGGAGCCGAGCTGGGATTCTCGACACGGAATTCTGTGTATCCTAGATCTGTCTTCTTCTGGAATCGTTTCGGGACGAGTTTGCTGTACATGTACTCTCGAAACACCCTGGTGGTGCCAAAAGTGGCGAAAGCGAGCAAACTCGGGGTAACGCCCGGCATGAATAGACAGAAGTCTCGCCGGGCGCGCTCCCATGAAAAGTCAGGCCCAGGCCCAGGAGCTTGGCGATCCTCGATGGCCGACCAAATTTCAAGCGCTATCACGATGAACTCGAAGGATCTGTAACACTGTTAGGAAAGACGGGCCGAGGGAGGCACGCACGGCGACACGTACCCTAGGACGAAGAAGGCCATTGAGAACCGAATAATCAACCAATGGTCATATATGTTGCGGCGTGGCGCTACAACGCCGTCGCTCCCACTGGACGCATCGCCGTACTTGACGTGCCACGACATCATAGCCCTCTTTGTGCTGATGTATTTGGTAAGAGTTGCAAAAAGGAGAACGATGACGACAAAGAAGCTGATAGCCACTGGGGTGGTGGTCAACACTCGATTGATGACATGAATACTTGTCTGCAGCTACTCACTCGTGAAGTTGGCCAGGAACATGAAGCCAGGGACCGAACTCTGTACAATACTTGACTGCAGAAGGCCCAGTTGGATTATGGGGAATAGGACACAGGTGATCTTGGCCACATTGCTGCCGTAGCGACGGAACGGGCGTGGTGGGTGTAATTGATAGACCGACACAGTCAACTCGGTAGCCCTATCGGATGGGTTGTCAGATCATGTATCCAAAAGGGTTTTCGAGAACAGAAATGTGACTTACCAACAGGCAGCCAACATGCCTTCGACGATGTAGCAGTAGTATCCTGAGCGCCCGGTTAGTCTGAGAAGGAAGACGAGATACTTGCGGCGGACACAACGCACGGATATAGAAGAGCACCGGATCCACGCCGAAGTTGGCGCCGGCGATGTTCAATTCAGGATTGCCCCGTCGGTGTACGCGGACGTAGTGTTGCCGAATCTTGATATTTCTCCAGTCAACCAGGAGATGACACTGCTGGGCGAGAGCGGCAGTTGTAGCCAGCGTCATGAAGAAGGCGAACATGGCAACATCTGCATCGAGTTAGCAATCGACCCGGGCAGCAGCGGAGGGAGACTCGGAGAATATCGTACAGCTCTTGCGTTCGCGGTGCACCCATACCAAAAACCCGAGAGCCAATGTCGCGATCAGGCATAGAACGGTATATGTGATGGTCATGGCCGCGATGCCCAGGGCATCAGATCGTAAATAAGCCGACATAATTGTGCCTTCACCTCGACCATGCCATCATCGTCTTCGAAGCCAATACCGAAACCCACGAGAGCGGTTGAAGGTGGAGTTTGAGGAGTTGAGGGAGGAAAGACAAGAGGACAAGGGAGCAGGCATGCAAGTAAGGTTTATGGGGAAAGTACTCCGTGCAGAAGAATCAACTCGGACAATGGGGGGCGGCGGGGATCGAGGAAAACATGGCATTTGCACCGTTTTGCACGATGCGTATGGCGATTGTCTCAGGCCGTGGAGACGGAATATCGAGATCGAAGACATGTCACATAGCGCCCCATTGCAAGATCTGCGATTGGCCCCGACTGGCGCAGGTCCAGGCTGTGGACAGTGTCTGACAGCGGCGCTTTGCGAGCAGAGAGGGCCGGGGAACAGTCGAGTCAAGCGCCGGCGCAAACAACCAAGAGACGGGCTGCATTTCAGCTCCGGGACCGACAGGCGAGAGGTGGGCAGCCCAAGGGACGGCTGATGAGAAGCTAGACTTGTTCCCGGATAGCGCCTCTCCTTACTTCGTGGGCCGTGGAGCGCTCGCGAGGGCCCAGAACGGGACGGGGATCGGGAATGATGCAAGCTCAAAAGCAAGGCTAAGAGCAAGATTCCACAGTGTCTCAGCTTGACTCGTCCATCGGGCCCGTCAACACACCAAGAACTCGAGACCAACAATAGCAACCACACCAGTGCTCGCGTAGGAGGACTTGGGTACCGTCTCGATCCCGACAGCTCGCGCCGCGAAACAACAGGGGAGAAGAAAAAGAGAATGATAGCTCCGGGCCTCCCCATTTTCTGTACTTCGTAGGCGTAGATGCAGAGGCTGCCACGACGACCACCGTCGAGTCAAATTGAGTGCGGCTGGGGGTTATTGCCAACTCAGTAATTGTGCAGTACTTGTACGAGGTGGCTTTCGCGGCTCCATCTAGCTGGGAAGCTATCTCGCATCCATTGCTAGAACAGGAAGGGCTCCGTTGAGAAGAAGGGGGCAAAAAAGAAACAAAGCTGTGGCACAGAAGTGACAGGTCGTTTGGGCCTTGGGTGGCTGCTGGCTTGGCTTGGTTTGGTTCTGTTTCTTCTCTTTTCTTTTTCTTCCTGGTCCCTGCTCCCGTGCCCTCCATCTCGCACAAGCGGTGGCGTCTGTCAAGGGAACAAAACAGGGGACATCAAGGGCGCAATGGCCCTTGACCCCAGTGACCTCGTCCAGAGTAGTGCACGGCAGTTGCAGGATAAGAAGATCTCAGGTGTGGGTGTCTCGCTTGACGGGTTGATGATCACTGATCAGAAAACACCACTGCTGACCTGGTCAGTCAATGCATGATACGTTACGCAAGAATAGGGAAACGAGGCGGCCAAGCCGCAACTCAAAAAGGTTTTAAGATTTCCATCATGTCGTTTTTGAGTTTGTCGCCTCCTCCCCGCCTTAGCCCGGCTCTCGTTCGCCAGCTGAGCGAGTTGCACTTAAGCTTATCTTATCGCTCTAGTCGAATGTTCATGTTTTTTCATGCTCAGCTCACCAGACCACACCATAAGGTTAGGTAGGTAGGTACTTAGTTACCTACCTTGTACATTGAACGGACCCCACATGGCCAGCTGAGAGAGCTTATCTTATCGTGCGCGACTTTGGACCTGAGAAGACGCGTCTCTGGCAAGAGCTTGTATCCATCCATCCAAATTGATATTGATTCGAGCACCACTAAACTCTGCCTTTGACGAGAACAATCATCTTTCTCGATCAACTGTTTATCTACGGGTTGCTGCTGGTGTTACTGACTCTGGCATACCTAATCATGCAGGACTGGGAACCACCCCTCCCCGCAAGCTACCATGACAGCAACCGGGCCTTCCTCCAGGCCTTCATGGCGCGGGGTGTTCTCACGCTCGACGAGGCCAAGCCCATCATCGCTGCTATCCTGAGTGCCCAGCAAGGTCCCGACCAACCCGAGGTCGATCCCGAGTCCATCACCCAAGACGACTTTGATGCGTTCCTTGGCCCCGCCAGAGAGGCCATCTCCCCTCTCGACTTTGACATCCGATCCACAAAGCACCAAGTCACCAACCAGCGAGTCTGGGCGCTCATAAACACGCAAAGCGACCCCTCTACCCAGCTCGCCACCGTGCACACTCCCGAAGAGATTGCATTCACTAAGAGACTGCTCGACGCCATGTTCGAGACATACAACACACCGAGGATGGAGGTAATGTGCGTTACTGAGGCTCAGGCTCTCAAGCTCGCCCGACCCACGCGACCCAGAGAAAGCCTCGCCAACCGTGTGGATGGCGCTCCTTCACAAACCTCGACCGACCGAGGTCTGAAACACTCCGAAGTGCTTGCGCTATTACCCAGCCTCGTCGAGGAGGGCTGGCTCGAGAAGAGCCGGGAGGGCTTCTACAGTCTTAGCCCCCGTTCTCTACTGGAGTTGTGGACATGGCTCAACGCGTCCTACAACGATCCCGATGCAGAGGCAAACGAGTGGCAGCGCATCAAGTTCTGCGAAGCGTGCAAGGAAATCGTGACCGTGGGGCAGCGCTGCGCCGAGCGAGATTGCCTGGTCCGGCTACACGAGACGTGTCAAGAGGCATTCTGGCGCTCTAGAAGGGACAGGAAGTGCCCCAAATGCGACACGCACTGGGACGGAAAGCATTTCGTGGGCGAGCCGGCAGTTACGCAGACCGAGGCTTTCCAGAAGAACAGGCGCAAGGGAGGTGGCCGCAGGAGCGAGGTCATCAACACTCTCATGCAAGAGGACGGAGACGGCGACGAAGAAGAAGCAGAGGAGGCTAGTGCGATGGGATGAGGGCCAAGAAATGGGCCAAAGGAACAAGCCCAACAAGCGGCAATGTATTACGATTTATGAGCCTACATGAGCTCGAGGGATTGGTGACGGATATCGGAAGAGTCGTTTTGAGATACCCATGATGGTTTTGGCGTATGGAAAGGGGAAAGCGGAAAGCACAGGTAAGGCCCTACTTGGAGTTCAAAATATCTTGCCGTGTCTGGAAAGTCTGTGTATCCGCACAACGGGATATTATCTCGAAAAAAAAGCGAATGTGAAATTGAAGGTTCAGTCACCATGAGTTTAAGATGGGAAACGCTCTTGTGTCACATGCGTTACAAAAGTGTGAGGCAGCCAGGATATTTTCCCAGTGGATTGGTTCAGTGGCGGCGCGAGGGCCATTGAATAGCGCTGGGTGTGGCGGATGACATCACTGTAGGCGCTTGGTGGCGGGGGGACGCAATCAAGTTACGCTCGCCCGTACAGCTTCATTGGCTGCCTCTTTTCTTTGAAACAACATTGCGCGGGGGCGGCTATATCCCGCTGTACAAGTAACCAAATCTTGTACAGACCTACAAACGGGTTGAGAAAACCTTCCCCCAGTGCCTGTGTACACCGTCACACTCCAACAACTGCTCCCATTCGATTCAGCGCACATTTGTCCGCGGAGCTACCAAGCGCGCCAAGATGCTCGAGTATTTCACTTACAAGAAGTACAAGAAGCACAAGGCTGAGAAGGAAGCCCATGAGCACAAGGTTGGCGACAAGGGCAAGGGCATAGAAAAGCAAGATGGGGTCGCATCGAACTCGAATCCCGCGATCCGGGTAGACGCGCCCGCCGGCGCGACAACGGCCACCGCTGAGAGGCCGCTGCTCGACGACGAGGACGAGTCCTTCTTTGAGCGGCTGACGTCCGGACGAGCCACGCTGAGCGACCTGGATGGCAACGACGATGACGAGAGACCACCCCTGCCGCCCAGGATAAAGACGCCGGATCTCACCTGGGACAGCGACGCCGAGTCCTTCGTCAGTCGCGAGTCCAAAAGCAAGTCGGACGAGAAGAAGAAGGAGGGCAAAGACAAGCACAAGGACAAGAAGGAGAAGGACAAGAAAGCAGAGGGCGGTGGCGCCGCGGCAAACATCGGCCGGCGCATCTCGCTGCTGGTGAAGAGGCCAAAGAAGGACGTCCAGCCCACCAACCTGGTCGTGCCCGAGTCGGAGGCCAAGCGCGAGAGGACCGACATCGAGCGCGTGCTCGACGACCTCGACCTCTCGGCCAAGAACAACCGCGCCTTCAGCCTCTCGGCCGAGTCGTCGGAGCTCGTGCGCCGCTTCACCCTCGTGCTCAAGGACCTGGTCAACGGCGTGCCCACGGCCGTCGGCGACATGCAGGCCCTGCTCGAGGACAAGGACGGCGCCATCGCCGCCGCCTTCGGCAAGCTGCCCTCGAGCCTCAAGAAGCTCGTCACCCAGCTGCCCACCAAGCTGACCAGCACGCTCGCGCCCGAGCTGCTCGCCGCCGCCGCCGAGACCCAGGGCCTCAAGCACGAGGACAACTCCAAGGCCGGCGTCAAGTCGACGGCCAAGTCGCTCCTCATGCCTAAGAACCTGCAGGACCTCGTGACCAAGCCCAGCGCCATCGTCGGCATGCTCAAGGCCATCATGAACGCCCTCAAGCTGCGCTGGCCGGCCTTCATGGGCGCCAACGTCTTGTGGAGCATTGCCCTGTTCCGTAAGTTGTTCTTTCTCTCTACATCTTCATCGACGACTCGCTCTCCTCCATACATCCGGGAACCCGAATCTCGATTGCGATCTCGATCTTTTCTCTCCTTCAAGAGGACCGAATTCTAGACCCTTTTCTTTATCTCAGATGATATGATAGACTGACTCTCTTCGTCGCCCGACCAACTAGTACTTCTCTTTGTCCTCTGGTACTGCCACAAGCGAGGGCGCGAGACGAGGCTGGAGCGCGAGCGCTCGACCGATGGCAGTGGCCGTGTTGAAGAGCTGCCTGACGACCCTCAGCTGCCCCAGGCCGCAGCCTCATCGTCCCCAAGGAATGGGGCGGCTGTCAAGGAGATCGCGGAGCCATCGACTAGCGGGGTGGCTAGCCCTGTCCACCGGAGATGATTGTCTCTCATCAGCTTTTGGTACACGCGGGTAAAGGGCGATGGATTTTTGGTCATGAAGAATAAGAAGCATACGATACCCGGGACTGTAATGATCTAGCTACGAGTAATGGCGCGGTTGCAACAATTGCCGCAGGTTTAAGCGAGAAGTGCCGAATATTGTGGCTTGGAATGGGAAACCTTAAGGAATGCGATGGGATCGGATGGCGTTTTTTTATGATCGATCGCGAACATACGATAGACAATTTCCAAATGCCGGTTTTCGAATACTATTCATGTATTGTGTGAGCTTCCCTTTGGAAGCGGGTATCAATATGTCTGCCACCACCGTTTTGAGTCAATCCGCAGGTTGAGTGATCACCACCATGCACGAAAAACCACATTTGTTTTTGCCATCTCAAACACCCTCCGTTTTCAAACAACCCGATGCCGATCGATCCGGGGTCGTTTAGTCCTCCAATGCCATACCCCTGCTTCTGTTCTCCTCCCGCATGATACCGTTCTCAACGCGGTCGACCACTCGGCCGCCGTCCTGCATCCAGAAGTGGACCTCGTCGATAATATCGTAGACAATGTCCTCGACAATCTGCTCGTCGTAGCGGTCGCCCACAGGGCGCAGCTTCTTGAGACGGTCGGCTGGCGTGGCAACAGCAGGGGCACCCGCGTCGACCATGTCGACGTCCTCACTGGGGTTCTCGTGGCCTGGCGGGGGGTACCAGAAGTTGGGACCGAAGTTGACCTCTGCCGCGCCGTTGCGGAAGACGCTCACGGCTGGGTAGTAGCCCAATGTCCCGTCGTCCAGCCGTTCCCGAGCACCCTCCTGCATCTTGGGGTTGGCGCTGGAGGCTGGAGGCAAGAAGGCGAGCAGGTCCGTGTAGGGAGTGCCCTTCAGTACTCCATTCTTGTAGATCTTGATGTATGAGTTGGGGAGAGTGCGCATGCAAGGGATAGGATGGTTGGGGTTGGGTGGCTCATTCGCGGCTCCACTGCCGGACGATGACATGGACGCCGGGTTCATGAGATCCTCGAGCTCCTTGATGGTGTGGTAGTCAAACTTCTCAAAGCAAAGCTTGGAGGTCTGGAAGCGGAAAGGGATGCGATCCCGGACAATGTTGGGACCTTGGGTCGTGGAGCCGACCTCGTCGTCTGCTGCATCGACAGCGGGATTATAGCTGCCCTGGACGACCTTGCGGTGTAAATGTTCAGAGGGAAGCTGAATCTCGAGGCCAATGACATCGCCCTCCTGTATGTCCTCACCAGCAGGGAAGAACTCTTTTGGCCGCGACATATGCAGCTTTTGACCAGCCACATCGCGCAGGCCATAGCTGTATGCATCGTAGCCCACAGGGGCGTCTCGAGAAGCCTCTCTCCGCGCAAAGCCCATGCGCACATGGCCATGAGACTCTGGGTCGTCGGGTTTGCGATCCTTGATACATCCCCTGGTGATTTTGCATTCCCAATACCAGCGACCTTCCCTTGCCGCAACGTTGGCTCTTGCCATTCTGAAGCCATGCTCACCTGTGACATGGAGGCCTGACTTATCAAAGTAGATAGAAGAAGCGGCGTCTTCAAAGCTGAGATGCGCGTGGAAGGGTTTCGTGTCGGTCTGCCGATAATAGAGCGATGAAGGAAACTTGGGGTCCGCGATTCCGTATTCGTAGACATATCCCCTCCGGTTGACAGGTCTGCAACGATGTTAATACATCTTTGTATTTCAAGGAGTAATCCGGGACGTTAAACCTACTGTTCGGAGGGTTCAAAGAATTCAATAGTCTCGCCATTGGGGCCCTCTTCCTCATGGTGACTTCTGAAGACAGGGCCCTGAGCTTGATCAAAGTCTGACGGCTTAATAGGTCCATTGAGCTTGTATCGCATCGGGAGCGCCTCTCCTCCAGCAGACCTCGGGTCCCTACGCCTTGGCTCTGGGGTCGCTCTGGCGCTGTCAACACCCGCTAAAGCTCCTTTTGATTCTCGCTTTTTGAGAGACTCCTTCTTTGTGCGCTTTTCCCGGGCCATAGATGGGGTCTCATCTGCCGGAGGAGCAGCGGCCGGGGCTGGTGGTGGCACCGGTGTTTGCACAGGCGCGGATGGTGCTGGTGCTGCTACTGGCGCGACGGGTGTTGGCACCGCCGCCGGGGGAGGGACTGTCGAAGGCGTTGGAGCTCTAGCGGATGGTGTTGGAGCTCGAGCGGAGGGTGTGGGCGCTCTGGCAGACGGCGTGGGAGCCCGAGCAGACGGCGTGGAAGCTCGAGCAGATGGAGTAGGAGCTCGAGCAGTAGCTTGAGCAGGAATTGATGGCGGCGGGATTGGTGTCTGCGCTTTGGGGATCTTTGAATCCGGATTCAGGGGGGACTTGACGGCAGGAGCGTGATCATCCTCGACAAGAGCCCGCTTCTGCGGTAGGGAGCTCGGGAGACGAGGAATAACCGGCGGGGGGATTGGCGTCTCTTTGCGCACATGAGGGACCGGAGGGTCCTTCTGTGCTGGGTCGCCATCGGTCGGCATTGTGGTCGTGGGGTCTGCAGAGTCTTTGAAAGAACAACAATACAGTTTGGCTTCTCCCGCTGATACCTAGGTAGGTAGCTATGTCCAAAACAATGCGCTGGTCAACGGAAGAGAGGGACAAGAGCGGCTTGCTCGAGGTGGCAGCTTGAGAAAGATCGCAGCCGTGTGGGCTGCAGGGGTCCCTGGCTAGCGCGAATTGACGCGCTCTGCTCTCAACGTGGGTACCAGAGAGCGCGCTAGTAGCCCCTCGCACCAATCACAACTCTGAACAACTCAAAATCACGTGCTGCACCAGTGTCAGCCTTGCGACCCATCCAAACCATTCTACTAAGAGCTTTGTCTGCCATGGCGGCGCCTCAGGTATTTTTTTGAGGGAGCTTTGGTTGCCCTGCCTTTCATCATTCCCATCCACAACCCGCCTTCTCACCACACAGCAGCGCTGGTTTCAAGCAGCAAGCCGCCAAGATGCCTGTTGTCAAAGGAGGAGTCTGGACCAACATTGAGGATGAAATTCTCAAGGCCTCGGTCTCCAAATATGGTCTCAATCAGTGGGCTCGCGTGTCGTCGCTGTTGGCGCGAAAGACGCCGAAGCAATGCAAGGCTCGATGGCAGGAATGGCTCGACCCCAGCATCAAGAAGATAGAGTGGAGCAAGGAGGAGGATGAGAAGCTTCTGCACCTGGCCAAGCTGATGCCGACGCAATGGCGAACCATCGCTCCGATTGTTGGCAGGACCGCCAACCAGTGCCTCGAGCGCTATCAGAAGCTGCTCGATGAAGCCGAGCAGAGGGAAGCGTCAGGTCTTGGTCTGAGCGGCCCTGATGGCGGCGAGACTCAAGCGCCATCTGCAGACGACGTCCGTCGCCTGCGCCCAGGAGAGGTCGACCCGGATCCAGAGACGAAACCCGCGCGGCCTGATACGATCGATCTCGATGAGGACGAAAAGGAGATGCTCAGCGAGGCTCGAGCCCGCTTGGCGAACACACAGGGAAAGAAGGCCAAGAGGAAAGCCCGAGAGCGTCAGCAGGAAGAGTCGCGTCGGTTGGCGACACTCCAGAAGCGGCGCGAGCTGAAGACGGCGGGCATCAACATCAAGGTCGTCACTCGGAAGCCTGGCCAGATGGATTACAATGCCGATATTCCTTTCGAGAGGAAACCGGTGCCTGGGTTCTACGACACAAACGAGGAGATTACGCGGAACGAGATTCAACGCGCCAATTTTGACCCGAAGAAGCTTCAGTTGTCACAGAACAAGCGCAAAGGAGACCAGGATGAAGAAGCGGATCGCAAGAGGCGCAAAGGGGACAAGGAGTCGGCTTCGTACCAGGAGGCACTGAAGGCTGGCAGGATGCAGAAGGTACGGGAGGCAGAACAGAGCAGCAAGCGGCGCGCGCTCGTATTGCCAGCGCCCCAAGTGAGCGAGGGCGAGCTCGAGGAGATTGTCAAGATGGGTATGATTGGAGAACGAGCAAGTACATTGGCTCGCGAGAGCGACAACGATGCCACACGTGGCTTGGTCGGCAACTATTCCAACATCAACACCAACGCTCCCATCCGGACACCAAGAGCACCGGCGCAAGAAGATCACATCGCCAACGAAATCAAAAATATCCGTGCTCTGACCGAGACTCAGTCGTCACTTCTTGGCGGCGAGAACACGCCGCTGCGCGAGGGAGCAGGGTCGACCGGTTTCGAGAGCGTGGCGCCACGGAAACAGGTCGTTGCGACGCCCAACCCCCTGGCCACACCGCTTAGATCAGGAGCGAATGGTGTTGGCGCCACTCCCCTCCGGCCTGGCCAGACACCGATGAGGACGCCCCGTGACAACTTTGCGCTCAATGCCGGAGATAATGAGATGTCATTGGTCGGAGGGACTCCTGGAGACGCGCGCATGCGCGAAATGGCAATGCGCCATCAGCTCAAGCAAGGTCTAGCAGCTCTGCCCAAGCCAAAGGAGACCGAGTGGGAGCTCGAGCTGCCTGAGGAGCAAGAGGAAGTCGACTCAAGGGAGGTCATGCAGGAGGATGCCGCTGTTCGAGATCGCAGAGAACGAGAAATGCGCGAAGCCCAAGAGATGCTGGAACGCAAGCGGAGGACCCAAGTCATGCAACGCGAGCTCCCCCGGCCGGCAAATGTCAACGTCGATGCTCTTCTCAAAGACGTCGGCGACGTCTCAGATCCATTGGAAGCCCTGGTGGCTAAGGAAGCGGCTCTACTAGTAGCCAACGACGCGGCCAAGTTCCCGCTTCCCGGCGCCAGACCGCCCCAAAAGACGGTGGCACTGGAGCAGATGGACGATTCCGCGCTCGCCGAGGCACGGTTACAAATTCTCATGGAGAGCAACAAACTTCCTAAGCCCCTTGGTATATCTGAATCCTGGCCTAGCAGCAACAACTCCCTACTATTGGGGCTTGGCTGTTACGAAGATGATGAAGAAGAGGTGCAGATGGCCGCCATGCGGGAAGCCTTCGATGTAAGCATCCCCAAAAACTATCCTCTTTGGCGGAATTGACACTAACAACCCCTTCTAGAAGGTACAGGATGACATTATCGCGTCTGCCGAGAAGGGAGCCAAGCTCGAGAAGAAGCTGATGCTACACCTGGGTGGCTACAAGCAGCGAGCGGAGATGCTGAGGAAGAAGGTCGGAGAGGCGTCCGAGGCGCTGGCAAAGGCTAACAATGCCCTCGGCGGCTTCAAGACATTGGCTATATCCGAGGAGGCGGCTATCAACCGGCGTCTGGGTTCTCTGCGCGACGAAGTCAGCTTCATCAGCAAGAGGGAACGGGAAGCGCAAGAGCTGTACAGGCGGACCAAAGAAGAGCTGGACTCGCTGACTACGGGTCCCAACGGCTATCACTGAATTCTGGAATCATCTCGAAAGGCTAGATTGTAATCCTAGGGTCGCTGCATTCAGTACCACATGAAGGCCGACCTCGGCTACAGAGGGAGTTTATTGCGCTTCTTTCCTGGTCAACCACACATTTTGCTCTGTTGGAAACTAATGTTTCGAAGCAAGCCATGCTGGATTGAATATTTTGATCACACGTCGCACGCGAACCAAACTTAGGACAACTCCCGGGGGGGGGATCTCTCTTCTGCTCCTGTACGAGAGAGATTGAGTCGCGTCAGACCATGGAAGCAGTAAATAGTGCTAGACTGGGCCTTTCCAGGGATCGTGGCAAGATCTACTGAGGTGTATAAATGTCTTGTCTTCCCAGTGCCCTGCCCTACACAGTTCTCGTTTCTCTTCTCTTCTTCCTCTATCCATTCGATTCGTCAAGTTCGTCCCCCCCGTCCCCCCTTTCTCCTTTCTGGACATACCAGAACATACTCTTTACAACACTCTGCCCTCATCTCTGAGCCTGATATCCACTCCTTGTCCTAAACATGTGGCCATTCAACACCAAGACAAGCTTCGTCATGATTGCGGGCTTGCAGACCGTGCCACCCCTGCCACCCGTGCAAGACCGAGCTAGCCTCTCCAGTGAGAGCGTGGCGGAGGAGAGGGAGGGGGAAGAAGGCCCGGACGCGGGTGCTGAGGATACCCCTGCATGTGACGAGAGCGAGGAGTATGCTTTCGTCAAAGTCGGTGGCGACGACGACGGTGACGACGCCGACGCCGACGCCGACGCCCCCGTCTACGACTTCAACGACCCCGCCCCGGCCTACAGGACATACAGATACTACCGCATGGACTGGTCCAGCGAGTCGCTGACCGCTCCCCCGACCCCCGAACTCGTCGGCCGGAGCAAAAGCTGTACCGACGGCAGCGAGACAGCCGCCAGCCGCGTCGACGACGACGACGAGCAACTCCCTGACCCCATGGTGCCGCTGCCGTCGTCGGCGAGACACTGCCCGCTGCACTGCCCGCTGCACTGCTCGTCCCCTTCCTCGGACGACGGTAACAGCGACAATGGTGATGACGAGCAGGAGGGGTCGCAGGACGGGGAGGAGCAGTGGCAGGACGAGAGTCAACAGTGGCAGGACGAGGACCAACAGTGTCAAGAGCAGGAGCAATGGGATGAGAACACTGAGTCGGGGGAAGAGGAGGGGTTGGTTGTGGTGACCGAGGATCATCCGGATTTCTGGGGATACTCTGACCTCATCCAAGAACGTGATTATCGGGAGAGGATGAGGCAGCGGGAGGAGCAGAGAGAGCAGGAGGAGCAGAGGCAGCGGGAGGAGCAGGAGGAGGAGCAGCAGAACAATGTCGAGGAGGAGGAGCAGCAGCAGCAGCAGCAGCAGCAGCAAGAGCGGCCCGCCCTCTCGGCCCAGGCCAGGCAGGCCGTGGCCGACATGCGCGACGCCCTCGCCGACGACAAGGACTCGGGGTACTCGGCCTTCGCGGCGCAGCTCAGCGACGACGAGGTGCTCATCGAGGCGGCCGTCGTGCTGCGCACGGCGCTGTGGCCGTCGCGCGAGGAGGCCCGCGAGGCCTACCGCATGCGGGCGTGCGAGGCCCGCGAGCGCACGGCCTGGCTGCGCTACATGGAGGCGGTCGAGGAGTACAAGGCGCAGCTGTGGGAGGCCAAGGCGGCGGTGGCGAAGCCCTGCCAGGCGTGAGAGACTGGTGTCGCTAGCCTCTTTCACCTCTTTGGTATGGCATGGCCGCTATGCAAGAGGCAGGCGAGGTGTTCAGGTCGGGACGTGAGTGCCTAGAGGGCTCGATTCAGAACGACGGTGTGTTTCCTGGGCCACTCGGCCAAAGTGCCAAGAGGGGAGGGGGGGGGGGGGGGGGGGGGTGTTAGATTCGGACGACAAGTTTCTCTTCTTTTGCTAGACCCTTATGTTTAGAATCAGACTGCCACTTCGTGTTGTTAGTAAATCGTTTTCGCGATAGGAAAAGGTCGATTTGACCCTGAAACTTTTTGAAATGCAGTGTATTGCGTATTATCATGCTCACGAGCGGGGTAAACGAGCTCGTCGATTTGGTATCGTGTCATCAGATATGGATATGTTGCCTTGTCCCTGCGCCTCTATCAGCTCCCCCTCGACCTTCTGGCTCGCCATCGCTGTAGGGACGAGAATGCCGGCGCCCTTGATGCCTCCGTCGTGACAAGGATGTAGCGTGATCCTAAAGGGCACCGTGGAGCTGCTGTAGTCTAGCTTGACCACCTCGTCGAGAAAGTTTTGGCAGTCGACCAGGTAGTCCTGGAAGTTCGTGATGCAGCCACCCGTGTAGCCGACGGCCAGGTCGACCGCCTCGTCCGCTGCAGCCTCCTTGGACGGCATCTCCCCCGCAAAAGTGAGCAAGCCGACGATCGCCGCGGCGATGATTCCAGCCCCTCTTACCTCGATGGCCTTGGCGATGTGATAGAGCGCGTCGGCAATCTCCTCAGTCCACTGCAACGAGCTGCCCTCGCTGGCAGTCGAGAACTCCTCCTCGAGCATAGCGAGTAGTGACTTGTCCCGCCCAGGACGATAGTGGCTTAGAAACGTGGTGTTGTGGGGATCAAACTGCCTCATGAGCTTCGCCGGGAAGGTGTCTTGGGACAAGCCGAGGATCTTGGTCATGTAGTCGACCAACATGATCCGGCCCAGCTCGCCGAGGTACCTGCCCGCCGTCATGTACTCCAGCGGCTGGAACCCGGGCGACTCGACGGCGGCGCTGAGCTCGTCGTCCCACGCGCTGATGAGGCCCAAGTTCCGCAGCGGCGGTGCCGCACCCTTGATGCTCCACTCCGTGTTGACGGCGACCCTGACGTCGTCTTCTACCTGTCCCTGCAGTACGTTGACCTTCTTGGGCCGTTTGCTGAGGTGTAAACTGCTCAAAGGGAGAGGCATAGTGGCATTGCAGCCCGTGCCGCAGATGAGACCCATCACAGCCTTCTGGTCGGGTTTCGTCCTGAACTCGTAAATGAACGAGACCAGTGTGGCTACCGCATCGTTCACGATGGCCGCTATTCTTATGCCGGGCAGGTCTGCGGTGCGTGCCTTTTCGTACCCTGCCAACAGCTGCGAGCCGAGGTCGTCTATGGAGGTGATGGCGAACCCCTTGCCCATTGGCATGAGCTTGGCCACAGACAGTGATTCCTGCTCCATGGGGAAGCTGAATGTGACTCCCATGGGTAGGATACCGTCTCTCGGGATGTTCAGAATCTCGCAGCCCTCCTGAACGGTCGAGGCGATGCACTCGCCTATCCATGTGAACAAGCTCTCCTGATTCGCCCTCTTCAGAACATCTTGGATGGGCCAATTTCGCTCGTGCAACCTCTTCAAGCGAGGGCCGGTACCATTTTGAAGGTGAGTAGATGGAGAAGAAGGAGAAGCGGGCGCATATGCTTCGGTATGGCCTGCGAGCTCGATGAAGCCCACTCGTAGGTTCGTGCCACCTCTACGTGACGCAGGAAGAATGCATGTTAGTAATCCTCCAAGTATGACAAGCCAAAACACGGTCTTTCCGCGTTTCTCAGAAGCCCAGACTCACATGTCAATCGCGAGATAGCTGCAGGGAAGAGTGTCAGTTAGTCAAAGAGTGCATAAAAGAGTGAGAAGCCAAGGATGCCCGCAGTGGTATTGCCCCGCAGGCACACGCACACCCGACATGAAGCTGACATGTACAAACAATCAGGCATGTGCCAAGTGATTACATTAAGGGGAAAAGCCACCCATGGAAGGGAGGGGCCGGGAAAAGAAGATTAGCCAGCCCGTCACTCACCGTCCGGGATCGTGGCCCTGCGCGGGCCGGAGGATGGACTCGGAGATCGGAGTGGCGAGGAACTGGTCCGAGGACTCGGCGGCGAGGCGCCTGAAGGTTTCGGCAAAGTCGCGTGACAGCTGGCGGACGACGTGGATGTCGATGTGCAGCGGCTCGAGGAACTCCTCGAGCTCGGAGGACCTGCTGGACGCGGCTGCCATATTGCTTGCTTGTTTTTTTTGGCTTCCGTTGTCGGCGGAGGAGCAGCTTATCTGGCTCCTCAACGATTGGGAGAGAAGAAGACTTGGCGACGGCAGCCAGCGTTCATGATCACCCAAGTCGGGGACCTGCTCCCTTGCCCGCCGATGTTCAGTGGCAGCAGCCCAGCCAAGGCATCAATCAAAACGACGTGTGCCCTTGCTTGTCAATTGCTTGTTCCAGGCTTGCACACACACACGCACGCACGCAGACACGCTACTTCGTATAAGTATAGAATGCGGGGCGTTGTGACGTGCAGCGGCTCTGCCAACGTGGACGGTGAGATAGTTGTGGATAGCGGGACAGCCCAATCGCCTAGTGAAACGGGGGATAGATAGTGAGTGAGTCACTGCCTTCCCGGGTCGGTCTATCAGCGAAGAAACACCAGATGAAAAAGGTAGAAGGAGTGCTGCTTCGGTTTTCAGAGAAGAATCGGGCGGAAAGCCGGACGTTAGTATTTGACTGCGCTCGTCAAACATTCGCTGAGCTCAACGACCATTCAACGTTACATCCGTCCGGTCACAGCAACAATAATGCAAACAGGAGAAAAGGCTCGGGGCCAGCGGAACCGGAGCGAGTGTCTGGCACAAACAGAATGATAAAGAGCTTGAGATCAGCGGGCTGCCAACCAACATTGAAAGACTAACTGGGCACAGCCCGCGTGCGCCGTCGACAGCCCCATCGGCAGGCCAAGGCAGTGCTTCGGCAGCGCTAACAAAGGGCGCGATGGAGCCCTGGCGCCGCTAAACAACGGCTTCAGCCCTTGTCAGCCTTGACTAAACTACCTCCTTAAGGTACACTCGGTGAACCTCCAAGGTTGTCTGTCCTCGAGCTCAATCAGTCAACTTTTGATCAGCCAGTTTACACATGTCCCAAATGACCGGGCTATCCTACTTTATCCAGTAGCAAGAGAAGGACGATCAATCAGTCAACTTTTGATCAGCCAGTTTACACATGTCCCAAATGACCGGGCTATCCTACTTTATCCAGTAGCAAGAGAAGGACGACTGTGCAGCAGACCGCTGTACACAAGTGCCGTTCCTCGGCTCCACAGCCCGCCCGGACAGGCGACGCGACAGGCCGGGCCCTATGGGTGACGACGCTTAATATGTGCCAATATGCCCCAGAGACCATCACGACATCCAACCAACATGGGCCGGATCAAAGTGCAGGCGAAAAGGAGTTGCAGTGGGACAAGCATTTGGTTTTGTCGGAAAGAATCTCTCATCTAGTATTTACAGCCCAGACTATTTGTCAAAAAAAAAAAAAAAAAAAAAAAAAAAAAAGGTAATACCATCGTACACACAACCCTGACCCAGATCGATCCGCAATGTAAACCCAGAAACTCCTCTGGCTTGCTTTCGTATATGCCATGATGTGGTTTGTCATCAGTCGTCTGCTCTTGATACGATCTGATGGTTGACCATCATCGTCTTTTGATTCCGAACAGTACCAAAATCACACGCAGCCTTGTCCAGCAAAAAAAGTCTCGAAACCACTGGACCATAATTTTTGTGAGCACCCAAAAAGAAACCGCAAAAATCCAACCAACGCCGGCCCCAAAAGAAAAATATCTTTTTATAAGATCCCACTTCGAACAGGGAGACTCTTCTTCTTGTGAACGTGCATATACGTGACGTGGGTTGAGGCAACATCTCACAGTGCCAGACCAGTCCCATCACCAGTCCAGCGGTAGAGCGCAAGCAGCTCACGACGCCTCTGGTGCTGCTCGCCTAGATCTTCAGGCACACGGCCCCGGACCTGGGCAAGAGCACTGCGCATGACCCTGCTAAAGTTGCGCTGCGCAGAACTGTCAGCACTGGTAATACCAAATCGACAAGCTTGAAAGCAAAAGCGTGGCTTACCTGATACTCGGTGTTGAGCGTGACAACACAAGCCTCGTGTGCTCGAATGATAGTCTCGCAGGCCCGGACCACGCTGGCGCTAGCCTCGAGCTGCAGCTTGTCTGCGATCAAAAGCAACAGGAACGAGCCCTGAAGCAGATAGATGCCGAAGAAGAAAGGCATGAACTCTAGGCCTGGGTCAAACTCGAGGATGTTGCTGATGGCCTCGGCCGCCGAAACGGCGTGGCTCGTGGCAGTGATGAAGCCCTGAGAGCTGATCCATAGGTCATTGTCGTCGAGCAGGTTGATGGGATCCCATTTGCCAGAAAGCAGGATGTGAAGCACGTGCACGACATGAGTGCCGTACGCAGTGACAATGCGAGTCTGGATATCCGACTCGGTCAGCCGTGTGGAGCCGGCTGTGTGCACACTGTGGACCGAATGGACCGACGGTGTGCCAGCCTCGTGAGGCACTGTTGCGAGAGTCTCGACATTGACTTCTGTACCCTTGTCCTCTGTCGTACCATGGACTGCGCTGCTGAGGTTCTGCTGCTCGAACCTCTTCAAGCTCTGCTCGTATGCCTCGAGGTGGCGAGTGATCTCTGTCGTCTGGTCGTCCCACTCTCGCGAGGAGCGGAAGCCCACGCCGAACCGCGGATGGTTTCGAGCGTGATGAAGGTCAACAATCTCGCCCAAGATTGTCATCAGAGGTAGAAAGTACCCAAAGATGCTGTGACCAGTGCACTTGAAACAAGGTCCTCGAAGTCGCTGTTGAGAGGAGCCAGACTGGTCGGCGGCTAGAACATCCGGGTCAGTTGCAAAGTTGCGGAACTCGCCATTCTGATACGCAGTGTCTTCCATCGGTTGCAAAAGCCCATCACACTCGATATCGAGGAGGAACAGAGGCCGGTTGTAGCACAGCGCGAGGTGGCGATCAACGATGTACACGAGCCACCAGATTCTTCGCCTCTCCTCCCGTTCTTCCTCGGTGACGAGACCCTGGACCACATTGCCCATCTCATCGGTTTCGCCCGTTCCATCGAGGTCGTTCTCCGGCGGGTGGATATTCATGGACGGCGCATTCTGGGGCAGTTCACGGCCAAGTTTGAGCTCCCTGGCCAGAGACCAGGCTGCATTCCACCAGCGCAGGCTTGCGCCTTTGTACTCGCTGGCCGAGACAACAGTCGCCAGGTGGATGTAGGTGACCACGTCATCAAGGGTTCCCGCAGCACCAAATGCTCCCGTCTCGCTTGTCAATGCTTCCATGCTGATCGAGCCCGGAAGTGCGACACCAAGGCCACCCAAGGCAACGCCATCAATGACCGGGCTCGAGACCGGCGACGCGTCTCCCGAAGGTGTATGGATCAGCGGCTTCAGCAGGCTGACTGTCAGCTCCAACAGCTTCTGGCAGATCTTTCCCCGAGCGGACGGGATGCTAGTCAGGAATGGCGCGTCGCTAGTCTGCGCAGCAACCCAAAGCATGCTCGCCAGGAGTGCTGGCTGACATTGCCGCGGCTTCGAGGGGTGGATGAACGATCTCTTGCGGAAGACGTAGCCCAACACGTATGGCGACATGGGATGCATCTGGGCCGCGGACGAGCTCGCAAAGTACAGATCGATCAGGTCACAGGCAAGCGAGAGCGGGATGATGTTTCCCAGATGAGGTACCAGCGGCTCCAGTACCGGGTATCTCAGCTGAGAATGAGCAAAAGGGTTCTGGGGAATGTGCGTCTGATACTGAGGCGGCGGAGATGACATGGTCATCCATCCCGGCGAAGCTGTATCACCGGCCATTGGATAAGCGCTTAGCGGACTCGTGCCCATTCGGAACGAGTTTGCGTTGGCAGAATAGCCGGTTGGGCTCTGGGTCTGGAGAGTGTAGGGCAGCTCCGGATAGCTCGACATGTTGCCTTGAGGCGCGTATTGCGCATGGGTGGGGGCATTCATGAGATGCGCGCTCATCCCCTGTCGGTCATAGGAGGCATGGACATTGCCGTACGCATTGAGGTCCAGAGTAGTCGGGCTTTCCAAGTGATCGCGGTCCAGCCCTCCGGCATGTCCAGTTAGGTGAGATTGGTGGGAAGTCATCTCACCCAGGCTATCCAGACTACTAGTCCTCTGTTCCCGCTGTAAGGCATCTTCGCCAATGTCGCTCATCATCTTGTCGCTGTTGCCGAGCTGGGTATCCACAGTAATAGAAGGCATGGACTTCGGCTCGTTTCGTTGCTCGCTGGACTGTCCACCTTCTGTAGACTGATCGGGTGATTTGCCATTCTGAGCTGCTGCCGCTGCCGCCGCTTGAGCTGCCGCTTGCTGGGCAAGGTCTTTTCGCGAGGCCTTTCCACGCTTTTTCCGTTCTCTGATATATTCGCAACCAAGTCCAAACTCTGCAAAAATGGGTCAGCTAACTCGTTCGCCTATCATGGGCACTCAATGGGCACTCAATGGGTAGAACACTCTCGAGGCGATTGAAAAAAAGACAAGCGTACCTATACAATGCGCACATGGATGCTGGCCGTCACACTTGGTGCGGAGTTGGTTGCATTGATCGCAGGCTCTGCTGATTCTTCTCCGAATCGGCCCGGCAGCTCCTGTTGCACGGGCGGCGGGTCCATAAGGGTGCTGCCGGTGCTTGACCTGAGGACCAGGGCGCGCTAGATGCGGGTTGTGCACACCCACATGCTGTTGGAGCTGCTGAAGAGCGTAATGGGAGCCCTGAGCCAACGTGTCCAAGCCGTTGGGGTGCATGTGGCCGGCTTGGACATGGCCGCCAGAGAGCAGGGCATTGGACGGGATCGTGTGGTACGGCGAGAACCGATGAAGGGGGTTTGACAACATCATGGATACTGTGTGCTGAGCTTCTGCGACGGCGTGTCTGTGTACGGTTGGAAGGAGCTTTGGTATGGTGAGGTTGTGTCAGCTAATGAGAGCTGGTCTGAAGCATAAAGAGTAGTGATGACGGGAGCCAACTTCGAACGAGTGAGAGCAGTTGGGTGAAGATCGGCTAACGCCTTTGTTCAGAGGTAAGCCTGTGAGGGTGGCGAGGGAAGTCCGGTGAAGAGGTGAGGTGGACGATGCAGATATCTATATCTTTACCCTTGGCGACGGAGAAGAAGCTAGCCAGGCGGCAAGCTCTGCGGTCAGCGGTACTTGAGCGGACCGAAGAAGTGCAGTGTGGGGAAGGTCTTGGAGGGCATGAGCATGATGTTATGTTAACCAGCATAAGGGAGGCCCAAACAATGAATGGGAGAGGATCAACGCACAGTCGTTGGATGGCCACGGCACAGAAGCTTCTGCACGATGGGGAACCAGGGGCCAGGCTTCATATGGATGGCGGGGTCGGGGGGGTGTAGGATGCAAGTGGAAGGCGGGCCAGATGACAGGGGTGAGGAAAAGATGGCGACTGGGGTCTCCGTTCAGGTCTAGATGTTGCAAGGAGAGGCCGAGAGGGTAGAGGAGGACAGGTACGGAGTGAACCAAGAAATGAAGACAACATACCACTTCAACCTCCGGGTGCAAGCCCAGCTGGTTCACACGACGAAGATCCGACCCCGAGACACCGGTGAAAGACTTGCTCTCAGGCCAGCGGCGTGGTGCAAGCGCAAACACGGAGATTCGAGAGACAATGCCGAAATTATCCCCTTCAATATGACAATGATGATGAAGGTCTCTGCCTGGCTTGCCTGGTTCCCTCTGTCCGTAGCTAAACAAGATGATGGTGCCCGACCAGACGAGAAGTGAACCAGATCAAGCTTCAAGAGTCTCCTGCCTGGTCAGGGATGGATGAACAGGCTCGATAGTGCTTGATGTTGATGCGGAAGGAGACAGACAGGCCAAAAGGGCAAAAGGATGCCAATTCGAGCAAGGTCTGGAAGTCGGTAATTGTTGATCGGTTCCTGCTTCGTGACAGCACTCTCTGTGACTATGTCTGGCGTCTTGGCATGCATATACAATAAAGGCCTGCGAGAGACGCTCTGTTGATCAGATCGATTTCGATTGGTGAGAGGATACTCGCCTTCTCAGCGAGGCAATATCGAGGAATCGCATTTATATTGGGGGGACAATATACAAGGCGGGATGAAATACATAAAGGATGGGCAGACACAGCGACAGCCCCCCCGCCCGAGAAGGGTGTGTGTGCGTGAGTGTGTGTGTGTGTGTGCGTGTTGCGGTCTGTATATGCGCGCGAGTGTGGTGGAGAGGTGAGTGTAAGTGCGAGTGTGGTGAGTGTGTGAGTCTGAGCGGCGTGCGGGCGGGCGCCTCGTTTCTCTCATGTGATGGTGCGTGAAAAATTTCGGCGATCTTCTGCTAAAGAGATGTCAGTGAGCCCCTCAGACGCTTAGGTAAGGCGCCGCCGTGATGGGGCCTTGACGTGACTTGTATGGTGCGCCTATGCCGCGACACCTGGCCTGCCCCGACCAGAATAATGCAGCGGGGGAGACTGCCACACTAACGCTCCGCTAATTACCTTCGACGTTGGGGTCTGCTGTGCCCACGACGGTTCTATCCCCAGCGATCCGATGGCGAAGTTGCTTGTCGAATCTGCGCGTGTGAGCGGCAATCGACCCCCCCTGGGGTGAGCCCGGGGGTGTCACTGGACTCAAGACCGGCCCCGCAGAGTCCACCAATTTACCTACGTCGCATGGCTTCCTCCAAGTTGGTTGCCAACGGCGGGTCTGTGGACCGACTTCCCCTTCAAGGCAGGGGCGTGCCAGACTTCGTATCTCATCCTACTGTGTACCAGCCTACCTCGCCTAATGGCCTCCCAAGCCCTCATGTGGCCGTACCTCGGCAGGTTTGCAGGAGCGGCGGCGGCTGGGTGGCAGCACTCTTGGTGACGAGGTGTTCGTGTGCAAGGCAGGTTCCCATTCCACACAACCAAGTTGCAGTGACGACATTATAGTCTAGAAACCATCGGAAACGTGGCTTGCTCTCCATTCACACCTTTCACTGTCTGGCCGCCGGCTCTTGTCGAACTTTTGGACAACTGCCGGAGCGAAGCCTCTTGCGACAGAAAGTCCCACAGAAACGGAGAGCAATGTTGACAGAGAAAACATGGACGAGTTTGGCAAGTCGCGATGGTGGAGCGACCGCCGGAACCAAGGGCCATCGAATCGCACAAATCAAAAGCAACCCTGCCAATAGCGGTCTTGGCACTGAGATGCGCTTCGGTCGAGTGACGCCGACGCTAATCTCTACGCAAAACAGACTTGTCCGTTGTCCATGCTTGTCGGATCCGTAGGCACAGCTTTCCCTTCCTGGTCTGTCCTGCCGTCAATGCTCGTCACACTCATTGTAGTGTCTCTATCTTTACCAACAGACGAGGCACAGCGCTTTCACCGTCATCGTTCAGCTGGTGCATGGTGTGCTTGGTGAATCGGCTTCCCGGGAAGGAAACTCTCGAGCCGCCCTGATGCGCTCCCGCTATTTCTGGTCTGCAGGCTTTGTATAATATGTGCCTGTCTTTTATGCATGATTCAGCGGGATCGAAAGGGGCAGCCGACCTTGTAGTCCCGGATTTTTGTGCTTCTGAAAATGAAAGGTGAGCGGAGCAAGACAGTGGTTTCTCTGTTCGTCCGAAGTTGTAACGTGTCTGGGGTGGTGGGCAATCATGGACAGGGACCTTTCGTTTTCATGGTTCGAAACTCCCCAGGCCGCATAACTTGTGAAGGCCGGTAGCGATGGCCTTCATTGATGGCAGCCACAACCACCACGCCGTGAGCTGTGACACACCAAGACATTTGCAAGGCGAACAACCGTAAGCACCGTACTGGAACGACGGCGACGGCGAAATGCACACCTACCGCCCCTGGAAAAGAGGCAGGAGCATTTGGGAACGGTAGACCAGGAGCATTAGCACCATTAGGCAGTGCTGTCAGCCAAGCTGTACTGGGGTTGTAAATGGAGAACCCCGGACGCTGCGGCAGGAGTGCCACCGAATCCGATCGCCTTCCAGAAGGCGAGGGTGCAGGTTTGGACAGGGAGACAGGGAAGGTGATGGAGGGTTCAAAGACCCTCCTCGCGTGGCTCTGCTGAGGCCAGCCAGATACTCTCTCTGATCCCTGCGCCATGGACAGAATCTTAGAGGCCGGCTTTGACGATCATGGAACCTCGCGTCGGCATCAAAGTGCGGCAAGGCTCAAAGGTGGCCACCTTCATTTTCGGCCGAGTAAGTACACTCTGCCAAGTGGGTGCTAAGTCGTCTGGGGTACACCTCGATCGGTGGCTTCTCCGCACTCTTTGATACAACGTCAATCAGTCGGTGAAGATCAGGATGACTGCTTTGACGGAGGAGAAGCAACGACTTACGCGAAGCAATATGCCTGCATTGAAGATCAATCTTGACCTGTGGCCACCTGATTATGGCATCTGGCCTGGACCAAGCCCCGAATGCTCCGATTGCTGAATCCCTGGCGGGACATGCAGTGTGTCCCTGACTGACAGCCACGGTGGGCATTGACAGATAACGACTGCATCTCTCCAGCCCAGCCATCTTGTTCGTCAGCTCGGTCATTGATCCCCCCCGCCGCGGGCTTGCCGTCCTGGAGGTCGGGAATTAAATGGAAGGCGTAAGCGAATGTGCGTCTATCGCTGCTGTGCAGTCCCGAGTCCTGGTTTCGACTCACGGCAAGTTTATTTGCTGTTGGTGTCGACGTAATATCAAGCAGGTCGGTCCGTGGCCCAAGCATTAATGGACAAAATAACGGCCGAGATAGGAACGAGACGTATTCCTCCTGGCGCGGTGCACTCAATAGTGAAACAAAACATCAGAGACAAGCACCAATCACGTACTGCCAACCAATACGATCCCTGCGCCGAGCATCATGGACGAGTAAGACTCGAGGCGACAAGTTGTGTGTGTTTTGCGTGTTTGGAGAGATTGAAACATAATTAAGCTTGACTGTGGTCCAGCTTCGGAGGCGGAGGCAGCTGCAGACTTCCCCTCTCCCGCTCCTGCCTATTCATAGATGTGTAGCTGCCTGCTAGCATTAGCAACATTGGTACTTGTGGCATGAACCACTCACGAATTACAGAGGCAGGAGCAATAGATACACTTCCTGTTCTCTCAAACGTTACGGCCTTCCTGAGGAAGGCCAGTGTTTCGCCCTTTTTTCATCTTTTGTCATCCGCTTGGCATCATATGACCACATTCAAACACTACAGGACTTCAATATGCTGGCAGACATCGGCAGCCCACCTCGATAATGATGCTCATTGTGTCGGCCTGGCATCTTTGCCAAGGTGTACCGCATCCTCAGCTACGACATTGTATGCATATGCACCTCCCAGATGCATGTATGCGTGAATGCATGACCCACGATGCGAGGAGCGAAGGCATATCAAATCAAGAGCACTTGAAGCTCTCAGCAAAGCGGCACATGCTTTCAGCGGTCCCGCTTGCCGGGCTTCCTTGTTTCTACGCAGTAAATCGATCTCGTCTCTCGTCTTCCAGCAGTCCAAGTCTTGTTCCTCTGCTGCATACCCGCTCGGTAATATAGCGAGGGGTCTGTGAGTCTGCCCCTTTGGGAATCGCAGTGGTGATTGGGGATCTCCGCTAGATACCCTGTCCAACAGCGTGGCAGTGCCTCGTGGGAGACTGAGCCTTCAGCAGATAATGTGGTAATTCTTTGGCTACCCTTTGATCGATATGTGGCGCTGATGATGCTTAGGAAAATGTCCGTGGAGGCACTGCTTGCAATTGCCGCGCCGGAGCTTCGGGTACGATGCCAGAACCTTGCAGCAAGCCGCAACCCCTAACCTTGTGCACCAAACCCGCTTTCGATGTGACTTAATGTAGGTACTTTCTCTTTAAGTCGTATGTCTATTTGTCGGAGGTC